GTGGAGTGATTTTGTTCATATTTGGTATGTGAATAGTATAAGCATGGCACACTGTCTATTTCTAATGACACTTTTGGTAGATGGTGGCCATTTTGAAAAATGGCCGCCATTTTAACGTATTTTACTATAACTCGAAAAGTAGTGGAGCGATTTTGTTCATATTTGATATGTGAATACTTTAAGCATGGCACATTGTCTTATAAAACTTTGGGGAGTAGTCGGCCATTTTGAAAAATGGCCGCCATTTTTATGTGTGTAATTTTACAAGTACGTGTGCGATTTTTCAAAAATTTTAGAGGTGGCTACTTAAAAGCATATTATTTCTTCTGATGACAACTTGGCTAGTGAGCAACCATTTTGAAAATGGTGGCCTTTCTGGTGTGTTGTTTTATGATATTTGCTATTAGTTTGTAAAAATCCCAGCCATTTCTGTTCGATGGGATTCGCTACGCTTTGGCGTTGCTGTTGTTCTGGTTTTTTATTCCAAGTTCTTCAAAAATAGTGATACTATGCAATTTATGTAATAGTTTGAAAATATAATAGCTACACATACTATTGCCAATTTTGAAAATAACAGTAAAATGGGAGTGGCCATTGTTCATATAACACCCTGGAGGAATACTCTATTGTTTGTTATGCTGATTAAGGAAGGTAATTGAAAATCGATGACTTATTGTCCTTCAGTAAATGTATTGTTATCTTAACATTAACAGGATTTTTGTCAATCTATACAGTCATGATAAGATTAACACACTTAACATGATGTAAATGCCAATTGGATGTAAATGCCAATTGAATGTATAGGTTTGGTTGAAATGAATTGATCATAGATCTTGGTGTATGATCCTGGAGTGAAAGGCAGTGATCTCCCCAGCATTAAAGCAAGTGGGCGCAGCACCCACCTGAGATTCTGAAAACAGGCTTGCACCCACCTGAAAATCCATTTGCACCCACTTGGAAATGAGAAAAATCATTAAAAATTGGCATATTTTGACCAATTTTGGTCTTAATTGTGAAAATGAGAATTTTGCACCCACCTGAGAAAAAATCCTGGGGAGATCAATGAAAGGTATTTGTTGCAATAGTTCAGTTTCATCTACCCTAGATAATTCATCTAAATACAAGGATTTATATCTAACTTTTATTGACATCTTAGAATATATTGTTAAAAACCACAACACTTTATTTCTGCATACAAGTGGCTGACTTGCACTTTCAGTTCGCTTTCAAACTACATGTATTAACATAAAAGTCTGTCATTAGGCTGCGTAGTCAGAATCAGAATGTGGTTTGGCAAGGTGATTCGGAATCAGGGTAAGAAGACATACCATGGTAGTAGTTTAAATTGAACTTTAGTGCATTAGTAGATTTTGTTGTTTGAACCCAGAACCATCAGAATATATGTGTGTTAGTGTTTGGAAATACGTTATTACAGTCCAAACTGCATAAAAGAGGGCAGTACAGGCTAAATGATTCATATGCTAAAATCAGTGTCATCATTTCGAAAAGCCCATATAACACATGTGAAACTTGTGTACCAGTGATCTTCCCAGCATTCAAGGGAGTATGCTCTGCACCCATTTGATATTTTATTTAATAATAGGCTTGGTATGCACTGACCTGACAATCCATTTGCACTCACTTAGAAATGGAAAAATCGTGACAAATAGGCATATATAGACTAAAGGTCTGAATTGAGAAAAGGCGAATTTTACCACCAAATTGATATCAAATGATAATAATGACATTTATAACATGGGTCTATTGGAAGAGAGGTTTACATGTAACAAGTGTATTAATGTTACTATCAATTTGTATCTAAAGTGCAGATCCATATTTTCCAGTTTTCCTTCCTGTTTTAAAATTCTAGACATCTTAAATTGAGTTAACATGGCTTTATATTTTTACTGATCTTAAAGGTTATATGGTACTACATATTCCAACTGGATATAGGAAAGATTTTCTACTTTCCCTCTTGTGGGTCACAAAGGCCTAAAGTGAGACTTTGGGCTCGTTCAAAGAATTATTTCTCATTTCAAGAGTAGAGGCATTAAGTTAAATCTTTCTGAAGAGTACCTAAAACTGATACATACCTGAAAATGTCTGGGTGGATTCTAAACTAACCTGTACTTTATCCAATTGCATTCAAAATCTTGATTATAAAACACTTGGTTTAATTAGTTTGAACTTTACTTTTATCATGTGCATTCTTATGATATATTGGATATAGTTTTTTAACGTATTATAAGTAACTAATTAATTGGACCTTGATCATATTTAAAGTTTACTTGATTTTTTTGTTTTCAGTTTTTAGGATGCATTTCTATCCTAAGGATGTTTATTTTTCAGACCTGCCCCATGGTTGGGAGGAGGGTGTTTCTACAGATGGGGTTAAGTACTATATAGAGTAAGTACCAAATTTCATTTATTTCCCTGTACAAATGACAAAAGGTATTGCTTTTCTTACAGGTTATATGAGGTTATTTTCGGAAAACACATTGATGTGATAGGTTCTATTAAGGGACGTGATAGGTTTCATTCAGGGGCTTAGTGAGGGGCCCATAGGGGCTTGGTGAGTGAGGGGCTCATGCAGGGGATTAGTGGGGGATGGGGTGTTAAGCAGGGGCTTGGTGATTGGGTCTATGCAGGGGCTTAGTGAGGGAGATTATGATGGGGCTCATGCATAAGCATTGGTTAGTGGGGGGATTGCTACAAGACAAAAATGCCCTTTCTTTGTGAATTTTAATAATAATTTTAGTAATATGATACATGAGGAAAATAATACAATACATGCAGGTTAAGTTTCATTTCCTTAAATTAAATGTATCTGGTATTATATCTTGTTTTTCAAAACCTCATTAACAAGAAAATGTGATATGTTAATAAACATGTGTCTTTATCCATCTTATGTTACCCTAACATCCATTTTTGTGTCTGACTGTGGGTTGGAGGATGGAAGACTTGAAATGTGTAGATATACTAGAAGTCCTTCTTCTTTATTATTACTATGTAGTTGGTGTTGATTTTTGTGTATCTATATCTTAAAAATGGAAAACCTTAGACTCTAATTATTCTTGGGGTATGACAGGTTGAATTCCTATGTCAGATGCCCAGTCTGATTTCTAAATATGTAGAATGTGAATGATATGTTGGTATTTGAGGAAGAGCCTTGTTTTCCTTAGTATACATGTACAAGATAATTTCTTCAGATCCCCAAAAGAATAGAATAGAATCCATTCCCTGAGTTTGACTTTCTCTGATCAGTTCACTGCCTGTTAAGTTCAAATTATAATTTCAAATAAATTTGCCTGTTTTCATTTGATGGTTTTCAAAGATTATAAAGAAACCCACGCTGCTGTCAAACCTTATGAAAACTTCTTTCTGATTTTTTCAATGTTGCTGTTCATTTTGACTTGCACTAAAGCCATGACCTAACCTTGAGTCAGAATTGAATTTTCTTATATTGAGTTTTTTGTTGATCTTAAAAGGTAAGTGTTAAATGTATTGTCATGGTCCTTACAACATCATTAAAGTGGTCTATAGAATTTATAGGCATATCTTGTTTCATATAGGTATTTGTTGTGTCAAGTTCTAGCTGAATAAGTAATTTGTCAATAGACTCAAGACATTCATGTTTACTTTCGATATGGTTTGTTATGATTTCATAGACTTTACTTTACCTATAGCGTTGAATTTAACTGATCATAAAATCTAAAGTTGATCATTTTTGGCATCCTGACTTGTTTACGCATGGAGTAAATCAATGAAATCACAATAAAATGAAAAATAGTTGGCTGTTTAAAATATATGAATATAAGGTCATGCACATTAGAGATTGTAAAAACATTAGTGAATTTTTATTCAGTGTCAATTTGGCCTTTAACCGTGGACTAGATCACGCCATTAAATATATTACTCAGGTAGCCAAAAATTGAAATATATATATAGGATAAATACATGGTACAGGTTGTGATGATGATCACTGTGAAGACATGTTATGTGGAGTAATAAATTGACCAGAAATAAACATGTAATAGGAGATAAATATATCAATTAAAGGTAAGCTCCTCAGTCTAAATATTTAAGAATAATTTGTCTGCCATGGAAGTTTTATATACATTCAGTCTGTATTTGTATTATGTCTAGTTTGCCTGTTCTTCCACTGAATTTGAAAAGGAATAATGGGTGAATAAAGCTGTTTTCCAACAAATTTTTGGAATTCAGATGTATGAAATGCTTAGATTCAACAACATTGAAAAGGAAAATTCCCTGAGTACCATGCTTTTAGGGTTGTTTTCTGATCCTGTTATGTTCATCAACCACATTATCATTTGCACTTAAACTTGCATCTTCATTAACATCCCTTTCATCAAATGGATTACTAACACTACAAGATATAATGAGAACTTGATGATCTTTCTCAGTGAATAGTGACACCTCAGCTTGGGTAGGCATAGCAACCAGAAATCACCAAAAATTCAAATATATTTAATGAGATTGTCTTCTTTAAATTATAAATACATGATCAGGCCATCTGAATCATTGGTTAATGGTTATACATCCTTGTATTTTATAAAAAATTTGGGCCAGTTGTTTGTCTACCTGGCCAGGAACATGAATAGTGTTTCTGAAGTTGAGCAGTTGGCTTTATAGTGATCTGACTGACTTATCTGGATATGTTTAACTGAGCAGAAATTGCCACCCTTTTCATGCTTATTTTAACCATTTCTGTACATAACAAGTCCCCAGCCTTTGGGTTTTTATATTAATACAATTCTTAACTTCAAGTCTATCATCCTTTTCTTCCAAATTCCTTCAATGCATCTGTTTCATTCAGATAACACAAATTCAGGAGATGTTTTATTCTTGGGAGGCTATCTTTAGTGAGCTCCTCATTGGAAGAATGAGTTGGGGCAATAACATCAAATCAAGTCAGCCAGGTGATTACACAATTAAGCAGATTTCGATTTCGTAATACTTTAACCGCTTCAGTGGTTAAAGTCAGCTTGAATTAAGAGCTAGACAGAGTGAAAATAGGGTCACCTTTGGAAGTAAAGTTTAAGTTTTAACTGTCAGTTTTTTTATTGGATATTTCTGGCACTTATCAAGGTCACCATAGCTGTGTTACTGAGAGATTATTGCACTGAGAGGTTGCGGCCACTTGATGTTAACTGGAGGTACTTGGGGACACACTTGGATTAAACACAATTGTACTACTAGATTAACAACTAAAGACGTATAATATCTTGTGCTGATTTCTCTTTGAGATTGTGCATTCTGGTAGATATTCAGCCACTAACTTGTTTTGGAAGTTTTTCGTATTTGCTGCTCTTACGGAAGAGGTATTGTTATATAGTGTTTTGGATTGGTTTGGATTTACCTGTGCAGGCTCGTTAAAGGTGTGATTATGGATGCAGATGCTGAAGAAGCAGGTTTTGTTGTACCTGCTAAGACTAAGAACAGGTAAGATGCAAAATGAATCAATTTTAATGTACATGTTAGTACTGCTGTGATATAAAGTATGTGCCGTATACACATTGAGAGGTGTTCACATTTTATAAATAAATTGTCTAATAGGATAACCAAAATACCTTCTAAGACTGTTGACATGTAAACGCTGCTTGGACAGTCTTAGGTGTTCTCATTGAGAGGTGTTCTTATTTATAACCTTGCTGTCAATTATATATCCAACAATTGGACTTATAAAGATGTTCAGATTGGAAGGTGTTCACTTCAGAGGGTGTTCATATTTTGATTGCTGATTGTGCAGTGAATTCCACAACTGTGCACTTTTATATTTCATAAGATGTCGTATAGGCTCGTGTAAATATCTGTGAAGGTTTTTTACTTCAATGTTGTTCATAGCATTAAAGTAGATGTTTAGAATAGAGAAAATGGACAAGGATTATTTTTGCATGCTATATGTTGATCTCCCAATGTCAAATTTTCCTCACGAATATTTTGTTTCTCGTTGTGTCTTGATTTCAACCCTTATGATATGCATAGCCAAGTCATATTGTCAACCAGCTTATTATTAAACCAGTTCATAATATGACACACCACTGTGAAATGGTGGGGTTTATGGTTGTTTTATTGATAAGGCGATAAAACTGGATTACAAAAAAACATACTATCTACTTATATGCAGGTGGTTGCTAGTTGCAAACATTCAGCTTAATTATTACTTATCATTGTTTTACGCGTACCTGAACGTTTCTAATAAAACCAGACCAAAACTTGTCAAAATGGGGGCATGATCTTGACTGCAAGTATGTTTTTGCCCCTGAAAATGAGGCATTTGATATTAGACACATGAGGATATCTGATAATTTACAAAGGGAGGGAGAAACTGTAACATCCAACCAACCAACCAACCAACCAACAAACCAATCAACCAACCAACCAGTCAACCAACCAACCAACCAACCAATCAACCAACCAACCAACCAAGAAACATGTGTGAACCTCATATTTGAATAAAGACTCAACTTGACTCTGCCTTATCTCAAATTGATACAAAATCTCTAGTTTAATTAGAAAACTGAGCCAAATTCTCAACTCTTGCTTGTTGAAAGTTTTCTCTGGAATGAGTTACCTCCTGAGTAATGTTGAAAGGTTACATTTACAGAAGCAATGATACTTTATTTATGATATGTGGGAACGTGTTCCAGAATCTTGATATTGACAGAATGTGGTAAGCAACTTTCTTTGGGGTCAGGGTGTCCTAACTGATTCTTAGAAAACAAGAAACATCAGTAGAAAACTCAAAGGGTGGTGCCAGAAATTATGGATCACGTAGCAGGTATCTTCATTTGGTATTCGGAAGAATATTCAAAATGTGTTGATCTTAAAACATAAAAAAAACTACAAAATAATGTACTGTATAATATTGAAAAACTTGCATTTTGTACTAACAAAGAAAATAACTTATAAATAAATAAATTGTTTTACAGTAGTTCAATACAAACAGGAATTGTTTTTTTCCAATTATATAAATTATGTCATAGACTGTCAGAGCTAAAGATTTCACATAACTCGGAGTATAGAACCCCCACCTGTGTTCAATCTTAGATTTCCGAGGATTTCATACGATGCAAATTATACTGGAATGCAATTATACCCACATTCTTTATTCTGATATGCCTCAAATCTTCGATGTCAGGAAGAATATTCTCCCAAAGACCCAGATTTTTCATTCTGATAGGCCTGACATCTTTGATTTCTACAATTTGAAATCTCAAATATGCAGGAAGTATGAATTCTACCAATAAAGACGTCTTTAGCACCTGATGGGTTTCACAAGCAACTGAACAGAACAGAGTTGACATGGTTTATCATGATAGTATTCCTAGAAATCACAACACAGTTAACTTATTTGAGAAGATGCAGGGAAGATTCAGAGACCACATTTACCACAGTTATTCAACCATTCATTCCAATGTCCTTATAAGACAAGGATCTTTCTGTCTGGGATTCTTGCCCTTGCACTATTGACTCATCTTTACCCTTTGCAAAACTGATTGGTTTTTTCTCACATTCTTTACATAATTGTTAATCCTTTGATATTGTCAGGCTTATACTCAGAGATCGTTATTTGCCATTGCAAATTATCCATTTGTGTAAGTTTAATGACGTTTGATTCATCTTTACCTTTAGCATTGTCATTTGAGCTTTCTAGAAGGTTTATTATGAAAATATAAACTATGTCCAAGGCAGAGAATAGTGAATTTGTTAAAAATTGCAGGGTAAACTCATCTTGGTAATAAATATTGGTTATATGTCAGGATGGATTTGTTGAGTTTTTTTTTTATTTTGTCTAGAAGCACTGTTGATATTTTTGGCTTTGTTTTTTCAAGATTTTTTGAGGACCAACTCAACTTTCATGATTGTATGATAGAGGAGGATTTGAGCCATCTTTGATCCAAGTCTCATTAAATGTCAATGTTCATAATAAACATTAAATGCAATCCACAATTCAATATTGTTAGAGAAGATAAAAAATAATTTGGACTTAAATTAAAATGTTTTGGATGAGAAGTTAAATCAAATCAGTCCCTGCCAAGGCAGACCCCCTACATCGATATGGACATACAGTAAAACATGTTTAACACGAATGCTACTGGACCCAGCCAAAAATGTTCAGATTGTCAGGTGTTCAAATCTCAAGGCTTTTTATATGATAATCTGACAATGGGACCTGAAAGGTATTCATATTGAGAGGTGTTCATATAAGGGAGTTGTTCATTTATTCAGGTTTTACTGTAACATAAACTTAACTGAGCTATTTAGATGGGCAATGAAGCTAGTTAAAACCAGATTGTTGTGGCTTTTTGACCAGTTTATCTAAGGATATCATAACATTCACTCTGGCTTCTGAGGTTGTTGATTCTTGTAATCTATCTCAAGTAGCATGTTTACACTAATTGTTCATTGGGAATCTCTTCTGGTTGATTTGTGCCTGCTTCAACATCATCAGTGTGATCTATTTTACTCTTCTGTCTGTGCACGATGCTTTTAATATTAGACTTGTATCAAACCCTGATTGTTAGACAATCTTCATTTTAAAGAAATATGTATGTGTTTTGAAGTCCCTGTGATATGGTGTGCAGAATATTTAGGATAAGCAAACAAATAACTGTGAAGCTTTACATTCAGAAAAGTGCACTTATGTAATACTATGTGTCAGTATTATTGGTTTCAAGACTATACAGTAGGAACTGGGAACCCTAATAAACACAACAGGCTTCACCTGTTCCTTGTCTTGTATTGATAAGTCTATGACTGGTTTATGTTCCATGGTTGAGCGAGAAAGGATAAGACTTTGTGAAGATATATATTATTCTTTCTTGGATTAATTACCCAAATGCGAGTAGGTAGTTACCAGTTTCACCACCAGGTGGCTGATTCGGGTCAATTAACATGGCAGGTATATAAGAAAGTTCCCTTAAACTTGAATATTATCAATTTAAGTGGCTCAATTTTAATATAACCTTTATGTGTCTGATACTTATACTAATGAAAATATGTCCAGTAAAGCAAAATATTATCTGTCCACTAAAAGAAAAGATATTTCATGTTTTGTGATTTTATAGCATGGGGTCTATGGGGAATCTCCCCGAGCTAGAAGTCACATTTTCAAAGAAAATCAGTTTTTCAAAGTTGATAAACACTTTTTAAAACCACATTTCTAGAAGTAATTTTACATGTAGATTTCAAATATGATATTACTTTGACTGAATTTTGAATTTTTAATGACGTAAATCAAGATTATTTCTACTCGCATCTGGGTTATTAAGGGAGCACAGCGAAACCAGTATATTCAAACATCTCTTTAATCTGAAACACATCTCAATGTGAACACTTTTTCATTCGTTATCTCCCATTGACTTACATGTTTATAAAACCTTGAAAACTGAACACTGCTATATTTCAGACACTTTTGGCCAGTCCAAGAGGTGTTCGAATTGAGCAGGTTTCATAGTATATCGATATATTGATTTCAAGAAAGAAAGGTAATTAATGAGCTGGATGAAAGATCACCTGCATGAGCATGTTAAAATTTAAATTCAACAAAACATGGGGTTGCAGAATCAAGTTTTCTTCATAAATGTTTTGTTGGAGGGAAGCGGTCAAACATGATGTTACAAAACATGAGGTCACGTCAGGTGAGAAAGGATTAATGGAACAATTAGCTTGACAGGATGCCATTTGAGTTGTCATAATATTCCAGGGTGCTACAAAATACATGTATCCTGTATTGACCTCTTCCTTAAAATATCTACAGGGTGATTTTGAATATATGTGGATGATTTCTGCTACAGGGTGTTATTTAACATCATTTAGAATCTGTTCGATTTACAATCTTATCTAGTTTGCTCAAAATAAATACATGTTATTAATACTTACTTCTTCTGCAATAGGCCCAAATAAGATTAATGCTTAGAAGTTGTCATAGTTTGAATTTACACAGTGATCCATAATTTTCAAATTGATTTATCATACCATTTATTAGCTATAATTCTGAAACTTAAAGATCTTATGATTTGAAAAGGAAAGTGAAGCCATGTTTTATTATAATGTACTTTTTGCGGTTTGTAAAGGTGAGCATTTCCTGCAATGACCATTCATAATTTTAATCTTTGTTTCTACATTTATGTAACTATTGAAAGCACTTGTGAAGTTACATGTAATGTTGTATTAAGCCCAATGTTCTCATGTTTTCACACTGAACCCATGTAAAGACTAGAAATCTGTAGAATCAACACCATTGAATAGCAGACAATCAGACTGAAAAACAAATCTTGGTTTCTCACTGGAATAAATTCATTTAGCCTTGAGGATTTCAAATGAGGACTTGTGATAAATCTTAGGATATAATCACAATTATTAACCTATCTAAACCTATATTCCGAGCCTACTGATGAGAAAATACCCTTTGATAAATGATCTGAACTCTGTAACAAGCAATAATTTTTTTAACCATGTTCTGGATTTCCTTGTGTTTCTTTGTATATGAATGCTAAACTGTTAAGTATGTTTTGATAATAACATTGAATTAGTTAAGTGCCACAAAGGTTATTTCGCATGACATAAAATAAGGGAAATGGAATTGATACCTATTGATTTCAAGGTACCACACATAAAAACTGAAATGAAACAATTTGAAGTACTTCTATTTTCCTAATGTTTACGGAATGAGCTAAATTACGAAACTGTCCACTCAAGTCCTGTGTGTTTATTCTTTAAAAGAAAGAACAATATTTTCTGTGTTTAAAATACCACCCATGTGTGACACGTATTCCTTTATACATGTGTACCTTCCTTAATTTAATGTTTAGGCTGATTTGGGCATTACTCTTTTTATTTAAGCATAGTAGGTCATTGATATTTATTTTCCTCCTTGGTAATGAACTGTTGTATTTTTTACCATTGTGACATTTTGTCTTAAGGTATCCTTACCTGTCGGACATTATTGTAAGAGTTTACTGTAAGAGTCAATCTTATTGTTATAATATTTTCTGCTATTGTGCTGTATATTGACACACTGGATTGCCATTGGATTATAACGGCTATTGGGACGCTGCCCTGTAGTGATAAAGTTGCGCTCAAGATTTTTTGCACATCAATGTAGACTTCCTGGAGAGTGGAAAGATTTCAGATTTCATACTACAGCGGATTTTGATGGATTTAGGACCATGTCTTCTTCAGACATATTATTGGTGATATTGTCATGGAGATACTCGGTTTCCTGCACTGATACAGCAATGTCAATTTCACAGTTTTGATTTCAGTCCATTTTTGTTCTGTATACTGCAGAGGAAATTAAGTTTGTAAGAAGAGTGGTTAATAGAGACTGTATTTGTCACGCAACTGAATTTCAAAAATCGGATATAATGTCACTGAACCAGAAACAAGCTGCTTAGCATTGTCACTTACAGCGCAGAAACGCCATTGGATTACAAAATGGATATAAGTGACTGGCTATGAATTCAAATTGTGGATAACAGATTTTAATTTGATGTCAGTTTCAATTGATCATAACCCTTGGAAATGTGTTACCTGGAACTGTTATATAGCTGAGAGTAATTCTCAAGTGAGGAGCAGTATATCTGGAATAACATTATAACGGAATACATAAAATATGGAAAGTCATAGGGAGTACAGGGTGGGCTACAGGGACTATAGACCACCAGTAAGCAGAACAACCAAGCCAAGAAGACAGGTTTCCTTTGATCTAAAGTTAGTACATGTACTCATTCACCTTTCTGAGTTCAAATGAAATATATGACTTGGTTGTTAAACATCAAGCTCTGTAACCCCCCTCCAATTTTATTTCTGATGTAGCATGTGTTAGAGAGAATGGGAGTGGGAGGGTGTAAAGGCTTGACTTAAGGAAGGCCAAGTATGTTGAGTTATTTGTTAAATTTACTTGTAGGCTTGCATTCTACCATAAGATATAGACAGGTCCCAAAGATAAAATTATTGTGAATTGAATTGAATTGGTCAATCAGTAGTCAAGTTGAATTGGTCAATCAGTAGTCAAGTTGAATTGGTCGATCAGTAGTCAAGTTGAATTGGTTGATCAGTAGTCAAGTTGAATTGGTCGATCAGTAGTCAATTTGAATTGGTCGATCAGTAGTCAAGTTGAATTGGTCGATCAGTAGTCAAGTTGAATTGGTCGATCAGTAGTCAAGTTGAATTGGTCTATCAGTTGTCAAGTTGAATTGGTCGATCAGTAGTCAAGTTGAATTGGTCGATCAGTAGTCAAGTTGAATTGGTCGATCAGTAGTCAAGTTGAATTGGTCAATCAGTAGTAAAATTTTGCTTGTTTATAAGGTATTTTGGGTTTCGAAATGTTTCAATAAGAACTAGAGAGTGTTTGATTGTTATGGATTCTTGGGAAGTAAGGTAACTTTTTATCAAGATTTAGTTCTTTATTTTCAAATAATTATCCAAACAAGAAGGCAATGACCATGTCACCCTGATATACCAAAAGGACTTATTAAAAACATTTTGAACCCTAAACTGTCAGAATTAATAGCATTTCAGCTTTACTAGAGAGATCAATGTTAAAATACATGAAAATAGCTTGCCTATCTTGTGTTATCATGTTAACTATGGCTTGGTTATCTTCGTTCACGCTGCTATATCTACATGGCTAGCATTTCTTTCACCTTTATCAGAATTAGCAATTAGGACGCATCTTGCAAATAAATATAACCACCAGTTTGAATTTGTGCATTTTAAGTGACATTCATTTCTGAAAATGAGATATTTAATAGAATTTGACTTATGTTTTAGCAAAATGGCTATTGTTCTTGCATATTGTTTTTTTAGTTTATATCTGGCTTGAGAATATATTGCCATGATGAAACTTATAAAAATAATTTAAGGCAGAAGGGATAAGATTATGCAAGATATCAATGCTATTTACTCGGTTTACATTCTATTTGTGCTCAGGTGTATCTTTGCAAAACAGTTCCCATGGTTACCAATACATTTTTATCGATTTACCAGATCACTGACCCATACCCATTAAAGGAACTTATCTTGTCTGTTAAGTGAGCTCATTAATACAAGTTAACCTTACAAATATACCTGGCCTCACCTGGGAGATGCATCTCTTATATTTCAGTATTTCAATGTTTTACAAAGAAATGAATTAGAAAATGTTTTATTTTTCCAAAAATATTATGTATAGTCTTGTGCAGTCATAGATGTTTTGCCATCTAGCATGGAAATAACACAAAACAATTGAATGAAAGAGCTGTTTCAAAGGGATGGCTCTATGAGTCATGTTCATATTTTTGATATTGATAATTGTCCCGGGGGGGGAGAGAAATCATAGATGTATTTTGTAGCTCTATCAATTCAAAGAATCTAATTTCTAGCTTTCTCATTATGATCCTGTATCCTTAATATACAACACTCATTCTCTATTTGAAATTGCCATCATATACAGTGAACTCTGTTAATGGAACACTTTCAGAGTCTGTAGACCAATTGACTTAATGTTAAGTGAACTCTCTAGGTGAAACGCCACCCAAGTTGAATACCGTATAGAGGTACCAAAGGTGTTCTACTTACAACATAATTTACTGTACCTTGATTTTAGCATGTACAACTATATTATTAACATCATGTAGAGATACTTACTTTAATGCCTAAAACAACAAGTTTTTTATCTTGAGAGTCTCCTAAATCACAAATGATGACTGTCATAATCATCAATTTGACATTGTAAAGTAGTCGGAAATTACCCAGGTAATAAAAGAGTCAAAGGTAAGGTTATATAAAAAGTAACACACAATAGGAGTTCATCTCATATATATGCAGGACTTGCTCTCTTTGTCTCCCCTTATTTTATCCTACCTGAAAAAGGTACAATATTTTCACAGATTTATTATCATTATATCAACTTGGACTTGTTTTCAATTTCAGTTCTTCCTATGAGTATAATAGTTGTCAAAACTGCATATAGGTTTTTAAAACAAATTAATTTTCTTGAAAACATTAAATTATCATAACAAGGGTGTTTCTACGTTTTAGTTGCCCACATACAAATCCAACCTGTTTACATTTAGATGGTTTCTCAGTATTTACTACCCAGGTGGCTTCAAAGTTACCTGGGTCGTTAATGGAATCTAATGGTTTCAATTAATCTATGATTAGGAAACATAACACTTCTGCATCTGGGTTCTTGTAGTTCTGATATTGAAACTCAAGAGTTGTATATTTTATAGGATTTGAATCTATACAAGGGCCGATCAAAAGGTTTCTTACCGTTGGCTCTAGATTTTATAATAAGAGAATTTGGAGGCTCAAACTTTAACATGAGACAGGGTAGTAAGTTTGCGTAAACAATTTGAGTTCCATATAAATGGGTCCATTGGTAGTGACAGAGAGTTAGCAGAGTTTTGCAATATGCAATAGAATTGTTTGAAAGGTTTGGTTTTATTGCTGCTCAGTAAAAGGTTTTGCAAATACTGCATTGTTGGGAAATTGGCATTCTGATTTATATATCAGAACCCAGAGGTAGTTAAAACTGAAGAATCATATTGGTAAATCGGTGTTTAAGTAACCATCTGGATTGTTCCACAGTCTACACTGTTATCTAACTGAAATCCTTATTATCAGAACTCCTCTTAGTCATAAGTTTGATTTTTAATCCTGTGAAAACTTCAAACCTTGGAATTTTAAAATACCAGAAATCTGGAATCAATCTTCCTGGGAATTGATATGAGAAGAATAACAAGATTTTTTCTAGAGAAAATATATCAACTTGCATATATTGTTGGAGCACCTTGTTTATGCTGAGGCATGTGTGTTCCACTTATCTCAAGTAACATAGTGATTGATACCTTGGTCATGAAATGGAAAATAAAAAACTCAGTAGCCATGGATATTGTCACTAAGAATAGTTCACCTCTTGAGGTATAGCATTAAATGAGCCTGGCCATAGGAAAACCGGCCGGTCTTATCACAAAAATTAAAATTGTTCTACAGAGCCAAATTGTGCCCAAGATTAAGAGGGAAATATGCTAAATTCAAATCCGACATTTTAGTCTATATATGCAAGGAAAAATTGTTAAAACATAAGTCATGGCTCATTTGAAAGGTCTCTGTGCTTTTTAAGATAAACAAAAAATCAGAATATTGAAAAAATCTGTGATAAGACCCCTTTTCCTGTGGCCTGGCTCAAATATCTTAAGAGATTTATTTTGAGGAAAATTGATAGAACATGGCCTCTGAATAAATGAATTAAATACAAACCTAAACTTGCCCATCCTAATAAGTTTGTCATTTTTATATCTATGATGCATTTTTCAAACAAACAAACGAACAACTGACCACACTGTTTCTTTACTTGCAGCCATAACGCACAGACAACAAGCTTTGTCCATCCAATCACAGGAGAGAGAACAGCAGCCGAGGCCCCCGAAAAATCTCCACTTCCAGAAAAATCGCCAAACTCTACTCCAAAGTAAGTACAATTTGAAGATGGTTGAATGATGTAGTTTAATATTAGATATACTGTATACTGTATCATTTTTTTTATAAAATAATAGTATATTGTTCACATTTCCCCAGAATTACCCCCCCCCCCCCCCCCCTTTCATAATTAGTTGATTACACACCAAGACTCAAATTTCTATGTTTGATAAACTTGAAATATTAGAATTGACCATGCTTCTAATGAATTGCATTTTAAACCTATTCTGTGTTATTTTATCAAGAACAAACAAAGAATTTATTTCTCAGTATAGTTGAATTATTGCTGGGAAAGTCTCAAGTGTTATTGCGTTACACTTTACTATAGATCACTTGAATCTGGTATAAAAAGAAGTAATTTATCATTGCATTATGTTATCTTGCCTTCAATATGAATTTTTACATAATGATAAAACTGCTACACAGACAGCTAGCCTTAGATTTCCACTGACCTTCCTAATCCTAATATAATATGAACACAGCTTTTAACCTTGGGAACCAAATAGAAAAAAACATAGAAGATGATTCAATTGATGTCTTGTTTTTGATAACTTTAATTATAAACATTTGCATATATAGTTTTTACATTGTACATGAACGTTCAAGCTGTAAATAAGATTTTAACAGACTTTAGAATTTGTTGGCTGTGTTAGGCTTTTTAGGTTTTATTGCCACAAAAAATGACAACAAAATAGTTGACAGCTGACACAGAGCTCATCTTACATGTTTAGAGTTGTTTTATGACATATACATGTACATTAACATATCTGACATGCAATTTAGCTTCTTATATTGTCACAAAATGCATCTTTTCATGTCAAACAAGATTAAAGGTATATCTATATTATACACTCCATTAAACTATACTCTGAGTTCACAGGTACACATTAGTGTTGTCGCGATTAATCGATACATCGTGATATACATCGCCAAAGCTGATTCTTGCGATGCATCGATGTCTGAAACAAAACATCGATGTTTTTTAAAAAATGTAATTTGCTAAAAATCACCCTTTCTCATCTTATTTTGACGCAAATCGCTTACCTTTCTTATTTCTTATTTCATTTTCCTTGATGTTTTCTGATATTCTTTCCCTTTACAACTGTTTTAGCTAGACGAAATGAACCATTAATCTAAAAAACTCTACTTTACTTTCATTTCACGTTACTAGAAGTTCCCGGATGTACCAGCGTACTCTTTTTAATTTGTTCTGTTTGGTATTTTAGTGCATTAGTGTTCGGTATTTCAGTGCACTTTTCTCAGACTTTTTCTCGATGTACATCGCGATGTGCATCGATGTTTACTACTGAAAATTGCCGATGCATCGATGTACGATTATGGCACATCGCGACAACACTAGTACACATACAGGTACCCTGAATCTACCCAAGCTAGCCATACTCGCCTCTGACGACTCTCGTATTACATACTTTGTTACAATTTGATGCTGATAAGATCTTAACGCCCTCAAATGTATCTCTCATGCAAAATTCATGTAAGCTACTTCGATGAAGACAATATAATGTTGTGATTTTTAACTGAATTGTCTGACTTAATGTAGGGCTATAACTAAGTGTTTTGTATCTAAAGATGACAGCCAGTTAACCTCTCTTCAAAGGGTAGTACCCTGGTAGATATATAAATGGTTTGAATGATTCAATAGTTTGAATGTTTAGATCCATTTGCCATATTTTACTGAACTTAGTTTACTTCTGATGGACCAATCAGATTATTGAATCAAGGAAACAAACGGTCAGAAAATTGAAACATTGCGTGCAACTCAAAAATCATTTTCTTTGATCAAAGGATATAATGTTCCTCGATCCTTCATTCTAGCATGGACTTGACAATAAACCCTGGACAAACAACTTCAATGAACCAAGAAATTTAATTTTAAGCATTTTGAACAAAATGCATATATAATTAAAGCATCTGTCAGATAAAGCACACCTAAAGTATTCAATTAAGTACTGTAGATAAACTAGTTGATATACTTACATTTTGTCATGCATTAGATACATGTACTTTAAATGGTACTTATCTTTTGGGTTAAATCTTTTTCTTAAGTCAACATACCAGAAGTGAGAGGCAACACATGGTTTAGAGTTCAATTGTTCTATTTTAAAGAATTTATTGCTAAATTAATTTGTACTAATCTTGGGATTAAAATCTCTGCCTATAAATAATGTAAAGGTTATTTCATATTAAATCTCCCATATAAGTCAATGAAAAGTTCATTTGAGCTCATTAGGATTCAATCAGCATCACAATTACAAATTTCTTCAAGTCAGAGGGAGGGGAAGCTCAAGATTCAGGGTACATATATTACAGGAGTTATGCACTTGACTGGTATATTTTCACAGTATGATGCAGAGCCATACAAAATGTAATAATACAAGGGGTGATCGATAAATTTCGCAAATGATCTTCTATCTGGTCTTTGAATTGGGAAGTCTATGGTACTGTGTACTGTTTATGTATGATTTCTTATACAGTCCAAAGAAATGCGACAAATTGAAATGAATTCATATTCATTTTTTACATTTACATGGAGTAATTTCTTAATTGGTGATGTTTGTTTAGGCTGTGTGAAATGTGGCAATGAATTACCATTTTATTTGTGTTATATTTTGAATAATAAAAAAAAGATCAAATATTTTCTACCCTGGAGTGACTCTTACAAAAATATTTGAGCTGAAGACAGCATCAAAACCCCTTATAAGTAGTATATTTAACATGAAAATCAATAAATCGTGTATTTTCATATATACCTATATATTAGGTAGACATATTCACATATAAAAACTTTGAAAACAATTTCTTAGATGGCTTCTTTGATAATATATCATCCTTTGAAGGGACGCTTTACGACATGTCTTGAAACATTTGATCAAAACTTCAAAAATAGAATTTACAGCGTCAATGAAAGTAAGCGTAGGTGTAAGTGCACCAAAGTTAACAATTAATAAATATTCATCATAATTTTAAAATTCAAGTTGCATATTATTTGAACTTTGGCATGTGTAAGTCAACACTGGATTTGGTTTATTACAGGAGCAATAAGGAGAAAGGTAGCACACCTAGAAGAGGGAGCACCAAGAGAAAAAGCAAGTAAGTTAAAAAAAAAATTATAATTCAATTATTGGTAGAGCAAGAGTTCTTCATCCTATGGTAGAGTAAATGATATTTATATACACAAGTAATACTGTCTTTTTCCTGATAACCAGGGGTGATTTTTTAAGCATTGTTAATTTAGGAATTCATAAGTTTATTGTTCTTTAACGAAGACATCTAGATCTCCATGATAACAACAATGCATTCATTCATTGTTGTTACAAAGAGGATTATGACATCATAGTGAAGGAATGATGGACTTACAAATTCATGAATTTAAGAATACTTCCAGAAATTTACCCCCCCCCCCTCTGAACAAATCATCAGGTAGATGCTATTTGATCTTGTGTATATTAGATTCATTTTTAGATGTTATTTTGATGTTGTAATTCAGTATCTCTGTTGTTGTAGTTTAGTATTTTGTTATTAGATAGAAACTAAATATTGATATCAGTTAAAAAGTGAATTTAAAATTACATGTAGATACAAGTTCATGTATTTAAGTGTCAACTTCAGATTTGTGCCTCAAATATATTTTTCCATTCATAATACTGTATGTTATATCGAGTCTTCAAATTGGATTAGTTTATCGAAAACTGCTTGTGGTTTTGATAAAGACACAAAATTGATGTAAGAAAAAGTGTTATACCCTTGAAATGATAAGATAAACAATTAATATTACCAAATGTTGCCTCAAGAAATTGATAGACCGTTGGAATTTGTAGAAACTATATAGTAAAGAGAGTATGTATTCAAGTACAGGTATATTTATAGGATATATGATCTACAAATGCTCATAAGTCAACCGCTTTAGAGTACAGCCCAAATAGTACACACTTATCCAGAGAACTTCAAGTTGGCGTCTTTTAAGTCAATAAAACTGTATCATAATCGACTATGAAATGTGGAATAATTTAGAATAAAGAAATGTTGTTGAATTTTTAGACGGGAAGTAATATATTATATTGAAATGTGGAATATTTTGAAATGATGGGTCCAGTGGTGAATTAGTATGTTGGAATATTAATGAATGTTTTGAGGGAAGGCACTATTTATTTGATTTATGTATCTGTTTAATAGGCTCAGACATGACCCTATCATCCTTATCAGAAAGTATTATTGTAATTCAACATCTCATGTATAGTAGTATACTGGTCACTATTTGACCAGTATGATCATGAAATTCGTGTGTTGATCTTTTTTAAATTGCTAGACATGTTTCACTATAGTTGGTACCCTTGCCAGTTGTTTAATTTTGCTTCTTAAAAGAGAGCTTCATCCTTAAAACTAGGCTCTGACACTTGGGGTAAATGGTTGTTAAAGTGATGGTATTACTTGTTCCATTGATAAAAGGCACAGACAGAGGTTCATTTCTGATGAATTTACGAGTATGTTTGAGCGGACAACAGAACTAAAAACAATTGTATCTGCCCAAGTATGTACATATGTATATGCTCTGCAATTATGTACATTAATTAATGTACTTAACTTTTAAGAATGCCCACATATCATACAATAAATGTACTTTAAAAGAAAACATGGAAATTTTATCAATGGTAAATGGATGCACCAGACCTTGGCAAAACATTGATGCATCTTGATTGCATCTTTGCACGAGGTCATGTGACCTAATTTGACCAATCAGCTTCTGATAAAGTTAAAAACATGAGCATACTTGATGGGGTTAAGATCCTCCTTTTCAAAATATTCTGCCAAGGGTCACTCAAATTCATTTTGGCTAAAAACATGTCTGAGATTTCAGATTTTAGAGATTAAATTTTACAAAGCAACCTTTTGATTATTGAAATATTCACTAGAATTGGAGTTCGCTTGACAGTTGGGATTGTTATTCAATTGTAAATCAGATTTTTGAATCCTTGAAAAGTTTGGATAGAGTTCAATAAATTTTGGCAACATTAATATCATGATTATAGTGATTTAGTTTGAAACAAGCAATACATGTTAAGTAAGTTTGAAAACAGGGATTATGTTTAAGTATAAGATTAGGCTTTATTTGCTGACATGAAGATAGGAACATTGAAAGAATTCTCGCTTAATTTGAATTTCGGTTAGGTTTTGAGCATCATTTCTCAATTTCAGTCCAGAACCTGGAAAACCTAAAGAACCGTAAGTATAAAGATAGAATATTACTGTTTTTTAAATGCTTATTACAAATGTATATCCCTGGTGTTGGGGGGAATACTACACTTGCAGCTTTTATCAAATCAGCTTCATTAAAGAGATCTTTCGATACAAGTTTGAAAAATGAAAAAAGTCAGATTAAAAAAATTTTGTATAAGTTAAAAGAATGTTTTCATTTGTTGCTTAGTCTCTATAGCCACATATTCATAGCCGATGTTACAAAATATAAGTACATGTATGAATTTTTATATACAAAGAACTTGAATCAAGAACTTGTATTGAAATTTCTCAATTATTATTAGATATTGCACAACCTTCCCCCTTGTGGTGGGTTGTCAGACAATCATAGATCACAGAGAGTGCCTGGAGATAATCTGATAGAAACAATGTGCTTTTTAATTCTACAACAATCTGTGTTTTGATATACATGTACAATGAATGGAATTGGGATTTTGAAAAACAGATCACCCAAAATATTTAAACTTTTGAGTACATACTTGTGTTATGTATGATATATGTCAACTGCCAGTATGTTATACTGTGGATGAGTTATCTGTGTTTTTATGTCCTCATTCTCATCATTTGATATTTAAAGTGAAGCAGTGGTATTAAGATAATAATGATATCATATTTTCCCTTGTAAATAATTGTTTTAACTCACAATGTGCTTCATTCTGATTTTAAGATTCATAATACTCTAATATTTTTTGAACTCATAATAATTGTTTTAATGTTATTAGATGTATATAATATAATAAAAATAATCGTTTGACGTTTCTGTAATCTCTAATCATTTTTATGTTTTGAAACTCATATTAATAAACCTATAATAGTGCTATCATGTTTTGGGAACATTTTTCAACCTGAAATACATAATATGTCTTAAATTTTTTTATATGCGTAATTAAAGAGAAGTTTATTTCCTAAAAACTAAACAAATTATACAGGCTTTATTCCTCAACAAAGATATTTTTGTGGTCATGACTTTAAAGGATGTTCAGTTTTATTAGCTTGTCTGCTTTATCTCCCTATCATTTGATCACAAGGATGACACTAGCGTTTATATATTAAATGTATATTATATTATTACTGTAGTGGTGTATATAAGCTAAACCTTGCTTTCTCACCCTGAATCCAAATCAGCTTGCTACACTGCCCTCTGATTGCTACAGGTGATTTAACAGCTTTATCGCTTATCAGATCTTAATGATCACAAATGAATTATTCACAGCCTTTTATGAGAAATTAAATGTAAAATGAATTTTATGTTATGGAAGAGGCTGGATAAAAGAATCATCCTAAAAATAAAATTGCCATGTATATGCTATGGTATATACTAAGTCAAGCTTTTGCAAAGGAAATGCTTTTCTAGTATGCATTCAACCCATATGTTTCATCTATTTCATCATTGGATATGCAGGTAATATATGTTTCTCATGTAGTTTATACAGGAAATGTACAAATTACAATTTTGCATACTTGTATTAAAAAGTTAAGGTAAGATGTGATAGCAAATTATTTGATGTTCCAATATTTAGTCAAGGGAGATTGGGAGGGGGGGGGGTGTATATCTGAAACTGAAACATGATAAGATACATTTATAGTTCAGTCATGATCATTCCAAAAATAGTATCAATTGCTTTATCGGATCTCGAACTGGACTGATATTTTATGAGATGAACTAAAATTGGCAAAACCATCAAAATCAGGTCACGGCTATTACACAACTGCATGTATTTTGGCTGTATATACTTCAATGTGAAATATTGATTCAGATTCATGATTAAGTACATTTTAACCGATATTGCCTTTCATCCACATAATCACGGAATAGGTGCTTTGACCTAAGTAGTTAAATTAAACCTATGTTTTAACCAGAAGGGGTGATCACAATGAATTAACCACGGATGTTTGTGTGTATTTTGCATGTCAAATTCACAGTGTTAAATATACATTACAGTGTGGTTTGGGTACGCTTTAATGACATCACCACAAGCATTTCCCTTAAATAATATGACATACTGGGACATTCTTTAGACATGAACTAGGCTTATACATGCTATAAAGGTATATGAGCTGAATCAATGGGAATGTGGTACATTACTCTAAAATTGAATAAAATTGCAAGAAATAGGGAGAAATGAATAGATGTAAATAGGGAGAAAATAGGATTTGTATGGTTGACTCATCATGCCCAGGTTTAAAACATAGACTTGCAATGAATCAGATCCTTAATAGGGTAAATATATGTACATGTATTTAAATTTTATACAGTTTAATTAATTAACATAGAAAATTACTGTTTACTGTTTGCTCGTTATGTGCAGACATAACTTGGCATACCAGTCATACCAACAACATGGCCGATGAAAAGTAAAACAAAACAACGTTTTAAAACAGGAATCAATAAAAATAAATAAAATGTCCTTTTTTCCATCAATTTTTCATAGGAATTAAAACAAAATTTCAGAAATTGTAAAAAGTGCACAAAGTCAAAATCTACATCATTTTTCATAGGAATTACAGATGCAAGATGCAATATTCTGTGGATTCAAGTGTTGTAATGGTTGACTGTGTTTTCAGAGTGTTAGATAGAACTCCAAGTGCTAAAAGGAACATCCACGCGCCTGTCTCGTGTAAGGGTTGGCTTTATAAGCAGGTGAGTGCCATTTGTTGTTATTGTCAACTATTACACTGATAAAAGGATAATATCACAGAAAGAGAGCAGCATTCCAATATTTTGTAGTATTATATTCATTTATGGGTGAAAACCAGATGAAGAGAACTTTCCCACATTGTAAAAGATTGATGCTGTCTAATAATATTACATAGCCACACATGGGCGTAGGGCTATATTTTGAATTGGTACGCACATTCGGGGATGCCTGATTGTGTGGCCGAAGGCTGCGCATCGCAGGGTCCGGGGGTATGCTCCCCACATAATTTTTTTTCAAGGACGTTATTTGATGAAATCTTAGCGTTTTTATCAACTTTAAATGTTGACAATGGTAAACATACAGATACGGTAGGAAGCATCAATAAGTTTGCAAATAAATTAATGCATTTTAACACATTTTTAATTTTTTCAAATTCATTTGGTTCACCTGTGCGTATTTTGCATAATAGGCGCTACGCCCATGCCACAATTTTCAATACTGTAGACTGCAGGAAAATGTAATGAATAAAAGAATTACTGAGTCAATGTTTCTATTTCATGTTTATCAGTTCTTCACTTTACGTTTCCATACTGTGCATTCTTAATGATACATTCTATCATGTTGGGATTTTAAGTAATTTGTGTAATGAAAATAAAAATTATTCAACGATGAATAGAAATTGAGAAAAAAAACACAAAACACTGTAAAAATAAACAGCCAATAGATAATGAATGTACACTACTGTTCTAGGAGGGTGGTTTAAAACTGAAACAGTGGCATAAAAGATGGTGTGTTCTCAGTGATTTCTGCATCTTCATCTATAAAGACGACTCAGAGAGGATCACTAAGGGTGCCATTCTGTTGCCTAGTTACCGCATCAACCCTTGTACCATCAATGATGCCGTCAACAAAGACTTTGCCTTCAAGGTACAGTAATTATTTGTTCACACAAACAAACAAATTACACATGCATGTATCACTGGTAGAATGTGGCACACTCTCAAAACATCTTTTGTGGCCGAATTTCTTTTAAAAATTCAGATTTATTAAAAGATGGGTCCAAATTTCTTGAATGGGGAAAAATGGGATCAGCGTGAAAAATATTTCCCCTCCCTCTGTTTTACTCTAGATTTGCCCCTTTAGACTAGACAAGGTATGAAAGTGTAATTCAATCCAATAAGTACAGTACATGTATAGGAAATTTGACCACTTGTATTTTAAATTACATTATTTGTTATGTACCATAGCAGTTCATGATTAATTTGCCGATTACATAACAAACCTAGTTACCTTCTGCACTGGTGATATCATGTTCCAAATAGAGTTTGAGGCTATGCTTTTATAAAATTTCACTTTTAACATTCAGAGTGATTTTCATCACATGTATTTTAAGTGTATGTTTCAAATTTTGTATTTAAAATGTAGGGAAATGTATTTAATTTCAAATGTTGTATTTCAGGCAGAGCACCAGAATATGAAGACATACATGTTTGCAGCAGAAAGTAAATCAGATATGTCACGTTGGATGAATGCAATGAGTCTTGCAACTATACTACAAAAAGATCCAAGGTATTGTAGGTTTAACAATAATTCAGATGATAAGATAAACACAATAAAAACCCTTTGAAAGTCATTATATTTTGCAAAGCTGCTTTTAGAAAATGGGTCTCTGAAATAGTGAAGACTGTTGCGATAATATATTCTGTATTTTATAATCAAAAACAAATCATGATTTTTCAAGGGTATATCAACACTGTAAATGTAATGCTAAATGATTGTGATAATAAATAAATAAAAAATAATAATAAAAAAAATTCCACTCATCACAAGAAAATTGAAAAGTTATTTGAATTATGCGATAGAAAGATACCGATAGAATTTATATACTAATGGTCTTCTCTATTCTGAGAGTTGTATTATATTTATTCAATTTTGATCAGAAGGCACGCATCAGGGTTAATTAGCTTGAGACAGCGGGCAATTTCTCAGGTTGTCTTACCAAAATCACTTGTAATTTTGGCATGTTTTTGGAACAGTTACTGAGTTTAAAATATAATTTCCAATGATTCTGCTTGTTAATTTCATACATTTCACCTTGAGAGATGATCTTTGTATTAAATACTCCGAATTATTATTAGTTGGTTGTTCTTATTATAGGACTGAAATGGAGCTTAACCCTAAACTTTACAAAAATAACCAAGACACTGAAAGAGACGAGGACTCTGGGTTTACACCCAATCAGAGTTACCAGAGCAGCAACCAGCCTCCTTCTGGCAACACGAGCTATACATCTAACCCACCATTGAATGGGTCACTCGACAGAACTTGGAATAGTCCAAGTGACCAGCGCTCAAATGGACGTGTACCAAATAAAGACTCTCCAATTGGGAGGAGAGAATATAAGCCTAGTGAAAATGGCACAAGCAATTTATCAAATAGCAATCTAAGCCAGGGTTATGATAGGCCAGATGGCCGTCAACCCGGAATTCAGCCCCAGGAGAACGAATGGGGCAGTTATAGTCGGAAACTTGACAAACAAGAGCCGTATAATCGTCAGGAGCCCTATGTCAAGCACGAACCATATAATAGGCAGGAGCCTTATAATAAACAGGACCCATACAAACAAGAGCCTTATAAAAAACAAGAACCTTATGGTAAACAAGAACCCTATACAAAGCAAGAGCCATATGCAAAGCAAGAGCCATATGCAAAACAAGAGCCATATGCAAAGCAAGAGCCTTATGGTAGATCAAAAAGTATGGATAGGAACTTGAATAGGAATTATAACCCAGATGTGCGACATAGTGCTGAATATCCAAAGTATTTTCCCAAGAATGGCACCCGATCCCCTAAATCTCCAGACAGACCTAGGAGTATGGATAGAATTGAAAAATCTCCAACAGATCCAAGATATAAGAATAAATCACCTGTTGATCCTCGCTACAGAAAAGAGGAGGAAATTCCTATAGATCAAAGGTATCAAAGAGAACAGGAAATTTCTAAACTAAAGCAAGAATCTTGGTCCATGAATAGAAAGGATACCCCACAATGGCAGCAGGATAGTGAGCGCAATAAAATAAACAATAGTTATGATGGGCGAAATCGTAGCTTGACCCGTGATTCAATGTCTTCCCAGAATTCCCATGGTTCAAGTTCAAATCCACCAGTACCCATGGAGAAACGTGATTCATTGAAACAGTTACAACAATGGAAAGATAAGATGAAGGGGAGCTCCCTGATGCCTGAGAGGTACCAAACATCACCCAGAAAGCAATCTCCTGGACGCCATCCTGACCCTCGGAGCACCTCCCCTAGAGACCCAAGGGACCCTCATAGACGGTCACCAGGCCCTTCCCAGGAAACTCCACCCCAGAGAAAGGAATCCCCAAAGAGGCAGCCAAATCTGACCATATCCCCAGAATCTGCAATATATGAAAACTTTCCAGAGGATGGTCCTGGACGACCTCCTTTGCCTTCTATGTACCGACAACAGATCATACAGGAGATAGCAGAGACCAAGACCCCCCATACTAAGCAAGACCTCCTGATGGCCTCTCAGACATCTATCAAGAGGCTGAATGAGCCTACTTTCTTCCAATACCCTGAGGTACCTTCAAGCAGGGTTCAAAAGACACAAAGAGAGGTGCAGTAGATATCAAAACAGGCTACTCTCAATTACAACTCCCCCTTATTATCTAATTGCTTTCTATGTTATTGAAAAGTTCATATTCATCTTGTATTTTAACTTAATGTTAAATGCCATATGTCAAAATGTCTTAATTTGTCCTAAGATTTAAACATGTGCTATTAAAGCTTTACTGGACTAGTAATGAAAATATTCAAATGTATTGCTATTAAATCCTTTCTTTACTTTAACTTTCTCAAGCTTAATTTTGATCTTGAGATTGAATACATCTAATATATCTCAGCTTTACTAGTAATCAAAGGTCCTGTGAAAACCTGATATCCTAACTCGTGATGTTTTGTTATTTATACCTTTCTCTCCTCTTAAGCTTTCTCAAGCTTTAAAAAATGTTCACTGCAGTTTGAATACTATATACTGGCGCTTTCTCATTTTTCTTCTGTAGCACAACATCAGCTTTAATTCACCATAATTAATCTATGCTATTGAAAACATCTGTCCGTAGAATGATTAAACTTAATAATCTACTATCTCATAACCTCAATGACAAAATCATAGCAGACTGACAGAATGCCAAAGATTATCGGCCTTCCATAAATTGAGATCTAATGAAATCAATGCTTTAATTCAACATTCTTTATTGACTAACCATACATTTACACTTTCCCTCCAAATCCACACAATACTCCTTCCCAGAATCCTCTGGGCTTAGCCTTCCCAAGATGCACTGTTTTGATGGAAACTGAGTCCTTGATGTGCTCTGAAGTAGTGTAGTTTATGACCTTTTGCTTGTAGTTTAATATGCAGGTATCTTAAAGATTAACACAATTGTTTGATAAAATGCTTTTTTTAAGACACACTGAGAACATTTTTTAAGATTGAAATGGTGATACCATGATTCGTCAAAGTACTTAACACTCATAACTTTCATTTCTATCTATTTACTAATGTGCAACAGAAAACCTTCTTTTAGATTACTTTAGGATCTAGAACTGTGGTCATATGTGAGTTTGGCAGATTAACACCTAAAAAACTTTGAGGACAGTCTAGTTCAGAGCATTTGGCTCATGAATTGCATTAAACAGACCAATTCATTTTAGGACAAACTCCTGTAACTGTGACATCTCAAGTTCTTAGGTCAGTGTTGTTGCCTAGAAGGTGTGTCTAAAATAGGGTTTTCTGTTTGAGGAACTTTATTAAGGACTTTGGGATAGAAGGGCTTATTATTAATCAGTTATATTTACAACCAGTTGTTATATACTCTTTAGGAGGAAATACAGAAACAGCAGCAACAAGTTCCTGAAAGCTATACTAGGGCTAAAGAAACTCTACAGAGGTCAGAAGGTCAACAGAGACCAGCAGGTCAAAGGTCAGAAGGTCAAAGGCCTGAGAGTCAACAGCGATCAACAGGTCAAAGGCCTGAGAGTCAACAAAGACCAACAGGTCAAAGGTCGGAAGGTGGTCGAGGAGCAGAGGTTATAAGAGAGAACAGGGCACAGTATCCTGATAGTTATTATAGGGCTAAAGAAAATGTGCAAAAGGGTATGTGCTCTTGAGAACCTATACATATATATAAAAATTTGAAATATAACATCAGAAATACAACAATATATGAGTATTATGTTATGGGAGGGTTTGGATATGGAGTATATCATGGGAGAAATATAGTTATCTTACCTGACTTGTCCTAGCAGATAGAGTTATATTTACACTAACAGTCAGACAAATCATAACAAATAGAAAAATATGCAATGTCAATCAGTAATGTATGTCAATAAACCAGAAAATAGTCAGTCAGAAAAGCCAAAAAAGTACCAATGTAACCATGCTTATATAGACTTACTTAATTTTGATTGATTTGTTTTAAATCCTCTCATGCTAATTTTCAGAAGAGAAGCTTTCACCCAAGAATGTGCAACCATCATACAGTACTAACAGGGGTAAGATGATATTAGGATATTATTTATTGGAGAATCTGGTCTGTTGATTTGGAAATTTTTTTATTGTCTTACTATTTGATTAAAACTACGTAATTAGAATGACTTGTATAGTTTAGAGTAGATATTTTGAATGAAGTGCATTTTTGAATAGACAGATTAGCGTAGATATGTTTGATTCTAGTGCATCTTTTGAATACCCTGCCAATACTGTAAGTTATATGTTAATTATGGAAACATTGTATTAATTGTGCATTGTATTAATATGTTTAGGTACAAATCATATGACAAAATTCTAAAATTTTGAAAAATTTCGGAATTTATAAAATCATCTTTGAAAGAAAAATCTTATTTGATCACATGGAAAGATTCATTCTGAAACATTCTTAACATTAAGTACAGTATTGACAGGTCCCCATCTTTTTTGATTTGTGATTCAGCTGCCTGTGTTGGTGTACGGTTTTGCTTCCTGTGCATCCATTTACATGTCCATCTATTTCCTTTTATGTACCTTTTATGTATATAAGGACTGATTCTACACATGTATGATTGTTGATTTATTTATGCTTTGGTTTTGGATTTTATTTATTTACTCTTGCGGAAGTTTGAATGATTTTTATACTCTCTTAATACTTTGATAAAAGACCCTGATTCCAGTTTCAGTTATGTGAGTATGCATATGATAGTACATGTATAGGGCATAAGTACCATATTATGTATTATACACCATTGCCATAACCTTGTTTGCAACCCATGTATGCTGCAGCTTAGGGAGATGCTGATCAAAACCATCTTCGCATGCTTGGTCTTCACCAAAGGAAGCCAAGTGAATGAAGATGGATCAAACCAATGCTTGCCAAAACCCATGGATAATTGAAGGATATTGTCTAATAGAAATTACAAACAAAACATGTCATACTTTGATTTGTTTTTAAAGCAAAGAGTGACATCAGACAACAAGGAACTGATGGCCGGTCCTCTGATTATGCCGAATATACCTCAGATTATGAGTCCCTTCCTAGAGTACAAGGATACCTCACCCCAAAGTCTTCTGTTGAAGAAACTATGGTTAAATCAACAAGCACTGCCATAGGATACAATAACTATGCAGACTATGCTCCAATTGGTAGAAATAGCACAAGAGAACAAGAGAAGGCTGAAGTCAAAGAGGAGGTGATTCTCCAGAAGTCCCCATCAACTGGAAGTCGAGGCAATCCTTCATACAGAAAATTTCTGGACTCGTTCAAGAGAAAAGATAAGAAGACAGAGAAAACTGAGAGGGTGACTGTTGAGACAACTAATACTGTGGCCTCTCAGCCTGAAATAGCAGCAGTGCCCTCTTCTCCCCTAGGCCCTGCAGAGTCATCATTTGGGGCCAGGGAGGAGATCACAATGGTTCCCACGTCACCCCTGGGGAAGCCCTCAGACGCTGACGAGTGGCCCCAAAAGGAGCAACGTCAGAAAAATCGCAAGAAAAGAAAATCAAAATCTCCTGTCAGAGATGAACAAAACCATGGTGAATATGGGGATGCTAATAAACTTTCCCCAATGGGAAGAGGTCAAGGGAAGTATTCACCACATCGTCAAAATGCCATCAAGGCAACAGATCACAGAAGCCATGACTATAAAAATTACACTGACTCTGATGACTATGGGGACCATTACTTTAGATCCCACAAGGACCCATATCTGAAGGATTTCAAAGTGGCAGGTTCTACAGGTCCACGTCGTGTCAAATCAGAATACATTCCACAGGAGACTAATACCCAGAAAGCAACACCACCTGAGATTGGAAGATTTGCTGGTGGCACCATGAAAGCTGGTAGTGTTGGCAACCTTGATGTGGCCCTTACCCGACAGCCTAAATATGAGCGTCAGTCACCAAAGAATCCAAGCCCTTCTAACCCCGAATGGCCACAAAGGGAAAGAGATGGACATGGAGGTTCACAGAGTGGAGCATACAGAGTGCAGGAGTGGAATGGAAGTTATAATACACATGAAAAGGGAAACAGGATGCAAGAGATGGACAGAATGACACAGGAGAGGCAGACACAAGGGATGATTGACAGGACACAAACAGGGGAGAGGCTTTCCTGGTCTTCAATGGGAAGTGAAGGTAAACCTTCATGGTGCAGGGACGCAGCTAGATATAAGATCATCTCTATCATATCATAACTGGAATATATCATTCTCTAATTCAATCATTACCACACTCTTAATTGCTGTGTGGCATATTCCTAGTACAACATACACATATTACACATTCTATACTTTCTAACATGTTGGATAATTGTTAACTGTAATAGGGAGAGCATTAATTTAACTTCTTGCTTTGGTAATATAAATATCATGTAAACTATAATGAAAAAAGGTGATCTCCCAAGCACTTAGATACTGTACCCTTCGGAAAATTACAAACCACATTGTTGGGGAAATGTTTGCATCCTATAAAATGATAAAAAACATGTAATGTATTGAGATACATGTATTTTGATCAAAACAAGTAGGATTTAGTATCCTGTCATGAAGAAATTCAGGGGAGATCACTGGGAGAGTGTCACAAAATTTTGAACAAAGGCGATATTCAGGTAGAGGTATGACACAAGAATATATCTGTGGAAGGGTATCATACTGCACTATTTAATATGGGAACGTATAAGGGAATTACTAATGCATGATGATCTACTTCTTAGTCTGTTCTAATGCTGTGTGCTGTTTAACAGGTCAACTATGCATGCAGTTGACCTTAGGGAAACAGGTCAAAATATCAATGGGTTTTTCATGAATCAATGGCATGTTGATATTTTACTTGGCTTCTAATCTGTAGTATAAGTATAATGGTGTTAATGTTTGGATGACTAAACCTGAAATGTGACTTTATAATATAATATAATTGTATGAACTATCAGGTTTGTTATGAGATTCATGATCTCTCAGATGAGAGTTATTACATATGGAATTGTACTGTACCCAGAGTACATGTAGAGAACATGTATAATACATGTATAAAGAATATGTACACCTGTTGTTCACTGACTAGCTCATTTTACATACATTGACAATAACTTCAGGCAGATAAATCAGACAGCTCCAACAGTTTTTATTAATGTGTTTATGGTTTTTATGATTACCATGTTCAGTATGATCTAGAGGTACAACTCCTGGACATTAACGGTTGCCAGGGTTTTCACAAGGTTTTCTCATGTTTGCTAGAGTTTCCTCATGGTTGCCATGGTTTTCTCATGTTTGCTAGAATTTCCTCATGGTTGCCATGGTTTTCTCAAGTTTGCCAGGGTTTCCTCATGGTATTTAATATTAATACATTGTACATTTTTTTCGAGAACTCATATATAGCTTTGTGAGTTTGAGTTATGTCATTACAAAGGGTTTTTGTTCAAAATAGCTGTCAAATAATATAACATTATTCATTATAATTTAATTGTTATATCATAACGTTTTAGCATGACTGGGAAAAACAATATTTTTTGTTCGTTGCCTTAGATTTGCACATTATGAAATTTGGTTTTGATTGAAGTAGTTTTGGATTCTTGTTGAGTTACTTATCGTATTTACATTTATACAGAGTTGCATCAAATGGTTAAACCTTAGCCAAATTGTATCAAATGAATCAAAACCATTGTACATGTATTCTTATTCTCTTCTATAACATCATACAACAATAATTTTATTAATTTACAAATATTTATATTGCTATAACTTATTTCTTGTTGACAGAGGTGCTGAAGCAATTAGACCCCAGAGTACAAGCGAATGAGACAAGAGATCAAAGGCCCAGGAAGATGGGGGGAAGAAACCTGTCTGCTGTAAAGGAAGATCCCCACATGTCTGACTCCGAGATTCTTGTCAGAGTAAGTGAAAATACAAAATAATTTGACAAGGTTAATATTCTTGTACAGGGGCTTAGCCAGGATCTAGGTTGAAAATCTAAACATTTTGGTTGGGCAGTTGCCTTTGCTGCCTCTTGCTTGGGGTATACCCATGAAACTCTTAAAATTTAAAGTAATTTTAGTTTTTATTAGTAAACCATACTTACCTAATATTGCCACTATGTGCTAACATCCACCATTGAATCTATCTATGGCCAACTTCCCGGGAATTTCTTGAGCATATTACACTGTGCACCCCCGCACAAATGCCCGGATATTCCTCAATTATTCCGCTATAACATTTATGAACATTCTGCTGTAAGCGGAGGAGGAGGGAGGGACATATTTGTAGTGGCAATATTAGGTAAGTATGGTTTACTAATAAAAACTAAAATTACTTTAAATTTTAAGATTTTACTACGCAAACCTTTACTACTTACACTAATATTGCCACTATGTGCTGAATCCCAGCCAAGTAGGCGGTGGGTTAAACAGCAGAAAGACCACGGGAATAGAATAAATTTGCAACAAACTACAAATTGATCAACCCTACAACTTTAGGTAACCCAACTTTACATCCTAAAGCCTTCGGGACTAAGGAACTTAATAACCTAGTACAAGTTCTGGGGTGAAATGTTTAAACTGTGTTAAACACTTAACAAAACTAATTATTCAGATTCACTATGCTAAAAAACTACTGAGTATTATTTCATATATGACTCAATTGGCCACTACGATAAAAAACGGACGTCTATCTATGGCGGGGTAATTCAACCATCAAAGGTCAACAACGAACTTATACCACAGTACAAATTCTGACATTCTGATTGGCCATAAAGTTAAGAAAAATGTCAGAATATTTTCTAGCATAGTCTTAGACTTACATACATGACTTGGAAGTAATTTAAGCTGCCCATTGTGCCTGCTTTAAACATGTCTTCCACTCGACTTCTAGAAACAAAGATTGAAGAAGTAGCTACTGGTCTTGACATAACGTTTTCGACCCTTCTTTAACAGCTACATGTGTATACTTCTGTATACCTTGTACATGTATAGATAACAGCTAATAATTGCTTGATTAAAAGATCTAAAGGAATTATATTGAAGTTCCTTTAATGTATCTGGTTCTTCAAATAAATGCTAACTTTTCGTTCTCTCTTTTGAGTAAAGGTGAGACGAAGTACTACATCGGTTACCACATGTTGGATTCTTTATGATCTTCGAACTATGAACACCAGTTGTTTAGATATTCTTGGGATTGTGATAACTCCGAAATCCCAATTACATCTTTAAATATTAAACATCTGGTATAAGTGCTTCTGCAAAGCATTGTAATCCTTAAAGGCTAAGCTGTGTCTGAATGATACACTACGTAGAGATTCATCATTTACTCATTGCCATTAGGATCACATGTTCGATCATTGAAGAACCCATGTACACCCTCCTTATTAGTCGAGTATGCTTGGTTGTTTACAATTCAACAATAAAACTGTGCATATTACCGAACACTTTCTGAAAAAATCGGTAAATTAAAGATAGTCATGTATCCAAACATGTCTAAATGATACCTGCTGAATACAATCATAGATCTTGGTAAAAACCCAAGAAAGAGATTATAATGGTTAAGAGTGGATAAGTTCAACTGAACGACAACACTAACTCAAAGCCTTAAAGAATCATTCGACTCTAGAAGAAGTTATCAGGACAAGATCATTTAGGAACTGGTTCTGAAAACCCTCCTCTGATATATGCTGACAATTTACTAGAACAATAGTATTTCATAATTGTACGATATCATGATAGAATATATCATTAGAGAGTTCCAATTACAACAATTACAGGTAAATAAGACGACTACCAAGTAATTCAGTGACATTCTAGTCTTATAGCATATATAATGTGATAAAGATTTTTTGTGTCTCTTGGTAAGAAACACCTGCAATGTATTTATCCACAAAGTTGCTAAGGAAGATATACGTTTCATGTATCTTCTAATATTGCTGTTTAGTCATAAACAAACATGTATACTATGACTAAAATATGAGTAAAAAAACTCATTAGAATGCAATGGAAATGCAAGCTCACATTAATAAGACTATGATGTTCTAAACATCAATATTCTTTGAATCTGAAACAACAAACAATTCAAGTGAGACGTCTTGATGTCTAATAATTACTATATCTAGTATTACACATCAATTGAACTGTAGTGTCAGATATCACAGTATTGCTTTCTTGCAATATAGGTGTTAAAAACCCATCACGCTTCTCATCCTTAAAATCTACAGGTGTTTCACTTTCTCTTGTTGAAAATGAACCCTAATTTTGAAGGATAGTCTAGCTGTCAAGCAACGTGGATATTCGTTATGGTTTGCATCTTTGAACACAAAAATGTTCTTGGGCAACTTTCATCTACCTTGTAAGTGTTCAAGAACCGTTCCCATATAACATGTATAAATAAAACGAGAATTATTCTCGCATTGAAATCCTCTGTTAAACACCTCAAGAGGTTGACCACCATCTGTCTCAATTATGAATGGTACAGAGGAAAATAAAGCAACGTTAAAAGCCTTATTCAATTGCCAAATAGAATATAGGCAAACAGCACTAAACTACAGTAGCTAATAGGAATCGAACCGATGACTATTTGGTTCCTGAGAATTTACATTCCTGTGACAGGGCACCAAAATGCCTTGTTAATTACTTGGAATCTTGACATCATAAACCTTAGATGTATATTTGTCCTATTAAGGGGGTAGTGACATTACTAGTCTCAGGACAGGACGATTCCTTAATTCAGTGTTCTACTCGTAACAACATCTGAAAAAATATACGGTCTCAAAAATGAAACTATTTGATAAAGTATAGATGGAGTTGAAGATAATTCGCATAGAAATATCTCCAAAACCGCACGGAAACGACTGTGATTTCCGTTAAAGATTAGAACATATGTATAACAGTCAGCAGAAAATGTCTGTGATTCTTAAAATCATGAGACTGTTACAAAAATAACTTGGTCACAATTTGATCACGACAATTTTTGGCATATGTGTGAAAAATTGCCACTGTTAAAATTAATTGACCAATGCGTAAAAAGGGAAGTCTGAATCTCTTGTTTGGAAGAGCTCATGTTAAGACAAACGAAACCATGTCTGTAACAAAGAGTACACTAGCTCTTGAGTATATAGTACTTCAGTACCACTAAATGATGTATTGAGGTTCTACCACCAAGGAAACATGGTAACAAGTGATTCCATGGTGAAAAAACATAAACCTCTAATCAAACATGTAAGATCTCTCAAATAGTGATTGAACTGAACACTGATGATACACTGATTTAAAGTAAATGTGTGGCTATTTAAGACACAAATGTTTACACAGAAGCACGGCACGACTGTGAACCTGTTGAAGAGTGATACGGTCATGACTGAGGCTGGCTCAGTAAAACACTCTTCAAAACAGTGATTAAACTTAAACCGTGTTTAAAAACTGAGCAACCTGAACAAGGTCAAAATAAACACATATTCATTCTGTGTGTGATGTGGTAGCAAACAAGCCAATGATCTGGATATACAGATATAGGGACTTGTTATAAATAAGTATAACTACTTCCTCTCGTCACAAAAGAAAACCTTTGGAATAACACCCAAGGTTGTAGTGAAAACACAGAATTTGATTTACAGTCTCTTGAACTGACTTACCAAGAGATCTGAAAAGTCATCTTAGACTTCAATAATCAACTTTTGACTTCAAAAGCTGTCAAGGCTAAGAAAAATAAAGGAAACAAAACCTTTACTGAGGTTAGACATAACCTTACTTAAACTGGCAAACTGAAAGCCGCCAAATGTTTTAGTTTTCAAAAAACCTCGACTGTAATCTAAATTCCTCAAACAATTAACACTGAGTTGAATGCTTTATGAGAAGCATCTGGAGAAAGTAACCTATGTCAAAGATACTTCCGCCAACTCAACTCTGAACGTTAATATTCCAGGAATAGAGTCTTAATAGGAGTATTCAGAAATTATTCTTGAGAATATAAAGATTTCAGTCAGAAATGACAAGTTCATGACATTGTCATTTGTCAACGCATACAACACTTCCTATATGAATAAGTACTTGTGTTGTTCAGTTGTTGGCTAATATAGAAGGATAGTCTAGTGACTCAAACTAAAACAATCTAAGTCACCTTCTACTTCTCTGTTGAAGAGACTGAATCAACCAATAACAGGATGATTGTGATCATCCATGAATCGTTTTCTTCAGCATATATTAATAGCAACATCTACAATTACTTGGAGAAAACAGGAACGCTCAATCAGAGACAATAACTTATAGGTCTCTGATTCGAAAAGATTTTACATCTACTTGGAAGATGAGTAGGCTAAAAATGCTATATTGGTCTTTTCTGTGAAGAAGATGACGACTTCACAGTAGGCCTACTGTTAATCTTACAGTTACTTTTGTTAATCTTTAGCCTGTCCTTTTTCTGAACAGTAGACAAACAACTCAGTCCAGAAATAACTGTACCAAATGCATAAGTGACAAACTTATCCTGCTGCGCATAACTAGTATAAAAACTAAATGGACTAAATAAACCAATTATACTGTGGTCAGCATACGTGTTCTATGTATGCAACATTATATGAATACTACACCAGATTTAACAACATACAGTGTTACTTTCTAAATACATTTAAATGTATGTGAACCAAATGTCTTCATCTGAACATCATCGTGATCACGCTACTGTAAGATGAAGAAATATCTTCTGTAAGATGAAGAAATATCTTCTGTAAGATGAAGAAATATCTTCTTCATCCTAGGATCATACAGTCTATGCTCGACACATGTCAAATCCTGAAAGACAAATTTACTGGTGTAGTTATTTCTTCATGTTTACACAATTCATATCGGGACTGGAGTCCTTTTATAAACTATGCATAAAGAAAAGAGATGATAACTGCGTTCTTATGAACACGTATGTGTTTTCATTGTGGACTTACAACCAAAAAACACATGAGCAGTAAAGAAGCCATTTCGTCTGCGTTCTCCTGAACACATATGTGTTTTTATTGTGGACTAACAACCAAAAACACCTCAGCAATAAAGAAGCCATCTTCAGATGTAGATGTAGATATTTTTTCAAATTTCTCATATTCATCTGGAACTGAACACGTTTATGTGATAAATACAGAGACGAAAAATTGAGAGCTATGTAAACTTGAACAGTTAATGTTTTCTTTATGGACTGACAACCAAAAGAAAAACCTAAATGATAGGCAAGGTACTGTAGGCATAAACACAGTGTCTACCTTCTTCGGGCTTCCTTACTTTCTTATCTGGATTGAAAACCTCTCATGTAACATAACACAGAGAAGAACAATATGTAATATTACGTTCTCTGTACATGATGTCTTCTGATGGTCTAATGACCTGTGAAATTGTCATTTATATATGACAAATTGTCTGGAAAAAGGTCAATTGACACTAAAGACCTTTTCCATATGCTTACTATAATCTCATGTCGGGACTGAAGACCCTATATGGAGCAAGCAAAGATAAAACGAACGAGGTAAGATCTTCGACATTTTATAGATCAGATGTTTTCTTTGTGGACTAACAACCCAAAGAAAAAACCTTGAAAACTTGTCTTATAGTTCCATATGATCTATTTTCCTCGTCCTCTTACTTTCATTTGTAACTGATGAACCTGTAGAACAACTAACTTCCTAGTTCCGTGTCCATAGTCACAAGTTATTTGTAAATTTATTGCGATTCTAAAATTTCCGTCTTTACAGAAGGAAAATGGCGGAATAATTGAGGAATATCCGGGCATTTGTGCGGGGGTGCACAGTGTAATATGCTCAAGAAATTCCCGGGAAGTTGGCCATAGATAGGTTCAATGGTGGATGTTAGCACATAGTGGCAATATTAGTGTAAGTAGTAAAGGTTTGCGTAGTAAAAATCAAATGTACATTAAGAAAATTCAATACATGTAACATGATTAATTATACATCAAATAACCGTTTCTACCCCAAGATGTAAGTTTCTTTAATGTATATAAAACAGCATGGATTTATGGAAGAGATTTACATTGAATATATGGACCCTTTTGTAAGTGGTATGACAGTGTACTGAATCGAGTGTTGTAGATTTGAAAAGGCAAGAAAGTTGAATGAAATTGTTTGCATTTTAATCCTTGTTCTCTATTCTGGTATACTTTTCTGTTTGGTTGAAATCATCAAATATCTTTGATATGACCTAGATGTCAGATATCACCATTTGCGACAGATTTGATGGAACAGCAAGTGGGCAATTGCTTTACCAACTTCCCCAATAGTCTCATTTGGCTTATTAAAGTCCTTGTGACATATGAAATGATGGCCACACACGTTATCTGTGTTAGACCTTGGACTAGTAGTCATCAGGTGGTTTATCACATGTACATTGAGATCCTGTGTGAGCTCATATATTAAACCATTGACTGCAGCAGACCGGAAGTCACTTCTGCGATGGTACTCATCAATGAAATATTCATAGCTATGAGGTAGGGCTATATTGCTTAGCCATACAAATGTGATGTTTCTCCAGTATTTACTTTCTCGTATTAAACTGATTGTTGGTATCATCAAGTGTCTAATGACTGACCAATAGGACGTTAACGTATCATATTTAAGGTCCCAGGGACCTGTTTCTATAACGATACAAGAATTGGAAGATTTGAAACGTTTTGAATAGCTACTCATCTCCCTTAAAGAACATGCGGTAGCCCGAGATTGAGGGCTCCATTGAAAAAACATATTATCGTATCCCCAATTTTCATATTTTGACTTCGGGAATGTCCCGTTCAATAATGAACTTAAATATGTGATTGTGTATCGTAAATGTGATTGGCCGAAACAGGACAACATTTGTATGTTGTCTAGGAAACATTCCTGCAGTTCTTTTGTTGTCATATACTCCATTAAACAATCGCTACTCAACCCCCAATGGTAAGTGTCATTAACTTGAATCCAGCGCCCATACCTTGACATAAAAGTTGGCTCCCTATTACAAACAACTTGATAACTCATTTGTTCATTAAATTCTGTCATATCATTAGCAGTTGCCTCTCTTGTTTCGTGTTCTTGATCACAAGTGGTGATATTAGCGATGTTCCTCACACTTGGGTATAAAGTTTCTTTTTCTATGAATGCACCAAAGTTGGTAAACATCTGTGTGATCTCAATTGTTGAACATGGTGGAACATAAGGGCAACATATGGTATAGACTCCATTGAAACTATCCAGGATGTTGCAAAGGTATTTGTGGTATCCATGTACTACTATCCTAAAGCTGCTTCCACCATTTGTTTTAATCTCTTTGAACCTCTCCACCATTGTCATTATGATATGAGAGCTTTCATAGATTGCCCAATTTATTTTATAGCTGTATTGGTCGTATTGTGTAAGTGTATCTTCATTGTGTTTAAGTCTATCGTTCTTGTAGTTCTTGTACATATGTTCAGCTTGGTCATAAACCAATGTCTCATAACTAGCCTCACAAACATGATCAAAAAGCTGATTTTGTTTCATGTCAGTTTGTTTAATAATAATGTTTTCAAGTTTTCCACCAAAGTCACTTGGCTTTGGACATACATTTTCAGTAGTTTCCTCAATGGTTGTATTATCCTTTGTGAGATCAGATATTGTGACACTCTCTCTTGCCTCACTTTCCATATCTCCAAGGGATTGATCCATATCTTTAGCAATATCAGTATATGTTTGTTTTTCATCGTGAGTGTATTCATTAAACTGTCCAGGGCCATTGGGAGTATTTGTAATCTGACTATTGTTGAATCCTATGAATTTTCTGTGGTTCAGTTGCATATAGGGCTGCAGCAGATATGATGTTCTCATTGGTATATACTGTATGGCTACTATGGTATACAGTAATATAACTATTAATATAAACATAAATGATGTAAGCAGATTTGACTGCCTGTAAAGAGAAATATGTTTGTGATTATCTGAGTCCTCTGTTCCTATCTTTTTATGGAGTGACATTTTCTCAGCTAGATATCTGTCCTTTTACTTGGATTTGTACTTTGGTTTATGTTGTTATATTTTATGTTCGTCTTTCTATGTCCCTTCTATGTAATACTGGCTTTGTTTTTCACTGATTTAAACAAATTTTGATTTGGAAACATTCACGCCATGTTTCACGTTAAAAATCTGAATATATTTTGAAATCTTGTTACATTGCTCAAAATATCTACAGTTTAATATAACTAATAAGTAAATGTCAAATTACCTATAATGTAGCTAAATTTTTCAAGGTTACAAACCATATATAACTTCGTGACTTGTACATGTAATAATCTTGTTGATTAATTACAAAGTTGTCAAACCTAAAGTGAGATAAATGGACATGTACTTTCTTACTCATTTAGACACCATATACTACAAAAGGTCTTGTTACAAAATGGTCTCAAAAATCAACTAGATAAATGATAATGTTCTGTTATAACCAAGAGCCTGTATGAATTTTACAGAAAATATTGTTAGTTTAATTGATTTTTGAATAAATTAATTTAAATGATACAACATAATGACTTCAAATACATGATATAAAGAGGCAGAGATATAACAGAAATACTGTAACCAATGTGTGAAAATGTTTATACATATTCACTTTTTACAAGATTTTCTTTTCCCCTAAATTATTTATTTTCTTTTAAATTTACATGTTCTGCAAGATGTTTCATTTTTTCTAAAATGTTCATTTCTTAATATTTTGTTATTATTTTATAGGACAATAAGAACAAGAAAAACTACCAAAAGTTCAACTTACAGAAGGCAGGACCAGGTCTCCGTATGAGCATCACAGCTAATGACCTTCTAGGAAAAACAGTAAGTCAAATTTTTTCAATATTTCAATTTGTGCAAGAAACAACAGTTAACGGCTTTTTCCTTTGTAAGTTTTGACATTTGTGATAAAAATACAACCAACTCCAGTACTCCTCTTGTACCAGTTCTATGAGTTCATTTTTCCATGTATATGCATAAGAGAAAGAAGATCAATTCAACTTAGATTTTTCTTGCAATTTTTTCTTTTATGAAAGAATATGGGAGTAGTTTTTATTGCTGTGTCCTCCTTATTGTTAAAGCCACAGTTTTTTTATGACCAGCATTTTGTGATTGCATCCTTTAGTTGACATCTGTAAAAAGTTGTTTCACTCTCGTTACCATTTGCGATCAATAACATTTAATGCTTTGTTTTATTCCACAGCATGAGGAGTTAGTGTTACTGTTAATAGAGCTGAGACGTGAACTTGCGAGACTACAAAACATGGACAAGTTCCTCAAGCACAGACTTTCGCAGATGAGGCCCCATGAGAAATCATACCAGAAAGAGTATGTGCTATTCACATATTCATTTCCAAAAACCTGATAAAAAGAATACATGTCCGTGGTTTCACATCACAACAGGCTAAATAAATGAAAACAACAGGCAAAATTTAATGGAAATCATATATTTAACATGGAAAAGTTGAAAAGTCCCTAAAAACAACAGGCAATTTTGTGGAAACAACTGGTGAAAATTGCCTGTTGCTAATGAAACCCATGCATGTATGTATTAGGTGTTTTAAGTGATGTATAAATGCCTAGTCTACTGGATCTTGGTTTTTACCTAAAAAAAAGTACTAAACATCGCAGGAAATATCATTTTATTTTGTGTGACCTGTTATATTTATTATGAAACAATGGTGTGTTTTTTACCAAAATGTACTTTCTGACTTCCAGGCGCAGATACTCCAATACAAGGCTTGACCAGTCACTTGAGCAAGAACACATTGATTACTCTAAACTCAAACACGAGAGTGAAGAGATACAAAAAGAGGTAATTCAGTGATTTCTGTGGATAAATATATTTCACAGAACATCAGGTTAATCTACCCCTAAGTGATGTGGTGTTACCTTTATGAATCTTTAGAAAATATAACGAGGGAAAGTTGAACAATTATGTACAGCTTAATAGAATAGAATACTTGTCATAGTATTCTTTTATTCTACATGCACCATATTTTATGCAAAACCAATAAGGAATAGTCTTTACCTTTATATTTCTATAAATGTGCAAAATGAAAGATGTCTCATTTTGAATTTAATTCCTGAGAAATTACTGATAATGTACATGCTGATATGATGCGAGACTATGGGGTTGAAGCTCTCTCGGGATCTGAGCTGATACTTACGTCACAATCTATTAAATGAACCTATTGTTTCTTGTATTACAGCTGGAAGTGCACACTCCATTAGTTCACCTTGTGGACAACTTAGTGAGAATGGGGAGCCTTTATGGTGGAGATAACTACATGTTTGCTACTCAATATAGAAAGGTATAGAATAACACTTTAATATCATGAAACACTCTTCAATCCATCCCTGAAATCATCTTTATTCACACAAGTTTTATCAAAGTGCATCAAAAACTTTATTTTTAAAATGAACAAATATGGATAGACAATTGTTGTTTTTTGTAGTAAAATATACTAGTATTGTATTACAAAATTTTTCTCCTGTTAACTATTGCATATTTTGATTTTCATGTATTTTATTTTTCCAGCATCTTTTGAAGCCAGAAGAATATACGCAGCCAAGAGAATTGATCAACTTCTCTCGTCACTTAGAGGAGCAAAAACTAGGTGAAAACTTTAACAATGAAATCAAACAGCTGACTGAAGAGGAAGTGGACTTGGAGGTATGTTCTACAAGTGTACATTTACATAGACTCTGTTATTTTATTCTCCTTTGGTTCTAATTAAGATGACAATTAATCACTTATAACTTGCAACTGGTATTCAGCTTTTCAGTGTTCAGCATCAGTAACTTTGTAATATACACTTACATGTATAATCTGCCTCAGAAGACTTGAACGTATGAGGTTTAAACTTGTCTGGCATTCAGTGTTTCAGTAGTTGGTGACATTATGTCATGTTCATGCTTTGTTCAAAGGATATACCAGTCCTAGATATTCTTAATGTGTTTATATTGCAGGATAAAAAACACCAGCTTGCCAGATTACAACAACAATTACATGTGTTTATATTGCAGGAAAAGAAACACCAACTTGCCAGATTACAACAACAATTACATGTGTTTATATTGCAGGAAAAGAAACACCAACTTGCCAGATTACAACAACAATTACATGTGTTTATATTGCAGGAAAAGAAACACCAACTTGCCAGATTACAACAACAATTACATGTGTTTATATTGCAGGAAAAGAAACACCAACTTGCCAGATTACAACAACAATTACATGTGTTTATATTGCAGGAAAAGAAACACCAACTTGCCAGATTACAACAACAATTACATGTGTTTATATTGCAGGAAAAGAAACACCAACTTGCCAGATTACAACAACAATTACATGTGTTTATATTGCAGGAAAAGAAACACCAACTTGCCAGATTACAACAACAATAACATGTGTTTATATTGCAGGAAAAGAAACACCAACTTGCCAGATTACAACAACAATTACATGTGTTTATATTGCAGGAAAAGAAACACCAGCTTGCCAGATTACAACAACAATTACAGCAAAGATCTTTCACAGTGAACAGCCTCAGGGAAGATAAGGTACATCTAATATTTCTTTCTATTAAAATTTAAATGTCAACCATGTCATTTTTTGAATTAAATATTTCTTCAAATTCTTGTTACTTTATTTAAAGTTTATAGGCTCAACTTTTGGGATTCCAAATCTTTAATTGCTAATTTGCTAATAATGATAATACAGCTTAATTAGGAATGGAGAACTTTAGTAATGCCTTGGTCACATTTGCTCCGATTTTCACTACGGCGCCCGACCAATTGAGTATTTTTGTTCAAAATTGAATACAATATTGAGCAAAACACTCAATCGGATGGGTGCCAGCAGATGGATCGAAGCAATTGTGACCCAGGCCTAAAAGAACACTGCATATACCATCACTTCATGGCTCACCTCTGAATTGCAGGAGCTTCTAGAAAAGGCACTTAATGGTATCAGCCGCAACTTGAAAGACCCATCTAATGATGCCAACCGTATAAGTTCACTCACTAAAGAAAAACAAAACATTGAGAAAGAACTCTCCAAAGTCAGATTTGAGTTGGCCGAAGCATCCAAGGTATTGAACTGAATTTATTTTCTACTTTTCACATTTGTACTCATTATGCTCGAAATGCTTTGTCATTGAAATGCTCCTAACACCTCAGCTATTTCTCGTCCAAATGTTGCAGCACAAAATTTAATTATTTCGTGTATTACTTATGATTTGAGTTCATAACATGAAAATCATTACCCCAACCTAAAGCATCTGCCCACTTTTGCATGATCTTTTTTTTGTTAATTTGTTGTTTATTTGATAAATGCTCATATACCTACAATAACAGAAAACAGGATATAGCTTAAAAGTCTCTGCCCCTTTCTCACTCAGAGTATTTTATCCTTACTCATCAAACTACCCTGACCTCCAGGTCTCTTGTCCAATTTCTGAAGGCTCCGGCCCCTCCTGAAGTTAATGAATCAAACTTGTTTGAGAAACCTATATCCAAATTCTGCACTCAATGCCCTCTTTTTGGGTGGGTAGTAAAATCTCGTTTTATGTAAAAGTGTTACCTCTTGTATTAAAAAATTACACTTCCCAAGAAGTTTCTTTTATTATCAATGGTTGAAGAAGGGTGGTTTGATTACATGTACATTTGAGGGCAGAATTTTTTTTGAGATGACCCCTCAGTTGAAGCATGTGCTGATTGGCTGATTGTTTGTGCAGTTGCTAGAAGATACCTCCGCTGCCTCGTCTGTTGTTGAACAAGAGGTGGTCCTATTGAGGACCCGGGTACACGGGGAACTGAACAAGAAGTCCTTGAGTATGCCTGCCCTATCCAGTGAGAAATACAGGGAGAAACTAGAGATGGAGAAGGAACTTAGTCAGGTAAGTGTGCCGTGAACAGCAATGATAAAATTGTCATTGCACAAAATCAAGCCCCTGTATTCCCTCCCCTAGTCTCCCTAGCATTGTGTTAGAAGAATAGGGGTGATCTGTACAACCCCCCCCCCTCCTTTCTAATGCTATGTTAGGAGAATGGGGGATACATGGGCTGGATTTCACATTATTTCTCTAATGGGCTTGGTAACTCTTTAAGTGGATAGCATTAATGGGTTAATTGAATGCATTCACATGTATATATCACTGCAAAAATAGTTATCGCATGCAAAGAATTAATATGTAGAGAAATGTGTTATTATAATAGATTAAGGGCAGAGATCTAGAGAGAAAACTTCAAATACTTTTTCAATTTTAAAATATTTTTGGCTCATATCATTCCTTTTCTTTAAATTCCCAAAGTTTTTTTATTTGTAATTACAATTACCATTGGATGTTTTTATCTTTCTATTGATATTGCCGCATTTATTATTTTTAAGAATTTAAACATAGTTTTGGGAGATTATATAGATGGTGCCGAATGTCTTGGTAGTTCAGTTGTACAAGTTGCTTTCAATTTAGTCACCCAGATTAGTTTGATTCTTCATTTAACGATGCGTAATATTAGAGTAATATTATATTTGCATGTTATCCAAAACAGCAGGAAGTACCAAATAACCCATGTATGACCCGCCATCTATTTGAGTCACCAAGCCCATTACTTAGTGCATGCTGGTTGATATTCTGGCTTGAAGTCATCTGCATGTTGTTTGATTATTTTATTTTTGTTTGCTTGATCAACCTTTTTGCACTCAGGGGATGTTATGTTATTATGACTGTCACAGCTGTGAACAGCTAGACACAGTGTAAGGATTTATATTGACAATATATCCGAAGCTGCTAGACAAGGTATTAACAGTAATTATGTAAATTGAAGAAACAGCTTTGGAGTAATAAATGACATTTACATATATTAATTGTTAGCGTGAATTTCATTATGAAATCTTAAAATCCTGAAAAGAAACTTCTATTGAATAAGAGAATTGAATATGTAATTATTTAAAAAATTGGAAAATTACATAATATTTAAGTGCACATGTCATATAGTCCTATCTGTTAGTTCACCTGATATGAAATCATAAAATATCTTATAATATACAGGGTGATCTAAAAATTGAACATTTAACTATTTGACAAACCTGTAGTAAAGTTGCAGTGTATTAGGTAGTTTAGTTCATATTCTGTAGAATGTCAGTCTAGTTTATCCTTTTTAGAATATTCATTAGTTGAGCATTTGAATTGTTTTAAATAGATGGCAGTAACTGTTAAACAGGTCTGTAGATAGACACTAGATCTGGTTTGAATAGAATTTTATCTGTTTACATTTTCTTGTCTATATAATTTTGAATTTCTTTCTTCAATGTATCATACCTTTAATATTTTCGACATTCGATTTGATTGATTATTGTACTTATTCCAGTTTTAATTCTTGAAGTTTATTTCATCCTATATTATATTACTTTTCTTGGTTGATAATAATTTGATATTTACCTGTCCTTAGCTTTTGTGTTCTAGAGTAGAGTAGAATAATAGAATGTTTAATATATGTTTCAAGTCTTACTGAATATCCTGTACTTGTTTTAATACTTATGATAATATTTTAACATTTTACATTACAGAGTGTGATAATATACTGTACATCTTTTTTATCATGTACAGATGGATGCATTATGAGCGTACTTTTTGTCCACCCTGTACATTTTAATTGATTTTTCTTAATTGATGACACAATTTGATGCTTATTGTGCAGATTTGTATGCGTCAATGAAATAAAACTTATCAATTTTCATAGTATATCATATAGTATTGCCATTCATTTAAATTTTATATCAGTACCTTGTTATATCAGTACTGTATGGTGAGCATGTCACCCAAATTTCACCCTGTATCACCTCATATGTCCAGGGTTTGATGAATCATAAAATGGTATAACGATATTGTGTATTATTACAGGTTCAGAACATGATGGATACATTAGGTAAACAGAGACAGGACATCTCTGCTACAATGAGGGAACTGAGACACTCCAATCCTAATCTGGCTAGCACAGGTATGTGAAAAACTGCAATGTCTTAAGTGCTAGCATCTGAATCATACACTTATGCTATTATCTACACATGACTCGATTCATTTAATTTTTTTATTTAATTGTCGAATTCCAGATCTGTGCTATGATAATAAATCAATCTTTCCCAAACCACATTAATATTCCAAAGATTTCAGGTGACAAAGAATTGATTATCAATTGTGGATTTTTGTCCTGAAATCTTGCCTCTTCAACTGATGGGTGTTTGGTATTCAGGTTTAAATATCTATATAGGATCACCCATTGGTTGGAACATGTTGTACATCTTTGTATCCTTGTCTTACATTGGCATACTTACCATATTTTGTCATTTTCCAATGTCAAACAGCTCATGATCATACTTAGTGAATATAGTGGTTTGGACGCCTCATTTGGGCCACCACACCACTTATTAAATCTTAACGAAAAATGATGTATACAGTCAGAATTATGACATGGCCAAAGATATTACTGTCTTAATTCAATTACTCAGATGCGAGTAGGTAGTTACCAGTTTCGCCACCAGGTGGCTGATTCGGGGGAAATAACATGGCAGGGTATTACAAAGTTCCCTTAAACTTGAATATTCATCAGTTTTAGTGGATCACTTTTCATATTACCCTTATGTATCTGATAGTTATACAAATTAAAATATGTCCAGTAAAGGAAAATGTTATCTGCCCAACAAAAGGAAAGATATTTCACTTTTTGTGATTTTACAACATGGAGTCTATGGGGAATCTCCCCGACCTAGAAGTCACATTTTCAAAGAAAATTAAAGGTCTATGTGCAGTATGGCAAGTGATTTTAGACAGTCATATCTTTCACCATGAGTACTTTCTGGCCATAAAAACAATGGTTATTAAAACAATATGTTTTCTTTCAAGTGAAGTCCCCATGATAGTAAAATATCAATCCAACTCTCTGAAAAATTATGGATTAGGGCCCCACCCTGGCACTTTTTATGTCCCCACCACATAGTGTGGGGCCATATTGTCGGCCTAGGCGCGTCCGTCCGTCCGTCCGTCCGTCCGTACGTACATCCGGGAGTTTTCTCCCAAACCGCTACAGATATCACCTTCAAATTTTCAGGGATAACTTATGAGTGCATACAGATGTGGATGAAAAAAATTTAATTCGATACCTACTTCCTATCGGCCATTTTGAAGTCAAATGCTAAAATCCTTGTCTGAAAACTTTAAGAAAAACAGCTTCACAGTTGCTTTTAAAACTTTAACATCTTGTTCAGCTCACTTCATTCTAGATCTGATTAGGTTTTGGACCTGTTAGCTCAGTCATGTCAGCCATATTGAATGTCTTCAGAAAAGTTAGCGCACGATAATACTTTGTATCATATTGAATGGTGTTTTTGAGTTTTCATACTTTAACTATTTAGTAGCTTTATAAATAGATTCAGATGTACTTTGTTGTAAAAGCCTATGTTATTGTTAACAGTAGATATATGTGATAATTTTGTAAAAAGAATTAGCAAAAACTCATAATCACTTTTTTATTGTCGGCCATTTTGGATTTTTCTGTCCTAAAATCTTGATTGTGAAGTCTTGTCTACATGTGTTCAGGTGAATTTTCAGGGATGATTCTTAGTAAAAAAATCTAGATCTGATTAGTTTTTTGGCATTCTGGGTAAATGCCAAGGCAGCCATTTTGGATTTTCCGTCCTAAAATCTTGTCTTGTCTACGCGTTTTCAGGTGAACCGTTTGGTAGATCAATTTCAAATTTTCAGGGATGATTCTTAGTATAAAAATCTAGATCTGATTAGTTTTTGGCATTCTGGGTAAATGTCAAGGCAGCCATTTTGGATTTTCCGTCCTAAAATCTTGTCTGTAAAGTCTTGTCTACGCGTTTTCAGGTAAACTGTTTGGTAGATCATTTTCAAATTATCAGGGATGATTCTTAGTATGAAAATGTAGAACTGATTTTTTTTTTGGCATTCTGGGTAAATGTCAAGGCAGCCATTTTGGATTTTAAGTCCTAAAATCTTGTCTGTAAAGTCTTGTCTACGCGTTTCCAGGTGAACCGTTTGGTAGATCAATTTCAAATTTTCAGGGATGATTCTTAGTGTGAAAATCTACATCTGATCAGTTTTTTGGCATTCTGTGTAAATGTCAAGGCAGCCATTTTGGATTTTCTGTCCTAAAATCTTGTCTGTAAAGTCTTGTCTACGCGTTTTCAGGTGAATCATTTGGTAGATCAATGTTATATTTTCAGGGATGATTCTTAGTATGAAATCTAGAAACAGATTAGTTTTTTGACATTCTGGGTAAATGTCAAGGCAGCCATTTTGGATTTTCCATCCTAAAATCTTGTCTGTAAAGTCTTGTCTACATGTTTTCTGGTTAACTGTGTGACGGATCAATTAAAAATTTTCAGGGGTGGTTCTTAGTTTGAAATCTAGAACTGACTAAACTTTTGGCATTCTGGGTAAATTTTAAGGTGGCCATTTTGGATTTTCCGTCCTCAAATTGTAAAGTCTTGTCTACTCATTTTCAGGATAACCATTTGATGGGATCACCCATTGGTGGGGACATTTTGTACACATTTGTGTTCTTGTTAAAAAATGTTAGGCTTATTTTCTAAAAAGAGGATCTTGCTTTTCTCAATTTAAACATATCAAAAGTTTCTTCTACACTATATGAACAATTTCTGAAAAGGGGATGCGTATTGAAATGCGCTAAAGTTAAAAACCACATATCCCATATTATTTTCCCATAGGGACAACTCGTGCTATCCATTGTTTTCAGCATCATTTTGGTCATCATAAATTGATATCTTCAAAACTAGACTTTCAATACAACTATATTTTTGAAGATGTTTTAGACCCCTTGATGAATAATCTTTTCATGCAATAAAAATCAGAAAAGGGAGATCCTCTTTTGAGTAAACAGGTTCAATATTTTGAAAAAATGTTGACATGGGGTCCCTATTCATAATTTTTTGAATTGTTCGATTGATATTTTTATCATCATGGGTATTTCACTTGAAAGAAAACATATTGTTTTAATAAAAACCACTGTATCTTTGCCCAGAAAGTACTCATGGTGAAAGATATGACTGTCTAAAATCACTTGCAAAACTGCATGTGGTCTTTTTCAAAGTTGATAAACTCTTATCAAAACAACATTTCTAGATGATATTTGTCGTAGATTTGAAATATGACATCAGTTTGACTGAATTTTTAATTTTTAATGACGTAAATCAAGATTATTTCTTCTCGCACCTAGTCTATTGTCATGGCCATATTATACCCATGATGGTCTCAATTCACTTTTCTTTTTTTTACTTTCATTTCCCAATATCACATTTTTTAAACTTCGTTAATGACAGAAAATAAGTTTTATACCAAAGTATATCAGATGGTGTTATTGATACTGATTTATTTTTAAAAATTAATCTTGTTGTTCGCCAATTTAGCGTATGTAAGATTTGAAACATTCTATCAATGCCTATAGAATAGCTTCATTTTGTTTGACATAATTTTTAATTAAAATGTTTACGTATTACTTCAGAAAAAATCAGCGATATAGAAATCAACCATGTAAACATCAAGCAGATGTTTTTTTGCATTCATTTTACAAAATCCGTTTCATAAAAATAAGTTTTTCATTTTTTGATAGAAATGAGTAAAGGCTTATTCAATTCTGTTTAACATGACTTTTAATTAAAACATTTCCAGATTACTTCAGATGGAAAATCAGTGGTCTCAATCTTTTCAAATTGGATCAAACTGATTTTCTTCTTTAGAATCCATATTGAAGTTTACATACATTTCATTAATTTTTCTTTATAATAACCATTAGAAAAAATCATTATATAAGATATAGTATAATTGTTATTATTTGAAATGACTAGTTGTTGAGATGTGTTGAATTGATCATTTGCTAAAAATGTAGCAATCAGTACCATACCACAGTATGCCATATATATTCAATATCATATCATATCATACCACTAGATGATGAGTGTTGTGGTTTTGACATAAATTCATTCAGTTTTGTTGGGTTTCACAATATGAGCTACTTTCATGTTAATGTTACATTTCTTTCCCATTCTTAATGTATCAGAGAATACCTTACTATCCCACTGCATGAAGTGGGGCAATAAGGTATATGGTCCATCCTGCATAAAGCACAAAATATATATACTTACAGGATCTGAAGCACCAAAGAAGAGTGGTACATTCTTTGAGACAGACCTTGACTCTCATAAGACAACAGATGTGGCACTATCTCATAAAACAGTACCAAACAAGGTAAGAAATAACTAAATTGAAACTAGTTCCAAATAAGGTAAAAAACTACAGTAGAAGCAAATAAGGTAAAGAAAACAAAATCAGGTAAGGCCAAAGAAAGTAACAGCAAATAAAGTAAAAAAAATAATTGAGTAACTTAAAAAATACTGTTTAGACTGACTTCAATTTTTTCTAAATCATCTACAAGTTTTCAGAAGTTCAAATCTGACTTTACATTTAAGATTTGACCTTCAATGATATTTTCAAGGTCAAAAAAGGTCAAAAAGGTCTTCTTCAGCTTGCTTCAAATTGAGCAATTTTTTTTAAAAATCATCTACAAGTTCTCAAAAGTTCAAATATGGCTATAGATTTGACCTTCAATGACATTCCCAAGGTCAAAAAAGATTTGACCTTTAATGACCTTCTCAAGGTCAAAAAGGTCTTTTTTCAACTTGCTTCAAATTGACCAATTTTTTTTCAAAATCATCTACAAGTTCCCAGAAGTTCAAAACTGACTTTAGATTTGAGATTTCACCTTCAATGATCTTCTCAGGGTCAAAAGAATTGCTTTAAGTTGACCAATGTTTTTCAAAATCATCTTCAGAGTTCTCAGAAATTCAAATCTGACTTATGATCGAACTCATAATATTGTGATCAATTAGATGGTGACATTTTGTCATGTTAATGCCTTGTTGTCATTGTTATTAAGTTCATTTACTTTATTGTTTATTTTGCAGGATGCCAAAGATTTTGCCAACCATCAAGTCAGAAGTGCTACCTTACCACATAACATGAGTGCAAACAGACCCCTAAGCAACACCAGTAGAACCCCTGGCAGCTCAAGTAGACCCCTTGGCAGCACCACCACACAGCAAACCATCACCACCACTACCAGCAATGGCTACACTCCAGTCGATATCAGTGATGCAGAGGACAACATGAAACGTTTCTATGGTGAGTCTAAATCATATTATTGCCCTGAACTTGTCATTCAATACTTGCCACACTAATGAGAACCAACTATTTTATACAGTGTATCATATTAGTATTATGCCTCACAACCCTATTTGGTACTGTGTCCATATATCGAAGAAGTTTGTTGGAAAGTTGTCTGGCATAAAGTGCTGAAGACGTCTCATCATTTTCCTGGTAAGTTCTACAACCTGTAGTGGTGCATTTCTGTTACACTGCCTGGTAAATTCAGTGTTATACCTTACATCAATGGTCTCCAAATCTGCAATTACTAAACGGGATCCTTTTGGGCCATACCGTACCAGATAATTGTCCATCTTCACATCTCGAAAGGTCAAGTGCTTTGATACACCTATCGATGTATAGTAAAGTCGTCGATCAATATTCATGAGCTGATTAAAAACATCAAGAGCTGCCACCGATCGATTTGATTCACTCTTTATGTAACTTTCTATTGTATCTAAGTATTCATAAACAACAGTTATCTGTTCCAGTTCTCTATATTCAGGATCATAGAGAATATTATGCATATGACGTTTCATATCTTTCATAGAGCTGGAATTCCCATTTTTGCTTTGTATGCAAAATCCCAGTGGAATCGCTAAGTCCTCACTCTGTAGGGCAGAGTATAGCATTATCTCTCTCATGGTTATTAGATGGATTTCTTGGATCCAGTTTGAATCAATATCAGCTTTATTTGAATGTTTTATAACTACTTTTGTGCCATTTTGAATAATTATTTCATTTCCAAAAGTTAGACGCTGAATCAAATCAGTTTCACCAGAATATATTCCTTTAAGACATTCTTTATGGTATCCTTTTCCACAAGATTCTAGAGGTAGGATAGTCTTCATGCTATCACAATTAAATGCATACATGTCATCATTATCATACTCAAACTGAACAAGTGACAGGAATATTGGTGATGACATGGCAAAGCAAAACAAATAATTGTGAGCTACTTTCCCTTTCCATATTTGAAGAATATCCGTTAGATTTTGTTCTATTGCGCTTACATCCATTTTCAATGTTGTTGGGATTTTCGCATCCAAATGTGTCCCATTGTGATTGTTTTGTTCCATGCTTTTGTAATGGTAAATGTTGCTTTTCCCTATCTTCCCAGTGTATTGTCTTCCATTGTAATTGTTTAGGAAAAAAATGTATAAGTTATAAATAACCACTATTGATAAAAGGAAAGGAAGAACTGTCATTCTGAGAAACCTTGTCATAGTTAAGAAAATATGTCAACTCCGTTTATAGCATATGTTATTATCCCACTAACAAAGTTATACTGAACGAAGAGTTGGGATATAGAAAGTCCATTCAATAATGTCAGTCTTCCAATAATCTTAGCATTTTGGTGGGATTTGCAACTCATTGGAGGATCTTTATAATATTGTATTATACAACTTAATTTGCATGACACTACAGCATGTGTGCCAGTCTGCCATTGACAAATGAAAACGCTGAATGCCATTGATGATTCATTCATTCATAACAATATGTCAATTACCGCTGAAGAATGAACTAAACAGACATGATGTTTATGGACACATGATTTTAATGTCAATGATGTTGGGTATGTTGACCCATTCTTTAGGATATTCATTCTATTGATCACTATTAATATCAGACTACATTGTATTGTACCTAAATGTTGGTAATTCGTGAATAAAGGAATCAAAATAAGGAATCAGAATGTAAGCCCATGGAATGGTGTCATCTTTCAAAATTAAAAGTTACACTGAAGAAACCTAAACCACTTCAAATTGATACAGGTTGTAACAAGATAAAACCAATTTTGGTCTTAATATATAAAGCCGAGGACCAAAAGCAGGAAACATGTTAATATTATTATAGGATTTATTTATACTAATTCACTGAGAGCAAACCTGCATACAATAAAGATACAAAAGGATGCAATAACATTGTAGAAAATAGAATTACAATAGTTAAAAATTATTTTAATGACACAAGCTAACTGTCCATCTTATTATAACTCCTCTTTGGTATTTTCTGGTTCAGGTGTATTATCCTTGATTATCTGTGGAATAGTTTCAGCAAATAGTTTAGCAGTATCTTTACCATAGTCTGCTATAACAGTAGGCTCTAATTCTAGAGATATTGCTGTGTTTCTGCCATCTGTACTGCTGGCAGGCCAGTCTGGTAGGTTAGGGCCATTTGGGTCACTGAAAAAATTGAATATTTATTAGTGGTGCAAGTCATAAAGAAAACTTGAATCTGTATGATCATTGAAAAATAAGCCACAAGTCGATGAGAAAAGTGTGATCATATTGTCGTATGGTCTTAAAACAAATTTTCCATTCTCCTAATTCAACATAACGCTTCCATAATATTCTAATATTTCTATATGCGAACCTCTAAAAGTTAGATTTGATAATGTTTGATATAGCGTCTTAAAATAGACTTAACTGAGACATGATTCTTGAGTCTGCACAGTTATTTGATGGCCCTTACTGTGCCAGTAATGGAACTACTACTAGTTACTGCACCACTAGTATTTATATATATATGTTTATACAACTGGGTTTGTTCACTGTTAATATTAATTCAAATCGTATATTCATCATCCTTATGGTGTTTTCCAGATTTTACATGGTGTTTGAGCTTGTCATTCCAAAATGTTTCATTGCTACTCACCCAGTCTTAGCAAAGTTGAGCCAATAGTTTACAAACAAGTCTTCCATACGAATATCCTCTTCATTCCAAGTAACATTACTGAACATTGGTTCTGAATTGATAGTATGGCTTGTCCCAAAACAGAAGAAAAGATCATCAGCATGGTCTGTTTCTATATAACTTGGCCTGAACTTCATAATATGACTCGGCGCTTTATTCAGCACATAAAATTTTACATCTGCACCTACATCTGTAATTGAAATAAAAAAGACATAATTGGTGTAATTTTGAATTTTATATATCAGAAAAATTTACTTCTTTTATCCTCTTATTTCAACATTGTAGATATTTTGATCTCTTATCACCATTCATTGGATGCAATAAATAAGTCAGGATGGATGCATTAAATATAAATCTGCCTGCTTGTTTCCATACCTCTAAATTTGTTTGCAGTTCTTATTGCTGGAGCATTCAGTAATATAGCTCCACCAATTCTTGCTGCTGCCACAATCAGATCTTCTTCTGTCGGGTCAGATACTTTGAGGTATTGATCTAGCAGAGCTGTAATGCACAGAAATATAGCATAGCACAAGTTGAATTGTATGAAATAGAATTGACTATGGTCTGGAGGTAGTTTTTTGATGAAGTGTCATCACTTTAAAACACAGCTATGGGTCACAAATGTAAGGGGTTGAATTCTTACATGCTCTGAATTAAAAACATAAGTTAAACATATTACCCAATTCACTTATTTCTATATTAACTTAGCCATATCCACAAGAGTACATTGCTTTTTACGAAGAGTCCTAATGGAGCAGGTCCCTTAAGCCACTAATATGCTGACTTGACATGGATGAAAAGATGAGAGATTAATAAAATCATTTAGTTCACTGAATTGTTCATTGAATTGTTCTCACCATCTATGATTCCATCATACATTGCTTTATTGTCTTCACTTGGAGGGGGTGTCAGTAAGAACATCATCAACAGTATTTGCATGTCATTTTTCAAGTTCTCCAATGTTTTATCAGCAACGAATGTTGTCATAAACTCATCAGATTTTGTGAACATGTAGCCTATATAATACACAATTCACACAATACATATTTGATCCAATTATATTGCAGTTTATTAATACATTTATGTTGTCAAGATCAAAGGAAATTGAGCAGTTGATTTTCTTTAAAAATTGATAAAAATTAAGCTCAATTTTTGAAGCCAGTATAATATGTATTGTTACTAGTTTGTTCAAAATACGTATAATGAAGCTCAAGGTCACCTTCTATGTCATTGACTCCAAATATGAACTTTATTCCCTTGAGTTGCTTCTGAATATCATCATCTTCCAGAAGTTCCATTGGGTGTTTAGGGAAGAATGAATCTCCAAATATAGGGACCCACATTATACCTGGTGGTGGATCATCCTCTTTTAGTGGTGCTGGTCTTACTAAGTCCATATATGGTTTGGTTCTCAGACAATCCAACACTTCATCTGTGTTTTCTGACTCACAACCTTAAAGCAGGGAATGTGTATGATGAGAATTGATTTCACTTTATTTTGATTCTGATTTTACATAAAAGTTCAGTACTAATTAAGAAAAACACAATTTCCATATTTCTTTTATCTAGGCAGTAATTACAATAAATCAAACATGTGACCCTTCTTACCTGTCAGAGTGGCTAGAGTGTTCACATTAGCAGTCTGCATTTCTTGAGACTGAACCACGTCAGCAAATGCAACTGAACCACTCTGACCAATAGCCTTGTTAAACAATCCTTTGGCCAGTGGTGAAATGGACTGTGCACTGACAGACCAACTACCGGCACTTTCTCCAAATATGGTCACCTGGGATGCATCCCCACCAAATGATGCAATATTTTTCTGGACCCATTTTAGAGCCATCACCTGGTCAAGGAGGTTCTGGTTACCAGGAGCGTTATCATCATTAGTTGACAGCATACCTGTGTAGAATAAGATTCAAGGTTACCATCATCATTCAATGATGTTTCTATGTTTCAATTAGAATCATGTTTTTCCAAATACAGTGAGTTTGATTCAAAGGTTTTTTTGATTACCTAGTACCCAAAGTTGGATAGAATAAGTTCATGTAATGTTTTAATCCAATACCTCGAGACTGATTTAATAAATCAATGTTTACCTAGTACCCCTAGTCTGTAGTTGATGCTGACCACCACCACATCTCCAAGAGAAGCCAGAGCAGTCCCATCTGGTATTCTACCACTTCCTGAAAATGAGAAAAATGGGAAAATGAGAATAAACTTTTTTTCCCCCTTCCTGATAAAGATGTATCACTTCCTGGAAATGAAAATATGGAAATAAATAGAAAAGAGTTCTTTTCTTAAAAAGTGGTTTATCTGTACCTATTACCAAGGCTCCTCCATGAATCCAAACCATCACAGGTAAATTAGCCTTTTCATTGAGTGTTGGGGTATAAACACTGAGTACTAAACAACTCTCATTGTCATGCTCTTCCATCTCCCCTAATCCAACTTCTTTGAAGAACTCTTTTATTTGTTCATAATCCTGAGGACACTCAACCACTGCAAATAGAACATCAGTTAAGTTACTGTCTCAACAAAATATGAAAAGCTCTGTTTTAGAGGTGTCTTTTCAAATTTTTAGGTTTCACTTACATGTTTTGGTCATAACATTGGACAGATTTTGATTACAAATATCAGGTTTGGCAAATAATGTTGTGGAAGATTATTCTCTGCATATTCAGAGACCACATACCTTTATTCAATTGTAATATTTTGGTTTGGTTTGTTAAAGATTTTGTATCTCAGTATCTCAAAACATCCATAACTTTAATACAGTAATTTACCTTCACATTCCCCAATAAATATAAATTAAGACCCATACTTGCTTGTGTAGCATCTAGCTCCCCTGTCCAAGGTTTTACTTCCTCAGGGGCTTTGAATCTCAAGGGTCCAATAGGTTGGGTGGCATAAGGAATTCCTCTGAAGTTGTAAATAGGTTTAACTGCATTGTCTAAGGTGTAGCTAATGGTGCCTCTAATTCTGCCATCTTGGATTGTATGTACCACTGTAGGCCCAGTAGCCACACAACCTAAAGATAAAACAGGATATTGATACATTTTGAGAAAAACTTTGATCATTGTGATATGTTATTCCCCATATTATCCCTTTAATATAGTAGATATACCTAAGATATACTTGGTCTGTGTTAACAAGTCCTACCAAATAGAAAAGTTGTTGAATGAAAGAGGGCAGTGTAATAACTCTCGAGAGCCTTTTACAGCATGCATTCACAGACTAAAGACAAAAACTTATATATTGACTTTATGCAATAGATACAAGAGGTCTAAAGGTGCTCATTTTGATTACCCAGTGATTTTATCCATCAAACATTACCATGATCCTTGTGGTTTCCATATTCTCAATTATACTCTGTGGTTGTTTGTAGCTTGAATGAATAGCCAAACTCTGTGGAATGTTGCTTAACCTTTAGCGTGCTGCCGGCGGACTCGTCCGCCGAGACTAAAATGTCTCTCACAACTGCCGGCGGACCCGTACACCCGATTTCAAACTTTTAAAAACTTTACTTTTCGCGCCATTCGTATTGTCCAATTAGATTGCCCGATTTATTCAGTGCCTAACATGACTTCCTGTTGACCTAGAAATGGCGATATTTCGAAAAATAATTCTCAATTCAACAATTTAAACAGTGTTTTAGTCGTTTTTAGTGAACGAATCGTACAAAATGGTGGACAAATACGATCACAACGAAAATGTGGAGGAAATGGATTACGATTTCGAGCTCTTTAGGCTCTTGGAAGCCGATAACGGTCATCGAAAATAGAAACTAGAATATTTTCTGAATTGAAAAATTGAACATTCGATCGCTGCAAATTCAGATTTGGATTCTGACCAGACGAAGAGGCGGAGCGGCGGATTCCGGAGGAGTATTCATGGTATATTTATGCCCAGTCGTGTTAATGTACGAAAAAATTCTTGAGAACATTTTTTTCATGAGCCAGGCCACTGTATCTTCCCTTTGTGAAAATTTTATCCAGATTCATTCAGTAGTTATTGAGATATTAATTATTTAGTCCAGGCATATCATTTTTTGCACTCTTTGAAAAATAAGCCAGTTGCGTGGGATATATTTGCTGAAATAAGGCAGCATGGTAAAGGTTAAATCAATGTAAAGTTAAAGTTTGAAATAGCCATTCTCTATTTTGAAAGATAAGGTAACCGCTGTCCATGTTTCTTGATACCGACTGATTGCGGGGAAACATCAAATTCATAAGCCTCTTAATAACTAACATGACAATTACCCATATTAGTCTTGATGAGTTTGAAAGAACTGATTTTTTTCCCCTGCCAGAATATGGGGCTTTGATTCATATTAAAAAACTTTTGACTTACCATATATTCCAAGAAGTAAAATTGTGAAGAATTGCGTCCCTGACATGTTTCTGCCTTGATATCGTATGTACATCTAGTCTTAGAATTACAATTTGAATACCTAAAAATAAGACTTCGTTTAAATATTGTATTAATCCTGCAAATATTGGGACAAAGTGAACCTTAACCTCTTATGTTACCAAATATAGATATACACTTATACTATGGAGCATGTAGATGATAATGGCTCAATATTGTGATTGGCCTGACATGATTAAATTTTGTACGCCCCCCTGCAGTTGAAGCCTCTTACCATTTTAATCTTACTATTTTTGCATAAGCCCTTTTCATATCAACTTAAGTTGTGGCTAATAATGCCTTTGGACCCAGTCTTAATGCTTTAGTGTATATTCTATAATGTATAAATAAATATTTAATAAGTACATGTAAATGATTCATTCAATAGTTTGAGTGCTTTGCCATTAGAAATGAACTATTGCTGAACTATGTATTGAGACCATTTAACTAACTTTAACCTTTATCCTCCCAGATATGCTTTTAAGTGTGGTGCTTTCAATCCCTATATAGATTCTGAAAACTTAAAGTTAAACTGATTATTTTGTGATACCATTATGGCAGTCTTGATGCGTAAAATCAAACATAAAGCTGTTTTATGACCACAATACCACAAATATCAAGAAAAATGGCGAATTACAAGAATCATTAGCATATTTGGAGTAGACAAAGTACCCCATAATGTTGCAGATAGTGAAAAAATAATGTGAAATGTAAGCTTGTGTTGGTTTTTCAATCGATTAAACTTCAAACTTTTCAAAAATTGAGTATTCACACATGTACCTGTTTGTTTATATTACACCCCTGTAATAAGTATGCACAACTTTTTGAAGCTATGATGAATGTGTGGACAATGCCCAGAAAAATTGTTTCGGACTGACTTGGTTTTCAGAAATACTTCTAGGTGTGAAAACAAAGAACTATGAAATGATTTTGCTGTGTAAACTCTAAGTTTTCCATTTTGTATGCCCAACTTAAAGGTAATGTACAGTATAAATACTTGTGTTGCAAATTCTTTTATTAAACATTCTATGGAACATTTATAAATATGAGTTCTTGGATCCCAAGACATTTTGCGCCATGCAACAGTCAACAATTTTTTCATTAAAAACAACAACATAATCTAACTTGATATATCAAATATCAGTAGTCAGGATTTTCAAGATGGCTGTTGAATTAATAGTGACTGCCTTTTTCAGAAAAAATATAATTTATAATAACTCAGATACCAACTATCAGTTTATTAATGGTTCAAACTTTTTAAGGTGATGTTTGGTGTCATAGTTACATGTAGATTTTACCAAAACGACAATAAAACTGTTTGTTTATCTATAAGCATGAAATGCTCAAAATAATAAGTGATTTTATAAAATATGTTTTGTTCTGTGGGATTTGATTCCCTGATTAGTTGCTGTTTTCTAGTTTCGATAAGCAAAATAGGAAAAATGTAATTCAAAAGAAGTTAAAAAATATATGACACAGATTTTTCTACACAAAAACATTATTGGCAGAATGATTTGACATTTGTCTATTTTGTATCAATCCTGGTATTATCTATAGAGTAAAACTCTGTATGGTTGCTATAGTGAAGGCTGGAAGAGTAAAACTCTGTGTGGTTGCTATAGTGAAGGCTGGAAGAGTAAAACTCTGTATGGTTGCTATAGTGAAGACTGGAAGAGTAAAACGCTGTATGGTTGCTATAGTGAAGGCTGGAAGAGTAAAACTCTGTATGGTTGCTATAGACTGGAAGAGTAAAACTCTGTATGGTTGCTATAGTGAAGGCTGGAAGAGTAAAACTCTGTATGGTTCCTTAAGGATGCAGTACCGGGTCGGTTTTCACGTCTGTTTGCGCAGGTTTGACATCCGGTTTGAGAAAGCTAGCTCCCAATAACGTCATTTTCGCATTTAGTCTTATTCAAAAATTATAGTTTATTTCGATAATGGTGTTTCCAGAAAAGAATTAAATTGCAAATATTTTATCAAGCATATTTTATCCCTTTCACTTTTATGGGAAAACTTGTTCTTGGGTCGCAATTAGTGGATACGAAAACCAGGGTTCAAAAGGTGCCAGCTCTATTGAAAACTCAAAAAAGTAAAAAGATTCATTTTGGGTGGGTAAATATTTTTTTTATTTTTTAATTACCAGACGGTCAATCCTCTTCATATTGCACTTGGATGATGATAACACCATAGTGATACATTGTAAAACATATGAGCAAAATCTAATGTCTGGAACTTTTTCTACGCTGACCTGGTACTGCATCCTTAAGTGAAGGCTGGAAGAGTAAAACTCTGTATGGTTGCTATAGTGAAGGCTGGAAGAGTAAAACTCTGTATGGTTGCTATAGACTGGAAGAGTAAAACTCTGTATGGTTCCTTAAGTGAAGGCTGGAAGAGTAAAACTCTGTATGGTTGCTATAGTGAAGGCTGGAAGAGTAAAACTCTGTATGGTTGCTATAGACTGGAAGAGTAAAACTCTGTATGGTTCCTTAAGTGAGGGGTGTTGAATCTTTGGTGCACATTGGCCTCAAACTATTATTCCATTCAATGCCAATTTCTATGAGTAAACTTTTATGACCTTTGATAACTGTTCATCTAATTATAATTCCTCTTTTATATTTTCTTGTTCTGGTGTATTGTCCTTTATAATCTGTGGAATAGTTTCACCAAATAGTTTTGCAACATCCTTCCCATAGTCTGCTATCACAGTAGGCTCTAATTCTAGAGATATTGCTGTGTTTCTGCCATCTGTACTGCTGGCAGGCCAGTCTGGTAGGTTAGGGCCATTTGGGTCACTGAAAAATTCAAGTATTCACACATGTACTTGACTAGATTTGTTCCAAAGGGAAAGGACCAAAAGTTGTAATGGAACTTAGCAAGAAAAAGCAAACTCTAAGTGCATACCAGTCAAGAAAAACAAACCCCATATAGCCCAAAACCATGATCTAACGTGAAAAAAAACAATGTCCAATACCCCCTTTCCCCCACCATTCAAGAACCAATATCACAATCCAAGACCAGAAGACCAAGGGTCATTTCATTCATACTGAAGTCATTACAATACATGTTGAAGAAAAAATTAGAAATTGATAGCCAATACAGGAGTTTAGCCTTGCTAAATAGTTGAAAATACTCTATAAACAGCCAATAGATGTCTAGCCCATTTTCAGAAAAAGAATCTTAGGCCTAATGCAGTTCCCCATTGAACCAACATGTAAAACATCACATTTATACTATGATTTTAACATCATAATGCTACCATTTCTGTTTCCTCAATCATTCAGAAAATCATCAGATCTTTAGGTAAGATCTTATATATCATTGGTATGAAGTTTTTTAGTCTTTTAAAACAACTTAAATAATGGAAAATAAAGATGAATATTGGCTATTTTGTTTAAAATATTTGGCTTGATGTTGGTCCGCTTAAATCACCAAAATGACCTGGGGTCAATAGGTTTATATAGCCACCAGTAAGATACTGCTTGTTTTAAGTGCAGCTTGAATTACAATGTTTACTATTGTCCACATACTGATACAGGATAAAAGGTTAAGTTAACTAGATAGTTAGAGACTATTCAGATATTTGATGCAGGATTTGAGAGTTTACATTCAGACATAGTTTTATAACTAATCCCAAATAAATTATTTGCAGACTCAAAAACTGATCCAATATGCCAACTTACACTTATATTTGACATCATTGAAAATGTTTCTAAAGTTTTTTCTCCAGATATTTTTATTAACGAATACTACAAAATGTAATTATAGATGTTAGATATCTTGTACTTTCAGAAGAAATACTAAGAAGAAAGTAGATTAACTAATTCACATGTAATGTATGGCCCTGTAGTGACCCTTGACCAATTAGTCATTTTCCAGTTATATAACAGTTGGAAAAGATATGTCTTTGATGTCTTTAAATAAATAACAATCTTATCATGACCTATGACCCAAGAATTTTTTAAAATAAAAACAATTTTTCAAAGATTCAAAGAAAAGGGTGAAAAATCTAGAGAATCCCCATACCTTCTATGTTATCATTTCCTGAATTTTTAACATGTGACTGCCATCTTTATATTGAATTAGCTTAGGCTAAAAGGGCTTATTGATAGCCAATACTCATAACCTCAAAAATAGTTGTAGATACAATTTCTCATACAAGATAGAGCATTCAGTCTCAAATGATGTGGGATAGATAAAATCCAGTCTCCAAGGCCATAGGCGTTTCAAAGGGTCAACATCCATTCACAAAAGCCGTCGCCATAATCCATAAAACACAATAATTCACAATGGTCATCAGGAGAAATTAATGCCATGAAATTAATGATTTGTAAAGTATATTCACCAACCACATGAACTAATGAACATGAGCAGATTTTATTGTTATTTGGTCTTTTAGCTCTTAATCCCTTGACTTTACTAGAATATCATATCCTGATTAGGGGACACATGCACTGTATTTTTGTATGTACCATGTGCTAGTGAATTGCGTAATGTTTTAATGAGGTTTCTCCCCAGGTATCACTAACACTTACATAATTCTTTTGAAAGACATCACGGTTTATTGCAATCAAACTCTGACATACGCAAGCAGCCGATAAGGTTGCAACAGTGTGTAGTTTGCGGTTTAAGTGCGCTTGGATGAACTGCTTTTGTTGAAAAAGTGTGAGCATGTAATTTGCAACAGATGGGCTCGTTGTTCCTTTTCTCGATACCTAGGGGGAATACTTATTATTATATTTTATGCAATGCACTGGCCCGTGGGCAGTTCAATAACACAGTCTATATCCATATCCCATTTTGATGGCGATAATTAATACTATTAAGAAAACAATGATTCATTCCTACTCACCCAGTCTTTGCAAAGTTGATCCAATAGTTTACAAACAATTCTTCCATACGAATATCCTCTTCATTCCAAGTAACATTACTGAACATTGGTTCTGAATTGATAGTATGGCTTAAGCCAAAGCAGAAGAATAAATCATCACCGTGGTCTGTTTCTATGAAACTTGGTCTGAAGTTCATGAAGTGACTTGGCCCTTTATTCAGCACATAAAACTTAACATCTGCACCTATTTCTGCAATTGAAATAATGAAAACATAATTGTTATACTTCATAACATGTTAGATAACTCAGCAAAATTTACTTCTTTTATCCTCTTATAACAAAATTGTGGATATTTGAATCTCTCATCATCGTTCATTCGAAATACAATAAATAATCAGGATGGATACATTTATATTATTAAGTGAATCTGTCTGTTTGATTCTTACTGTACCTCTAAACTTGTTTGCAGTTCTTATTGGTGGAGCTTGCAGCAATATACCTCCACCAATTCTTGCTGCTGTCACAATCAAATCTTCCTCTGTAGGGTCAGATACTTTGAGGTAGTGATCAAGCAGGGCTGTGTTGCACAAAAATACAAGTTAAATTTCATGAAATAAGGTTGTAATTTGATAGAGTGTCCTCACAGATTTTAAAAACAGAGCAGGGCACAAAAGTAATGTTTTTTAATTCTTGCAAAGCATACTCTAAAATATTGCCCCATCCACTTATTGTATGTATGTATTATCCACAAGTACAAGGTCTGAAGAAGAGCCTTATAGAGCAGGTCCCTTAAAACACCAAGCTTCATACTTGACTTAGAGAGATTTATAAATGCATTCAGTTCATTGAATTGTTCTCACCATCTATGATTCCATCATACATTGCTTTATTGTCTTCACTTGGAGGGGGTGTATGTAAGAACATCATCAGCAGCATCTGTACATCATTTTTCAAGTTCGTCAATGTTTTTTCAGAAGAAAATGTTCTCATGAATAGATCAGCTTTTGTCAACATGTAGGCTATAAATACACAATTCACATAATACATATTTGATCCAATTACTTAGGTTCACATGAATTTTGTCAAAATTAAAAGTAAATAGGCGATTTCTTTAAATACAGAAAAAATAAATTCCACTTTTTTAAGTCAGTATGTACAGTATCAATCCTTGTTCGAACAAAAAATATTAGAAGCCCAAAGTCACCTTCAATGTCATTAACTCCAAATATGAACTTTATTCCTTTGAGTTGCTTGTGAGTATCTTCATCTTCCAAAAGTTCCATTGGGTGTTTGGGGAAGAATGAATCTCCTGATATAGGGGTCCACATCAAAATGGGTGGTGGATCATCCTCTTTTAGTGGTGCTGGTTTTACTAAGTCCATATAAGGCTTGGTTCTCAAGCAATCTAACACCTCATCTGTGTTTTCTGATTCACAACCTAAAAGCATGGAATATTCACCATGAGAATTGAATTCACTTTATTTTACATTCCTTACTTATTTTACATGATAGTGTGAAAAAACATCACTTCTTTAATTTTTAATTTTATTTTGTCCTTGTCATAATGAGCTTAAAGATTACCAATAAATAAAATATGTGACCTTCCTTACCTGTCAAAGTGGCTAGAGCCTTCACACTAGCAATCTGTATTTCTGGAGGCTTAACCACTTCAGCAAATGCAACTGAACCACTCTGGCCAATAACCTTGTTAAACAATCCTTTAGCCAGTGGTGAAATGGACTGTGCACTGACAGACCAACTACCGGCACTTTCTCCAAATATGGTCACCTGGGATGCATCCCCGCCAAACGATGCAATATTTTTCTGGACCCATTTTAGAGCCATCACCTGGTCAAGGAGGTTCTGGTTACCAGGAGCGTTATCATCGTTAGTTGACAGCATACCTGTGTAGAGTAAGATTCAAGTTCACCATCATCATTCATGGATATTTCTATGTTTCAAGTAGAATAGTAGTTTGATGCAAGGGATTTTGATTTACCTAGTGTCCAGAGTTGGACAGAATAAATAATGTTTTGAGCTAGTACCTTGAGTCTGATTAAGTGAATCATGTTTTACCTAATACCCCTAGTCTGTAGTTGATGCTAACCACCACCACATCTCCAAGAGAAGCCAAAGTAGTCCCATCTGGTATTCTACCACTTCCTGGAAATAATTGTGAAATAGGAAAAGGGGAAAATGAGAAATGTTTTTTTCTCTCCCACTTCCTGAAAAAGTGTTCACCTTCCTGGAAATTGGAATAAGGCAATATGAATATGTTCTTTTCATCCATTTCTTATTTCTTGGATAAAATAAAGAATCAAAAACAACAAACCAAATAAAAAACAATAGGGTAACCAAAAGGATTTCTGGCTGATCAAATGAAATTGTTTTTCGATCCATATTATAAATTATCCTACCTATTTGGAATCCTCCTCCATGAATCCAAACCATCACTGGTAAATTAGCCTTTTCATTGAGTGTTGGGGTATAAACACTGAGCACTAAACAACTCTCATTGTCATACTCTTTGATTTCTCCTAATCCAAGATCTTTGAAGAACATTTTCATTTGTGCATAATCCTGAGGACATTCAACCACTGCAAACAGAACATCAATACTTTAGATCATAGAACTGAGTGAATAAAATATGAAAAACTTGTTCATGTCACTGTTTCAGAGGGGTTGTTTCAAATTTTAAGCTCTCATTTGCAGGTTATTGTCAAAACATCTGACAGATTTTGATTGTTGCGTTAGGTATGGTAAATCCTGTTCTGAAAAATTATTCATCACAAACACAGTACATTGACTTTCATTATCAAGTTAAATTATTTCGGTTTGGTTTGTAAAATATTTTGAATCTCAGTATCTCAGAACATTGATAACTTTAATACAGATATTTGCCTTCACATTTGCCAATAAGTATAAATTAAGACCCATACTTGCTTGTGTAGCATCTAGCTCCCCTGTCCAAGGTTCTACTTCCTTAGGGGCCTTGAATCTCAAAGGTCCAATGGGCTGGCTGGCATAAGGAATTCCTCTGAAGTTGTAAATAGGTTTAACTGCATTGTCTAAGGTGTAGCTAATGGTGCCTCTTATAGTGCCATCTTGGATTGTATGTACCACTGTAGGCCCATCAGCAGCCACACAACCTAAGGATAAAACAGGATAGTATTTGATATTGGATTTTGTCATGTAACCACACTGATAAATTTTGAGACAAAGATGTGATCATTTTCACATGTCATGCAGTCATGCCCCATATTATCCCTGGTAAAAAAGTGACAGTCGCCCATCAAAGTCTACTAAAATAAATTAATTAGATGAATGAAAAGAGGGCAGTGTAATTACTGTTGAAAGCCTTTTTCACCAAATCTTTACAAAGACTAAAGATATCTACTTATATTTAGAGGCTGTGTCACTATAATGTGAAATATGCTTGAGTTCTGCCAATATAGGCCGACCTTTGGAGGCTCTGTGCTTGGGCAAAAACGAAGGCATATTTCATGTCACTGTGACATATAACTGATAAATGCATATCCTTTATTCCCATGGTTGCTTTGTATCAATGACATCACACATCTTTGCGCGAGCAAAATTTAATCAAAATAATCATGACATCATTATACTTACTGTATTGTCATGATTATTAAAGAAATTTAATATCAAAACAAGGTAACAAAACAAGGATAATCAGGCAACATCAGTGGATATAGCTCACTAATTTTCCCATTGACTTCCATACAAATGCAATAGGTCTAAATAACCTTGCTTTTAATTACCTTTTGATTTTATCAATCAAACATTTATGATCATCCTTATGGTTTCCACAAACAACTTTGCTCACAAAGTTCTCTAAAACTCACTTTATAGTATTGGTTTTAGTGCTTTCTGCTCTCTCAAATGTTCTCTGTGGTGGTTTGTAGTTTAATGGAATAGTCAAACTCCATGGTCAACTCATGTCCATGTTTCATGATACTGACTTAGTTAAGGGAAAAAATCAAATTCATAAGCCTCTCAACTAGTATGGCAAACACTTGTATAACCCTACTATCACACCAAACTAGTTCTCACTACGTTCTCGAAAACGGGCTTCAACTGTGTACGAACGGACTGGACCTACTAAGAACCGTTTGGGATCTATTTACAAACTTCATCGAACGTACTCGAACGGGTAGGTCCACTAGAACTTAGACAATGCTCAAAATGTTTTCGTGGTCGTCACGTTCTACAATTAGAACGAGTGACAACGTACTAACGACGAGCTGGACGTACTACGATCGGAACCGTCGTACTTCAATCCTACTAGGGACGTTTTAACAACGAGTTGAACTGTCCGAGGACGTGTTGAGAACGAGGTAGAACTAATTGCAAATTTAAACTGATTAAGAACGTATTTAACACTGCTGATGAACGAGTTAGCAAAAATATAGCTATCACACCAAACAAGTTGCCACTGCGTTCTTCAAAACTGGTCTTAAACTGTGTGCGAACGGAATGAACGTAGCTGCAACTTTCTAACGTCTATTTACGAACTTTATGAACGTTCTCAGACGGGAATGTAATTTTAGAATTTTGAATCGATTCAAAGTTCGATGGCGACCATACCGTTCTGTAGTCAGGTCATGTTGACCTTCTAGACTGAGGGACGCGTTCAAATACGTTGCACACCGACGTTGTGCGACCTGAACAAACTGCGAACGAGATGGACGTATTGAAGACTGTTTAAGAACGAAGAAGCTAATTATTTCAGACATATTTCCCGACCACAGCCAGATTGAGCCCGTTTTAGGACGTTTTCGTAGGACTGGCAAGAACGGGTAAGAACTAGTTTGGTGTGATAGGGGGGTAAGTCTAGATAAGTTTTAGAAATTGTATTTCTTTTCATTCCCAAAATATGGGGGTTTGATTTATATCATATAACCTTTGACTTACCATATATTCCAAGAAGTAAGATTGTGAAGAAGTGTGTTCCTGGCATGCTTCTACCTTGGTTTCGATCAGTTATCTAGTCTTAAAAGTTTGAAATATCTTAAACTCAGACTTTGTTCAAATATTGTATTAATCCTGCAAACATTTTGACAAAGTGAACTTTAACCGCATATGTTAGTCTTATGCAGATATGTACACTTATACTATTAGACAAGGTAATGCAAACACTGGGACACTATGGCCACTTTGGAGTGTGTAGATGATAATGATTCAATTTGTTGATTTGTCTTACATCATCAAACAAGATAGCAAATGATTCATTCAAAAGTTAGAGTGCACTGCTATTTGAAATTAGCTATTGTTGAACTACATATATGTGTTAAATCCTTGGACTAACTTTAAATGCATTTTGGATTTCCTTTCTAAAATCTTGTCTGCATTGTACCTGGGGTTGACTTGATTTTTAGGAGTATTTCTTGGTGTGAAAACATTGTAGCCGAGACAACACAAGTCCCAAGTCTCTATATTAACTCTCATTTCTACACTTTTAAGAGGTAAGTCACCACATTTTGCATGCACATTCCTTAGAGAAATCCTAACAAAGAATTTCATTGGTTTTGATTATAATTCATTTGTTTAAAATAGGGAAACATTTAATTTTGATTGGTCTATAACCAAAATTTGCCATTTTATAACAAATGCAACATTTTGACGAAATTAATAAAAGTCTCTACTTTGAGTGTAATAACTCCAAAATGACCAAATCTTTTCTTATTCAGCACAAATGTAACTGTTTTAGGTAGTTGAGACATTTACGAGAAAAAATGGTATGCAGAAACATGATGTTTTAAATAAAACGGGGCCAAAAACCACCCATGGTGATGCCTGCATTATTTGAGATTTTGGCATGTTTCAATGACCCGAAAAATGGATGGGGTAGGGGTGTGGCATATCTTTTGAGCTTATTCCAGTTACCATTTTAATCAAATGAATGATGACATATTTGGTATCATCTTAAAGCTTGTAATGTGCGCTTCAATTTGGTATCCATGTTATGACATCAAATTATATATTATGACATCACAGTGGTACCAAAACGACCTTAAATGGAAAAAGAAGCACCAAAATGCAGCAAAATAATGGTGCGACTCCAACATTATTTTGACAATTCACTACTTGCCACAATCAATGGATGCATTTCTCTTTGAGGTACACTTCCAATGCATGATCAGATGACTGGTAAAAAATAACCTGTGATAGTAATTGTCAATAAGATTAGAGACAGCATATTGTATCTGTCATTTATAACTTGAAGTTTTATTAATAACGTCAAAATGTTGCATTTGTAGCACAAAATGGAAAATTTTGATTATAGACCAATCAAAATCAAATGATTCCCTATATTTAACAAATAAATTATAATCAAAACCAATGAAATTCTATGTTAGGATTTCTCCAAGGAATGTGCATGCAAAATGTGGTGACTTAACTCTTAAAAGTGAAGAAATTAGAGTAAATATACAGACTTGGGACTTGTGTTGTCTCGGCTACTATGTATTGATTTTGCTGTGTAAATTCTAAGTTGGCCATTGTGAATGCCTACCTTCAACATAATGTAAACTTGGTGTTGTAGATTTTTTTATTGATATATATTTAGTAAGACCATGTATAAAAATGAGTTATCAAGACATCCTGTGTTAACACATCCAACTGTAAAACTTTTGTTATAAAACAATTTAAATATGTCAACAGCCACTTTAAAACAGACATACTTGTAATGTCATATAATGATTGGTACCATTTTTACCCAGCAAATAAAGTTTTGGAGAGATATATTATTATAACTCCTCTTTGGTATTCTCTTGTGGTGTATTGTCCTTGATAATCTGTGGAATAGTTTCACCAAATAGTTTTGCGACATCTTTCCCATAGTCTGCTATAATAGTAGGCTCTAATTCTAGAGATATTGCTGTGTTTCTGCCATCTGTACTGCTGGCAGGCCAGGTAGGAAGGTTAGGGCCATTTGGGTCACTGAAAAATTGAGTATTTATTAGTGGTGTAAGTGATGAAGAAAACTTGAATCAACATGATGGAAAATCAAGTCAGGTAACTGTAAAGTTGAGTATTACACAAATCCTGACTAGTTTTGTTCATTATGTCAACACCAAAAAGTGATGACATATTGTTATGGTTCAGGGTCTGTAACAAATTCTTACAACTTCCAATAACTTAACAAATACTGTTTAGACTGACTCCAATTTTTTTCAAAATCATCTACATGTTTCCAGAAGTTCAAATCTGACTTTATATTTAAGATTTGACCTTTAATGACCTTTTCAAGGTCAAAAAAGGTCAAAAAGGTATTTTTTCAAATTTCAAATTGACCAATTTTTTTCAAAATCATCTTCAACTTATCAGAAGTTCAAATTTGACTTTAGATTTAAGATTTGATCTCAACAACCTTCTCAAGGTCAATGCCAAGGGACAGAAGAGCTTTACTGAGGAAGAGATTTTCAAAATTGCGGCTATTTCTTGTAAAGATATGTAATTTTTGAAAACTCAAATACCAATGGATGGATTTGGTTCAAATTTTATATGCTGATGCCTAGAGACAAAGGAGCTTTGCTCAAAAGACATTTTCAAGATGGCCACTGAATTTCAAAATGGCTTCCCTTTTTTGTAGAAAATGTTATCTTTGATAACTTAAATCCAATGGACTGATTTGGTTCAAATTTTATATGCTGATGCCTAGGGACAAAGGAGCTTTGCTTTTAAGAATCAAGATGGCCTGAATTTCAAAATGGCAGCCATTTTTCATAAAAAATATGTAACCTTTGATTTCTCAAATACCAGTGGACAGATTTTGTTCAAATGTTATAGCTGATATCAAAGAACAAAGGAGCTCTGTTCAAGAAGAAATTTTCAAGATAGCCACTCTTTGACAAAACATGTTTTGTACGATGGGATTTGGTACTCCGTGGAATTGCTGTTTTCTCTTTGTTATTTGGTCTTTGAGCTGTTTATCCTATGGAATCCGTAGGATATCATATCTGATTAGATATAGATGATAACTAAATTCTTCTTCTTGTGAGTCACCTAATGCACATATTATTTCTACTCACCCAGTTTTTGCAAAGTTGAGCCAATAGTTTACAAATAATTCTTCCATACGAAGATCCTCTTTGTTATAAGTAACATTGCTGAACATTGGCTCTTGGCTGTTGTTAGTATGGCTTGAGCCAAAACAGAAGAAAAGATCATCACCATGGTCTGTTTCTATATAGCTTGGCCTGAAGTTCATTAGGTGACTCGACCCTTTATTTAGAACATAAAATTTTACATCTGCGCCTATATCTGCAATGGAAATAAAACATATATTATTTGTCAGACCTCAAAAAAATGTTTTGTTTTCCCATATTATGTCATTGGTTAAATAATCCATGGATTGTTGGTTTGATTTATTAAATCATGCAGATTTGCAATGTATATTTTGGATTAGAAAATATAGTTTTAAAAAATAGTTGTAGATCTTAGTACTCATAAAAGATGGAGCCTCTGGTCTCAAAGTCCATAGGCAATTTGAAGGGTCAACATTTTGCATTCTGAAGCTCAAGGCATGCCCTGGTATAATTGTCATCTTATAGAAATACCACATACAAGCAAGGATGGATAGATTTTATAATATTTTAAGTAAACCTCACTGTACCTCTTAATTTGTTTGCAGTTCTTATTGGTGGAGCTTGTAGAATTAAAGCTCCACCAATTCGTGCTGCTGCAATGACCAGGTCTTCCTCTGTAGGGTCAGATACTTTGACGTAGTGATCAAACAGGGCTACAACAAACATGACATCACAATATATGACAAGAAAATTTCACTCTGAAAAGGCTTGTTCATAGAGCTTACCACAGTACTACTCTTTGTTGCATGGGTACAGGTACTAATCAGACTTCATAATTCCGTGAGCTTGCTCGGTGGTATCATGACTAAGGCTTGGGCTATACGTAATTATCCCAACGAACGAAGTTCGTTAGGGATATAGTGAAGCCCTCCGTCCGTCCGTCTGTCCGTCAGTCTGTCAGTCCGTCAGTCAGTCAGTCAGTCAGTCCGTCCGTCTGTCCGGAAGATAACTCAAATACTAGTTGACAGATTTTCTTCATATTTAGTGGAAAGATGTATATTGGTGAATAGTTTTATGCAAAAAAAATTTTTTTCAAGATGGCCGCCGCTTTAAAAATGACGGGACTTTTTCGCAAAAATCATAAATTTTTCATTCTAAACCAAAGTAATTAATATTATTGTTTGAAATTTTGGTAGTGTATTCACAACATTTATCTATTTCACATATATTCCGTGTTTTTCATCATGACCCCCAGGGGCCATGTATGGGGGGACAGGAAAACAGAAATTTTCGCTAATTTTTAGATCTTTCTGAAGTATAGCTTTATTATACTCAAATGAAAGGCAATTAAGAGTAGATTGCAAATATTGTATCTTTTTTCTGATTCAAGCCTCGTAAAATTCAAAATGGCCGTCTAATGTACGATTTCGCAATAATTTTTCGATCCCTTCAAAGTATGGCTATATTATACTCAAATTGAAGGAATTTTGGAGTAGATCACAATTATGGTATTATTTTTCAGATTTGTACCTCAGAAAATTCAAAATGGCTGCTTTGCAGGAATTCGCAATTCTAAAATCTAATTTTTTCATTTTCAACCAAAGTAATGAGTATAATTGATTGGAATTCGGTAATTGATATTTTGTTCGTTGGGATTTGCTACTCCGCGGAGTTGCCGTTATCTAGTTAAAGATTAATTAAATAGTGAGCTTTGTGGTTAATAATGATCAACTCAATGTGAATCCTCAAATGCTCATGGTATGTTAAGGTCATTGGTAAGCACCCATGGTACTTGCATGTTGTGTAAAATGATGCAAAGTGTTGATTCAGTTGAACTGAGTGGTCCACAAAAGACAATGGTATGTGTTTGTATGTCTGTGAATCAGTGTCTTCTATTTTTGATGGATCTGTGTTGTATATAGAGGCACATATGTTAAGTGCTCCCCATGATAAACCTTCATTGAATATTAAAACCAATAGTACCAATATAAAGTGCAATCCTCACCATCTATTACTTCATCATATAATGGTTGATTGTCTTCACTTGGAGGGGCTATGCCTATGCACATCATCAACACTATCTTCATGTCATTTCTCCAATTTTCTAGTGTTCTTTCAGCAAAAAATGTTGCCATCATCGTAGGTACAAACATGTAGCCTATAAACATGTAAAACAGTCATGTTTGATCCCAAAGATAGAAATCTAGATTATTAACACACATGTTCACAAATAACATCACTATTAGATATCTAGTCTTCCTGTTCATTGAATAGTTTTTTTGAATTTGACTAAATAACATCATATTTGGATTTGGAGATAGAGATCTTAAAATATGTGATATTGGCCAAAAGGTTTGAAGTCATATTTGGCAAAATTGAATCTTGTTCAATGTTATTTCATTCTACTAAGTAAACCAATGAAACTTGAAAGGATGAAAGAACATTGAACAAGGTTCAGTTGTGCCAAATATGACTTTAAACACATGATGAATAACATACGATTTTAAGACTTAATATTAATGTATGATGCTAAAACTTAAGGATATAACAGGTAAAAGTTCAATGGTTGTATAGACCAAATTCTGAATTGAAGAATACTGAAGAGAATTAGAGCATATACACCCCCAAAATGCAATCTGATTTTCAACGCCGTTTCGGTGCCAAATTTCGGTGCCGTCTCGGCACCAAATGGACTGACTAGTCCGGTAGCAAATTTTGGTGTCTAAAGGTTTCGGTGCCGGAACGGTGTCGAAACGGTGCCGGAACGGTGCCGAATTTGTTCGATGCCGAAACGGTGTCGAATTATATTGGCTGTGTAGTGCATTACTTCTGGGACAACCCTCATACATTTGTTTGAGTTATCTCTTTTGGCCAAACCTGTACAAAACTTGCAAAAGACAGTTAGAAAAGAGAAATTGATAGTTTATTCATTCATGAGAAGCTGCCCCAATTTTTTTTTTTTATATGTGATTTATTTCGTAGTAAAATAGAATTATTACATACACATGTTGCAGCTTTGCAATTGTCCCTTATCCAATAAATGAACTACTGTCTAGTGACTCCCATCTACCTTCTAAATGATGTTACTTACATCAAAGACAACTCATTTATCTTTCAAAGATATCAAATATTTCAAAGGACATATAATAAGTATTCACCTTCAATATCATTGACTCCATATATGAACTTAATCCCTTTCAGTTGTTCTTGAATCTCCTTGTCTTCAAGGAGATCTGAGGGGTGTTTGGGAAAAGATGATTCTCCAAATCTAAGACTCCACATCAATTCAGGTTGTGGGTCATCCTCTTTTAGTGGTGTTGGTCTTACTAAGTCCATATATGGCTTTGTTCTAAGACAATCCACCACTTCATCTGTGTTTTCTGATTCACAACCTAAAAAGTAGGCTCTAAATTTTATATCACTTCTTTATTTGAGCATTTTACAAACAACCAAATATTATTTTGGAATACTCTTTATATTTTATTTAAGGAATAAAGGCCAAGATTCTATGCTTTATGGCATATTACATGTATATGACCAACTTTTCTGACCATTGCTAAAGAATAGAAGTCACAGTGCCATTGAGGTCTTTGTAAATAGGCAGAGTTAAATCTGAGGTACAGTTTGCCATAAGATCGATGACTTTGTTTCCATAATAATAAACAAAAAATTAAACATTTATAATGAAATTTAGTTATCTATTTTACACCGGTAAATCTAGTTATTGTGATGTCACATAACATCTTAAAGTGTTGAACTTGATTGACAATTTGAATATACATGTACAATATACTCTACCTGTCAATGTTGCTAGTGTGTTCACATTATCATTCTGCATTTCCTGAGACTGGACAGATATTGTATATGTTGTTGTGCCACTCTGACCGATAACCTTATTAAACAAGCCTTTAGCCAGTGGTGAAATTGACAGTGCATTGACAGACCAACTACCGGCACTTTCTCCAAATATGGTCACCTGGGATGCATCCCCGCCAAATGATGCAATATTTTTCTGGACCCATTTTAGAGCCATCACCTGGTCAAGGAGGTTCTGGTTACCAGGAGCGTTATCATCATTAGTGGACAGCATACCTGTGTAGAGTAACATTCAAGGTCATTATCTTCTTCATGGATGTTTCTATGTTTTAAATAGAATCATGTTTTACCAAATACAGTGAGTTTGATTCAAAGGATTTTGATTACCTAGTACCCAAAGTTTGATAGAATAAGTACATGTAATGTTTTAAGCCAATACCTTGAGACTGTTTAATGAATCAATTTTTACCTAATACCCCTAGTCTGTAGTTGATGCTGACCACCACCACATCTCCAAGAGAAGCCAAAGCAGTCCCATCTGGTATCCTGCCACTGCCTGGAAATGGAAAATGAGACATGAATGGGAAAATGGGAAATAAGTTCATCTCTCCCACTTCCTAAAAATAAAAAAAATAATTTCAAAAGGATACAATGTAAACAAGATAACAACCCAAAAGAAGGTCTGGGTCAAATTATGAATATTTAAAAGAAGATTATCTTACCCATCGAAAAAGCTCCACCATGAATCCAAACCATCACAGGTAGATTACCCTTTTCATTGAGTGTTGGGGTATAAACACTGAGTACTAAACAACTCTCATTGTCATGCTCTTTGATATCTCCATATCCAAATTCTTTGGACACCTCTTTTATTTGTTCATAGTCCTGAGGACACTCAACCACTGCAAATAGTACGGAATTTATGTGAAATAGATACACTCCAAATAGTAGTACCTATTATTTTGTTAAGAAATGAGAAATTAAGATTTTTGCGAAAAATTCCCTGCCACCATTACCAATAAACATCCTTCTGCTAAGGGGAGGCATCAAAAGTTCGATGTCGGATCGGAAACTAAATAAATCTAGTTTTGACTCAGACCCCCCCCCCCCCTCCCCCCCAAAACTAAATACCGTGAAAGTTGATCGCTTACTTCCGGTTTGAGAATTTGAAAAATTATTGCTAAACACGATCTAGTTTTTGTTAATTCCTATTGTAATTTGCGGCTTTTAACAACTATTGATAGAATATAATCCATTGGAATGATCTTGACGAAGAAAGCATCAGGTAAAATCTTTATTCTTAAACCATTCCAAGGCATTCTGAGTTGAAATTGCCAAAAATTTGAAATGTTGAAATTTGTCGGATAGCAAACTGAAATGGGTTTGAACCCCCTCCCCCCTAACTAGATTTATTTAGTTTTCTATCCGACATCGAACTTTTGATGCCTCCCCTAAATATAAAAAATAGGTCAATTAGTATTTGAGTTATTTTCTGAACTGATGTTCAGACTGACTGAGTGACGGATGAACGGACTGACTGACTGACTGACTGACTGACAGTTGGACGAATGGACAGAGGGCTTCACTATATCCCTGCTGAACTTTGTTGAATACATATAAGAAATGCGAAGAATAATTTCATGAAAGGACTTGCAAAGTTTCACGGTAGGAAGATACTCAAACCCTTTTGTGGTTATGGAGAATGCTAGCATCAAACTATACTAGTTCACTAGAATCAGACATTTCCCTTCCATGAGGTGCAAAATTCATATACACAGTGCATGATATACCATTCACATTTTCCAATGATAAAAAAAGACCCATACTTGCTTGTGTAGCATCTAGCTCCCCATTCCAAGGTTCTACTTCCTTAGGGGCTTTGAATCTCAAGGGTCCAATGGGTTGGGTGGCATAAGGAATTCCTCTGAAGTTGTAAATAGGTTTAACTGCATTGTCTAAGGTGTAGCTAATGGTACCTCGAATAGTACCATCTTGGATTTTATGTACCACTGTAGGCCCATCAGTAGCCACACAACCTAAAGGTAAAACAGGATGAAAATGGATTTTTGACAAAGCTTTGATCATTATGATATGTCATGCCCCATATTATCCCTTTAATATACAGATATACCTAAGCTTTGGTCTGTGTTAACTTAAAGAGAAAGTAATATCATGATTTTGGAAAGGAATAGTTCTTCCAAGTTCTACCAAAAATAAGTTATCTTGATGAATGAAAAGAGGGCAGTGTAATGAATGTTGAAAACTTTCTTCATAATTTACGAAGACCAAAAATGTGTATGTACCTATATAGTGACCTTTTACACATGAAATAGGCTAAAGGTGCTCATTTTGATTACCTTGTGATTTTCTTTCGATCAAACATTTACTAATGAACAAATACCACAATTGTCCATCTTTCTTTAAGGTTCAGCTGGAAAGTAACATTTTGGTAAAAAATGCTATACCTGCACATGTTATTTTCTGGTACATAATTAAGTATGAAGGCATGTGTGTATTTCCCTGCTTTTTTCAGGAAAGTATCATTACACTGTCTACTTTTAGTAAACCTGAAAACAGGTCAATGCTAACTCCTGTGTTGTCTGGAAACTTTGAAAGAAAATTTGGAAAAACAGGAAGTGTGAAATATCAGAATTCCCTGGAGTTCCCTTTGAACGCCTACCAGATATTCTAAAAGAAGACAATGTAATGATACTTTCCTGAAAAAGCAAGGAAATTGATACATGCCTTCATACTTTATTTTGTACCAGAAAATAACATGTGCAGGTATAGCAATTTTTCACCAAAATGTTACTTTCCAGCTGTACCTTAATACTGACTTAGCTGGGTGTAAAAAACATCAAATTCATAAGCCTCCCAACTAATATGACAAATACCTACAGGGATATAAGTCTTGATGAATAATAGAAAACTGTTTTTTGACTTACCATATATTCCAAGGAGTAAAATACTGAAGAAGTGTGTTCCTAACATGTTTCTACTTTGCTTTCTACCCTTTATCTACAGTTTTAGAATTACAGTTTGAATACCTCAAACTAAGACTTTGTTCAAATATTGTATTAATCATGCAAACACTAGGACAAAGTGAACTCTAATCCACTTGTGTTAACATGTTAAACAGATAAGTAGGTCACTATTACATAACCATGAAATGAATAAGTCTGAAGATTCAATTGGTCAGAATGTACTAAAGCCTGCTTTGAACTGACACACATTGTATGCTCTGTTCCACACAATGAAGCTCATATGTAGTAACAGTGAATAAGTGCCTGTGAGTATAATCATTGCATTGAAAACACTTTGTGTAGTGCTTATCAGATGATATTGATTGCATGGAGTTTTTGACCTTTGTTTAGTATGTACTGTACTTAGTATGTCGCTGTTATACGTTACTGTACTATTGTAGATTTATCACATTCACCCATTCACTCCCTGACCAAAGCTTGTTTGATTTTTGATTTTTACAATTATAAGGTAAACTATCATCTTTGACATCTTATCATTTTTATTTCCATATGTTATTGAGTATTAGCATGACAACTCAAATTGTCATTGTGAAAATGATGCTAAACTAACGCTACTGAAAAAGGTATTCCAGACCTCTGACAATATGGCTCGAAAAATCTAAAAGGTACTTCAGCTGGACAAACCCTTGAAAAGTGTTTTTAAGGGTCAGGTCAATAATTCATATTGCATTAGAAGGCCCTGATTGCTACTTTTCAGGAATGGATGTGTTACCAAAAAAAGAAAATATGAAAAATTCATATAGTTTATTTCGATTGATCATTTATTGTTAAGTCCCTAGTGACAGTATGGTAATGAATATCTCCTCAACTGACCTAAACTACTGCAGCTATAATTATCATTTCACCAAAATATTATAATTTAGTATTATTCGGGGAAAGGGATCAACAATTTATTTAAAGGACATATTGTTATCTTAAAATTTCGCTAAATTCTTGAATATATACTCCAATATGCATTATAATGGATTCAAACATGACTCTGCTGTAATTGACTTTCTCAACCAATCAGAATACAGCATAACCAATGATGAACGTTCTCTTTTTCTCCGTAGATGCACGACCGTGCTCTATTCAATCATCTGGGTATATCTATATATTGTGACGTCAATGAATGGCGAGAGTATCAGCAAGTTTGGTTATTTTATGGACCCCAATTCTCTGAACAATGTTTTCATTTTTATTACGTTTGAATCGGAATAAATAATGATTGGCAATTTTTCACTTATTGTATTACTTATGCTTGATACGCATGCTGAAAGTAATGCTTTTTGAAAAGTAAACCATTACCAAAACTATGGTTACCCTGCAGTATTGAAAGGCACATCAAACATTAAAATCACCCCTTCAATCTATTTTTTCAGGTTTTTTATGATAATTTCACACTTTTCTTTATTTTGCGGAAATAGGATGTTGAATTTTCTTAATTTTTCTTCAAACAATTTATCTTACCATTATGCATTATATCTGTCAATTTCAAGAAAATCGCGCCACTACGTTTAAAAATAATTCAAATTATGTCTTTTTTCCCATTGAGCTCCATTATAAAATGGAATTTTAAAACTTAATATTTCAAAATTCTATGTGGTGAAAAGTTGCATATTGAGTAGTTAGTTGATGTTATGGTGTTAAAAATTCAAAACAAAAAGGAATGAAGAAAAATTGTCTATTTAACATGTCTTTAACCTATGTAGATATACATGTATAATAGTACTACATGTATATATATGTTTATATTAGAGTGTGCAGATGATTAGATATTTGTATCAGGTAGACATCATTAAAAACAATCTCAAATGGTTTCAAATGCTTGAACTTTTGAGGCATTTTTGATTTTTCTTCTAAAATCTTGTCTGCAGTGTGTCTTATTACCCTACTTTCACACCAAACTAGTTCTCACTACGTTCTTGAAAACGGGCATTAACTGTGCACGAACGGATTTGATGTACTAAGAACCCACTAAGAACTGTTTACAAACTTCATGAAACTACTAGAACGAGTAGGTCCTCCAGAACTTAGAGCATGCTCAAAATTTTCTGGTGATCGTCAAAACGTTGTCAAATCGGTTTTAAACTGTGTGCGAACTGAATGAACGTAGCTTCAACGTTCTACGATCTGTTTACAAACTTCATGGACTTTCCCAGGGGAATGTGATTTAGAATTTTGAATCGATTCAAAATTCGATGGCGACCATACCGTTCTGTAATCAGGTCATGATGACCTTCTAGACGAAGGGACGCGTTATACAACGTTGCACACTGACGTGGTGCGACCAAATGAGATGGACGTATTGAAGACTGTTTATGAACGAAGTAGCTAATTATTTTTGACATATTTCCCGACCACAGCCAGATTGAGCCTGTTTTACGACGTTTTCGTAGGACTGGCAAGAACGGGTAAGAACTAGTTTTGTGTGATAGGGGGGTAAGTTCACTTGGTTTTTTGGAATGCTTCTAGGTGTGAAAAACTATGCAGTGATTTTTCTGTAATGTGGCCATTTTGTATGCCTTACATGTAATGAAGTGTAAATAAATATAAAGTAAACTTCGTGTTGCAGATTTTTTAATGAAACATTATATGAGAACATGTATAAATATATAAGTTCTTGTGCTAACATATGCAAAGTAAAAACAAAACTGTTTTAACAATTGAAATATATTTCTATAGCCACATCAAACATTGCTATATCTAACTTAACATCAAGTGTCATATACCGATTGGTACCCTTATATAATCCACCAAACAGGAAGTTACATCATGGTTATAGATTTTACCAAGTTGACAATAACACTGCCTGGTTATTATTTCTATCATAAAATGCTCAAAATGACAACTGATTTGATATAATATGTTTTCTTTGTTAGCATTTGCTAGTCTGGTTAGTTGCAGTTTTTCTAGTTTCAATAAGCAAAACATGTAATACAAAATAAAAAAAAAAATACACATGACACAGATCTTTACACACCAAAAAATTGACAATTGTGCATTTTCTATCAATATAATGTTACTTGTGATCGATTATATATACAAATACAGTTATACCCTATATAGGCCTATAATCGCATTTAGACTGATTGGAGGGCGGTATTAAGGAATTTTCTTTCTTGTATGACCCAACTACAATGAAATCGAGGTATTCATGCTAGAATGGTTGCTATAGCGAGGGGAAGTAGAAACTTGGGTGCACAGTGGCCTTAACCGCTTCTATTTATTTCTAAAAGGAATTCTAATGACCCTGTTCATCTGATTATAATTCCTCTTTGGGTTTTTCTTGTTCATGTGTATTGTCCTTTATAATCTGTGGAATAGTTTCACTATATAGTTTCACAATGTCCTTTCCATAGTCTGCTATAATAGTAGGCTCTAATTCTAGAGATATTGCTGTGTTTCTGCCATCTGTACTGCTGGCAGGCCAGGGTGGTAGGTTAGGGCCATTAGGGTCACTGAAAAAGTTCAGTACTCACACATGTTCATGACTGGATTTGTTCATATTAATATTAATTTGTAAAGTATATTCACCAACCACATGAACTAATACAGAGTTTATTTGATCTTTTAGCTCTTTATCCCATGACTTTACTGGGATACCATATCCTGATGAGATGATACTACAATGTATATCTAAATCCCATCTGATGGTGATAAGGATAGGTATCGATATGGTGAACTGAATTCAACAATGTTTTTCTCTTAAACCAATTATTGAAAACATTCTGTAAAAAAACATGGTCCTTTATGTAATGTTGACTGATTGGGAACAATTTAATGAGAAAATTATTTATATATATTTTAGTACCCCACACACAATTTTGTCGCCTACTTTGATGTGTTGTAGAAAAATATCCAATAAGAGTTTTCTCATGAAATTTGGCATACATTAAATTGAAACAATTTCTGACACTCAAATATTTTTGTTTGGGGTAATATGACTTCAACACAATTTGACTTCGATTTCTAAATTGCTACGCATTTACAGATTTGACCTAAATTAAGCTAAATTTTTAAACAATTTGTAACAAATCGATTACAAAAAAAATTGAATATTCTGGCCAATCCTATCCTATTAAACACCATTATAATCCACTGGTAAAAGAAAAACTGAACCAAGCAGGAGTGACTGTTATAATGTTACAATGTTATGATGTTACCCCTGAAAGTTCACATGTTTAATCCATGTGAATCATTTCCAACAAAAGGTAAGCCGTCGGTGGCCACCTGTGAGGTATAGGGTGAATATGGCCTCCCGATCGTAGGCCAACGAAAAATTGAGTGCAATCTCACTGTTAATAATGCCTTAATTGAATTAAACAAAATACAACCATTTTCCTGAGATTTTATGAGATGCGAGCTACTGGAAAGGATTTTTTAATCGAGTGAGACAGTAGGAAATGCTGTAGTGGTAGGATGGGATAGAAATCCAAGCAGGGATATGTTTCAGTGCCCTGATAAACCTTTTTAGACTTAAAGCCAACAAATCATATGCACATGACCATGTATTGAAAGTATTAAAAGCGGTCTTCACTCTTAAACAATAATAAAACCACACTTACAATATTCCTGTTTAGGAGATAAACATCTCCAACACATAGTAACAATATCTTAAGAGAACAGACAAACCATATATAATGCAATAAGTTTGTAATTAAAATGTAATCAAAATGATTTAAACTCTCTTTAAAACTGCAAAACTGGAAATTTTCGTCGAATTTTGTTAAAACATGAATATTTTAAAATTGCTTGATTTTCGTCAATATTACTTAAATTTCCAAATAAAACAATTTGAGTGTCACAAAATGTTTCAAGTTTAAGTATGCCAAATTTTATAAGCAAACTCTTTTTGGATATTTTTTCTACAATACACCAAAGTAGGCGACAAAATTGTGTGTGGGGTACTATATAACTGTTTTTGCTAACATTTTTTATTTTTTAGTGCAATTGTTTTCTGTTCCTTTCTACCAATTCTTGAGAATGAAATAAAATGTCTTTCCGAACCTTGTTGGAACAAAATAGCATATACAACATTTTCTTAGACCTCTCAATATTACAGTTATACAAAGGAAATTTTGGTTGATTAAACAAAAAGTATGCAAAAGCTTAAAACAAAACCCCCCAAAATAGATAAAAATTAAGATAAACCTTTTATTTCATTTAAAAGATACTTTTTTAAATTCAACCAAACTTTCCTTTGTACAATTACAACATTGAGAGGCCTAAACATGTTGTGTTTATGTCGTTTTGTTTCAATGTGGTTTGGATAGATGTTTCATTTCATTCCGAAAATATGATACCAAGAACAAAAGAAGTGTCTGATGTGTTTTCTAAAACAATGTAGAGAAAAGGATATAGATATATTTCAAATTATAATGTTATGTTACCATTCAAAAGATGACCATTAAATTGACGATGTGTAAAATTTTCAGAATGTTTTGATAACTGGTTTAAGAGAAACGTGTGTTCAAACAGTTCACCATATCGATACCACTCCTTTTAAAATACTATTAAAAGAGTTTCAATTTTTCATTGCTACTCACCCAGTCTTTGCAAAGTTGAGCCAATAGTTTACAAACAAGTCTTCCATACGAATATCCTCTTTATTCCAAGTAACATTGGTGAACATTGCCTCTGAATTGTTAGTATGGCTTAAGCCAAAACAGAAGAAAAGATCATCAGCATGGTCTGTTTCTATATAACTTGGCCTGTATTTCTTGAAGTGACTTGGCCCTTTATTCAGCACATAAAATTTTACATCTGCGCCTATATCTGCATTGAAATAAAAAAGACATTATTGGTATAATTCATAACTTGTCAGATTTCTTCTTTTTACTCTTATTGTTCCATCTATTCTAGTGAGCCCAAAAATGTATACCAACAAATGTTAATAACTCAGTCATTAAGCATGGGTTTAAGGTAATATTGGGCAATATCTAACTCCTCATATGTCTAATGTCTTTCATGTTACTAAAGTTCATTGGTCTCTCCCAAATGGTAGCAATTTTATGGCCATTTTACGAAACATGCTCAAAATATTGGTCTCATATCTGGAGGCAAACTTGCTCATTTTAGATGCTTCTAGGGTTGTTAGTGTGGATATTATCTTTGAAATGGCCTCATAGATGGGGGTTCATATCAGGTCAATTTCGCATGTTTCTGTATTGGGAGCGCTTTTTGTAAAATGGCTCTAAAATTGTGATCATTGGGAATAGACCAACTAAACTAAGTAGAATGATATAACATTGAACAAGGTTTAATTGGGTGGCTTTCATTTCATTCATTGGAAATACATTGGAAAGTCAGAATGGATACATTTATATTATTAAGTGAACCTGTCTGCTTCTTTCCCACTGTACCTCTTAATTTCTTTGCAGTTCTCAGTGCTGGAGCTTGCAGCAATAGACCTCCACAAATTCTCCCTGCTGCTATGATCAGATCTTCCTCTGTAGGGTCAGATGCTTTGATGTAGTGATCAAACAGGGCTATAACAAACATGACATCACAATACTATAAGTTATTGAATGATTTGATGTGCAATACAGGATATATTCTGCTCGAGACATTCGTATTTGAACGAGTTGAAGGCGAGTGCCAATACAGAATGTCGAGAGCAGAATATATCCTGTATTGAACTTCATATCATTCTATAACTTTTTTATCGTGTGATTTAAGGTGCAATCCGCAAAAACTATTTTGTATTCTCTGTATTGCTACTGAGATTTTCCTCTCCGTACCAATATTTTTTATGTATTGCTACGGAGATGATCAATGGGGCAATCTCAGTAGCAATACAGATTGGTACAGCACAAGAACTGACCAATCAGAGGGCTTCATTTTACAGATCATACGCTAAATGTACATGTCAGTGAAATTTCGCACCGAAGTGCTTTCTTATATACGAGGGTATATCATAAAGTTCTCATAATATCTCTCTAATTTTTTTATTTTTCAATATATTCTGATGAATTTTTCACAGAATGTGTAGTATAGATTGCTGTATTAATCTATCAAAAAATATTTGGTATAACAGAAATATTATTTAAGAAATGGTTGCCATAGTAACCGGAAATCAAGGCACCCGGGGCAAATAAAAAATCGTGCAGGAATAGTCCAAACTAACCATGTTTAAATGCATAAGAAGTTATCAAATAAGCCATGAAACACATCAAATTGTTAAATACCATGTATTCTTGACTGTTTTAAACTATTATAAGGGTCATGCGAATTGTGTGATCTCATAATGGATGATTGTAATGCTTCATTAGAATGATGTTAGACACTACAACTGTTTTGTCAAGTATTCCAAGGAAAGTCGATTTTCCACTTTAGTTCATCTTAAATGAGTAATAGACCCCGCATAGGGTGTAATTATGTTGATATCTTTGCAACATATTTGTTTAAGATCATCTTTAGTATGAGCAAAGGACATCAAGGATTTTTCGAACTAAACTAAACTTTTTATCAGTGTGAATATTATTTTTCTGATGATCCCTGCATCTATGCATTACCTTACTCAGTCATTTCTGATCATTAAGCTTTGATTCTCAGAGTATGGTATCACATCCAATGAAGCATGTAAGCATCCCCTATGACACCAAACAATCCACATGATCAATTTGTTTTATAGTAAAAGCATTTAACAACATATTACAGTTTACATTTTAATGTGTTTGGTAATTTATGAGAGTTTATTATGTATGTAAACAAAGTTAATTAAGCTCATTCTCTCAATTATTTTTATTTGCCCCGGGTGCCTTGATTTCCGGTTACTATGGCAACCATTACTTATCTAATATTTCTGTTATACCAAATATTTTTTGATATATTAATAAAGTATTCTATATTGCAGATTCTATGAAAATTTCATTAGATTATATTGAAAAATAAAAAAATTAGAGAGATATTATGAGAACTTTATGATATACCCTCGTATATACAGATTTATATTTATTATTGTATTGTATTTGTTTACCACCAATGAAGGTGAGTCAGTAGTACCATTATAAAGTGCAATCCTCACCATCTACAACTCCATCATATAATGCTTTATTGTCTTCACTTGGAGGGGCTATGTCTATAGACATCATCAGCACCATCCTCATGTCATTTCTCCAGTTTTCTAGTGTTTTCTCGGCAAAAAATGTTGCCATCATCATAGGTACAAACATATAGCCTATAAACATGTAAAACAGTCCTGTTTGATCCCAAAGAAAGAAATACAGATCATGAACAAACTATTAGATGTTTAGTCTACCAGTTTGTTAAATAATTCCTGAATTTGAATCAAGGTTATCATTTGGGTTTGGAGATAAATATTCTAAATACGTGGGAACAATGGCCAATAAGGAAGTCAAATTGTGCTGTGCAACAAAGCAATATAGTCATAAGAAACAACCTCCCGTAACCCTTATTCAATAATGTGTTCTATGACTCCCTGTATCAGATCAAAGGCACACTATCAACAGATCATTTATCTCTAAAAGATCAAAAAACAAAGGACATAATAAGAATTCACCTTCAATATCATTGATTCCATATATGAACTTAATCCCTTTAAGTTGTTCTTGAATCTCCTTGTCTTCGAGGAGATCTACGGGGTTTTTAGGAAAAGATGTCTCCCCGAATCTAAGACTCCACATTAAACCTGGTGGTGGATCATCCTCTTTTAGTGGTGCTGGTCTTACTAAGTCCATATATGGCTTTGTTCTCAGACAATCCACCACTTCATCTGTGTTTTCTGATTCACAACCTACAAATTTCACATTTTTATTATCTGAACAATTGACAAACAACCAAATATTATTTCGGACTACTCTTTGTATTTTATTTAGGGAATAAAGGCTGAGCTTTTATGATTTATGGTACAATATGACCTATGACTTTTCTGATCATTGTTAAGACTGAAATCACAGAGCCATTGAGGTCTTTGGCAATGTAAAGAGTAATGTCTGAGGTCATATACATGTATTTCTATAAGTCATATGATCGAGATCTTTGTTATGATTCTAATATGATCAACAAACCAGAAAAGAAATATTTGCATGAATGAAATTTAGTGGTCATACATACCCCCAGTAAAGTAATTGTTTAAGTTATTGTGATGTCATATTAGAATTCTTACTCGAGCTAGAACCTAGTTTACAAGTTGAATATATGTAAACTTTACCTGTCAATGTTGCTAGTGTGTTCACATTAACATTCTGCATTTCCTGAGGCTGGACAGACATTGAATATGTTATTGTGCCACTCTGACCAATAACCTTATTAAACAACCCCTTTGATAATGGTGAAATTGACAGTGCATTGACAGACCAACTACCAGCACTTTCTCCAAATATGGTCACCTGGGATGCATCCCCGCCAAACGATGCAATATTTTTCTGGACCCATTTTAGAGCCATCACCTGGTCAAGGAGGTTCTGGTTACCAGGAGCGTTATCATCGTCAGTTGACAGCAAACCTGTATAAAGTAACACTGAGAGAATAAGATACAGATGTACATGCAAATAGGAATTAGCCAAAGCCCATCATAGCCTGAGCCTGCTTGCAGTAGCAAGGCAATGCAGGCGTTGGACTGATGATAGTGCAGACAAACTCAAAAGGATGGGGGCAAGACAGTTCCAATGATACATGGACCAGAGGATAATTCTTCTTTATATGCAGTTGTTATTGATAAGAATTAAGTTCAATCTGATTTAGATCATGTTTTACCTAGTACCCCTATTCTGTAGTTGATGCTGACCACCACCACATCTCCAAGAGAAGCCAGAGCAGTCCCATCTGGTATCCTACCACTTCCTGGAAATTGGAAATAGGAAATAAATGGGAAATGGGAGTAATTCCTATTTCCTGGAAAAATAAATGATTATAAAAGGAAACAATTTGAACAAGATAACAACCCTAAGGAGGTCTGGCTGATAAAATATATAGGATTATCAAGCTATATTATACTTTAAAGGTGGTTTATCCTACCTATTTGGAATCCTCCTCCATGAATCCAAACCATCACAGGTAAATTAGCCTTTTCATTGAGTGTTGGGGTATAAACACTGAGTACTAAACAACTCTCATTGTCAAGCTCTTTCACCTCCCCAAATCCAAGGGTTTCGAAGAATGCTTTTATTTGTTCATAGTCCTGAGGACACTCAACCACTGCAGATAGAAATATTAAGCTAAATAGTGGTGTTTTGACCCTCTATTAATTGACTATCACTTATAGCAACCTTCTACATTCTATTTTTGTTGTAATGACATTCTATATCTGTTGATGTCAGAGGATGGCAGTCTTGATCATATTGTATCTGTTAGTATATAACTTTTATTGACATCTTGTATCATAACATGATTACATTAGTCATAACTATGAAAAAACTAAATATCTAAACTACAAATACTAACTAAAGCAAAAGTACAAAAATATATACGAGATATACAAAAACCCAAAATAAAGGTAGTATACATCATGATGAAAGGACAAGGTTACATTTAAAGTGTGGTGCACATACCCTGCATTCTGACTACAAATTCTTAAATGAATGATAAATGAATTTTCCAATGTGTCTTTGTAATGTTAAGTTTTTACTTGAAATGAGATTGACAAATAAATTTTCACTATTGAGGTCAAAGTTACTTAGAATTTCACGAGCCTTAGTGTACAATAATTGTCTATGCTCATCATTCTTTGTACAAGTTAAAAGGAAATGACATTCATCCTCTATATGTTTACAGGTATTGCATAATCTTTCCTCTCTAGGTTTTGGTTTTGGCTTTGCATGTCTTCCAGTCTCAATCGCCAATCGATGAGAACTCATTCGAAATCTACTTATCGCCAATCTATACTTTTTATTATCTAATTTCAAATATAATTCAATTTTAAAATCTTTTTTGAACAATTTATACGTTCTCAGTATAGGATAAATGTTCAAATCATTTTTCCATTTTTCTACAAATAATACCTTCAACTTCTTTTCTACCATGCTCACTAGATTGTCAGTATTCAGATTTTGGTCATTCCAATAATCCAATAAATCACATTTTCTGAGTATATCATAGACCTTGCTAGACCAACTTTTGAATCCTATCTCTTGAATATCTCTATCATATAAATAGGCTTGGTTAAATACACTTGATTCTGGAAATGTTAGGAGTCTAAGCCAATATTTTATAATATAACACTCAAATTTGATTGACAATGGGTACCTGCCTAGATCGCCATACACAGCAGGGCTTGCAGTTTGTGATTTGACACCTAATGTTGACTTTAAAAAAAAGACAAATGTATGGATTCAATTGCTTTCATTTGTTTTTTATCATACCATATTTCACATGCATAAGATAAAATTGGACTGACCAAAGCATTAAACAGATGAAGAGCTACATCTGGTGGAACATCATTAAACTTCTTATATTGCTGTTTTATCTTAAAAAGAGCCTTTCTTGATTGTTCTTTAAGATATTTAGTGTTCATATCAAAACTGTTGTTATTGGTGAGAATGAGACCTAAATATTTGTATTCATTAACACATTCGATACTTTTTTCATTAAATTCAAATTTGAAAGATCTTTTGGAATTGAAGATTAATGCTTTAGTTTTCATTGTATTGACAATTAACCTATTAGTCTTACAGAAAGCAAAAAGTAGTATGAATGTACAGATTTGTATGATAGGGAGGTACTCAAAGCTTTTCATAACTGATGTAATGTAAAACAGGGAATACTCACTTTTTTAGAGAATGCTATCAAAGTTCATTAGAGTCTGACTTTTCCTTTCCATATAGTGCACATACATACTGCGTAACATTCATGCCATCAAATTCTCCATTTAGGCAGTAATACAGTATATCATTATTCAAAACCCCCAATAAATATAAATTAAGACCCATGGCCTTCACATCCCCCAATACATATAAATTAAGACCCATACTTGCTTGTGTAGCATCTAGCTCCCCTGTCCAAGGTTCTACTTCCTTAGGGGCTTTGAATCTCAAGGGTCCAATGGGTTGAGTGGCATATGGAATTCCTCTGAAGTTGTAAATAGGTTTAACTGCATTGTCTAAGGTGTAGCTAATGGTGCCTCTAATTCTGCCATCTTGGATTGTATGTACCACTGTAGGCCCATCAGCAGCCACATAACCTAAGGATAAAATTACAAACACCTTGTGCATGCAAAATAATTACATAAACCTGAAGTTTGTGAAAGGGTTGGCTCAAAATCATGTATTTGAAATTGATTTAGTTCTTGAAAGATCCCCTTGAACATTGTATCTGGTATTTGCAGATAATTTATTTGAAATGCACATTTAAATTACAAATAAAAATGGTGATCATGAGAACCAAAAGGGGAGACTTTTCAAACAAGTTACTTCAAATATTTCAATTTGCTAGATTATATGCCATATAAGCATTGAGTTTAAAATGTGTTTATCTTCTAAAGTCCTTTTTTTATTTATAATATTGGATTTGTATTGCTCATATTTTTGGTCTGTAATATTTACTCACCAAACCTATTCAAAAGACAGCTGTAAACATCTACCCATTTATTGACTTACTAGATGTATACAGTATACAAAACATACGAAAGGTCTAAAAGTGTTGGATTGACCTGTGATTTTTATATCTATGAAAGGTTTTCTCAGATCTTGATCATTTGTCTGATTGTATCAGGGGAAAATATGTACAATTTGGAACATAGATAAATGACAGGTGGATTTTCTGAAGTGAGGATTTCCCATGTTAGAAATAAGATAATTTTTAAGAGGCCAAACATCAGTGGATGAGATTATACAAAATGTGAATTTTAAGGGATATGTATCTAGACAATATTGGAAATTATGGGCTTTCAGACGACCATGGTTAGGAAATGGTGGTAGAAAATCTACCTGTCATTTATTTATGTTCCAAACTATAATATAATAGTATAACATGAATTTTCCTAGGCTGATTAATATGCTACCTGCTAGTGCTACTTGTATGCATATAGTAAGTTCATCCTCAGTTCATATTAGTTCATATTCAATAAACCTTTTACTCACCATATATTCCAAGGAGTAAAATTGTGAGGCTTGCCCCTAACATGTTGGTGCCTTGATGTATGCGCTTTATCTGCAGTCTTAGGATGACAGTCCTTATCCTTATACAATATACCTGTATTTTAGACTTTGTATTTAATCAGTCAGCCCAACATGGTTTGAACTCTTTACCACTTGTGTTATCCACACATATAAAGTGGGGCAGGTTACTCATATAATGCAAACAAGCTGATACTGCCTATTTTGTTCAGCGTGAAATCATTCCTTAAAAAAGCAATGATTCATTCTTCAGTTACAATATCATAGTCAATAGCAAGTGCTACTATTGACCTGTGTTATTGCAGGCTTATATCCTACTATAAGGCTGCCACTGCATATAATGAATACAGTCATTTTCCTATACTACATACTAGCTAAAACATTTCAGCATTTTGTCAAGTATTAATAAATGACAATACCTTCAGAAATGATTACATATGGGCAATCTTTCACAATACCTTCAGAAATGATTTCATATGGGCAATCTTTCAGAGGCTTGCATAAGGCCATACCTTGGTCTGCAGATACCTTATACACTCACACTACCCTACCTCGATCGCGCATGCGCGAATTTTTTGGCTTTCAACCACGTCGCTTTTAAGTATATCGACTGCTTAGTCAAAAGGTTAATACGTTTGGTGCTCGGAGTGAGTCAATATTGCTATTCGCTGAACTTCAGTGGTGCAATAGTGAAGTCCATGTTCCAAGTTATATGATAGTTGAAGAAAGAATGTAAATAATATCGTTTTAAATTTTAAAATATTTTATATGTCATAGTACACGGTACACAGTTGCAAAAGTTGATCAATACAGGGTACAAGGAATGTAAATTGTTCAATAGTACAAGGAGCGAGAAAGTAAGCTGATTATACAGACATACTATGTCCCGATCTCATGTACATTTACGTTGCAAACAGTGAAAATAATGCTAAAAAGGCCGCCTGTCATCAATTGCTATTTAATCCAAATAAAGTAAACATTATTTTGTAGATTTAGACACGGGCTTTCAGGTCGTATATGCATTTTAGTCATTAAATTAACAAGAACGCTAGATTATACGTGTTACTATGGTATCAAATTGAAATAAAATAACGAAATAAAATATGAACACGTTTATGATAAATGACTATCCGCTATCAGTATTAATGACTATCCGCTATTCAGAATAATTAAAATTGCCTGAACTACATGTGAGGAATCTTTCTATATAACCCCTTGAATGCTCTTATTCACTACCGTCCTCATAAACCGATCATTTAAAATATTTTGTTCAATATACTATCATGCCACGACTTGGGAGCAACTTTGTTCTTCACGATTTGCTGAATGGCGTCGAATTTCTCTATTATTATAAAAAAAAGTAAGACCAGATCTATGTAGTCTTATATGACGTGTTGAATGTCAGATGTTTTTGGATGGTATCTGCTCCAGTGATATTGCATTTAATCATGAAACACTCATCACAAGACACCTCGAAACAAACATTATCCTCTTTGTGACAAGAGGAAAAATGTTTCACAATATGTTATGTCTTACGAAAAAGTAAAGATACATTTCTGGGACGACTTTTTATGCATCTTAAGATTTTAGAAAAACAGTTAATTCACAAAAATACAGTTGAATAACATACTGGAAAACGTATCCACATATAACACGATGACACGCAGTTCAAATAACAGTTGAGTGGTTTTTTGTTACATATCAATGTAACATTTTCGAAGGGAAACTTACATGCTCCCTGTACGTTGATGGATTTACTGAAATGTATCGTGTATTGCATTCGATTTTGCTTCACTGCGCCCACTATTATCTATCTTTGCCTATAGTGTTTTTTTTGCCCACAATATTCTATAAACTGCTTGATGAATCAATTCTATGCCTGGTAAAACACTAAAAATAAATGTAAAATGTATTTTACGTCCAGAAATATGGAATAAAACCCACGTCCTCCATTTGCAACTTAGCTGTACCCTGTTTCCCTTTTAAACATGGTCACGTGGTAGGGTAGTGTGACACTGTAGTCTTAGAACATCAATTTATATTTTGTGAAGATCCCATTTAGGGCATAAGAAATAGATGCTTTGTTTATATCCCCTTGGGTGTACTGTAACTGTACGATTTAGTATAAATGAGAAAACACAAAACATATCAAAATATAATTAATATGAACAACTTGGATGTTGAAGTATTTGTCATTTGGTATTCAATTGTGCAATTTAATGCCTGTATATGGCATTAATATTATATATAATACTGTTGCTGGGAATATACACTTTTTAAAGTGTCACCCACTCATGCATTGTATATTTGTGTGAATTTAAAAAAGGAAATAAACATAAACATAAACAAACATAAACATAATATGAAGTATATGGCAATGTAAACCTTGACAACTTAGGCTTGGAATTTTACCAACGTGTGTGTTTTGCTTTTTTTCTCTGTAAACAGGCTTCAATAGACTTTAAGATTACAGTATGTTTCTATGTTGACTGCATTATAATATTATCTAATATTGTTTTAGGGCAGTTGGGTTCAATAAATTATTGACCAACAATGAAGTTATTATGTTCCTGTTATATGATATAATCAAAGAATTAAAGATATGCTTATAACTCCACAAATGTTTTCATTTATTACGAAAGTTCCCAGGCTTTAATAATAATATGGAAGTAATTGAACATGCAGTAATTTTGATATGCTTTTTATTTAAAAATGAAAAAATAAAAGTAAAATTATGACCATTTTTCAACAATGTATATCTTCAGTTTGTCTCATCAGTCCTGCCCTCTTTAGCCCGTAGATAGTAAAACGTTAAAAACAACAATTGGCTTTCAGAAGTAATATCAAACAAAACTAATAAACACTTCAATTTTTAATATGTTATAGGTATCCTCCCTAAAGAAAAGGCAAAGGCACAGACAGTACGTGATGTCAAACGTGAGTCTCAGCGTCGGAGTCGCCAGAAAGATCGGCCATCCGGGCCCCGTTACACGGATGATAGCAGTGATACGGATGCCTCCCTCCCAAGGACCAGGTCTCCCTTAGACAAACCTGATAGTGGTGAGTGTCTTAAAATAGGTTATTTAGTATTATATTCACAGAACTTCATAACTACTATGTTGTATTCATGGAAATCAAGAGAAGAGAGCAATATACTTCAACTTATTATTTTCACAAATTCTATATTAGATAATAAGCCACCTGAATACTAGGATTAACATAATTTTCTATTATGGACGTTCAGTCGACGGTATGTGTATTTTGGTTGCATTTTATTTTTAGTCGATAGAATGTTGGTATGGCAAAAGTTTGTTCCTCTAGGCAATTCAGCCAACAAATGAGACACATAATAGTTCATTATTTCCAATTTCTCATTACAGCCTATATGCGACGTACCCAATCACTTCCACGTCATCTCATAAAGAAAGGTGGCCTACAACAGAGCCCTCTTGTGAGAAGCAGACCTGACAGTCCTTCAAATCGTACAAGATCATCACTCTCAAGTAAAGACTTGATTGGTCGCAAAGGTGTCGAGACATTGAAAAAGGTAAGAATCCAAAGGAGCATAATAATTACTTGAAATGAATTGCTTTTATATCATTACTGTAATAGTTTCACATATATGGGTACTCATATATGAATATGCATAACATACACATGTTTAGAGAAGTGTTACACACATATATGGGTATGTGTACCATATAAGGAATATGATATGAATTGCATATACATGTACATGGCTATGTGTAACACATGTTTAAGTGTTACATTAATGGGTCTGTGTTCCATGTATGGCTATGAGTTACTTAAATTGGTGTGCAAATCTATTTAAATTGAGACAAATATATTCTACTGTTTATGCATTACTAGCTATAGCCAGAACTTTCAGCATCTTTCAAGTTATTTGTTGTGGTCATTTATCTTAATATGTTTCATGTTATAGAATAAGGAACGTGCTCAATCTAGTTCCTCAGCTAGAGATCGACTATTTGGTTCCACCTCAAGCATGGGAAGTAGTCAACCTACCCCCACTTCAGCACCCCCACCCTTGCCTACATCCCCACCCCCACCCCTTGATGATCCTGCACCCTCAGGGCCTGTTTATTCAACCACCAAAATAGAGAGAACTGTTACACAGCAGCGAGCACCAGATTCAAAATTATTCAACCCGAGGGGGTACTCTGCCCCACCAGCTACAGCTACTGTGAAGCCATGGAGCTCTCAGCCGAAGGATGTATCACGTGCTAGCCCAGTGCCACTTAGTAAACCTACCATGGCAACTGTACACCCTATGAACTCTTACAGCCAATCAATGGTCAGCAGTCACGCACCAAGTGTTCAGAAAACAATAGTGACGACTACCAGCCGTACAGGACCCACCAGGCCTCCTGTCAATTCTGTAGTCATTTCCCCCACAAGTAAATCATTAGACAATAAATCACCCACCAATATGCCTATCAAAAAAGCATCAAGGAGAACCCCCGGAATGAAGGGTCGTTCAATGACAATCACGAGCGGAGGTGCAGTAGCCAATGAGCTGTTGAATCTTAAGCGAGAGAGTGAAAGAGCCCAGAAGAAAAGCGCAGCTGGAGATTTGATAATATCAGACCCAGTAAGTGTCCACTATGACTGCATGTTTGATTTTCAGAAATATTATTATTGTCATGCTGCTGAAAAATAATAGAAACAGCATTGTTCACTGAGAATTTTCAGAAAATTTGGCATTCGTGACAGATGAGGTGAAATGACTAATTCAAAGGATGCTATTTATACTGTGTAGAGTATTTGAAAAACATTTCTCTAAGCTCAAAAGTGTAACTGCAGTCCCCAATGGCCATTTTATTCAGATCTTTTAAGAAAATGCACAACATCAGCATGACAATAATAATGACTTTTTATGCATTTTTGTTTGTAAAGTAACATTTTCTCTTGATATACAATTGATATACAATTGCAACTTGCATGTTTAGTGAGCTTGCATGAAGTTGCATGGTTTTGTTATTGTAAACGTTGTAAAATAAAAATACTTCACAACCTTTAAGTCGAACATTCAAAAATAACTAAAATGTATTTACTATATAAGAGGTATTTTTCCCGAGAAGAAAAATACATTCTAATAGGTACACAAAATGCAAGTGTTATTTTACTATTAGGTAAAAGGTGAAATTACCTCTTATATAAAATTGGGGGTTCCAATATGGCTCGTTATTGCTTGATTATTCAATCAGTAATTTATGCCATAATACAACAATGCAGATACATTGAATATCAGTTACAATTGCTAACATTTCACATATTGTTCTTCTATCATTTGTATCAGATCATGAGGTAGAGATCTTTACTTGTATTAAAATAGCAAATTGTGGTATTGTGGGACCCCTATAAATAATACATTGAGTATGTGATACATACATACATATAATGCTATTGGCTTAGTAGTTGACTTAGGTGTTACTAATTATTGTAGCTGTCTCCTGGTAGCTATGTGAAGGCAGCCACAACAGGCAGCAAGAAGATAGATAATGAGACAATTGACAGAGAGGTAGGTGAAGCATATATATCATATGCATATGTCTCATTAAGTTCTACAGTAAACTATACACAGAATTGATTTCTTTATTGGATGGTTACAAAGGCTGTTTTGCTGCCTATATTTTAAAGAGTAACTTTTATATTTGAAAGAAACACTTTTGAAAAAATCTGTTTATAACAATCACACGGTTCTAACTTACGACCGTTAATTTAAATTTTTAACCTACCAGATGTTTGAAAATCAAGGATTATGAGTCTCATACTGCACCGTTTTTCTTCAAACTTGTTCCATTCAAAGCTTAACAAAAATGCCTTACTGTTGGTACAGTATTCTGTTAGGCAGAGTCCCTACTTCCAGCGGCATTTTGGTCCCCAGCTGTGAGAAGGGGTTCTAACAGCTGGGGACCAAAACGCTGCTAAAATGAGGGACTCTTTCCAATGAAGCAATGCACCGACAGAAAGGCAATTTTGTTTTGCTTTGAATGGAACAAGTTTGAAGAAAAATGTTGCAGTGACTCGTAATCTTTGAATTTTAAAGATCTGGTAGGTCAAAAATTCAAATTAACGGTCGAAGTTAGTACCGGATGACAATGCAGGGTTTTGGTCATCTTGCAGTAAAGGAAATAAATTATGTGTATTATCAAGTGCAAAACACTACACTTCATTTCATGACACTACACTACACTACAATACAGTGTGTAGGAATTACTACCTCGGCCAAGTACTTAAAATGGGTCATTAAGCACACATGTTAAATAGAGGTGTTGTATAGAGCTTGATCATGAAACCTGCTTGGTTTTCCAAATATTTGTCATGACATTTCATTGTTGACTTTATCCTGTTCAATGTTCATAGGGGTGGGTGCAATTGTACCTTCATGATTGCATACATCATGTGCCTTTTGAAATTGCATCACTGGTAAACTCAATGCATCATTTTAGTCATATCCACTGTTAACTTTACTTTTGAGTATTGAGACCAGTAATTTACTACCTAGTTTGTTATATTTTTCTTTGTCGCCCTATGCATGTTATTTTGCTTGTTGATTTGTTGATGTTGTAGCATGTACACATTCTTGTTAACTCATCTTACATCCTATGAGAAGCATTTTACCATAGATTTTGCTTAACATTTTCACCTGGGACTACATTTTATTATTTTTCATAAGCAGTTGCATTGTGGGCTTAAAACTGTTGCAATGTGGACATGTATTTCTTGCATTGTGAATATTCCAGTTCAAAATTAATTATGCCACTGAGAGCCTTTGCATTCTGAATATATTTTTACTTTTGTTTACTCTACAGTACTAGATAGATGTCATGAACAGATATCTACTTAAATACGGAATCTGCTTCCAATCCCCTAAAGTAATATTGTAATGAACATACAGGTTTGAAATAGATACCAATACATTTGCATTAACAAAATTTAGTCGTACCACGTCAATTTGGATTTTGCTATTTCAGCTGTTCTTGCCTGACAAGGTCAGTATCCCCGAGCGTTACGTCCCCGATTCAGACGAAGAAGAACTTACAGAGGAGCAGAAACATGTTCGAGCTGAAAAGGCTGAACGGATCAGGAGAATGTTGAGTGCCCATAGGTGAGAGACTAAAGAAGCAATTGTACAAGTCTTGGTCATTTCTAGGCACTGTCTGGTGACCAGGAATTGCGGGGAATGTCACACAGGACAAAGTGTGCCTTATTTTGAGTACTGAGCGATTACTGTGAACCTTTGAGTAAATTCATTTTACACATGTAGCAGATGTACTGATGCAGAAATCCCTAGTCGATCGGCATAACTACACAACTAGTGATCACTTGTGATGTTCATTTCAAAATCACAGATCACACTCTGACTTGTGTGACATTATCTATGAATCATACAATCTTGTCCCAAACTTAGCAATAATACCTGTATCATTTGAATAAGATTGAAAACATGGAATATTATGTGAAAAAAGATTAAATTATGAATATAAAAAGCTAGAAATTAGAAAATAAGAGTAAAGGTTTCTGGTATTGAAGAACAGGAAATAAAAGCAATGCGTATAGAAAAATACTCACCATCCCATAACATTGGGTATTTGCTTTCCATGTTCACGACATGCATTATAATTCACAGCTTAAGTGATATTACACTAAAGCACAGTCCCCTCCCCCCTTGCTAAGCCCTCGCTTGTCTGTTACAGTCTCCAAGAGTGGACAGCTCCAGAACTGAATATGAAGCACAACCAGACAGTCTCCCACAAACAAGTGGAAGCTGAGAAAAAGAAGCGAGAACATTTCCTAGAGCTGAGACAAGTCCTTGCCAGGGAGGTGTCCATCAAGAGCAAACAACAAGCTGGTAGGTGTTAAAGATTGAGTGGGATTATTTCAATCTGAGTGGAGTTATTGAATTCTGAGTTGAGTTAACACATTATGAGTGGAGTTTATTCATTCTGAGTGGAGTTTTTCATACTGAGTGAGTTATTTCCATCTGTGTGAAGTTCTTACATTTTGAGTGATTTTGTTTCATACTGAGTAGAGTTAATACGTTTTTTGTTTAGTTGTGTCTATGTTTGGGTTGAGTTAATTCATTTTGAGTAGAGTTATTGCATTCTGAGTGGAGTTATGTCACAATGAGAGTTTTTTCAATGTGAGTGCAGTTTTTTATACTAAATAAACTCATGTCATTCTGAATTGTTTTATTTCAATCTGAGTGGAGTTATTGTTACATTTTGAATCGAGTTATGTCATAGTGATTGAATTTATTTTATTCTGCATCAAACAATTTCATTTTGGATCATTTCAGATTGTAAACAATTAGATTTGTTCTAAATGGATATAGTTATGTGAGAGAATAATATGAATACTCATTAAAACTGTAGCATTTCCAAAGGTGTTCAACATAGACATGTTTTGCTGTGGTTAATTCCAACATCTGGTCTTTGCATTGTCTCTGTATCAACTATTGCTATGAAGCTTACTGTGCTAAATATTCGCTCAAACTATTGCAATTAATAAAGTACATGTATTAGTCTTTTTGTATGCTAGATAGAAACCTATCAAATAATAATATCTGAGATTCTTGACTTAATTTTATGATAGATCTGAACGTCTAGAAAAAAACATTCTTGTCTGTTTAGAACTCTATAGTTTGATTGTACTAAATCGAGTGTGTTTTATAACCTAAGACTACTAGAATCGCAACATATACATAAACACAGAAGCCACAGCCCATAAGAACACAACATGTATTTACTACTATATTAGTACTTACTACTATATTAGTACTTACTACTATATTAGTACTTACTACTACGATATATCACAACAATTATAGTTACCTTGACAAATTGTTCATCACATTAATGTATCACTTCATTTAAGCTTTTATCACATCATACAAAGCATATCATATCTATGCAAATTATATCATGGTTTTTGGCAACTATTGCCACTTTTTCAGCATTTTGCCACTTTTGCCAGTCCCCTTTCCTGGGAACATTGTTAAAACAATCCAAAAATATGATATACATGCACACACATACATTCAACCACTGTGTGCTGTACTTGGCATAATCATTCACACGAATGGAAATCCATAGTATCGCAATGGTACTTATATAGAAACAAGTCAACTAAGATGGCTTCCTTTGCTTTATTCAGGTGGTCCAGCCAAAGGTGGAGTAATTTCCTTGTAGCCGCACATAGTTTTAGGCCAAAAAAAGCTTAGGCTGGTATAAAAGCACATTGAGTCTTTGAGTTTTTAAATTTATGAAGTTTTCTTCTGAACTTATTCTCAAAAATATCAAGAATTCATGTATTTTAATTGATTTCCATTTACCATTTGCTTGCTGCCCATTTTTAAGCTATTGTATATAATTTTGTAGTCTTGCATTAAGGCCTTATATCTCATTTACATTTACATAGTATGGGGAAATGAATAGTGAGGGGGGGCAGTGACTCGATGTAAGAAGCATGATCCTATCATATGAACCTAATTCAATAATTTTTGATGAGCTTATTTGACTTATTGAGACTCCATGTGCGTTTTACCATCATATACAGCGTTTAAATAACATGCAGAGATCTCTATGTTCTGTATATATGTACTTAATGTTTTCCAAGGGAGGATCGACACCCAGGAAATATGGGGGGATCCCTACACTAATTTAACTAATTCCAATGCTTTCGCTTTGGTGCTTTTTATACCATGGAGAGTGATTTGTGTGTTAACAATTGTTTGTAATTAAATGTTGATGTGTGATATAACAATAGCCCAGGATAACATGTTTACATTGCATGTACTATTATAAATGTTTCAAACCAGCAAATGTAGAATGTGTGTGAAAGGTATCTGTTTAACAATTCATTTGTTTTATAACATAAATCTAAATGCATGCTGACCTGTTATTGTATATGTGTGGAATAAATGTAATATCCTTGCTAATTCCCTGGTAGAAATCATCAATTTATGTTATTCTGTCCATATGTCAAATTTTTTTTCAAATTTCTTATAGTATAGCAAACTGAGAGAATTAATTATGATTAAATAGGCTAAGAATATTGTACAGGTATCTAGCAAGTGAAAAGTTTTTCATTTATACATTGTATTTATTTATTTTGTTTATTTCACCTTTTGCCTTGTCAAAAACTGAGTTTAGAAAAACAATATTAAATACATTTTTTCTATGTAGTTGCCCAGCAGAAGTCATCAACAATGGAGAGGACAGGCACATCTCTTGTCCAATCAAAAGGGATTTCAAAGAGTAATCCAGCTGTATCTCCCAACCAATCAGCTTCTAAGTCTGAATTAACTGTGAGACTGAGGCCTGGACCAGTTCAGCCCCCTCCACCACCAGTGCGCTCTATTGTCCAAGTCAAGCACTAAACATTGCTGAATTATTTTAGGTTTTGGTAAGCACTTCATGTACACGGACGCCAGTTTTGCATTGCATGATTTGCTATTTATTGCATCTCATGATTGCACGCATGAAGTACTTACATTTATTTCAACTGGAATGGCTGTTTTAACCTCAATTATTAATATGTCAATTTGGTCACACTTCATTGCTATTGAAGGCAAGATATCGGAGAAGAATATAAAAAGATGATTGGACAAGAAAGTAAAGTTACTATTTGAGTTGCTTGACATTTATTACTCAAAACACAAATGAACAGGTTTTGTTTGGCATTTATCTATTTGTCCAATTCAAATTCATATATATCTTAAAATGAAACAGTTATTAAAGCAAATGGAATGCTGTATGTAGAGTGTGGCCAGATTGACCTACTAGTAAGGGGTTTGTTTCAGATTTTCCACATTGGTGATGGCATGGACCTCCCTACCCACCTATGACTGACTAATAGTTACCCTGTTAGCATTTGGTACAGTAAAAACTGTCTTTAACGAACACTGTTTGGGTGTGGAGAAAGTTCACATTTTTATTAAGATCTTCTGGCGATTCTAGACCAAATGGAATATCCAAAATTGAACTTGAGAGTTGTGTCTAAGTTGTCCTCTTTAGAAGGGTGTTCACATTCATATTCACAGGTTTTACTGTACTTCAATTCATATTCTATTTTAGGCTGTTATTTTGCTGCACTAACTTATTTCTCTGTATTAAGTACCACCCTATGTACTGTTTTATTTTAATCTTTATTGAGAACCTATTACACTTGAACTCTTCGACTATGGTATCTACTGAAAATATTATACCAAAATTTTACACCAACATTAAAGTGGAATAGTGTTCACTTTAGTTTCACTTTTTCAGTTTATTTTATCCTTAATACTGTATGCTATTTAGCTCACTGTGAGAAGCTACCATATTTTTGTTGTCATTTATCTTTGATTTCCCTTATTTTATTTTATAATATATACCTCGATACCCTTAGATATCTGCATAATGGAAAGACCTGCACAAAATAATCACATATTTCCACACCTTCATGATATTCCATCACACTACCATATTTGGTTATGGGTTTCATTAGATTTAAAGCTTTGTTCAGCTAATCCCTGAAAATTAGTTTAATATTTTGCTAATTTTTATTTGAAAAGCTGTTTATTTCTTGTCTTAGGGATTTTGTCTCAGTGTCTACAGTGGAAAACAAAGTTCATTTCAGTATGGTTTAATAACCCCTCTCCGAAAATAAAAATGTAAAATGTTAATTTGCTGTTCGTGTTCCAGATTCAAAAATCTATATTTTACACTTAAAGTACTGTTATTTCCCTCTTCCCTGTAAAGCCTCAGTCACATTTGCTCTACAGTGGCTATAGCTTCACAAAATCTATTAGGAAAATCCAAATTTCTCTCGATTTTTGGAAGCTACGGCTGTCATATGGTTGCCATGGTTCAAGTGTGACTGAGGCATAAGAAATCAACTTCTCATTCTTCCGCAGTAGTCAACATTTAGACACTATCTCTTAATACAGTATAGTTCTATATATAATCATGTATTGTAAATTAAATGTATTTATGTATACATTATTGAAATTAGAATGTTTTTTATAACATATATCATTATGCATTCTCATTAATTACTCAATTCTTGCCTTTTCAGAAAACCGCAGGCGAACGCTATCTGATGATTCGCCAACCCACCAACCAATGGTAGAGTCCGATGATGAGGAGTATCACCAATCACGGAACATATATACCCAGCAGCGAGAGAGCCTATTTACATGAACATTTAAAGAAGCAGTTGTAAATATTTTAAAACCATGAGTTATGTATATTGTGTACATATGATAGACAATGTATAATCAAACATCAAGTCCCTGTTTACCTCCACACCCATGGAATAAAAATACCTGTGTCAGGATTTATGGGGAGGGACTAGGGATTTTATGCAAGGCTACATTTGTAATTGAAACATTAATTCTATAAAACTGTAAACAGCATACAAGAAAAACCCATGTACATATTGATATTCTGTGTTCAATTTTAGCTATTGTGTTAGCTATATATTCTAATTGTTAGCTATCTATTATAATCATATTGTTAGCAATATATTCCAGTAACAGTATGTAAAACCTTTTTGTCATTCCTTTTTGGAAACAAAATCATGTAAAGGCATAGCTAATGATCATATAATTCCTCTTGTATACATTATGTATACTATTAATACAAGTTTAAAGATTAAAAATAAATGAACAAATGATTTCTTGCAGTCTTTGTATATTATCATAACTTGCCAGTTTGATACACATGCAGTCGTCATGTTTATAACCTTTCAATGCAAAACAGAGAGATTTTATTAATCAAAAAGATTTATATATTTTCAACTTTTTACAGAAGAAATGTTTGTTGGTACATCAAAATGATAATCCACGTGTCATGTGTGTCGCTTGGTGAAGGTATTTAATCATTTATACTCATGTTCAGACCATGACAGTTTGCAAGTCTATTATATATAGACGTCTCATTATAGAGAACAAAACAACAGAATTTCCCTATTGTAATATTTTTACGCATGGCAATATACATGCGTTTGTTATGTAGTATATGTACATATAGATACAGTATAGTTTTATTTAGCATTCTGCTGTCCAAATATCACATATCAGGTTGTTATAGAAGAATATATTAGAAGAGGTTCTAAATATAAATGTCATCTTGGCCATGAATATTTTACTATAACTATTCAGTTATTTTGGAATTTGAATTCACTGCCATTTTTCATATTTTTCATTAGAAGAGTGAATATTTCTACCCTTTGCTCAGCAGAAAATAATAGTGTGTACTGCCCTCTGACTATCCTTGATCATTTTACTATTTGGCTTTCAACAAGTAAAAATTCAATAGAATGACATGATTGTTCAATCACTGTGACTTAGCAATGGGTGGATCTGAATGGTTCAGAGAGCTCAGAGGTTTATCTCGCATGAAGAGTATCAGACACTGGATCAATCTTTCTAAGAGTAGTGGATAATCATTGTCATGGTGGCATTATATAGGAATGTGTTTGCTCACACATTTTAAGGTGCCTTAAAATAGAAATACACGTATATGATAAGGGTGAATCATAATAAGGATTTTAGACATGCTGGTCAAAGACAAATGATGGACCAGTTGCAATGTAATTACATGCTGAAAAATAAGCTGGTCCAGACCAAAAGAAACTGGCCAGGACCACTGTATCAGTGCTTATTTGAAACCCTGCCTATTGTATCTTTCATTCCTCTGGGAACGATTACACAGGAAAAACTTTGTTATGATCATTATTGACTTGATTCTTTTGTTTAATTAACATAAATATTCAGCATTTACAAAATATATGTGCAAGAAATGTGGGAAATCTGAATGGCTCTAGTGAGTGTGTATAAAGAAATAGAAAGACATTTTAGTACTTGTTATATTTGAGGAATATAAAGTTCATCATTAATATTGATTAATAATGTATTTTCAAGATAGATTGAAAAAAGATTTGGGCTATTTTTTATCTTTGAAATGTTTACAATATCCAAATGAAGTTTAAAATGTGTAAGTGTTATTTTTACAAAATGCAAATATGTACATATAATAGTAAGATATATCAGCTGAAGCTTTCAGATACTGTTTGTATAGCATAACACATATGTATATATTTAACATATAATATTTTATACACATCAAATATTGCCAGTTTTGAATTAATAATGAAATTTTTTTATTGAAAATGTTACTTTTATTTAAGGTTCATTCATTCAGCATTACTACTGGTAAAATTCTATTTTTCAATTTTATGAAATGTTTCAACTGATAAGATTTGATTGGTTTATATTAGCTTGTAATTTGTAATGATACATGTAACTCTTAATGATGTATTGTTTAACATGTTTTAATTAAATAATTTGGCAATTGCAATTTTCCAGTGCATTGTATTACAAATGTTATAAAAACAGTTTTTAGTGAAGTGTTTATAGTTCTATGCTTTACAGTAACACAGATGCATATACAGTTGAATGTGTTCCTCTACTTTAAGAGAAATAAAGATAACAATACCACAAAATTATGTTGAATTTTGTAAATAATATTGAATTTTGTTGACTAAGAAGTCCCTCTGTTATAGAAGTCTCCTTTGAGCTATAAACCCAATTTTATAATTCCTTAAAAAGTAAATCATAAGAATTTTATGACTGAAACTAACAATATTTGGTAAGATCATGGGCTTTCAAGATCCCATTGGAAAGCTTCTATCTTTTAGAAACCATTAATCAAAAAAGAAACAAATAGTAAAACTATCTATGTGGTTTGTATATAAAATAATATGTATATTTCCTACAAAATACATACAACATTACAGCTAATCAGACTGGATATAAACAGTTGTAGCACACAGATTCAGATATAGGATAGGGGGTGACAAAACTACAGTATGTACAACTGACCTATCAATGTATTCTTTACCATCTTAAATATATCCAGGATCAAAGCTTATCAAATGGTTAAATTATTCAAGATTTTTAAAGTCCAAATATGTGTAAATTCTCCTATATGGACATCCAGATTTAAAGAAAGAAAAACACATAAGTGTAAAAATCTTTTTAGAAAAAAGTTACAATGATGAACTCGAAATATTCTAAAAGTTGTGCAAGGGTTACTCACTGAATCTGGTGCTACCTTTAATAAAAGCAATTTGAACTAATGATATGAATGTATCATTTTTGATAAAAAAAAAACTGTAATGATACGTTATATGAAAAATGTAACTATATCAGACAGCTGACTGGGTCACACTGACCAACAGAGAAAGCACATACCTGAAGCCAGACTTTTTATAAAAAATTCAAAATTCTGATAACAGACGCATCTTAACTTAATCAAAATGTAAATATATGATTTTTCCTCATAATGTGTAGAATTCATAGGTAGCTATTTGATATTATGCTCATGTACAATTTTAAAATGTAAGGAAAATAACTACAACAGATGTGACAGATTTATTGTCAATAAAAACTTGATTCGCTCATTTGAAAGACAACTACATGTATCTTAACAACATGAATTTACTGTAAGTTAGAATAAGAAAAACACTTAAACATTAAAACACATCAAATCATTATTGTCTCAGCATGGAATCTAAACTACCACTAGCAATTATAATGACCTGTACATAATTATCACTAACATATTATCATGACATACATGTAATATTGAATTTATATAAAGAATAAGGAACACCAGGATTTGATATTCTGGAATATCCACATATTTACAGTATGAACACAAAAGAATATTGATTCCTTGATTATTTTAAGAGAAGTCTCTCTTGAACATTTAAATACATTAACATTCTTTGGAAAATGCATTCTAAGCGCATTCAATCCATATTCTATTTTACAAGTAATTATGGCATTTGAATTTTTAAATTCATATTTGGCAATTAAACATTTATATTTTCCTTCATACACTGACATTCAAGGTGTCCGTAGAGTCTCTACAATAACAATACAGAGTTTGTGTATAGAGTAGAGACTTTATGGACAGCCTGAACAATGTTGCAAATATAGTATTCCCTCCAAGGTTGAGAACTGAAAATGCTTTGGAGTGGAATTTGGTGGACATTCATAATTGTTTTAGTCATTCAACTTAAGCTGCAAGCCCATATATGAACATTGTATATCTGAGTATAAACAATGTCTTGACAAGTCTGACAAGATTACATTGTAATATCGCAATATCAAGTGTGGAAAGTCTCTTCCCATATAAACCTCCTCGTGTATAAAAATGTGGGGCGACAACTGTGACGGGTCTCCTCAAGTGATTTGTGTATGCACCAGGCTTTATGTGATTCTCATTGACAAAATAAAATACTGTTGGTCACAGATGATATTGAACTGATGTGGAGACATTAAATACCTAGTTCACCATATAAACCATACAAGAGGGGACTAAACTCCACAGTTTCAGAGACTGTTTATCACACCAGGCCTCACAGATCAAAGTGATCAGTTATTGCATCTATTAAGTCTGCTTTTTTAGTCCCAGTTGTTTTAATCTTTAAGTTTTTCACAGCTTCCTTCAACACTGGCACAGTCAGTTTACCAAGCTGGAAAAGATAATTTTTTCATTATCTAAATATCTGGATTTTATCCATTTATGTTACTACTTTTTACCGCTTTAGAACATTCAAGTACAACAATTACACTTATTGGCCTTTATAAAACATAAAAGTGTTTATTTACCTTCCCATCTTCAGCCTCCTTTCTTATGTCAATATCCTGTGATTCTGCCTTGGCTTTCTTGGCAGCTCCACCAGCTGGGGTAGCCTATAGATATAAAATGTGTTTTGCAAGAGTAAATTAACTCATTTTAAAATGTCATACTGTAAAATTCAGACAGATGGCTTTAAATTTTCACGATTTTGTTGACAATGAATAAGGTTGACATACCCTAGAACCAAATTTAACCTGAATTCCCATAAGGTTTTGCCATGGAGGTGCTCTGTCAGATCCAATAGCCAACTACAGTGATGGTTTATACTAGCAATATGTGCACCTACCTTCCTCTTGGCACCAGGTGTATAGCCCTCAGGGAACACAAGCTCTTTGAACTCCTCTATGATCTTGCCAGCTCTCTTAGTGATACCTCTTTCATCAGGTACTGTAATAACAATTATCATGTAAATAACAACCACAATACATGTATAACATGTATAACATATCCACATTATATCATATAGTGTAGGATATAGCTTTGTTAATTATTTCAGGCAGAAGAACGTTGCAAACGATTTCCCTTTCAGTAATTGAACAGTGAATGCGATGTTGATTTTTTCATAAATTGAGCAAAATACTCATCTTAATTTTCTTTTCTGTCCCATCCATTCATGTAATTCTTGTGTAGATTTTGTCAGTGAAATCAGTGAAAAAACAGTAACACAACAGTTTCATAATTTTATCAGTACTTATCGGACACCTTGTTCTTACATGTTAAATCTTGAACAGAATCTGGAGCATCTCTATCAAGGGCCAATGCCTCTAGGTTGGCATAATGGGTCTGTAGGGCTGGGTTCTCAATGTCCTCACTACGGAATGGTCTTGTCAGTTTCTTGATCAAATCCTTCGCTTTGTCAACCTGGTCTGTTTTGGCTGCAATATAAATATGACAATAATGACACTGAAGACTCTCAGTACAAGGGGAAACCAAAAAAGAAGCATTTAGAGCACATCTTGTGATGCACATAAATGTGCATTTAGTTTAGTCGAGCTAGTCATCTGAAACATCTTGTGGAGTTGCTCCATGAAGTCTAGTTTTAATGTGCTAAAGAACAATTCAGATATGTAGCAGACAAAAGGGTTATGCAACATTTTGTGGGTGGCATTTTTTGTGTCACCCTGTGTATCACACTTTTAGTGCATCACATTGCAGTTACAAATCATGTCAAAATAACATGCTGTATATTTAATTCAACATTGACACGCTGAATGTTAAAGGGGTTTTGCAAGGTCAGCATTTTGACCTGTATATTGAGCACCTATTTGGCTGATCATTATGATACTACTTATAGTTCTTCAACCAATAGTCAACTTGAAATTATAAAATAAATGGATCAATCAATTTCACTTAATCTTTAAATAACCATTCATCTGTTAGGAAATATAGAATGCATTCTATATCATCTTCTGCGTTCTGATTGGCTGGAATATGATATATCATGCATAGATTTGTGTGAAATAAGAATTGAGTTGATTTGACTGGAGACCACCGAGGGTTGATTTCTACTCGTTGTACAGCATGCTTACCTCTTGGTGTGTTTTCATGCGTGACTTTCCGCATGTCGTCTGCAAATGGTAGGAATATGACATGGAATCCAGGGGGCGTCACCTGTACATTGTTCTCGTCAAATTCTTCTTCCTTGAATGTTGTAAATAGTTAAGGTTATCAGTCACTTCAGTCAATGCAGTGTGCCGATTGGTCAATTCATGGTAATTGACTGATTCAAATAATTATAATAAATAAAAATAATGTACATTGTATAATAACAATTTGATGTTATGCTTTTCATTCTTATTGTAACCCTTGAAAAGATACAAGGCAAAATCTTTATCTGTGTAAAATAAGGGGCCAAGTCAATATTTCAATGCTGTCATAAAACTGAATTAATTACATTTCAGAATGACCCCTCCCAAAAAATAAAATAGACATGCATTGATTTTTTCGATTAAAAGTAACTTTCTCTTAAAAATCAATTAACATTCGCAAAACATAATCAACTTGAAAACCATACCTGAAATATAATTATTAATTATGTGTGTGGGCATACAATGATAAATGGCCCCCCACCCTCACAACGCTCTGGTACAAAATAGTAGTTCACCACCTACCTGTGGTAAAAGAGCCACAAAGACTGGGGTAGAGCTTTTACTTCTTATATATTTACACAAGCCAATCACATCTTTCTCTATACATTTCTTCAACAAGGCACAGAATGCGGTTATACTTCCCTCAATTATCTAAAAAATAATAATTTTGATTTTTTTGATAATTTACATCAAACGTTAACGTTATGAATTCAGTTATCAGTAGGTTGCCTCAAAATTATTTATAAATAAACTGAGAATGATGATTTTCTGATATTAAACTAGAAGGAAATCCATATAGTTTTAATAGTATGTTTTAGTATCCCCACATTTCATACAAAATAATAATATTTTTGCCAGTATTGATGTCTCCTTGACTATTGACTATGTCAAAAGAGAAGACACTAAATTGAGACAAGTACTATTATTATGTCACTGTCAAGTAGTTAATCAACTGTAAACTTACAGATTCATCTGGGTATATGAACTGAGCAGGTTTCGTATGGAGGTATCTCTTAAGAGATGATGTAGGCTTGAAACCCATCAAATGCAAACCTAAGAGACAAAAGCACAATATTAAATACAAATTGTGTTGTAATACAAGTTTAATGTATTAGTTGTATGATCAAGAAAAAAATGTTCCTGGGTTGGTGTGAAAATCTTAGATAAATACTCAACTAAATGGTAACTGGTCAACTAGTACCCAAGACACCTTGTGCCCAATACAACTCGTACATTATAACGTTAAAAAAACATTAGACATTATTATAAAGACTCAATTTGTTTTCCTAGTATGCAACCATAATACAGAAAATAACTTTGGGGACAAGTTGTCTTGGTTACAAATTGTCTAGGGTATGAGTTGTCTTGGGTATGAGTTGTCTAGGGTATGAGTTATCTATGGTACGAGTTGACTAGGAAGCAACTAAATGTATTATCAGTTACTGTTAAACCGCATATATGCCTTTTGGGTGTCTATTGGCTTTACTTGTTGTTTGTTATGTACTACTGTTACACCGCATATATGCCTTTTGGGTGTCTATTGGCTTTACTTGTTGTTTGTTATGTACTACTGTTACACCGCATATATGCCTTTTGGGTGTCTATTGGCTTTACTTGTTGTTTGTTATGTACTACTGTTACACCGCATATATGCCTTTTGGGTGTCTATTGGCTTTACTTGTTGTTTGTTATGTACTACTGTTACACCGCATATATGCCTTTTGGGTGTCTATTGGCTTTACTTGTTGTTTGTATGTACTACTGTTACACCGCATATATGCCTTTTGGGTGTCTATTGGCTTTACTTGTTGTTTGTTAAACGTTTGGTAATTTGTACAAATAACGAATTAATAATAAAGCTATGAAAGAATTTGGTATAAAAAACATTCCAGTTACCTGTAGCACCAAAGTTTTTCATTTCGCGAACTTCCTCATTTTCAAAGCAAATTTTTCTCCCAGAATACTCCTGGCTGACCTTGAGATCTTGGGGCATCAGAACCTCTGCTGTTTCCTACAAGGAATGTGTAAATTCAAGAGTACATATACCATACAGTCCAGACCACTATGCTCTCAGGTTCTTCATGCTAACTCTTTGGGTAAACTTCATTATTCAGATTAAAAAAAAAGAAATATTTGAAGATTTGAAAAGGGGGCAATAAAGAGACTGACATACGAAGCTTCTTTCCTGAACAAAGGGTTGAAAATATTTGTTCAAGTCAATCGTAGGACAATAAGGACATTATAAGGGGAAGATGCTCCTTTTATTATTTCTTGAAGGAATTTTGTGAGCAACTTCCTTTAATATGCAAGCTCTAATATTTACAGAGGTTTGTAACTATTTCGAACAATGATGCAGGCTATTCTCAATTATTTCTACTTTGGAATAATTAAGCAGAACTAGGCATTGGAGAGCAAATCTTTTCATTACTTCAGGAAAAATGTTTAAAACCTCACTTTTAAATAATTTTTTTACTATGGGTTCAAACATGTCATCACTATGATACAGTTCAGAAAATGTTACATTGAAATCATATTTATTTGACATCTGCTATATTTCAAATGTTGTAAAACTCACTGTAAGGACAGTCTTAGAGACAGTCTTCACTTCTTCATTGGTTTTCTTATAAAGTTTAACAGCAGCTGGCTTCGTACAAGTGCGCACCAGATTATACCTGTAAAACATACAATAATTCAAGCACATGCAGGCCCGAACCCTGCAACCCCCCCCCCCCCCCGGCCCAAAAATCATGCAGTTTTCACAATTTTGAGCACTCCTCAAGTGATTTTAGGCCATACTTGGGCCAAAATTGTCAAATGTGAACCCCCCCTGGACATTTTTGAAAACTGAACCCCCCTTGGCAAATCCTGGCTATGGGCCTGACATGATATCCCAAGGAATTTCTCTAAACAGGGTATCTCCTCAGCATTAATGCAAGTGGTCGCTGCATCCACTTGATATTTTAATAATACACATGTACCCACCTGAGAATCTATTTGCACCCACTTGAAATCATAAAAATCATAAAATGGGTATATTTTGACCAGATTTGGTCTAAATTGTGAAAATATGAATTTTGCACCCATTTGAGATAAAATTCCTGGGGAAAACACTGTGTATGGGATGGATCCATAAATACTAATCTGATCAATAGGTATGACATCTTCATTTTCCAGGAAACTGACTTTTGAGAGAAATTTCTTAAGGGTTCATATAGTGTGAATGATATTTGAGTTAATGCCCAGACAATGTATACACTAATGGAAAAAACAGTGGGGTTACTCTATTCTCTGTACCCCAACAGACTTAATTCCACGAAACAATAAAAACTGGCTTACACTCCAACAGACAGTTGCATGCCCTCCCCCAGTGTTAATGGAATCCTCCCAGTGGCTCTCTTCTTGTGGTCTTTACTCCTCACTCTAGAATACAGAAAAATAAGATAGAAATACTAGAGCCAGTTATATGCAGGTATAGGTAAATATGAGGTTCATGCTACCATCATATGATTTCAGTTCACTAGAGTATCAAGATAACTGTTCTGGTTTAGTATCAAGACGATAACAGGTATGTAACATCTTACAGTGGAACTTGTATATCTGAACACATCTCTAATCCAAACTATACTATGTGAACACTTTTTATGCCCAAATTATTTTTATAATAGGTTTCCAATATACTACAGAAGAACTTATATATCTGAACACCTCCCTAATCCAAACACCTCTCAATGTGAACACTTTTTCAATGTCCCAATTACAAAATTTCCCATTGACTGCAATGGTAAATAAAAAAAAGAACTTGAAATGTGAAGATCCGCTAATCAGAACACTTTTTAACTTTTGATCCCAGTAAATAATAGACAGGTTTTACTGGATGAGGAAATCAGCTAGAAAAACAGCAACTCCCTGAAATTACAGGTTGGTGCCTTTTAGTGGTAAGACCTGCTCAAATTGGAAATTACCACATGCGGTAATAATCAGCCATATTATGTTTTTAAATTACATGTCAGAGAAGCATAAAATACAAGAGGATTCACATTTAATTAACCACAAGCAATTCAAGATATGCAAACATTTTGCATGCAAATATAATATTCCATATAATATTTAATAATGCAATAATAATGTTAATTGCAATATAGTTCTTTGATTCAACAGAAATGGGCTGGGGTGAATAAAATTAAATATGAAGACTGTTATAGGCTATTCAGTTTCCTAGCAACCTATTTTTTGTACTAGCTTTCGCTGCTATATTGATTCATATAAAGAGCAGACATATTAGATGCCTTTGTTCATTTTCAGTTAACAATAATCCATTCAACTGAATTTGTATGTGTTGCTTGAACTTCTAGTGAATGGAATATTCTGAGGTTGAAAAATATGCAGTTTTTTATAATTGTGTTTTAATATAACCCAAGAACTTGAACTGCTTCAATGTTTATCAGTTACGATAAAAACAGCACACTGTTCCAGTGCAGCTGTCTTGGATATGAACCAATTTTCATGGTAGCTTAGGTTCAATATACAACTAGCAAGTTTAACAAGCATCGACATCAGGTTTCACTGGCTGTAGTAAATGACTGACTTCAAGCAAGAACTAAACTTACTCTGTAAGTATTCATTTTAGTGTATCTAATATTATGTAGTTTATGCCTATTCATATTATAGTTGTTCCAAAATGCTTTACTATTGGCAATATGGGAGTGATTGATTTTTGCTGTTTTGGGCATACATGTACATACACTGGTACATGTATACTTAACTGTGATATCAAACTACTTTCAATGATTTTACTGGTTTTATTCATTATTTACTTAATTGATACAATTTGGTTGTAGTACATGTATTTTGTGTTGCACCATTATTCAAAGCCAAAATGAATCACAAGCCACTAGAACTGTCAATATTCTAAAATACTTATTAATTACTAGCAAGTCTAGCAAGGGGAATAACCAGGACCTAACTAGAAAAACTCAAATCTTGAAAATTCCTTCTTGAGCAGAGCTTGTTTGTCCCTAGGCATCAACATTTAAAATGTAGACCATGTCCATAAATTAGCATTTGAGTTCTCAAAGATTTTTTTTTTTACAAAATAAGGCAGCAATTTTGAAATTCAGCAGCCATTTTGAAAATCTTTCTCAAACAGAGGTACTGTGTCTCTAGGCATCACGGGATGTCATCGCCTGAAAAACATGCAATGACAATGTCAATCACGCTTCTGTACGAAATTCGGCGGAAGTCTTTTATAATCTAATACGAAGTTATTAAAAAAGGCGCGAACGCCCTACACTCAAAATGATTGTTTTTCCATTATAACTTTTTAACGTAATTTAACGAAGGCTTCTAATTATTATCCAAGATAGTCTAAATACTGATTAAAATATTTCTTACTTCAAACAGATACGCCGTCTTTTATTCAATTTTTTAAAAAATAATAAAAAATAACTCTTGTCAATGTTAGGGAGCAGTCAATGTTAGGGAGCAAATCCCACCTTGCCCCATTGGTGTATGTTGGGCTTCACATAACATGTGACCTGATCGGAAATCCCACGATGCCCCATGGAAAGAATGAACATGTTCATTCTCGATGGGGCAAGATGGGACTCCGTGGGATTTTGCCCCATCCTGCCCCATCGAATCCCATCGAGTCCAACGTGGGACCTCATGGGACTCGATAAGGCAAGATTATATGCAAGTTGGGGCAAAATCCGACGGAGTCCCATTGATTCCCACGGACTTCATGGGGCAAAATCCCAAAAGGTCCCACTAGGTCCCACGCCATGTTAAGTCTATGGAGGTCCCAACTTGTCCGATTGGTGTATACCGGGCTTTAGAGTATCATTAGCAAGTGGTACACATATAACAGAGATCGGTTATATACTGCATTGTCTGAGTATTGACAAATTGAAGTATACGTGTAAAAATCTACTATCATACATGTAACTGCGCAATGAGCCCTTCATAGCGTTTGTGCCAGCTATCAGGTGATACCCGGTCGTAAAGATAAGTGCGAGACTAACTCTCTTACTTTAATACTAGGAAAATATCAAATCATAGAACTGAAGGATGTCGGAGATTTCTCAAGCCTATATATCAGTTCAGATAATTTATCATCCACAATTTAGGATTGTGAACTGATGACATCATCAAAAAGTGTATATAACGATACATCCATTCATTTACAGTTAGAGGTCAACGAATAAAGAAGGAATGGTTCGCATCTAAATATTTCTAAAACGAACGTAAACAGGATTTAGCTGAAAATAAAAAATGCAAAATAACCTTTTCAATGATTTTCTTACAATTTTAACGCTTTCCTCCCCAAAGGGTATCAAATAATCATACAAACAAAATTGTTCAGTTTATAAATGCCATACATATTTTAAATGGCCATTTGCTACATTTTTAATATTCTGATAAAATCATTTTGCTCCCTAACATTGACTGCTCCCTAACATTGACAAGAGTTATTTTTTATTATTTTTTAAAAAATTGAATAAAAGACGGCGTATCTGTTTGAAGTAAGAAATATTTTAATCGGTATTTAGACTATCTTGGATAATAATTAGAAGCCTTCGTTAAATTACGTTAAAAAGTTATAATGGAAAAACGATCATTTTGAGTGTAGGGCGTTCGCGCCTTTTTTAGTAACTTCGTATTAGATTATAAAAGACTTCCGCCGAATTTCGTACAGAAGCGTGATTGACATTGTCATTGCATGTGCTAGTACATTTTCTCTGCGAATGAGCAGTTTTTCAGTAAAAAAATATTTTGTGTGAAAATATTGAAATTTATTGTAAAAACGACCTGCTCCCTAACATTGACCAAATCAGGCGATGACATCCCGTGGGCATGATCGTATAAAATTTGATCCAAATCTGTTCAAATCTGTTTACTTTTTTACAAAAAATGGCCACCATTTTAAAATTCATTTGATCCAAATCCGTTCACTGATACTTGAGTTATCACTGGTTACAATTTTTACGAAAAATGGCCGCCAAAATTTTGATATTTAGCAACCACTCTAAAAATCTCTTCTTCAGTGTAGCTCCTTTGTCCCTAGGCATCAGCTTATAACATTCCGTCAACTAGTATTTGAGTTATCAAAGATTACGTTTTTTATGAAAAATGGCGGCCATTTTAAAATTCAGCCGCCATCTTGAAAATTCTTTATTGAACACATCTACTTTTTCCCTAGGCATCATCATATAAAATTTGAACCAAATCGGTCGACTAGTATTTGAGTTATCAAAGATTATATTTTTACGAAAAATGGTGGCCATTTTGAATTAAGCGTCCATAATTATTGAAAATTCCTTCTCGAGCAGAGGTTCTACCCGTTTTCTGGTATTTGAATTATTAAAGATTATGTTTTTTTATGAAAAATGGTGGCCATTTTGAAAGTCAGCTGCCATCTTGAAAATTCTTTCTTGAACGTATCTACTTTGTCCCTAGGCATCAGCATATAAAATTTGAACCAAATCGGTCGACTAGTATTTGAGTTATCAAAGATTATATTTTTACGAAAAATGGTGGCCATTTTGAATTAAGCGTCCATAATTATTGAAAATTCCTTCTCGAGCAGAGGTTCTACCCCATAAGGCATAAGCCTATAAAATTTGAATCAAATCCATCAACCGGTATTTGAGTTATCACCCAGACAATAGATGGACAGCTTTCCTATATTCCCCTCGGACTTTGTGCGGTGGGATCAAAATAGACAGGGTATTTGATCAAGGCCAAATTATAGTAATGTACAAATTATCACTGCAACACTCTAAATTGCATATTGTAGGAAGTGGTTTTAACAAATTTTAGCAGGGCAATTGCTGAATTAGTCTGGCTTCCCTCCAGACATATGTTTCACTACTGAAAATCTTACAGCCAGATAACCTACATGTACTTGATATTTGGAAAGATTACAACTTTCAATAAGGAGAGACAAATACTGTCCCAAACCCAACCTAATGATAAAAACAGCAAAATATAGCTAGTAAAAATGCCTGTTATTCTATCTTTTGCAGATTGAAGAAGTATGGAGTACATTAAGGGTTTAAGTCAAATTGGTAGAGGCCTGAAGACCTGTGATGACATCTTTCTGAGGATCAACTATCTCTATACTCCTATGTTCCTCATTGGGGCATCTCTTTATATCACAATTGTCATCAACTTTGGGGAGAAGATACGATGCTGGACTCCTGCCCAGTTCTCTGATGCTCATGTTGATTACACCAATGCACAGTGCTGGCAAAGTCATACACATTACCTCCCACTTGTTCAGGGGGTTCCTGTAGGGTTGGATCTGCAGCGAGATGCAATAGAAGCCAAACATCGCCATGTTGCATTGTATTTTGTATATATGGCAGTCTGTTTCTTCGCTCCCATAATTCTCTGGTGGGCTGTTACTGGAAAATCTGGACTTGATGTTGATGCAGTGATCAAAGATGGTTCAAACCAGAACATTCAATCTTTTGTTGATAAGTTTGGAGACTATATGAAGAAAGCAAAATCTGACCCTGTAGCAAAGCTCTGTGCTTACTGCACAACCTTCTATGGTACATATCTGGTGATTGTCTTTGCCATTGTAAAACTGATCTATGTTATCAATGTGATTGTTCAACTTCGTAGAGTCGATTCTTACCTTGCTGACCACATCAATGTGAATGGGACAATGATTAAAATCGAAGGTAGCTATGCTGCAAAGGTTCTGGTTGAATTATCAACATGGCAGCATTGGACATCTGGATCTCAGACATTTCCAGATGTAATCCTTTGTGATTTTCAAACTCGTCAGCTTGGAAACGTGTACACTCAAACATCACAATGTATCCTGCCTTTGAATGAAATGAACCGGGATATATTCCGTGTTGTTTGGATTTGGCTCTGCGTATTGATCCTAATCAATATATACGGCTTTCTTTCGTGGATGATTGCAGCTTGTAGAGGTCACATGACATCAATTGTCTCCAGAGGTCTAATGGCATCCCAGCCAGGTGGTGCCAACAATGCGTTTCTGATGAAAGATGGCGCTTTCTTACTTGGACTGATCGATCAAAATGCTGATAAGGGAGTGGCTGCGAGTGTTATTGAAGCATTGCTGAAACAACAAAAAGCAGAACATGCCCCTCCTGAGAATATAGGAGGACATCCATCAGGACCACAGTCTGCTGGTATTCATAGACAGCCTAAGGAACAATCTGGCCCTGCCTACGGGGCCTATGGGGAAGCAACACCTCTGTACCCAGGCCTCGAGAAAGATACAAAAATGTAAAACATTGTAACTAAGTAATTGACTGTTAATCTCTTGATTGATTGAACTAGTTTTATAGTTATTTGGTTTGATGATCGTTGATGTCCAAATGTTCCCTGTCATGCTTTCTAGTAATATACACATACATTCATTGAAATGGAGAGTTATTTTACAATGGTATCCAGTAGTATACAGACACATCCATTGAAGAAGAGAGATATAGAGTTACAATGTTATAATATTATGTTTATAAGAACAAGGCATTCTATCAATCTGTTTCCGATATTAATCATAAACATATGTTTGTACTTGGAGTATGAATATATTGATATGTACTTTATAGTGAACTTTATTTATATAATGTTAAAATTGTTTAAACCTGTCCCTGGTTTATTCATTCAACAACCAAAATTTTCATGATTTATCACAATTCATGTAGATTAACAGGGTCATCCCATAGTATTCCATTCAAGTTTTAGACAGATTCTACCAACACTTTTTCATAAATCATGAAATTAAGTCACTGTTTCAATGTTTTACCATTGAAGCCTATGGAAGTCTAGCCCAACTATTTCTATAATTGGTATAGAACAGATTACAGAAGAACCTGTACATCTGAACAACTATCTAATCCAAACACCTCACAATGCAACTTATGTCCCAATTATTTCTGTAAAATGTGTTGAATAGACGACAGAAGAACCTTTACATCTGAACACCTATCTTATCCAAACACCTCACAATGTGACTTATGTCCCAATTATTTCTGTAAAATGTGTTGAATAGACTGCAGTAGAACCTGAACATCTTCACACCTATCTAATTCAAATACCTCACAATGCAACTTATGTCTCAATTATTTTTGTAAAATGTGTTGAACAGACTACAGTAGAACCTGTACATCTGAATACCTAGCTAATTCAAATACCTCACAATGCGACTTATGTCTCAATTATTTCTGTAAAAGGTGGGGAATAGACGTCAGAAGAACCTGTACATCTTCACACGTCTCTACTCTAAACAACTCGCAATGTGAACACTTTTTTCTATTTCCCTTTGTATTGTTCTATTGACTGCAGTGTACAAAAACTTGTGAATACCTGATAATCAGAACACTTTATAATAACATTTAACTGGTCCAGGTTTCTAGTGTATTCTGGTTTTAAGATCTCTATTCATAATGCAATTTATAATCTGGCGTCACATCATATCATTAGTGTAGATTTTGTAAAATGGGGACAACACCATTCAACAATTCTTGTTAACAGGAATTTGCTACTCAGAGTAGTTGGTGTTTTTTTAATTGAGAATGTTATTGAAGGGTCAATGGGAAGGTCTAATTTTTTTCTCTTTGGCTTATCTCAGGGTGAGAACTGAAGCCAATGTCCCCCCCCCCCCAGTCAATGCATGAATCTGCATGTTCTATGTATCATGTTAAACTATAATACACTGATGGCTCAGAGTGTTAATAATTAGCAAAGAAAATTAAATATGAAGACTTTTATTGGCTACCTATAGTTTCCGAGCAACCTGTTTTTCAAACTACCTGCTCCTATGTTTATCCGTTTACACTAGATGTTTATGATAGAAGCAGCACATTGTTCCTGTGCAGCTATATCTTATGACCTTCTTAGATCTGAACCAATGTACAGTGTTCTAACATAGTAAGAGGATTCAATATACAGTTAGCAAGTGTAACACAGGCCTAGAGTTTTGCTGGATGCAGATATTGATTGACTTTTGTTAAAGTCCAAATGACTCTGTAAGTATTCATATTATTGTATCTTAGTAAGCAGTTTATAACAGTATGATTAAAGGAATATTCCTTGCCAAACCATCTCTCTCCTCATATGGTAGCTATAACCATATATACGCTTGCCATGTTTAGCAAAACATGCAAAAATGTTTTGATATGGTCAAATTTGATCACTTAGGCAAAACTGCCCTAATTCACGTCACCATACTAGTCAATGGGCAAAAGGGCAAACGCCTGACTTTTTATCTCGAGTTATGGATTTATGTGGCCTCACTGGCCTATCTGAGGTTCTAAAGCTATGTCTAAGCTACATCTTGACACTAAACTCAATAGGGGCCAATCATCTACTTTTTGAAATAATTGGTCAATTGTGACACTACCCCCTCTCTCTGCAGACACAAATTGAAATTCACAAAAATGAAGGCAAAATTAATACGCCACTTGACTCGAAATTTTCCTTCAGATAACCCAAATAAACGCATTTTTAGAAGAAATTGCATGTTGCCATTGCAAAAAGATTACAACTGTGCCTACATACTAGCTTACTGACTCGTCATGATCACAATTGTGTTGGGACTACATTTATTTTTGAATACTACTTTTTTCTATTCAGCGGAAGTGACGTATTAGGGCATTTTGGCCTAATAGCCACATGGTTGGATGATTTCTGGCTTTAAATTGCGTTTTTCCAATTCACTAGAGTTTTTCAAGTAGTTTTGTGCAGTTAAAGAATATTCTGACAGCAATTATGAAAAATATGGCTACTTCATTACCCCCGGGGTCATTTTTCCAAGAACCCAATGGTTTTCCTTTAAATTTGACTAGTTTTTCATTTACATCATGAAATCCACTGCCTGATGGTGACATTTTTCAGTATCGTGTCAAGAAATTGAGTATTTTATTGCATATTGCGATTTTTAGCCAAAATCACTGAACCGTGAACCAGAAAATTTGACAAATTTGGCCCACTTTTTGGCAAAATCTTACTAAAATCATCACTTTTTCATACTTTATTCCATTCAACAACCTCCTGGTTTGAAAAATGATGACAAATTTGATCAGTTTTGACTCTGGCCTAGAGAATTGGGACTTTTGAGATATTTTTTAGCTCGAATGTAGTCATTCAGAGTGAACAAATACATCAAAAATTGACACTTTACACACCAATTTCTGACTGCACCCCTGATATGTACCTTCTTTCTATACTGGAAACCATAAGATGGAAAATTCAATCTTTATGATGAATAGCAACTCGTTGGCTTCCCCATTTACGACAACAAATGACATTTAGGGGTCACTAAGGACAAAATTATAGCCAAATATCGTCAAAATCAGTGGTTTTTGGGGTAAAAAGCGAAAACTGCTGATTCAGCAAAAACATTAAATTTGTTCATGAAAATTCCCCTTTTTGCCTCCGTCCAAAATATGTTTCACACTAATAAACTTCAATTCTGGGCGATTCTGAGTAGTTTTAAAAATTTTTGGTCACTTTTACATGTGACTAATAGGCAAAACTGCCCTAATTCACGTCACCATACTAGTCAATGGCCAAAAGGGCAAACGCCTGACTTTTTATCTCGAGTTATGGATTTATGTGGCCTCACTGGCCTATCTGAGGTTCTAAAGCTATGTCTAAGCTACATCTTGACACTAAACTCAATAGGGGCCAATCATCTACTTTTTGAAATAATTGGTCAATTGTGACACTACCCCCTCTCTCTGCAGACACAAATTGAAATTCACAAAAATGAAGGCAAAATTAATACGCCACTTGACTCGAAATTTTCCTTCAGATAACCCAAATAAACGCATTTTTAGAAGAAATTGCATGTTGCCATTGCAAAAAGATTACAACAGTGCCTACATACTAGCTTACTGACTCGTCATGATCACAATTGTGTTGGGACTACATTTATTTTTGAATACTACTTTTTTCTATTCAGCGGAAGTGACGTATTAGGGCATTTTGGCCTTAGAAATGTGATGCTCAATTCCAGTAAGCTGCCATCTTAAAATTTCACACAGGAAGTGATGTCATCGACTCTCAACTTTGCATATAGCATTAGGTGAGGAGCTATTAAGAATTACAAAACCAGCTAAATATTCTTTTTCAACTTTGTATCTTATTTAATCCTTCTGAAAATCTCTTCTTTTATTCTAAGTTGACAAACCCTGAAAATATTTTTGCACAGAAAGTAATGATCACTTGTCTAGAAGTGATTTTGTGCTACTTTCCTACACTGTTATGGGCAAGGTTATAGAAGTTGAGAGTTGATGACATCACTTCCTGCAAGAAATCTTAAAAGATGGCAGCTCACTGGAAATAAGGACTAGATTTTTAAATGATCAATATTGACCATATTAAAACATTTTCCCATGTTTTGCTAAATATGGAAACTATATATATGATTATAGCTACCATATCAAGAGAGAAAGGGTCTGGCAAAGAATATTCCTTTAAGCCTGTCTGAGATCGAATATTCCAACATATAATGAACTTTATTTTGTCAATATTTAGAAGTAGTATTTGACTTCTCAACTGTGGCACTGAAATCTCAAACTTTGAGCTAGAATTGAATACAAGAGATGAACCTCTCATAAGAACTTCAACATCTCTCAATTTTGTAGAATACATAATTAAGTATTCTACAAAATACTATTAAGTGTAGTCTGTGGAATAACCAGGATCTAAAAATAGACAAGGTGTTTGATCAAAGGCCAAATTATAGTGATATACTAATTATCATTTCAACGTTCTGAATTGCTAACAGTAGCAAATAAATGTTTTTTGTAAAATTTTGGTTAGGCAATTGATGTACCTGGCTACATCCATGACGTCCCTGCATTCTAACTTTACTTCAGACTGCTTTACTGCTAAATATCTTGGATCAAGTTACACATTTGAGATTTACAGAAATGACAACTTCCAATAAATAAAAAGGCCTAGAAAGACAAATACTGTTTCACACTCAACCTTATGATAAAAACATGCCTTTTGCTTATATTTTGCAGACTGAAGAAGTATGGAGTACATTAAGGGTTTAAGTCAAATTGGTAGAGGCCTGAAGACCTGTGATGACATCTTTCTGAGGATCAACTATCTCTATACTCCTATATTCCTCATTGGGACATCTCTTTATATCACAATTGTCACCAACTTCGGGGAGAAGATACGATGCTGGACTCCTGCCCAGTTCTCTGATGCTCATGTTGATTACACCAATGCACAGTGCTGGCATAGCAATGCGTATTACACCCCATTTGTCCAGCATATTCCAATGGAGATGGATCTGCAGCGAAATGCAATAGAGGCCAAACATCGCCATGTTGCATTGTATTTTGTATATATGGCAGTCTGTTTCTTCGCTCCTATAATTCTCTGGTGGGCTGTTACTGGAAAATCTGGACTTGATGTTGATGCATTGATCAAAGATGGTTCAAACCAGAATATTCAATCTTTTGTTGATAAGTTTGGAGACTATATGAAGAAAGCAAAATCTAACCCTGTCGTGAAACTCTGCGCTTACTGCACAACCTTCTATGGTACGTATCTGGTGCTGGTCTTTGCCAATTGTAAAATTGATCTATGTTATCAATGTGATTGTTCAGCTTCGTAGAGTCGATTCTTACCTTGCTGACTACATCAATGTGAATGGGACAATGATTAAAATCGAAGGTAGCTATGCTGCAAAGGTTCTGGTTGAATTATCAACATGGCAGCATTGGACATCTGGATCTCAGACATTTCCAGATGTAATCCTTTGTGATTTTGAAATACGTCTGATGGCAAATGTACACCAATATACATCACAATGTATCCTGCCTTTAAATGAAATGAACCGGGATATATTCCGTGTTGTTTGGATTTGGCTCTGTGTATTGATCCTAATCAATATATACGGCTTTCTTTCGTGGATGATTGCAGCTTCTAGAGGTCACATGACATCAATTGTCTCCAGAGGTCTAATGGCATCCCAGCCAGGTGGAGCCAACAATGCATTTCTGATGAAAGATGGCGCTTTCTTACTTGGACTGATCGATCAAAATGCTGATAAGGGAGTGGCTGCGAGTGTTATTGAAGCATTGCTGAAACAACAAAAGGCAGAACATGCCCCTCCTGACAATATAGGAGGACATCCATCAGGACCACAGTCTGCTGGTATTCATAGACAGCCTAAGGAACAATCTGGCCCTGCCTATGGGGCCTATGGGGAAGCAACACCTTTGTACCCAGGCCTCGAGAAAGATACAAAAATGTAAAACATTGTAACTAAGTAATTGACTGTAAATCACTTGATTGATTGAACTAGTTTTTATAGATATTTGGTTTGATGATCGTTGATGTCCAAATGTTCACTGTCATGCTTTCTAGTAATATACACATACATCCATTGAAATGGAAAGCTATTTACAATGGTATCCAGTAATATACAGACACATTCATTGAAGTAGAGAGGTATAGAGTTACAATGGTATAATATTTTGTACAACATTGGGAAATATAATTGTATCATTGCATATTTTTATAAGAACAAGGCATTTTATTAAACATGGATTTAACATAGAGAAATCGAGAAGCTTGTAAAGCAAAAATAAGTATCTGTTTCCAGATATTAACCATAAACATATGCATGTACATGTAGTAAGAATATATACACTGTATTCTGTAGATGTGTACTTTATAGAAATATAGTTTTTTGTAAGAACCATTTTAGATGAAAATATTTTGCATTTTTCACACAATTTTTTACAAACAATATAACTTCAGAGCAATTTCCAAGTACTCAAGAGGATGACATTCAAAATTCCAAATATATGTCAAGAAAATAGTCTCATCTTGCCATAGGATGGGTTCAGATGCCAAAAACAGCTGATCCATGGATATATCATTTTGGAAATTGGAATTGAGAAAGACATTTTTGAGCCCTGCATTTTAAGTTGCAATGACAGGAATTAGCTTCTCAAAAGTTGGCTGGATGGTGTAGTGGTTAGTAGGTATGTTCAAATCAAGATGAAGTCATTTGCTTTTTACTTCATTTTTCTTCAAGTTTATGGAAACATTACCCTAAAATGAGCTCCAATTGTAATGGTCTTATCAGTGGTATGAATAATTATTGAAAGATCTCCTACATTTTGTAATATACTTGACTTACCGGCACAATTCCTCTGCCAACAAGTTCACTTGGGTGTATTCTTTTGAATAACGCTGAAGATGGATGTCTGCGTATGGTAATATGAGCTCAATTAAATAAATACTCAGATTTCATCTTCTTCTCAAAATAATTTCTGGACGTTATCAAACCAGAAGTGCAGAACTGGAACTGCCCGAAATTAAATTATTCTATATCATCAAAAATAAATACAAACAAGGCATTTTTGAGTGGTCCACAACTCAACGTAAAAAGGCCGTGGTGTGTACTTGTATGACTATGTATGAGTGCACATAAAAGAACACAGGGCTCCTCCAATGAGGGGTTCCTGGGTCTGGCTTCCATGATAACATGTGTTAATATCCTAGATGCGAGTAGAAATAATCTTGATTTACGTCATTTAAAATTCAGTCAAACTGATGTCATATTTGGAATCTACATGTAAAATTCGATTTAGAAACATGGTTTTGAAAAGAGTTTATCAACTTTGAAAATTTAATTTTCTTTGAAAATGTGACTTCTAGGTCGGAGAGATTCCCCATAGCCCCCATGTTGTAAAATCACAAAAATGGAAATATCTTTTCTTGTGTTGAGCAGATATTATTTTCTTTTACTGGACATATTTTAATTTGTATAACTATAAGATACATAAGGGTAATATGAAAAGTGAACCACTAAAACTGATGAATATTCAAGTTTAAGGGAATTTTGTAATACCCTGCCATGTTATTTCCCCCGAATCAGCCACCTGGTGGCGAAACTGGTAACTACCTTCTAGCATCTGAGTAATTATGACCATATATCTATACAGGATATACCCAAGAGGTATTGCTCACTTTCATTGGTGGTAAACAAAATACAGTACAAATCGGGTATAATTTTCATTCTAATTCTTTTGTATTTTTCAATTCCAGGAGCGAACCGTGTGTTTATTAGAGAAAATATGGTATGTTAGACTTAATACATGTAGTTTATTTACAGTTACAGAACTGCCTCAATTGCTTAATTTGGTTCAACCTTTTGTAAAAATAATTGGAGGGATACTTTGAATAATTCACCCAAATTGAAAGAGTAGTTGATTAGTTATGTTTAGCATTCGGTTTTTCCTAAGCACTGTTGGCAGTGTTTTCTAAGTTAATCTTATTATCTTATTAAGACATTACCATTCAACATTTGTTATAATAGCGCAGTCAGATGTCCCTTTGGTAGTTCGACTTTTTCAGGAAAGCAACAAACTTGGCACAGTTGTAGAAACATATGATCTGAATGAAAAATGATTTCGGGGCAAGTGATTCGGGGTGGTCTTCATGGATTGTATGCCTCTGACCCCCACCCCTATCAGGCGGGGAGGGGGTACATTATAATAAAATAAATAAAAATAGTTGTAAAGTATATTTCTTTAAATGACTTCATTTGGTGATTGCTTTGAGGCTTGAAATTGAGAAAAACCTATTTTAGAAGTGGTGTTTAGGAAGGAAAATACATTTTAACCCAATTGTCTAGCGTGAATTCATCTTTCAAAGGGTCAAATATGGGACATCAAGTACTGTATTTCAAGAATGTGATGTCTGATCATCCTGAAAAAATTCATACTAATAGAGATATAGGTGTTAATCACTCATATGATATATGGCTTGTGTAGCTCATGTAATTTTTGAGAAATAAATTATCGAAATATGGATATTTAACCCCTTGCGGCCTAGGGGTGACCTTATTTTACCTTAATAATTTTTAAGATACGCAATGTTTGGGCCTCATATGAATTCTAAATGTTGCATTAAGTATTGTTTTGTCATATTATTCCTAATTAAATGTAAAAAAATTATTGGATTTAAAAAAAAAATCAAATTTTCATTTTCGGTTCTAAAGGGCCAGGGGTAACCATATTTTACCCTAATAATTTCCCAGATATGTAATATATGCATCTCAAATTAGCTCAAGATGTTGCATATAGTTCTGTTTTATCATACTTCTTCCAATAAGATGTAGAAAATGATCGGATATATCTAAAAAATCAAAATTTTCACTTATGCTCTTGATGGCCCTGGGGTAACCTTATTTTACCTTAATAATTTTCTAAATATAAGACATAGTCACCTCAAATGAGCTTTAGATGGTATATTTAGTCCTGTTTTATCATATCATTCCCAAGGAGTGAAAAAATGATTGGAAATTATAAGAAAATGACATTTTCATATTACACCCCCAATCCGCAACATCTTCTTGCAGCGCTGTAAACAGTACTGAACAGTGCAGTCAGAGTACTGCACTATATAGCAATGTACAATGCTATTCTAACACCATCTGTTTTGGACAGCGTAGTACAGTACTGTTTTTACAGCTCAGTACTGTTTTAGAAAACAGCTGTGTTCAGTACTGTTTTTACACCACTGTTTATGAAACCATGCTGTTTGATGCAGTTTGAGATTGGTAGTGTAGTTTATGATAGGTCAGGAATGACCTTATTTTACCTTAAAAATTTAAACAAAGATATATCATATTGTCTACTCAAATGAGCTCAAAATAATGAATATAGTCTAGTTTTGTCATATTATTGCTACTGAGATATACAATAATGATTAACAATTATAAAAAATTAACCTCAACAGCCATTTATTCCTTTTTAGTACCAATGGCAATACTATCTAGTTTTATAGAACATTTTCTAAGATATGAAAATGTTTGATAAGTCCAGTTCATACTCGCACGAGTAGTAGCATTGTTAAGATTCTGTATATTATCATTTGAGTATATAATCCAAATCTATAAAACCTAATCAAAGGAGTCACAATTTATGGATTCTGACAGTCTCTCCTACAGCTACATAGCTCAGAGCAAATCAGATCTGCTTTCAAACATTTGCATCTGTTCTCTTGACACAGGTATCTACCCCATGACCTACATTTTATGTTGTGGCCTCAGTATCAGCAGTGGGAGTAGTCCAGCCACATTCATGTGGTGATAGAAACTGTGGGTAAGAATGCATCAGAATGAATAAGGACTCTAGTCTTCTAATTTTAAGGTATCAAAAAAGATTTAAAGCTTAAGAACACTTGCGTAACCTCTGGGTACACCTTCTATTCCTGCAAATCAGTTGACTAAGAGTAGTAGCAGAATGCATCAAGCGATTGTATGAAAAATGGTAAGGGCTAAACTTCGTTCATGGCCAAGTGGCTTTGAAATATCTAAGGCAGGTCGTACATACTGGAGGAATTTCCCCTCACCATAGGCCATATGCAATCCAAATTGACATTTTCAGCACAAGTTACTGCCAGTTTAAACCACATCAAAATCAACTGTATTGACTATGATTCTTATTAGGTCATGACAGAAGCAGTCTTTGGCATGCTTCTTCATATGAGCGAATGGTGATGGCAGATACTTCACTATCGTGCTAAGATATTGCATTACCTCATTGTGAGGTCACTATCTTCTTGCCATCTTCCTCCAGGGTTTCAGTTTTGATGCCTGGAAGGAAAACAGCTCCCTCTTGTTCCAACTATCTTAAGAAATCTTGCCAATTCCACAGAAGAAAATGAGTAGGATATACTTTCCTCACTGTTCCAGTTTTGTGCTGTTTGTATCTATGCTCATTAACATGAAAGTTGAAGCTACATAGTAGATGCCAAAATAATAGACAGGGCATGTATAGTTAAACATGCTAACAGTGAAATATAAAGAAAATCTGGTGATTATGCAAATATGATATTGCCCACGTAAAAGTCTGCAAATAGTTCATTGCCTTGATGTCAGCTGGGATGTTTACAAGGACACTAGCTTAAAGGGGCAACAAGGTCTGTAGACTTTTTCTGAGCTATCAGGGCAATATTTGGCTTTGACATACCTATTTTCTTAAAATATATGGATAAACTATCAATTTCAGCATTAAGAAGTGTAAATTCAGTTCAAAGCTTCTATAAAGGGAGTCCCACTTATAGGTTTTTAAGATCCAAAACATTTCAAGAGGAATCAGCTGAAATAATGTTCATCCAGGGGGTTTCATTGGACAAAAATTAACATATATGTTAGTCTTGATGAAGTATCAAAACTTGAATATATTTTGACACTGGTCCATGATCGTTGAATGGCCCCTTTGCACTAATTGTTGCACCTTTAAAACAGCACTAGAGAGACTTGTGGAACTGGAACAAGGATAGTCTAAGGAGGAAACTGAAACCCTTGAAATGGATGGAAAGAAGATAGTGACCACATAAATTAAGGAGGCAATGCAATGTTTTAGCCCAACAGTGAGGTTCTGCCATCACCCTTGCTCTTATAAGAAGAAGCAGATTCAAGGATATTTCTCAATATTTTCAGTTAGACTGCTTCAATCATGGCCTCCAAGAGAAAGAATAATACTCCTTACATTTAATTCTGATGTGGTTATCCTGGCATATATGTGATTTTAAAAACTAAAAAAGTCAATTTGGATAGCATATGGTAAGGGAGAAAACATATCAATATCTACCTGCCCATGACCAAAGTTTAATTCTCCCCATTTCTCATACAATCATTGGATGTGATGTTACATCTGTATGGAAAAATGGAATAAATGGATTGAGATTTAAATGTGTCACTGAATTTTCTAATTGTTGTTAATCATTTTCTCAGTAGGAATAAAGTGAAAAACAGACTATTTTCCCCATTTTGAGATCATTTTATCTTGAAAACATTTGGCATTCTTGTGCCCAATCATTGACTGTCATTATTCACTGACAGAATCCTTGACAGAAGCAGCTCACCTTAACCCCCCCCCCCCCCCCCCCCATCAGGCTAAGGTGACTGGACTTACTACCCTTTGCATTCATTCGACTTTCCTTTTGAAAAGAGAGCTTCGTCTTTACTCTATCAGTTTACTCTATCACCCCTGACCTGTCAAAAGCTAAAAATGTCATTTTTCAAATTTCCATTATTTTTTACATCTCCTAAGGAATAATATGACAAAACGAGAGTATATGACACAATTCTAAGTTCATTTGAGATGCATACGTCTCATAATTAAGAAAAGTTCAAGGTTAAATAAGCCCCCCCCCAGGCCATCATAAGCTAAAATGAAAATTTCAAATTTTAAGAAATGTCCAATCATTTTCTACATCTTATTGGAGGAATTATGATTAAACAGAACTATAGGCACCATCTTGAGCTAATTTGGGATACATATATTACAAACCTTGAAAGTTATTAAGGTAAAATATGGTTACCCCTTGCCCTTCAGAAGCGATAATGAAATTTTTTTTTTTTTTTGAAAAGTTCCAATCATTTTTCAATCCAATTAAGAATAATATGACAAAACAAGACTCAATGCACCATTTTGAGCTCATATGAGACTCATACATTGCATATCTTAAAAATTATTAAGGTAGAATAAGGTTACCCCTAGGCCGCAAGGGCTTAAAAATTCAAATTTCGATAATTTTTATCTCAAAAAGTGCATGAGCTACCCAAGCCATATTCTATATTTGTGATGAACACTTATACCCCTATTAGTATGAATTTTTCCAAGATGATCAGACATCACATTCTTGAAATACAGTACTTGATGTCCCATATTTGACCCTTTAAAAGATGAATTCACGCTAGATAATTGGGTCAAAATGCATTTTCCACACTAAACACCACATCTACAATCGGTTTGTCTCAATTTCAAGACTCAGAGCAATCACCAAATGAAGTCATTTAAAAATATTTACTTCACAACCATTTTTATTTATTTTTTATAATGTACCCCCTCCCCGCCTGATAGGGGTTGGGGTCAGAGACTAAAAAATCCATGAAGACCACTCCGGATCACTTGCCCCGAAATCATTTTCCACTCAGATCAAGTGTTTCTACAACTGTGCCAAGTTTGTTGCTTTCCTGAAAAAGTCGAACTATAAAGGGCTCATTTCTGGACATCTGACTGCGCTATAACTAATTACTGTACAGTGTATTATTATTATATGAGCAAGTGAGAAGTAATTGTTAAAAGTTCCTTGTAGTAGGTCAACAATCACACCATTACCAACAGTCACACCATTACCAACAGTCACACCATTACCAACAGTGCTCATGTACAATTGATTTAAACACTGACAACAAATCAAGACACAGAAGTCATACATTCTGGCTTATGATATTTTACTTATACAAACTGACAAAGGACAATAACAAAGGAAAATAACAATCTAGGCATTAATCAGGGCAACATTACATTTATGTGCACATTTATGACATTGATTTAAACTTTAAATTTGATTAGAGTTACGACTTACTATATAAAGATGACCATCATCCAGGAGAAACTAAATGCGACAAATATGACAACGGAATTCACAGTCGATTACTATATATCCTTCACTGAAAAGTTGATTTACTATATAATCAGTGGTTTAGGCTTTTTCGGAAACTTTATTGTATTATTTGTGTTTCTGAAAGATTAGCAGTATGTTGATTATGAACCAGAGCATGACTGACTTATTCGCATCTTTGTTCATATTTCTGACTACAATGATTGCAGGAATGGATTGGCCCTGGATTACTAAACCAGGACTTGCAGTGACTGTTTTCTGTAAGGTCTGGTTGTCTCAATTCTTCCCCTGGGCATGCATGACTGTCTCGACCTACAATCTTGTTGCTCTGACAATAAAGAGATACATAGCTTTAATACATCCATTAACTTATAAAAGCAATGTCTCCAAGAAACGAATTTGGGTTGTAATCACTCTGCTTTGGATTGCTGGATTTGCCTATCAAAGCTCTCAAATTTGGAGTTCAACGATGAAAGGCAGGTTTTGTTCACTATGGACAGAATGGCCGAGCAAATCATTCCAATTGGGATACGGCATTTCTGATTTCTTCATAGAATATGGCATACCTATCAGTTTCTTGATATTTTGCTACACCAGAATTGTGATCAAAATACATAAAGAGGCAAGGCTCAGAACAGGATCATTGAATCGTAAAAACCAAATGGCAAGAAGTAGAAACATTCTAATTCGTACACTAATACTTGGTTCAGTTGGATTTTTCCTTTGTTGGACATGGCACAGTATACAACCATTATTTGTTTTCTTGGTTTGGTGGATTACACTGGACTGCAGTACCAAATCGGTGCTTTTGCCATTTATTTGAATTGCTGCATCAATCCATTTATCTATTCCTTTTCTCAAACTGGTTTTGGCAAAGCTATGAAAGCTTTTTTCATCAGTTGCGGTACTAGAGATGAGACTTCATCATTGAGATGTTCCAGTTCAAATGCTCCATCAAATAGCAGTAAAATCATAACAGAGACAGCTATGAACTCTAAGGGGCTTGAGAATCATGGATGTTCACCATAACATCATTAGCAAATTCAGCAAAAACCTGACATTGTCTAAAAAATATTGAGGACGAGTCCAACAGGATATTACAATGTTGTATTTGATGAACTTGAAAACATATGGACAATATTATACTGTATGATACTAAACTGAAGTATATTGTACTGTACTGTACTGTGCTGTATTGTACTGTATTGTATTGTATTGTATTTTGTTTACCACCAATGAAGGTGAGCAATACCTCTTGGGTATGTCCCGTATATATACGGTCGTAATTTACGTAATTAACATGGAAGATAGACCCAGAAACCCCTCCTTGAAGGAGCCCTGTGTTCTTTTATGTGCACTTATACATAGACATACAAGTACACACCACAGCCTTTTGTACGAGTTGCAGACCACTCAGTCAAACACCCTGATGTACTTCACGCAAACAAGCAAATTTAGTCTTGCCTGAACCGGGGATCGAATCCGGGACCTATTGCGTAAGAGGTACCTGCACTACCGCTGAGCTGCACGGGTGGATTTTACTGTACTATTACTATTGTACTGTACTGTACTGTACTGTATTTTACTTTACCGTACTGTACTATACTGTTAATACTTCATTACACTGTACTGTATTGTAGACTACTGTATTATATTGAATTACATTGTACTTAACCACTGCACACTGTGTATTTACTTATTTTGGGCCTTGTTTCCCCTTTTTATTTTGGTGAATTAAACTTTTACTAAATTCTCCACGTACTGTACGCCCGGTATTATTCGCGAGCTTTAATTTCGCGAATTTTGCGAAAACACGGTTTCGCGGCTATTAAATTTCGCGAATACTGTATTTTATCGTATTCGGGGATTCCCCAGTATATGAAATTCAGTTCCCAGTACATTCCCCAGTATGTGATGTCAAATCAAATTGCAGGCTACGATCACGTGAGCAATCGTGCGCACGTGCTCTTTCATTGCCGCGCATGCGCATAGTAAAGTCATGGAGTTGCACAGTACTACTGAAGTACTATAACTCGATCCAAACTAATAGACAAAACGAAATGCATCAGAGCCCCGGGTAAAAACAAATCCCCGGGGATTTAATTGGCAATTTCGCGACGATAATTTTTCGCGATTTTAACACCCTCGCGAAAAGCGCGAAAGTTAATCGCACGCGAATAATACCGGGCGTACAGTATTCCATTCCAAATTCTACTTTTGCATAATACATGTATATGAAAGGGTCCTCTCAAAGTTATAGACATTAATTGTATCTTTAATCTCTTGTGAGATCCAGAATGCATCTTATATCTAATGTGGCTATGCAATATTGCTTTTATTGTAAGATATAAAAATGAATAATTTTATATAATATTTGTTTGTCAATATGAGTCATTTTATCATGGTATGCGATGTAATAATAACCAGAAGAATTCATTAACAGCTCTATATTCGGGTATGTATGTCTAGTTAAACTTGCATTATGGACCAGTAAATGTAATGCCTGTTACAAAGGGATACTTCTATCTTTATTAGAATCATAACAAAGACCAAGATTCAATGATTCATGGTAAATTCTATGACCTTAAGATTTTATTTTGGCAATATGACAAAGGAGAGACTAAAATCCTCATTCATATAAAATCTCGGATCTTGATCTTTATTCTTAAACTATTAATCATTGCTATTTAACAACATAGTTTGTAATTATTTCAGGCCCTGTTATCCCATTTAGTTTGGTGATTCCTTTTTGACATCATTCACCACAAAGATAGAAATCACCACAAAGATAGAAATCACCAAAGTTAATCACTCTTGAAGTTTTCTCAAAGGTTTATTCTAACTGGTATATTTTATGAAAACTTGAAAGTAGGAAGTTTCTCATATGGTACAAAAATTACATGGATAAATAGCTCCTATTTCATAAAGCTTACCTGGTCAAAAGCTCCTCAAACTTCTGTGAAGGGTCTGGCAGTACTGTGGTGTCTTCAGAGTCTAGCTCTATCAACAGGTCCTGCAAAAAGTATTAACATTACACCAATATCCACAGTCACTTCATATGTTTCTCAAAATGCAATTTATTTTATCAACTGTTAATTAATGCCCCCCCCCCCTTTTGATAAAAAACTTTTAGAGAATCTTTATTACACTTTTTAAGCATCAAAATGGCACTATAAAATGTGTAAAATTTAGTGTGAAATACATGTACGTGTTACAACCAGCCTATCTGAAATAATGTTTTAGTAAATTCCACTGCCCCTCAATATGTTTATTTTAAAACGTGCCCATGATATTAAATCTACATGTAAAGAAAACTAAAAAGTAAGTAAAAGTATGGAATATCTTAACATACCCTGTAGAATAATGTGACATCAAATGTTTGTCCAGGGTTCTGCATATGCATCAGTTCTAACTCAACTCCCGTCTCAGCGAGATCCTTCGCTTTCTTTATCGCCTGCCGCTGTAGTGCTGCATTATGGGAATGTGGGATGTCATTATTTGTAAAAAGTAACACTCGTTTGTAGCCAATCTTTTGAGAGCTGGAATCATAGTAAAACAATACATTTAATGATTGATCTTTAATAATTAGCCATTTAAAGACTTTGGATGATTTGTCTCACTTGGGTTGAGATGGTCTGAATAAGAACAAGGATACAAATAAAGTAAAACTTGTTTGATGAGAAAAAAGTGTTCACATTGAGAGGTCTTCAGTTACACGGTTAAGAGAGGTGTTGAGAGAAAGGCTTAACTTTACATGTACATGTAATGATAAACAATGAAATAATCCCAACTTACCAGTTAGAGAACATATTCTGACAGGTCCACATAGCTTCACTGAGAGAGTAGTTATCATTGTGGCCATAATTACTAGAGAAGTCATTATTCTCAGGTTCTTCTAGGAAAGCCTCAAGTTCCAACACTCTTGGAGCACCAGGCAGTTCAAGATCCTAAATTATGAATAAACTCATTCAAAAATAAATGTAGATAATATATACAATTTTACATATATGTACATTATAATATATATGTTACTGCATGACATGCACATGTACATGGTTCTTATTTCAGAATTTTCATTAGCAAGAGGCAACAGACAGTTTTTACCAAAATAATCTGTTGTTTTGAGGAAATTTGAACTGCTTACATTTTAAAATTATACTTTCAACAAATTGCTCAGCCTTTTGTTTTCATTCATTGTGCCAACTGTTTTCATTCAATGTGTCTTTTGTTTTCATTCAATGTGTCTTTTGTTTTCATTCATTGCGCATTTTGCCAGAAATCTTAATGAAACCTCTGTATAAAGAAGCAGAATTGTAATGAAACAAATGAACTTGTTACTCGATATGAATCTTAAACATCTATAGAAGGTATGCATAGATGTAACTTAACACAAGCCTCAAACGGACATTCAGTATCACCTGATAATGTTCACATTATGTTCCAGGATAGTAAATAACATGATAACATTCAAATTATATTATCGTAAATCAGAGTTGTATTCCATAAAAATTAATATCTGGAAGTGATTATTATATGAAGTTATACTTACAAAGTTCACATATATGTGTTTAAAGTCACTTGAATTGCTCTCCTTTTCCTGGAATTTAATAGCAATTGGATATATCAAGTTGTTGTTTCATACGGTGCATTGGACCATAGTAAATACACGTCTATCAAATACAGCTATGGACCATTACAATGGTTTATATATGGTTGACTTAATCTATGGCTGCATTCATCTATGCTTGAGTTCATATATGGTTGAAATGACTAGTAACTGACTTGACCACAGGTTGAGGTTGAGTTGAATTAAGTTTAGTTGATTTGCAGTTTAGGCTTTTATAAAGCGGAGTTGGTACAAGTAACAACACAGCCATCTATTAGTAACCTAATGTTAGGATTATTATTTGAAAGTACAAAAAATGAAGTGTAAGACTATATAAAGAACTTACTGTTCCATAGAAGACTATTCCCATGAGGTCCTTGTCACTGCTGATGATCTTATTCTGGATCACATTCTTGGCACACTACAACATAACATAATAATGGTGAATTTACAGTTTACTTGTATTTTGACATGAACTCTCACATTTTTACCTTTTGGGCTATTTCAAAGATAATGTCCACACTTATGTCTAACAATCCTCAAATCATTAAAGAGTTTTAAGAGATTAGAAGAAAGATGAGAGCAATTACTCAAGATGTCTGTAATTGTGTTTGCCTCCAGACAGGAAGCCAACATCTGGAGTATGTTTTGTAAAATGGCCATAAAAATCATGACCATAATGGGAATAGACCAAAGAAACTTGATTGAATGAAAGAACATTTAACAAGATATGAGTGTCTCAAATATGACTATAAACCATTGCTGAGTGACTGTCAGTTTTTAACATTAGTTTGGGCTACCTTTTTGGCTCCCCCTGCACGGCCTGCACTGCACTCATTCAAACCAAGACAGAAAATATGTTCTCAAATTCACTACTTGAATTAATTATTAATTGCCTCTTTTTAATTTGCCTGATTCTTTGAACTGATATTTACATTGAAATCATTTTCTAATTTCCCAGATACTATATAACATATAACAAATAAAACATTCCTCCAAGCTTTCAGTTTCTGTGGAACGTTTATGGAATTAGCCAGCCATTGAATTCATGATAAAGAATTGATTTGATTTGTAGAGGATATCATCTTAACTTACATAAAACTAAGAGAAGTGATAAAATTTATTAAGAATATGTGCATAAGTATTACAATTCCTTACCTTTATTGCAAGTGCAAAGTTTGATATTACAATGCCTTACCTTTATTGCAAGTGCAAAGTTTGATATTACAATTCCTTACCTTTATTGCAAGCTCAAAGTTTGACTGTTCCTCAGATTTCTCAAACATCGACTCTGTACAATCTATGAGAAATATCAACCCATCTTTACTACCCCATCTTGTCTGTAACAACAGAATACAAAACATACGTAAATATTAATATTTCAAAACCTATGACAGATTTTGTGACAAAAGAGTTTTTCGTGTAAAACATGAGAGATGTATTTGATATTGATACCCCAAACTGGCCATAAAATGAACCAAAACGTCTTAGTCATACACTGCATCGAACAGAAATGGCTGGTATTTTTACAAACGAAATATATAGCAAATATCATAAAACAACATACCAAAAAGGCCACCATTTTCAAAATGGTTAGCCAAGTTGTCATCAGAAGAAATAATATGCTTTTAGTAGCCACCTATAAAATTTTTGAAAAATCGCACACATGTAATTGTGAAATAAGTAAAAAATGTAAAAATGACAGCCATTTTTTAAAATGGCCGCCTACTATCCGAAGTGTCATGAGACAGTGAGCAAGGCTCGTGAGTATTCACATATCAAATATGAACAAAATCGCTTCACTACTTTTCAAGTTATAGTAAAAACGTAAAAATGGTGGTCATTTTTCAAAATGGCCACCTACTACCCAAAGTGTCATTAGACAGTGTGCCATGCTTATAGTATTCACATATAAAACATGAAACATACCAAATATGAACAAAATCGCTGAACTACTTTTCAAGTTATAGTAAAAACGTAAAAATGGTGGTCATTTTTCAAAATGGCCGCCTACTACCCAAAGTGTCATTAGACAGTGTGCCATGCTTATAGTATTCACATATAAAATATGACACATACCAAATATGAACAAAATCGCTGAACTACTTTTCGAGTTATAGTAAAATACGTTAAAATGGCAGCCATTTTTCAAAATGGCCACCTTCTACCAAAAGTGTCATTAGACAATGTGACATGCTTATAGTATTCACATACCAAATATGAACAAAATTGCTTCACTACTTTTCGAGTTATTGTAAAATACGTTTAAATGGCGGCCATTTTTCAAAATTTTTTCAAAATGGCTGCCTTCTACCAAAAGTGTCATAGGACAGTGTGCCATGCTTATAGTATTCACATACCAAATATGAACAAAATTGCTTCCCTACTTTTCGAGTTATAGTAAAATACGTTAAAATGGCGGCCATTTTTCAAAATGGCCGCCTTCTACCAAAAGTGTCATAGGACAGTGTGCCATGCTTATAGTATTCACATACATGTACCAAATATGAACAAAATCGCTCCACTACTTTTCGAGTTATAGTAAAATATGTTAAAATGGCATGGCGGCCATTTTTCAAATTTTTTTTCAAAATGGCTGCCTTCTGAATGATGAACAAAATCGCTGAACTACTTTTCAAGTTATAGTAAAAACGTAAAAATGGTGGTCATTTTTCAAAATGGCCGCCTACTACCCAAAGTGTCATTAGACAGTGTGCCATGCTTATAGTATTCACATATAAAATATGAAACATACCAAATATGAACAAAATCGCTCCACTACTTTTCAAGTTATAGTAAAATATGTTAAAATGGCGGCCATTTTTCAAATTTTTTTCAAAATGGCCGCCTTCTACCAAAATTGTCATAGGACAGTGTGCCATGCTTATAGTATTCACATACCAAATATGAACAAAATCGCTCCACTACTTTTCGAGTCATAGTAAAATATGTTAAAATGGCGGCCATTTTTCAAATTTTTTTTCAAAATGGCCGCCTTCTACCAAAAGTGTCATAGGACAGTGTGCCATGCTTATAGTATTCACATACCAAATATGAACAAAATCGCTCCACTACTTTTCGAGTTACAGCAAAAATCGTAAAATAACGAGTAAAGGCCGCCATTTTTCAAGATGGCTGCCATGTGCTTTTTTAATATCTACATTTGTAGCTTTATTAATGTCCTTTATAATTTTTTTACACTTAAAACATATTGCTATTACAGTTTTACATATTGTACCTAAATTACTGTAAAATCGGCACTAAAATCGCCGCCATTTTGAAATGAGCGGCCATTTTGAAAATCGGCTTTCGAGCAGAACTTCTACCCCCATAGGGTATATGTGTACAAAATATGAACAAAATCGGGCCAACGGTATTTGAGTTATTGCCCGGACGAACGGACAGACGGACGGACGTACGTACGGACGGACGTACGTACGGACGGACGGACGGAGGCGTTCCCTATATCCCTCCGAACTTCGTTCGATGGGATAATAATAATTCTGAGATAGTGAAGGGGTACTTTGTATACATAAAATTATTCAATATACAAGTATATATTTGAGATGAATATAGTATATAATATGTACATTAACTTACCTGAGTCTGATACTCTCCTTCATCTTCATCTCCATCATCATCAGCAAAGTTACCTCCCCATGTAGGCAGATCATCAAACCCTGCCATGTTTGTTACTAATTACTGAAAGTAGTTGAGTACACATGAAACAACTATTAAACCTTGCCATGCTTGTTACTAGTTACTGAAAGTAGTTGAGTACACATGAAACAACTATCAAACATTGGCATGTTTGTTACTAGTTACAGACAGTAGTTGAGTACACATGAAACAACTATTAAACCCTGCCATGTTTGTTACTAGTTACTGAAAGTAGTTGAGTACACATGAAACAACTATCAAACATTGGCATGTTTGTTACTAGTTACGGAAAGTAGTTGAGTACACATGAAACAACTATTAAACCCTGCCATGTTTGTTACTAGATACTGAAAGTAGTTGAGTACACATGAAACAACTATTAAACCCTGCCATGTTTGTTACTAGTTACTGAAAGTAGTTGAGTACACATGAAACAACTATTAAACCCTACCATGTTTGTTACTAGTTACTGAAAGTAGTTAAGTACACATGAAACAACTATTAAACCCTGCCATGTTTGTTACTAGTTACTGAAAGTAGTTAAGTACACATGAAACAACTATTAAACCCTGCCATGTTTGTTACTAGTTACTGAAAGTAGTTGAGTACACATGAAACAACTATCAAACCTTGCCATGTTTGTTACTAGTAACTTAAAGCAGTTGAGTACACATGAAACAACTATTAAACCCTGCCATGTTTGTTACTAGTTACTGAAAGTAGTTGAAAAACTGAGAAGACATAAAATAACTGTCCTTGGCTACTACAAATCATCAAGGAGGATTGGCTCCATGAGTGCAACATCGATATTTTTGCCATATATATTTAATAGGCATGTCTTGATTATCAAATTCAAATTCAAACAGACGCCATTTTGTTCACTTCAACATTTGAATCATCACTTTTACTCTAATTTCTAAAAAAAAATTCCAGGGCTGTCAACTTGGGACCATCTAACATGAGTGACTTCCAAATGTTGAACACCTTCCTTCAAACTTTGGGCAGCTTCAGTGAACACTGGCAGATTTTGGACACCTAAAAATTTTCCAGCTCGCTAATACTCGCTTTTCAAATCCGTCAACGTTTCGAAAAAATGTGTGATATATGCACATATCTTGTACCAAATGCGTGACATAAACGGCAATCGCGTGCAAAGACCGAACGAATGTGTTCGCTTTTTTTGCCGTTCGGTATTTTATCGTGTCAGCATTTCACAAAAACGATTTTTAAAAATGTCAACAAAATGTGTGATTTGCGTGATATTTGGTCATACACGATAAATTGATGCGTGATTTCTATTTTTCCAGCAAATGCTTGACAATCACGCCTAATGCGTGGGGGTTGACAGGGCAGAAGAACTTATCGAGATAGGCTATTGGTTCGAATATTTTGGACTGTTTATAGACTAGTTTGAATTTATAGTTTGCAACAATTTCTGAAAATAACGGCATTTCAACGTTTTCATTTTTGAAAAATATAGAATTTCGATCATGGGAGCCAATCCTCCTTTAGCAAATCATTTAAAATCATTAATTTGAGAACAATGTCAATGAGATGAGTTTAGACAGATGGTGGGCGATAATAGGTGTCCTTTGAATTTATAGACGTTGGCATCAATTCAACAAGTGAAAAAGTACAATATAGCATGAAACAGGGTCCATTGGTATAATCATAATTTCCTTTCAAATTTATACTTACAAAATCAGCTGTAGAACAACTTAATTTGCTGCAATATGATTATAAGTTGACAAAAAATAATCCAAACAAAACTGACCTCGATTTCACCTTTCCCGCCACGCATGCGCAAATTTTCGTTTCCGGTGAAAACGGAGTGCACATTTTATAACATTTTCATCAAAATAACGGAGTTTTCACCATCAAGATGAGTTACAATTACGTCGTGACGGCGCAGAAGCCGACGGCTGTAAATGTATGCGTCACAGGTAAAGATCTCTTAATGTATCATTGCATAGTTTTGCTTCAATTGATTTTTTAAAATTTGTCATTTTTCAACAACAGATTCACATTCAGAATTTGACTGGTTCAAATGCAGTTGAATGTTTTTGCCTTTGATAATTATTACATTTTGTTACAGCATTAATCAATTATACCATATGTGCTTGACTATTAAAACTAAGGCAAGAAGACTGTAAACTTGAAACGAATTAATTTATATGTTCCAATTCCTACCTGTAGGAAACTTCACATCACCTGATGATCTCAATTTGATAATCGCCAAGAATACACGTCTTGAGATCTATGTTGTCACACCAGAGGGTTTGCGTCCTGTCAAAGAGATCAACATGTATGGCAGGGTAGAAGTTCTGGAACTCTTCAGACAACAGGTAATGATTTGTGGCATGCAGAATATCAGAATCGCAGAATCTGAGTCATCTTATATTTGTCAATCTTAATCAGGCAAAAAATCTCTCATAAAGTGTTGTATTTTGACTGTATTGTTCTCCTAGCATCTAACGCCTGCAAACACGCACAATTATTTAGATAGTTTATTTAGAATTTTAATTTTCATGCCCACAACATCATGGTTAATGATAACTTGTATTGTTCTTTAAACAGAATGATACAAAGGACCAGTTGTTTGTGTTGACCGCTCGCTATAATGCTATGATCTTGGAATGTGATCGTACTGGAGGATCTAGTGGAAACATTGAAATCGTCACCCGTGCACATGGAAATGTTCAAGTGAGTGGACAGTCTAGTTAATTAAAATCTCACAATTTTGTGAGTGTTCTACATAATACATACAAAGTAGGCCTGTATAGATCAGCCAATTAAAATCTTTCAACTGCTTGCAAAATTCTTGTTTTATACTCTGATGGAGAAAGCATGCAAATTATCAAGAGCAAGAGAAAAAATTCAATCAATTGTAAAAACATACAAAAGATAAAATAGATGGTCAGATTCACTACATCTGCCACCTCTAAATTGAAGGTGCTGCTCTGTCTTACTTTAAATTATCAGCTTCATATTACAGATCCAAACATGTTACATTGCAGGATCGTATAGGAAGGCCAGCGGAGACTGGTATCATTGGCATCATAGATCCAAGGTGTCGTGTCATTGGGATGAGGCTTTATGATGGCCTCTTCAAGGTGATTCCCTTAGATAGGGACAACAAAGAGCTGAAAGCCTTCAATATAAGGTATTTAGAACTCTCATTTTATTTTAGCTATTTAATACCACATTGTGAATATTTGAGCTGAATGGAGCAACATCAATCACTTATGAGGCAAGCTATCTCTTTTAATTGATTAATGAATTAATAGATCAAATAAAAAAATATTTTAACTCATAAGGTGTTTTATATTATGAAAAAAGTTTATACAAGCATTGCATACTGTCTTCCTAACCTCTGATTTTTAATGCTGTTCTGATCTTATTAATCTCAAATGTAGATTATATTGCCTTATATGGAAGTATGGACATTAAATGGTTTATACTTTCTACAAAATGTAGTATCTAATTAGATCAAAAAATATTTTAAAAGAGTGTAGCTGAAGTGGTCCTTATGAAGGGTAACTAGTCTTTTAAATTGATTATTTCAGGCTTGAAGAACTAGATGTCATAGATGTACAGTTTCTAAACTGTGGAGGGCTCATGCCAACTATTATCTTACTGCACCAAGATCAACATGGTCGACATGTGAAGACATATGAGATCTCCGTAAGAGAGAAAGAGTTCTTAAAGGGACCCTGGAAACAGGATAATGTTGAAACTGAGGCCTGTCTTGTAGTAGCAGGTATGTGCCCCTCCCCCCCATTGATGATTGTTACATCTATTTTTTTTATATTTGAAATGATGAGAGAAGAATCAATTTTTTCTTCTTCGAAGCTAAGAGAAAGTATCTGTGTCATGGAAACCTGTGCACTTGTGGAGGTTATAACAGTTGTCAGTTGTCAGTTGCTGGGCTACAGATTATCCTACCCACATAGAAATTGTAAATCAATATTTAAAGGAGCTGTGGTTTTTTCAGTTCCCCAGCCATTTGGTGGTGCCCTGATAGTTGGGCAGGAGTCAATAACATACCACAATGGAACAAATTACAAAGCTATTGCCCCACCTATCATAAAAGTAAGTTTTCTAGGAGATGATTTCTCCATTCAGCTTGTGTTTTACTGATAGTGTTAATAGCGTATATCTTTAGACTATATTGACAATTTATATTAAGATGGCTAAAGACCATATTACAATTATATTAATCTATTAAACAGCTTTGCTGTACTTTCAATTTATTTAGTCAAGCAACAGTCTAAATATGGATCTTGAAAATATTGTATGCTTCAATTCTATTGTTTATTCCAGCAAAGTACAATTACTTGTGTGGGCAAGGTAGATGCTAATGGGTCGAGATATCTACTAGGGGATATGACAGGGAGATTGTTTATGCTGTTGTTAGAGCAAGTAGAAAACATGGACGGAAGGATGGAAGTTGGAGATCTCAAAGTGGAGTTCCTGGGGGAGGTGTGTACACTTGTGCATGTAGCATGTATAATACATGTACTAACTTGTATTAAAGGGTGTCTAACTTCCCTTTTCAAAAGTTTATGCTTCCTTGAAAGGGGGCTTTATCTGCACTCTGTGAGTTCTAGCCTCAACCAATCAGAATTCTGGTAAAACTCGACTCGACTTTTAGGGTAATTTAGCACAAACTCTTGGTTTATATTAAGAGGTTATAAGATTATAATAGAAGAAGTCAGTTGGCTCCAAAGTTCAGTGGTAAAGCACTCGTCTGGGAAGCGAGGGACCGTGGGTTCGATCACCATGAGGATGGACTGACTTTTTCACATCAGCCATTAGCGCATAATTCCATTCATTAATTGTAATAGTACATGTACTGTATGTTATTTAAAATATGGCAAATATGGCAATTTCAAGGTGAACAAAGAGAGGTGTTCTTTTTTTGAAAAATTTCATCAATAGAATCTATTCAGATCATTCATATGAGAAACCTGTGGATATGACTGATTGTGCAATGATGATTTGTTTTAATTTCTGAGTTGCCATGATGAAACAAAGGCTGAGAACAATCACTATCCAGTATTAGATTATGTTTCAAAATTCTTCCACTATTGAATTTTTTGAAGTAAAATCCATTAGTTACCTGTGATTTACCTTCAAATAGAAATTGCATTAGATAGGATGGATCAGAGTTTATTGTGTCATAGTTTTTATTTTTATTTCAATGAACAATCAACATTTCTGTCTTAAATGCGGTCTGAAGTACAAATCAATTGTCTTTTATACGAGCCTGTTTATGTAAGTGTAACTTTGTGAATTGTGTTGTAGACTACAATAGCAGAATGTATAACATACTTGGACAATGGAGTGGTCTATATTGGGTCTAGACTTGGCGACTCACAGCTTGTAAAGGTAAACGATAAAATCATTAAATTTAATATCTTTTTTAGATCTAATCTCAAAACTACAATATAATGTTTGCACAATCACTAGAGTCTATACTTGAATGTAAATCGTTAGCAAAGGATCATCAGAGTGTGTTTTTCTTGGTTTTGTCCAGTCATCCACTTTTAAGAATACCCCATGAAAAAAGTTGTTTCTATACCTAACCATTATACTTGCATAATGAAATACATGTTTCTTGCCTTGCAGTTGAATGTAGAATCAGATGAGAATGGCTCCTATGTGCAGGTAATGGAGACATTCACCAACTTGGGCCCCATAGTTGACATGTGTGTTGTGGACCTAGAGAGACAGGGCCAGGGGCAGGTAAGTCTGAAGTAAAATTCCATGGGTGCCATTGAAATGGACAAAAATTAGAAATTAAATTTGCATTCAGTGAACATTACCCTAAGAATCAATCTTATGCTTCCCTTGTATTTCTACACATAATGAATTGGTGTGGAGTAAGATTTATTACTCCTTCAGCCAAGACAGGATTTACCCAAAACACCTAGATTGAAATTGACTTTAGTTCCTTGTAGGGGACCACTAGACATGTAAAAATTGATTGGTGGCAGGTTGTGAATGAGGCTCAAAAGTGCTGAGTCAGAACATTTTATCATTTTCATTTCGGAGTGCCTCACTCACAGGACATAAATCCCACCAGATTTATATCTGTGGGGCTAATGTCTATATTAACAGCCTTGGTTCACAACCTCTCACTAATTCCTATGGGTCCCCTACAAAGAACTAAAGTCAATTTTAATCTAGGTCTTTTGGTCAAATCAAACCTCGGCTGAGGGAGTACTGTATATCTAATAAAAACCACATTTACATTTTTTATGCAAAAATATTTTATGTTATACAGAAGTATCACAAAATTTGCCATTCATTCAAAACCTTACTTGATTTTTCTCCAAAATCACCAAATTATGTGATACTGTAAATTATATGATATTGTGAATTATGTGATAATTTATTTTTCAGCTGGTGACATGTTCTGGAGCATATAAAGAGGGAACTCTTCGGATCATTCGTAATGGAATAGGTATCCATGAGCATGCATCCATAGACCTCCCTGGAATCAAAGGCATGTGGCCACTCAGAGTTGGCTCTCGTAACCTAGACAACCATATTGTACTGTCATTTGTCGGCCAGACCAGGTAAATAAAACATTGTATGAAAGTGCCCATATGTATCCGTAGAAATTGGCTATTAAGTAATATTCTTGATTTATAGATGCAAGAGTATAATGTAAAACACATATGTTTCACTTGAATATTGAACAGCCGATGGGTCAGTATGTAGATTTTACATGTTGCAAATAAATAACTTTACTATACCAATGGACAGTATTCCACTAAAAGTAATTTGAGTAAATTGAATATATAAAATTGTCATGTTTAGCCAAGGAATAAATTTTTAGAATTTAGATGATTAAAAATTGATCATATGGTCGGCCATTTTCAGTTTTTACCTCGCCTACCCTAATATTATTATTTGTGTTTAATTCCTTTAGGGTGTTGATGCTGAGTGGAGAGGAGGTGGAGGAAACAGAGATAGGGGGATTTGAGGGAGATCAGCAAACGTTCTACTGTGGCAATGTTACAGATGACCTTGTTGTCCAGGTAATATTTTGCACTAGTAAGGTCAATTGAAATATGGGTAAGGGGTGTACATGGAAATGGGGGGTCCATTTGTAAGACCTCCGTTTAAACATTTATTTTTAGATCCAAGAAATCTTTGATTATTACCACCTTGCCGGGCCAGTTCTAGGGGTTTTAGTGCTAGTTTAGAAGGCATTCATTTTACTATATCAACCTGAGAAGTGTGTGACATCATAGTGGTGGTCCATATGGACCAGTCTAGAATATATTCTGGACCGGTTATTTTCCCCGGGAAATTAGATATCGCTCAATGCGTAAGATTTATAGTGAAATATTGGACCTTTGTTCCTTCGGCCCTCGGTCCAATATTTCACTATATTGCCCTTAGAAATGCCGTTATTGTACTGTTGATACTACGTAAAACTCCCTTGTATGAGCAGTGAAGATAAAAAAAGTGTTTACCTACCATTGAAAATGAGAATTGAATTTTATTTATTGATCAGATTTTTAGACTATCCATCACTTTGGTTCGTTTTTGTGTACAAAATCCTATCAAAATGGGGAACATTAAGGATGTTATGCCAAGTCTTAGGAGGATATCCTACAAGTTCATTTACGGTACTTCAAAATTATTTCTAAATATTTCTTTTAGATAACCTCTGCTTCTGTCCGACTCTTAAATCCGTCATCTAAGGGTCTGATCAGTGAGTGGAAGCCTTCTAGTGGCAAGAACATCAGCGTGGCAAGTTGTAACAACTGCCAGGTCGTATGTGCAGTAGGAAAAGAAATATACTACCTTGAGATTAAAGATGGCAGTACTACAGAAATCAGGTAAGCATCGTTTGAGGAGGTTTAATTCTCAATTACATGTACCATGAGCAAGAGCTCAACATGTTGTCAGTAAAAATTTTATCATACATATATTTCAATTGTAAAATTGATGAATTTCAATGATTGTGTTAAAAATGAATGCATGTGATCTGGTGATTATTCCATATTTTATCAGATTTGATGTTCTACTTTGTCCATTTCAGTTCTACCACCATGGAACATGAAGTGGCATGTCTTGATATCACTCCACTAAATGAAGGATCAGACAGGGCTCATATGTGTGCAGTAGGTCTATGGACCGATATATCAGCTAGAATACTACAACTCCCCAACTTTGATAGCTTACATGTAGAAATGCTTGAAGGAGGTGAGTAGTAAGGAGAATATGGGACAAACTGAGAATATGGGACAAACAGAGAATATGGGTCAAACAGAGAATATGGGACAAACTGAGAAAGCAATCAATTTTTTCTTGTGGCTCATATCAGCTGCAATCTCTGCATTGGCTCTTTCAAAATTTCTATTGAATATATCTGTTGAGAAAGAAGTCGAGATTACTTCATATTTTGACACTGTGGACCCTTTGCTGTTTGGTTCACCCTGTGTCTTGATCTGCAAGTATAACACTACTCTCTGACTATTACAGACTCATTCATCATTTTTGATACTGATGTAGAGATCTTAAATTCAAGTTGCCTAATGGATTTTGCATTTGAAATTAGTTTTAAAGGGACTAATATGAGTAGAAAATGTTAATCTCTGATTTTAGGACTAAATTTTAATTGAATAAACATGCAGAAAGGTTGGTTGAAAATTATAAAATTGGGAGACCAAGGGTCATGACTTAGGGAACACCCTGTACTTGCACAATAAATCATCAGTAGCTTTTTAGTCAAATTAGAGATTCAGAATAAGCTCAAGTTTTTGTTGATGAGAAAAATACACAACCATTTAAAATGAGAAAAATCTAGTTTATATTTGTATGTAAATACATTTTTATTTCACTTTCAATTTAATAGTGTGTGTAAGTTAGCATCAATATGACATAAAACAATCAACATGTCATAAAACACTCAATACTATGACATAACATGTCATGAAACACTCACCATAACATAAAAAACTCAACATATCTTGAAACACTCAACATGTCATTGAAGATTCAATACGTATATGACAAAACACTCAACATGTCATGAGACATTTTTATTACCATGTTGATCGGCATAAAATGAGAGTTCCTTGTTTTTTGAGATCAAGTGCTTACAAAAAAAGTTTAAACAATATTTGCTCAATTATTTACATAATGAGATCATTTCAAAGAAAATTGTGGTAATCCAAAATATTGCGCCACATTCTTTTTTTAAAGTCCTGTTTAGAGTGTTGTTCAAAGTCTTATAACTGGGAAAGTATTTGATAGTTTTTGGTTCAGCTGTATATCTAAATGAGATCACAGTCTTCCTTATATTAATACTGCATGGTAAACTCCTTATATCTAGTATAGTAACTACTTAATACTACTAAGTCTGTAGTATTAATCACTTAGTTTTTAGCTGTTTTGGGGCCCCGAGGGTTACAGCCCCTTTGATAAAAAAGTCATTTTCAAAAATGAAAATTTTGAAAAAGTTTGGAACTTTTGTTAAGTATCATGTCTTGAATTGGAAGTGTTTATATGTAACTGCCATTTGAATTATTCGAGCTTGTTGTTCTATGCACCATTGAACCTATGCTTGCATCATGGAGCTTATGCTTGCATCATTGGGCAGTTAGCCACCTCAGGTAGGTCACACCTAATGGTCTTGAAGTCAAAGTGCTGTCCTAGGGGGCAGTCCTTGTGGTAGGCTATATCATTGGAACAGTGGTAGAACTTGCTACAGTCTTCTGGGTCCAGGTAGAGACCGGTAGGGAGTGGACACTTGAAATCTGAAATAGACATCGATTTGGATATTTATTATGATGCTGAATTACATGATATAAATGTTAATTTGAGATGATTATCAGATTTAAACCAAATTTATTACCAAATTTAAACCAGTTTTTGACATGTGTATCATTGGTGTATCTTTGCTTCTTCTGATTCCAATTATTTTCAAATATCAATTTGAAATTAGTTCATGAAATCCATGAATCTGCTTAATGGAATGGTTTTAATATACTGAATATGCACAATTCTTATTCTATATTATCTTGTAAGAAGGTAAAGCAATTCATATTATGTACCTTCAGAAATCACATTTTCCCATGTTGGGGGAGGGTATGTTTCCACAGCAACAGTTGTATCCACTGCTCCAGATCCCTCATTCTCCCCGCAGCGGGCATTCTCGGGCCAGTCACACTGGCTGGTCTTAGTGTTAAAGTGGAGGCCTAGGGGGCAGTCCATATGAAAGGGGGTATTATGTGCACAGTGCCACCATTTTGTACAGTCTTCTGGGTCAGTGAAGAGACCAAAGAATTCAGGGCATTTAAAATCTGGAATGCAAAGATTATTTCATTTGTTTAATTGTTCTGTTATGAGATTGATTTAGATATGAACATGTGTAATTTGCTAATTGTATACAGTTTTGTCAACTTTCTTATAGCCACAGGGAGCTAGTTCTTGTAAATGTCCCTAACCTTATCAAGTACTTTGAGAATGCCTCAGTAGGTTTACTTGCCTGTGACAATAACTTCGGTCTCATTTTCATTTCCATCAACCTCATCAATTTCGACTCCTGCCTCATCATCAGCCACAGCTCTTCTTGCAACGGACATGTCTACGATGTCAGCACATTCCCCATTGGTCCATTTCTCAGACCATACCCCTGGGTAGTCGCATTGTTCCTTCTCTGCATTGTATATGAGGTTTTCAGGGCAAACAAGGGAGTATGCTACCCCATAGGAACACTGCCAGAATCTGTAGCAATCTGTTTCGTCCTCATATAAACCAAATCGCTCAGGGCACACAAACACTGCTGGTGCGTCTGAAATAGCAAAGTTATTATTGTTGTTGAGTCTTCATTGATTACCTCAATAAAGGTGGGGGTTAATTTGCTTTTCCTTATTTTTGAATTTTTTTTCTAAAAAGTTGAAGTTTTTAGATACAAATGCTACATTATGTACCCAAAATAACACCAGATCGCCACTATTATAAAAGCATGATAATGTAAAGGGTGTCCAGAATGTATGGGGGCCCCCCTAGGCAGACATATACCAATGTCTCCATAGTATTTGTCAAATATCATTTAAAGCTTATCCAAAGTTACATTGATTTCCCAAGTACTATGGTTCAAGTCCCAAATGGTATTTCAAAACTTATTCTCTGCCTAGGAGGGGGCCCATACTTTCTGGACACCTTGTACATAATACCGAGCAAGTTTCTTTGCCTACCTGTTACAATCTCCTCTCCACTACCACTGCCATCCTCAGGTGTAGTGGCTGGCTCTCCAGTGCCTGTGTGAGATTCACCTCCAGTGTTTACTTCCCTTGTAGTAGTTGTACCTTCAGTGGTAGTCGTAGCTTCAGCACATACAACGTTACGGGGCCAGTCGCATATAAACCTGGAAAATTTTGAATCAGTATTGTATGTTTATAATACGGCATACTGAATTTGTTAGAAGTATGTTTTGTTAGAACTAGTCTACAGCAGAGAATTTCTAGAAAATGCATCCAAATCCAATCAGTGTAAGATTGTCTCACTTTATATTCTGACATGGAATTTATGTTTCATCTCTGGCTATTTTGCTATTAATGCTCTTTGAGTGCTATAGCCCAGTAGTATACAGTAAAACCTGTCTAATCCAAATACACTGCAAAAAAAGTTTCACATTGAAAGATGTTTAGATTAGACAAGTGTTCAGAAATCCGGGTTTTACTCCACATGTGTTTATTTGTATCTTATACATGTATCATGGGTGAAGTAAACAAAAAATAATATTGAAAAAACTTTTCAAAATGATTCTGAATGAAATATCTACCTGGCAGGATTGAACAGAAGACCATAATAACATGTCTTATGATAGGATACTCCTGCAGCGCACTGGTAGAAGTTGGAGCAGTTTGTGAGATCAGGGTATAAACCATATAAAGTTGGGCAGCGAAATTCTGAAAAAGCCATACAACAACAATGTCATTTGAAAACCACAAATAATTTTTTTTCTAAATATCCCTTGCAAGTATTGAGTATTGATATGTTATGGTTAGATTTTTTAAAACAAATCCTTTTACAGTTGTAGCTGACTTGAATAATCTCCAAATATAAAAGGTCTAGATGTTTTCTTGACATATTGCATATGTTAAACATTGAGCTACTTTATTTGAAACATTCTTTTAACACTGTCTTGCCTAAGAAAAAGGTAGATTTAAAATGTTGAACTATATCATGTATGTACTTACCATGTTTTATTGAGATAGGCTTTGAGTTTGTAAAACTGAACGAGATTGCAACTCCTATGAGTAAAAGACAATATTTCATCTCCATAGTGATTGTTTTGAAGTTTGCTAAGTGATATCTGTTGTATAGTGTTCTATGTGATTGTCGCTTCTTGTTGTTCTGAAGTTTGAGGCACATTGGTCCATTTTATATGAAACTCAATTGGGTTATTTATTTGTTTAGTTATATTTTTCGATGATCCTCTCGACGTCATTTCCCAATTCATGTCCAAGCTTACGTGGTTGGCATACCAAAATATGAGTTGTGGTATAATAGAAGGTCAGATGTTTTATAGACAGCCAATCAGAGGAGTTCATGATCTTGTAGTTTTTCAGTTGCGTGAACAAAGAACCAAAAACTTCTTCCAAATGAGTCTGAATGCTCAATGATATGTGGCAACTAACATTTTCTTCGTTTTAGCCTACTTTTACAGAAAGTTATAAATTATTTTCATTTAAATAATTGCTTTCCTATGAAATTTGATTTGAATTTCTGTAAGAGCATTGATATGTGTATGTTAATCTTTGACAATATTTCAAGTGTTTATTTAATAAATGATGCATTTTATTGCACTTAAAGTATGAGAGGTGGAACTGAACTACACTTCATGTGAATGAGGAACTGAAATTGTGTTAATATTTAACAAATCTTGTTAGAACTTTGTGAGGCATTAAAGAACATTAAAAGTACATTAAAGCATTAAAGTACATCAAATAATTATCATTGAGCTTTATTTTGAAGTTTCCTGCAATGTCGAAAATGTTAACATTTTATAAAGTTAATCACAAGTCCAACTCTTTATGTGTGTATCTATTAAAAATGCAAAGACACATATTACATCATGAAACTTTAGACAGGAACATATGGCATCTGTTGTGGAAGCGCAACACTGCACATGCCTTTGAAGCTGTCCAAAGCCTTCCAAAAGGGTACTTCCACATACAAACATCATCAACAATGTACATTACATACATATGGGAAGGAATTTTACTCAAGTCAATTTTACTTCAGGCCTCAGAAAAAATTGTATTCTGGTAATGCTATCAAATGAATACAGTTATCCAACAAATTACTTTAATTTACCCAAATTATTTCAATGCATGTTTCACTTTATTTCAGAGATCATCCCTAGGTCTATTCTGATGGCCACATTTGAGGGATTGAACTATCTTCTATGTGCACTTGGAGATGGATCACTCTACTACTTTGCCCTAGACATACAGACAGGTAAGTGTTAGCAAGTGAGTCACCCCTTGGTGTCTGTTTAAGATAATATTATGAATTATAATTTCCAGTTGGATTTTGTGAAACATCAACACAAACAATCCCTACTCTAATGCACACATTCAAGTCCCTTTCAACAATCAATCATTGAAAACAATGAATATTTCTAGGTAATTTAAGCAAGAGGAAGTAAGTGACTCTCGGCACACAACCTACTGTACTGCGCACAACTAAGTCTCTTTCAACCACTAATCATTAAATACAATGACAATGAATATTTCTAGGTAATTTAAGCGAGAGGAAGAAAGTTACTCTCGGCACACAACCTACTGTACTGCGCACATTCAAGTCTCTTTCAACCACCAATGTATTCGCCTGTTCAGATAGACCCACCGTAGTCTACTCCAGTAACCAGAAGCTTGTATTCTCCAATGTCAACCTAAAGGAGGTCAACTATATGTGCCCCCTGAATTCAGAGGGCTACCCAGACAGGTATGAGAGTTAGGGGTTGTCTCAAAACTTATGATACTTTGTTAGTTTTAAGACATCAAGGTTAATCGTATTTCACTGGTAGGTAATCAGTTGATTGTGCTATTTTATCAAAATTGTAATATATCTTTGTTAAAAGTCAATAATGGTACAAATCATAGAATAAACATATGGAATTTCATGTAATACTGGAAATTGCATTATGATTTTGGGTTTAGTTCACTTTGTTGGTGATTGACTCTCAAGGTTAACACTATGTATTGTATGCAGTTCATATTTTTAACCTGCGTGTAGATTTGTTGTTCTTGTGCTTCAGTCTTGCCCTGTCCAACGACACTAGTCTGACTATAGGAACTATAGATGAAATCCAGAAACTTCACATCAGAACCTTCCCCCTGGGGGAATCACCAAGGTAACCAATTGTTTTGAGTTACAAAGGTAACCAATTATTTTGTGTCAATAAGGTAATTCAAATTGTGCCAATTGTATCATCTAAAATGTATCAAGATTAATCATTTGAATTAAACCATTAAAACTAAATCATATAGTTAAAAACAACTACTTTTTAAGATCTAGATGAAATAAAAAACAATTTGATATATTTTGAACAAACCATGAAACTGATAATGTTTCCATTACAATAAAACTTGTACCTCGTGAAACCCATGGAGATCATAAGAACTCTAACTCTAGCACATATTTCGACATTACACAACAGGAGGATAGCCTACCAGGAATCATCACAGACATTTGGTGTAATCTCACTCCGATTGGACATCCAGGACAATACAGGAGCCACACCCGCAAGGCCCAGCTCCAGTACACATGCACTCACAACATCAAAAAGTACCAGTTCAACTCTACTGGGTAGTAGCAGTGCTAATGTTGCAGAGAAATATGGCGAAGAAATTGAAGTCCATTCATTGCTTATTATAAATCAGCATTCTTTCGAAGGTATGTTTCATCAAATGCATTTTTCTTGGAGGCTGGGAAAAAGCTGATTATTAATCATTGGGTTGAAAAAATTTGCCTGTTACCTATGAAGAATAAATCAAATTGGTTTGAATTGAATTGATTTGAATTGAATTGGCATGTGCGTGAAGATCTGTAGATTCCTCATTCTAAAATTGATATTCAATTTATTACAAATACCCATTCACCATATACAGTATTCTTTACCAAACTTGCCATTACCAATGGGTGGTCAGTGCCTGAAATAAACTGTTACAATTGTTTTATTTTACAATTTGTAATATAATCCCTTCTTTTTCAGTGTTACACGCACATGAGTTGATGGCCAATGAGTTTGCTACTAGTCTTATATCTGCCAAGCTTGGAGATGATCCTAATATTTACTACATAGTTGGTACAGCTATGGTCTATCCTGAAGAGGCAGAGCCCAAACAAGGCAGAATTATATTGTTCCATTGGAATGAAGGTAATGTTCATTTTAAGGATTTAAGTACAGGACTCAGTGAGTTGTTGGTGATTGGTTGCATGCGATTCTTGTAGTTCAAAACGAGAACTTAAACTTGAGTTGATATGATTTTGATCTACTAGTTAAAATTGAATTTAGACCCTAAAACAAGGTTGTATCACATCACTGAATATCTAATCTATTACTACATATGAAACTGTATAATGTCCTTAGAAGTTCTTTTGGTTGTGTTCTGTGTTTGAATAAGTTCAATATGTTCATCTGCTTTCGTAATTCATGTAACATAATCATGATATTGCAGGGAAGTTAACACAAGTCGCTGAAAAAGAAATCAAAGGAGCAGCATACACATTAGTAGAGTTCAATGGAAAACTGCTAGCCAGTATAAACAGTACAGTAAGTAGAATCCTAACCTTTAAAAGAGGAAATATCTGATATTTTAGAAAAGATAATTAAGTTCTGTAATCACTCAATCTCCAATTTCTTGACTCGCAACCCTAGTTATTTCAAATGCATGAAGTATCTGTTCAATACGAAGGATATATATCATATTTACATAGTCAAAGTGTTTGTTTTACTAACATATCTGTCAATCAGAAAAATCAAAAAGTCCATATTTTTTTATTTCAATATAACTTTTTTGAAAAAAAATTTCGCAAAATTTTGATTTTCATGGACATTTTTTCCCACCCTGTATTTAAGGCGATAGTTGTTCATCTGTTTGACGGAAATGTGTTTTGATGAATCTTTCAGGAAAGGGAAAATAAAAAAGTTATTGTTTTAGGTGAGATTATTTGAATGGACTGCTGAGAAAGAGCTGCGTGTAGAATGCAGTTACTTCAACAACATTATAGCCCTCTACCTGAAGACTAAAGGAGACTTTATCCTAGTGGGTGACCTTATGAGGTCCATGAATCTCCTTGCTTATAAACCCGTTGAGGGAAACTTTGAAGAGGTATGTATGAGGAATATCAGTTTACGATCAGATGTGAACAGTTGCAATGACCTTTGTTATTCAAGTTCAATTTTTATTTATGAATTATTGAAATGCTTTTCAGTCAGTATGTGACCTTTGAAACCGTCTCCAGAAGTACTTTGAAATGTTATTGTCCCAGGAAAAAGATACCATAACTGATCTGTGGAAGTTAGAAATGAATATATATCTAAAGAGTGATGTGCAACTTTGATTTGGGGCAATTCATCATTCTACAACTCGTGCATCATGCCCCATTGGTCTAGTAGCAGCAGCCATTCTTGAAATATTTTCTTTTTCCTGCATTCTCATATTTATTCACTCATTTTTTTATTCCAGATTGCCAGAGATTTCAATCCCAACTGGATGTCGGCTGTTGAGATCTTAGATGATGACACTTTTCTTGGTGCTGAAAACTCGTTCAATTTGTTCACATGTCAGAAAGACAGTGCGGCAGCCACAGATGAAGACAGACAACATTTACAAGAGGTTGGCATGTTCCATCTGGGGGAGTTTGTCAATGTTTTCAGACATGGTACGTAATTCACTTTCCAAAAGCTAGACATCATCCACCTCTTAAAGTTAATTATTTTTACTTTTAACTAATCTGTACTTAGGTGTATGCATTATTAAGTTAGATTATGTAGTTACAAATTACTTCCGTACATTTTCTGATGAACACCCTGTAATTACCCCATCGAACGAAGCAATAACTCAAATACCGTTGGCCCGATTTTGTTCATATTTTGTACACATATACCCTATGGGGGTAGAAGTTCTGCTTGAAAGCCAATTTTCAAAATGGCCTCTCATTTCGAAATGGCGGCCATTTTAGTGCCGATTTTACAGTAATTTAGGTGCAATATGTAAAACTGTAATAGCAATATGTTTTAAATGTAAAAAAATTATAAAGGACATTAATAATGCTACAAATGTAGATATTAAAGAAGCACATTTTTAACGTATTTTACTATAACTCGAAAAGTCGTTGAGCGATTTTGTTCATATTTGATATGTGAATACTTTAAGCATGGCACATTGTCTAATAAAACTTTGGGGAGTAGTCGGCCATTTTGAAAAATGGCCACCATTTTTATGTGTGTTATTTTACAAGTACGTGTGCGATTTTTCAAAAATTTTAGAGTGGCTACTTAAAAGTATATTATTTCTCCTGATGACAACTTGGCTAGTGAGCAACCATTTTGAAAATGGTGGCCTTTCTGGTGTGTTGTTTTATGATATTTGCTATTCGTTTGTAAAAATGCCAGCCATTTCTGTTCGATGGGATTCGCTACGCTTTGGCGTTGCCGTTGTTCTGGTTGTAATACTGCTTCATATTTGATTCCTTGTACTTTCAAAGGATCCTTAGTGATGCAGCATCCAGGTGAGATGTCCACTCCCACCCAAGGTTGTGTACTGTTTGGTACAGTCAATGGTGCTGTAGGTGAGTTACTGGGGTTACTGTCTTGATCATTGAATGGTAGCTATGGGGACATTATCCCCTAGCAATACTTATGAATGGTAAAAATTAAATGGGTTTGGCATAAGAAACATTTTCATCAGGCAAGAAAACAGCTTTTCATACTATTTCTCTGTCTTTTTTCTAATTCCCATTATTAGAAATTCAATGACCGCCCTAAATAGGGCTTGATGTGTTCCCATAATTAGAAATTCAATAACCACCCTAAATAGCTAGGGCTTGATGTGTTCCCATTATTAGAATTCAATGACCACCCTAAATAGGGCTTCATGTGTACATAAGATTCTTTCTGTTTCAGGTCTGGTGACACAGCTGCCTCAAGAGTTCTTCAACTTCCTTATGGAGATTCAGAACAAACTTGCCAAAGTCATCAAAAGCGTTGGCAAAATAGATCACTCATTGTATCCTTTTAATCGTGATTGAAAATTAGAGGATTGTTTCAACAAATTAACTTATCTATTTACAATTTACATGAGCATCTGTATAACTCTGGATTTAGTTGAACAGATTTATTTTTCGACAAAATTATAAGAGAGTGCAAAGCAAATTGCTTAATATGCTTTTATCTCAATAATTTTATGACAAGATAACATCTCTAAAATGGTCAAACTATCTCAATGTTATGAGTTTCAAAATGCTGAACTTTGTGAAGTTGAACATTCAAGTCATCAACTGGGTGAAGCAACTTCCAATAACACTGAAGCCCATTGTCCATATTGTCGTATAAAATTGAGTTCCTCAGGCTTTGAGAAATATGTACACAACCATGTGCTCTGTTTTGTAACGAGAGTGAACCATGAATTATTTGCTATTATATTCCTTAACTGTCGTCACAGCTGGCGGCAGTTCCATACAGAACGGAAGAGTGAACCATCCGTAGGGTTTATAGATGGCGACCTCATAGAGAGCTTCTTGGATCTTTCGAGAGAAAATATGCAGGAAGTTGCACAAGGAATACAGGTACAGATCAGCGTGATAGAACAATCATGCCATCTATTGGTCAAAGTGTCATGCTTACGATTCCTTAGCAGAAATAGAATTTACCATCACTAATTCGCTAGTTTTTGAAAATGTCTTGCAATTTTGTTTACAAACATTGCTACCGTTAATCTAGTCAATGTAGGATTGTTTCTTTTGCTCACCAAAATGGATGGGGACCAATCTATTGGTAGTCACTGTCACTGATTTCACTGAATACAAATGATAGAATGATTAAGTGTTTTATCATCAAACTTCATCTGTTAAATGCTGGAATTAATTGTTTCTCTCTCAAATAATCAATTTGTTTATCAAAGATTTCTTTATTTCTTCACTAATTAATATTTTTATGAAACTAGGTTGTTGAATGACTTGATGTCTTTTCAGATGGATGATGGCAGTGGAATGAAACGTGAAGCAACAGTGGATGACCTTGTAAAAACCATAGAAGAACTCACCAGGATCCATTAGCACCCCCTCCCACCCCCAGGCATGTGGTCATGAATTCAACCTGAAAATGGACAGGAGTAAAGGAGTACACATAGTTGCCCCAACTCTAAACCTTGCAATTGTGATATTGCGGATAATGTGAACTGAGCGTCATAGATTTCACACTTACACTCTGGAATGTTCTGAACTGGTCAGTTGCTAGGAACATGATTGAATAGTGTCAGTAATACAATGACACTCACAGGATCAAACACTACTAACTGTCTATTTGCACATCTGGTGTGCTTTAACTCTGCATCCAATGCCCAATGACATCATAAGTATTTCAGATGGAAGCTTTCACATGTTGGTCAGAATTGAATCATGGATTCTTTGATATGTTATTTTTATACTTTATAATACATTTGAAAAACAAGCTGCCCGTTTTAGATGACTCTGATGTGGTGCTTATGTCACATTCTTTGTACATCTGTGACATTGTGAGACGCTAACATATAGTGTTATTTATTTGTGGTTAATCAGGACAACTAAGATGTAATGATCCTTCCGTGAGATTTGGCTCAGTGAATATAATGAGTGATCCTTTGTGTACATTTTAAAGAGAGATATTGACAATATTTAATGAACAATGGAAAGTTGTATTCTGTACATGTATTACATGGTACATTCATTTATTTGTCACATCTTGCATTTAAAAAACGATTTCAACTTATTCACATTGAGAGAAAAATACTTATTCAGTGCTAGCTGCTTGCAACATGGTTAAAATAGTAAAAACAACATAAATCATGAATTTTGGTACATGTATTTTAATTGGATATGCATGTTCTTATGAAATCATACATAAACTGATATTTCTTGTTGTCAACATTACACTGATATGCAAGCTTCAATTTGTATGAGTTGGTTACTCACTAGGACTAATATTTTTAAAGTCATATGTGTATTTTGCAGGCTTCATTTTAAAAGGAATGTAAATAACTCGATGACTTTGTCAGTTCATGTATCGGTTCTTTATAGTTTCATTGAAAAAATCCTTAATACTAAATGTATAAATGCCGGAAACTTGTGACATGTCAATTATATCATTTACAACGATAACTATTGAGGTTTTAATGAGTACATGTATTTGCTAAAAGCTAATGCTGTAAATATGTATAATATTTATATTTTCATTATGATGTACATGTAGATATCTGTGTAGTTTTGGAAATAAAGCCAAGTAGGTTGACTGTACAGTTGACCCAAGTATACAAACATTGTACTTGTTTAATGCACATTAATAAGGTCTTAAACCATGGTAATGATGCTGAATTTATCACAAGGCTAATATCTGTAGCTTCAATAAGGAGGTGTACCTCCCCAGACATCATCATTTCATGTAGAGATTAATCTCTTGTTTGACTGACATGCCTCATATCAGACACAAGGGAATATTTAGGTGAAATATTTGGGTAATTATAGCTGTGAAAATGTTCAATAGATGACTCCCACTTAAAAGGTTCTCACATAGATAAACTGATTGGATTAAACATAGGCATTGAAAAAATATCTAGATTTTTCTAGATCAATTATGCACCAATGATTATTTTTTGGTGAAATCATCTCAATCTTACTTTTTGGCCATTACTCAGACAGACATCAAGTGGAAGATGCAGAGCATACCTGTGAGCAATGGGATTTTTGAAATAAATAGTCCAACATGAGATGTTTTAGCTGAAATATCTGTCCAATACTGTCACATAAAGCAGCTGAAGTGTATGAATCCAAATATTAAGAATGACACCATGTCCTCAATTTGCATAAAAATCTTAATGTTGTTTACAAGCCTCTTCCATTAAATGAATGGACAAAGACCTGACATCATAACAGGGTACATCATAACACCAACATGAAACATTTTTTTATATAAATAATGAGAATTTATTACGTTTTTCATGATTCAAACTGCAGTGTTGATATTCTCACAATTAGCGTTAAATATAAAAGAAAACGCAAATACAGAATACTAAAATAAAATGTTCCTTCACAGTCACACTCCACTCCAAAAGCATTGTGATTGGAATGGCAATATAGATACACCCCCGCCAAAAAGTTCGGTAACAATAAAGCTCTTTTAGGCCATGTGATCAAGCCCTTTTACATTTAATTATTTTAACAAATTCTACAATTATGTCATACATTTCCAACCTACTGTAGTTGATTAACAAAATTCAAATTCAACCAAAAATAGGCTAAACTCGACCCTGGGGATCCGTGGTTGCCAAACTTATTAAGGGGTGAATGATGCTGTTAGATGGTGATTCAATGTTATTCATATACACATTTCTACTTTTCATGCTGGTGAATTACAAGTATATTTGGGAGGGAAAAACAAAATACAGAAACAGCTTTTCAAAATGCATCTTTGAATTAATGACAAATATATTCACATATTTTATCTCTTCAATCACAAAAATAACTGATTTAATAATGCATTTTGGAATAAGTTGTTTTTGCATTGTAAAAACATGATGACCAATATCCTCACAAAAGTAGCCACTCAGCAAATACCAATAAGGTTCATTGAAATAAATAGAGGTAGGTGGTCTTTTGTGAGCATACATGTTGCAGATATACAAGGCATCTTCATTCAATAACACAATTCTATTCCCTAAATAGAAATCAATCACTTTGAACACTTTATCGAAATCTGTGTCATTTTTTTTTCAAATTAATATAATTTATTTCAAATAAATATCAAATTGTTTAAATCATTTCAATGTGAACAACATGGCTGCCATTTCATTTTACAATCTCGAGGAATGAAATTGCCATTTTCACCAAGGTTTTCCCAAGCAACAAAACATCTGATATGTTTACCAAATTGTCTGTTTTGAGAAATTAGGAAATATTTTCCACATTTCAATAAATCTTTGTCAGAAATGCTATTGAAACCAGTTCACTAGTTGATCTGGATAGAAGGTCAGGTCTCTTTCGCAAATGAGATAAAATGAAACGATCACAATTTCCTTTACAAGTGGTTTGTTTGGCAAAATCCTCCCAGTATTATCCAGTACAATAAGACAGGTGTGAGGACCTTCTACAGAACTATGTACATATCTACAGACTTCAAATTAAAATATCTTTGTACACACTAGCTTGATTACAGTAAAAACATATCAGTTCACACCATGCGGTTTCTTTGGCTAGTTTACTCAATGAAGATCCATCATACTAATATTTACATATAAAGTCAATGATCATTGCAAACTGAAGATGGCACAAAGCTGAACAACAGATTGTAAGGATTACAAAACAAAAGGATATTAAGGGGAAATGTTGAGACCAAGAGGTGTTTTGCATCTTTTTGTGAGATTCACCTACAGTTTGTTGAATGAAGGTTTTCATATACCCACTGAATATAATGGTCAAATATAATAGTCAAATATAAGCATTTAAAACATCAGGAACAAAGAGAAATGACAATATGGACATCAATCAACAGTGCTTCATTTATACACTAACTGGCCATATTCATCAGTACATTAAAATGAGGGAACGAGATCAACATCAGTAACATTACAAGATCACACAAACTGGTTCCCAGCAGAGGATATAGGCCCTAAAGGATAATGGTAATCTGTTAGTGTCATCTACTAGTACAATTGTAAACATTATTCCATCAAAAGCCATAGAAATTTTGAACCCAATGGACTCGAGAACATGCATGTCAAGTAAACTGAAACACTGACAATCTCTTGTAGCAGTTAACATTAACACCTGGCTATCATATTGATTATTGGAATAAAACATATAATCTTAATGATGGTACAAAAAAAGCCTACATGCATTTTTAAATTCCATCAATGAATATACCATGGAGGTAGAATAGATTTTGTGAAGTCATCTTACAGTTGAACTCATTAACTACAATGATGAGCCTTTAAACCTTAATTTGATCAAAATCAAAGTTAAAAATGCTATTTCTACAATTTAGAGATATCACTTCACATTCTGTTCTATTATTCCAATGGTTATTCATGCAATATTTCCAAGTCAATTAATTTCAAGCACCTTTTGAAAATGTATCATACATTGTTAGTTTTGAATTTCTGTCCATGTTTCTAACACATCCCACCTGAGAATCCATTCTCTTTTATATTATACTTCCAGCCGACTAGAATCAAAGTTATAATTGCCATCTCTTGGTTAATTCTTAGTGTTCTGATAATTCATACCAGACATAAAATGTTGTATCTATGAGCCGAAGTTGAAAGTTGATGGCACAGAGACCTGTGTAAAGTTGTAGCCCCCACCTTGCTCAATCTTTTTTGATTCTGAAAACAGAAGATGAATCAACATGAATTTTTACATCAGGTCAGTATTTGTACTAGAATTACATGTGACAATATTAAAGCCTTGATCATTTGGTCACTCAATGTTTGTAACTGATTGTTCTCAGCCTTTGTTTCGTCATGATAACTCAGAAATTAAAACAAATCATCATCGCACAATCAGTTCCAACATGAACCCTGTGATTTTGTACCATGAGGTAAACCTGTAGTATATCTGCATGTTGTGTATAATATACAATTAGATAATTCCACATGACAGAAAATGGGCCTTTTACCACACAATTCAAACATTTGGGGCAAAAATAAATTTAAATATAGCCAATTTATAAAATGTAGTTGAATACCAGAGTAAGGTAATTACAGAGATTTCATTAACTTTATATAATATAATTGGCCAATATAACATTTTTCTTCTGATTATGCTCATTTACTGTTTACCAACCTTCAGCAGCTTTCCTTTTGTCCGCAAGCTCAATAACTTTCTTCAGATCACCCTGTTGCTCTGCAGTCAAGTTGCCTATGAGTGTGTTGTACCATGAGGGGTCTCTTGTTTGTAAATCTGTAAAACACAATTTTAAAAGATGATGTTTCATTCTTCAAAAATGCCAGTTTGAGATTTAAAAGAGTGTGTTGATTATTATATTATAACACTAATTGTTCTCAGAAATCCTCTTTGCATTTCGTTTATACAACAAAAGCATCAAGCATTAAGCATCAACTTCACATTTCATCGTTTGACAATCAAACTAGCCTATAAGTTAATGCATATGTGTTGGATAATGGGACAAATAGGTACCATACTGATTGTTCTCAGCCTTTGTTTCGTCATGACAACTCAGAAATTAAAACAAATCATCATTGCACAATCAGGACTACCTCTGATACCATCTGGCAAATAACTACACATGGCCGGGACATACATCAAGGCCATACTTCAATATCCACAAAGCATTAAAAAAGGGAGAGTGCTATCCTTTGTTAATTTAGTTATTCAAAAACAAACAACATTCTGACCCAGTTCTCAATGCTCAATATTATGAAACACAGACTCACTTTGTAGGACATTTTTAAATATTTGGTATTCATCTACAGTGCAGTCCTCAGCATCTAGAGGTGTGTTATAGCTCTCCAAAGCAGTCTCTTCAGCTCCATCATCACTGTATTCAGCATCACTATCATCATCATCTCCATTTGCAGACTGGAACAATGACATAACATGAGAAGGTATAATCTAACTCGGTTCAATATATTCAAAATAATTATAATATGGTTTTGAACTTAATTCATGATATAAAATCTCATGCATGTTTAAAATGCTTGGTCATCTCATCAGATCACCTTGGCAAAATGCAGAACGGATTTATGGATTCAATATTTATATATACATTATTGTGGACATCCCAATAACAGTCACATTCCACATTGATTACAAGAAGCCCAACTGAAAACTCTAACTTGCCTTTGCCCATTTTTTGATATTTGAACTCTTACTTTTCTCAATGTATTTATTTATATTTTGGTGTTCAGGGTCCATATATGGAAGTTATCAATCATACACTGATCAGACCCGAAAGGCGTACATCATCACACCAATTAACAAAACAAAAAGCTCTTCACACAAGTCTTCCCTTATTAACCACATATTAGTTGTACTCACTCTTTCTAATTTTTCTAAATACTGATTTCCTTGCTCATCTACTTCATCTTCATCACTATCTAACACCTCTCCCTCATACTCGCCATCATCCTCTTCTTCATCATCATCACTATCATCAGCCTCCGCAGCTCGGCTCTCATAAGCCTTTTTAAGACCGTCAAAGAGCATGATGCATGATGGGATTATCTCGGCTGCATGTTCAGTCACTGCAGTAGGACGGCCAGCTGGAGTGTCCATAAGAGCACAAAGACCAAGTACACTAATCTTACGGTCATGTAACCTGAAACACAAAAATAGCTCATTTAATGCCATTAGTCATCACTATTGTGCTGGTTTCATATGTATCCGATTAACTCATATATCTAGCAAGGCATAAACATGCAAAATTTCACTACCTACCATTTGTTACTGACCACAGAACACAAACCATTATCCACCAAAAAGTTGGATACTATAGCAATATGTGGTGACATAAAAACATATTTTCTTTATAGTAACCTAAGTAATACACATGATATATTTTAGGTGGCACCTTTGAAAAACATGAATGTCTTAAATTGTCCCCGGAGCCCTGGAGACTAATTCCCTATTAGTAGCATTTATTTTCCATCAGAGTATAAAAGTATAGTTAGGTCCTCATAAAACCAACTGAGAATAATAATCGTTAGTGATCGTTTAAAGACATTCATGTCCTCAAAAACATTGCAACTAAACCTTATAATTTCATCTTTACATTAGATTTAACCATTTCACATTTGGTGTTCAGGGTCCATATATGGAAGTTATCAATCATATGCTGATCAGACCCGAAAGGCGTACATCATCACACCAAATTCCGGGACATATATCTCTGACTATGTAAGTGTAGATACACTAAATAAATGAAGACTTACCCTAGGAAACAGTCTGTATCATGTAGCCATTGTTTGAAGAACTGAGATGAAATGGATTCTGTTGTATTTGGTAAGGATATTTTTTCTAGTATTTCTAATGTCATTGCTGTATTATAATACAGGGCTGCTATTACAACCTGTAAGCACATTGTCCTTAATTCTGAAGTTCTGATTTCTCTTGTAAGTCTCTCCAGCGCTAGCTCTAAAAATGTTGGTATGGCCTGAAAAAACAAAACAACAAAATGTGCATTATTATTCATGGATTATTATTAACTTTTATTATGACATATAATTAATGGTGTTCAGGGTCCAAATATGGAAGTTATCAATCATATGCTGATCAGACCCGAAAGGCGTACATCATTACACCATTTCTGAAGAAATTTATTTAAAGTTTATTTTGAACTGATTATTAAATCCCAGTGGGTCAAAACATGCAATAGGACAGTTTGCATTGGTACACAATACCTATGAGTAGAGGTTAATGCATTCGATGAAGTGAGAAATAATCATGTTGTGATTGATTAATGCTTTGAATCCACTTGCTTGCTTTTTCAAGCATGAATAGCTTTTTTTTGCTGCCACTTTAATGAAATCCAAGGAATATAACACATGTCAGTGATGCTATTACAGTTCCTTACAGAGTCCACATGTTCTTTGCATTGCAGTAAGATAACCTCAAGTAGTTTGGCAGCATGGCACTCAGCATCCTCCCCAGAGTCACTGGTCATTATAGTCTTACACATGTTGTATATGCTCTCTATATGGCTGGGGTTGGACAGGAACGCTGGTGTGTCTACTGTGATGTAATTATGGAGAGCTGGCATCATGTCTGAAATATACCCATGTGTTGTGTTACAATACTGTATAACATTATAGTACAGATTGCTTCATAAGTGACAGCTTAGAGCCAAATAGTTTCAAATCTGGGTAAGCTGAATTTCCCAGTATGTTAAGGTAACAATTAGGGGTCACACGGTTAACCGTGGCTTGCGGTTACCGCGGTTCATACCTCCACGACGGTTAGCTCGCACACAATCTTGAAAACCGCGGTTCTTGAAGAACCGTGACATTTTCAGTTTCACTTCAGAAAAATAAAAATGTAAACTCGGAATTAAACTCCATTTCAAGCTTTCGTGTAATACCAATTAACTAAACATCGTCTGGAATCGTTAATCATCATGCAATAATGCGAACCATACCTGATATTTACGACGATCTTCTGATATAGACGGCAGATAACAAAAACAAAAGGAAAATGTTGATAAATTTCACCGGCATATTGACCCGGAAGTGACCTACGCTAAACATTTCGCGCAATCCTATTGGTTGATAGAACAGTATACTGTAAAAAGCCGAACGCCGAATGCATTGAATTTGCGAACGAGTCACGTTCTGTGTATTACGTTCGCCTTTGATCCATGTTGAGTCCTGACAAAGTGTTGAACTTAAGTTATATTTCTAAAGAAAACATTTATTCAGTTTAGTGAAGTACTGTGCTTATTTTGCCAACACTTGACAAGTTATTTTATGTGTTGAAAAAACTTGAACATCAAACAAGAAGATCAACACAGTGAACACACAGATATTTTGGGAGGGAGGGAGGGAAAAAAGACTGAACAAACAAACAAACATTGTGTGAAACTGGATACTTACAATACTGAATACAATAAAACACTGTGACACACTTAGTATGTTTTCTGATTTTCGGATCAATTTCATATATTTTTGCTCATTTCACGGGGCCCGTGAGAACCGCAATCAGAACCGAACCGAACTGTGAAATACAATAACCGAACCGAACCGTGAAATCTCAAACCGTGTGACCCCTAGTAACAATATTAACCAGTCTACAATTTGACTTATTTGACTAACATGTCAGCAATCTTTCAATGATACTCTGTTATGATACACTATGGTAGAATGTTCTCAGTGATTGGATCATTTGGCTTCAATACAGATTAACAATTGACAATAATGAAAAGTGACCAATCACACAATACGAGTAACTGATTGTTCTCAGCCTTTGTTTCGTCATGATGACTCAGAAATTAAAACAAATCATCATCGACAATCAGTTACCATGATATACAACAGTATGAATGTTTATTGACCCGTAATACCTAGATGTCAGTCACATGGACTAAAATGCTGAATTACTCCGCCTCTGTTAACGCTTTTTGTTTATAATGGGACAAATATGTTATCGCTTCCACATGACATTGGCCCCTGCCCTTTACTGGAAGAAGAGCAAAGAGCTTTAAGACCTACCAGTGAAGTAGTCAAATCCCTCTTTCTGGAACATCTCGTAGAGCTTGGCAAACACCTCCCACATGTTATTGGAGATCTGGCCCATCGTGAGACTGTAGATCAGAGACAGGATCTCCTCATAGAACTCTGCAATGTTAAACAATGAAAAATGTTAAGAGTACCTATTTTAAAGAATGAGAAGTATTAACAATTTTTCCCGGCTCAGGTTAGGGAAAATGATTTTCGATTTCCCCACGAGATGGGGATGAAGATGCATGGTTTTGATGTTAGACACCGATTGTTCTCAGCCTTTGTTTCGTCATGACAACTCAGAAATTAAAACAAATCATCATCGCTCAATCAGTTTCTAAAACCTCATACCAATATCTTAACTATACAAATCTAGAATTTTAGCCTAGACAGTTTGTGATCAGAATACATATATGCACTTCAGTAGCATACAACAACTAAATCATATTAATGCTAGTGTGAAGTCATACTGGGAGGGAAAATTGTGTCAGACTTACCGAGGACATTCTGGTTTAAGGTTATGACTACAACTTGCAAGACAATGCCCTCCAGCTGAGCTATGATCTCTTTGTGGTCTTCCACTACAGTCAGGATGGCATCTATTGTGTTCAAAACCCCCATAGCTGCTATTGCCTTCTCATCTGACTGTTCACCATCTTCAGACTGGATGATCTGACCAAACGTGGTTGCCTGCATTTGAAATCACATTTCTTCATTAACTGTACTGAGTGTTAAACATCACACCTCTTCTTTACAAGCTCCACATCATATCTTACACTGTCTAGATACCAAATCTTAAGAATAATACATGATGGTGTTCAGGGTCCAAATATGGAAGTTATCAATCATACACTGATCAGACCCGAAAGGCGTACATCATCACACAAACAATTCTATACTATTTAATCATATAGCTCCCTGATGTTAATTCTAAAATGACTCAATATGAAATTTATTTTACAAGCAACAGTACTCACAAGATGTTGAGTCATCTCTACTGCTATAGGTGGGATGTCATCCACATATGTACAGACTAGCTTCTGTAGGACATTTGTCAGATCGTCATTCTCAGTTTCACGAATAATTTTAAGCATTTCTAGTATAACAGATTTTACATATGGCCGCATGTGATCTTGAGCTGCAAATGAAATCCATAATTAGTTAAAATAAAAAGGCAACTGAATTCTTAATCAAATTATAATTTGTTACGATGGTGTTCAGGGTCCATATATGGAAGTTATCAATCAAACACTGATCAGACCCGAAAGGCGTACATCATCACACCAATAATTCAACAATATCTTAGTACTTAATCATGAAAATTAGTTTGAAGCAAATTTTTTTGGTCAGTCATTTCTCCAATGTCTTAAAGGCAGGGCTCCACTATAAAAGCAGAATGTCAGTTAGAAAATGATGTAATAGCATGTTTGAAAATTTAAATGTCCACAGAATCGGACACATCAGTCCTGTTTTTTCCATATATCTCTAGTATTTTTGCATGGAATCAGCTTAACTTTGTCACAGTTATTCATGAACTATATCTTCTGAATCTGATGGTACTTTTAAATTTAAACAGTAGTTCCTATCTGACTTCAAAAATGTAATGTAATATATAAAACTGTTATAGTGTTTACATAATAGGCTGCATCAAAATTAAATAGGGTTGTGGTTTAATTTTACCATATGGTAAGGAATCCCTGCCTTTAATGACAGACAAAAGCATATACTGTATAGGCAGACTCACCCTTTTCTTGCTCTGTGATGAGCATCTGTAGAGCAATAGCTGCCTCCACTCTTACTGGTAGGTCCTTGTCCCCACATAGACAACCCTGCACCGCCTGCAGAGCTTTGATCAGATTTGCTTCACTCTTGAATTGCACCTCAGAGAAGTAACGTACAACCCAGCATGCCCTTGCACGCAGGAAACCATGATCATTGTAGAATTCTGGGTAGACGTGTGTCACTAACATTGTTTCAGCTTGGTCTTTGTAGATCTTGCGCTATAAAATGTAAAGATGGATTTCCAAAAAGTGTTGATAGACATACACACAAACGGACTAACGAATCCAACAGGCTCATTATGTGACCTTCAATCATAATGATGAAAACAAAAGGGGATCTTGCGATGAGATGTTTTACATACTAACTCATTGGCAATAAATACAGAGAACACACAATTCCACATCAAACATCGATCTCTCACGATTGCCTTTCACACAAAAATCCTTCCTACCTTTAATAAAATATCAGCCACCGCTCCAACCATATGAAGGACACCATCCTTCAAGCGTGGGTTCGCAGCACTATCAATGGCCATCATCTGTAGACAGAAGCCCATGCATTTCTGTAGCACTTCTTTACGTTTTGCCACAGCTGAATGCAGAACTGTTTGGGCAGCTGTCACTGGTGAGATAAAATCTTCGAAAATATCTGGAAAACAATATCAAATTGAATGAAGATGGATACTAAAAATGGTACATAGTATTGTGAACAGAAATATTGAGGGTAAAAACAGGATGATTTAATATAAATAAAATGCACAGCATGAACAAGGACTCAAGATATAATATGGTGTTCAGGGTCCAAAAATGGAAGCTATCAATCATACACTGATCAGACCCGAAAGGCGTACATCATCACACCTTATTATACAAAAATGTAAGAAAAGCTGCTGATTTTACATCGAAGATGTTCAAAATTGTCTCCCACCATTTTCAAATAAAGTGCAACTCGTGTTAAGTTTAAGCTTAGAAGGGAGTACTGTACATGTATAGTGTAGCTAAGAGAGTTCACTTACCAAACTTTGTTCTTATATACTCATGTGGATCGTTATTCCACATTTCATCGTCATCATCTGAGTGACACATCAGTGGAAACAAAACCTCTTGAATTATTGTCTGAAATAGAACACAAATTATAGAATTATAGAAAAATGCAAATACATAAGTGAAATAAGATGACTTTGGCTTATATAATATATTAGCTTTTTTTATAGTTACTGTAGTTGTATGTTATTAGGTTTCAGATCTTAGTTAATTTAAAATTTTTCCAGGTTGCTAGCTAATATAAGGTTCGTTGTTTTATTCTTCCAAGAAGTATGGTGTTCAGGGTCCATAAATGGAAGATATCAATCATACACTGATCAGACCCGAAAGGCGTACATCATCACACCATCAATGAATAGTAAGTAAACGTAACAAAAAAAGATGTCATGCCTCAACATTCAATTACCTTTTTCAAATGGAAGAAGTCAAGTCAAAGGGCTCAAATCAAAAGTACCAAAGGCACAATGAAAATGTTGATTTGTTGTTCATGTCCAAGAAATCTGGCCACCAGACAAACAGTTACAACCAAAATTACCTGCATATGTGGTTTGATGTATTTCCATGAGAAAGCATGGCTGATAGCCTGGTTAATGTAGTTGAGTGCCTGTTGTAGAACTCTGGGTGTCACATAATGTTTCTGTTGGAACCGATGTAAAACTTTCAATATCACATTGATTATTCCACCTAAACAAAATAGAAGACCGTCACATTTACTGTACTGTATACTGCTAAGTTGATTCAAACATACATAAGCTCATTTGTCTTTCAGAAGTGATGCAATACATCCCAGAGATAGGTATTACATTTCCAACTGATGTGACTCATACATAAATTTGGATGTAGAATCTATGATTATGTACGGTACAAACTATTTAGTCTGACACAGACCTATGTAACAGACCTTACTATAGACTTCTTTCAATCAATACCCTGACTCCCAAATGCCAGAAATGTACATGTGAAAAATAAAATCAACCATAATCACCTGAAAAACTCTTTAAGTACCACTCTGAGAAAGCGTTGTATTCTTTGGTTACATTTCCTGGGCTACCATACCTACAATCAAGTAAAATATACACGTTTACATACCAATTCAAAGACAAGAATAGTGCTACAGCTCAACAGCATTACACATGGTATATGGTTGGTGTTCAGGGTCCATATATGGAAGTTATCAATCATACACTGATCAGACCCGAAAGGCGTACATCATCACACCAACCATTAAAAATAGAATACTAGTTTGAAACATCTGTATTCTATCATTTAATCTAATTATTGAAATTCTTATCATAAGTGATCCTCAATTAAGAACATGAATGTAATCTGGTTGGTCAGACAGGATAATTAATCTGGCTGACTCAAGTTTTTAAAGAGCAGATATCCTCCAACACTGAGGAAAGTGGAAGCTGCAGCCATTTGAGATCTTGGAGCATTTATAAGTAACCCTGTGTAATTACCCTATTCAGCCAAACTTTATCAGGCTTATAAGAAAATGACAAGGAAAGACCAATGAAAAATATTACCTCTCGAAACTTCTGGCTAAAATATGTAAAGCCCACTTTTTACACTTCCACCATGGTAATTCTGGTCTCTCTTCCTCATCTTTATCAGCATGGTAGGTCTACAACAAGTATAATGATACAGTCAGCATGACAGATTTTATATTAAATTCTTATGAATTTCTTATTTCCATTAGCTAAACGATTTAATATTTTTGCTGCTCAAGCAAAGAAAAAGCTTTACACAACACAGTATCATTTTTTTTTTACAAGTGATGAGTACAAGAAAGTAAATATGTTTGAAGTCGCAAAGCCATGGCTGTATCCAGCAAAACCATTGCTGTCTAGCTAGGTGCCTTAAGCCATGGGTGAAGTGCTTCACTTTTAATCTATGATAGTCTAAAACCATGCAGTCATTACTTCAACAGCACGGGGAACGCTATCAATGTATTAAAAATAACTGAAATATCAATCTGCCATAAACTTTAGAGGTAAAACAAGTAGTAAACAGAATCATAAATCTTTTCCCAAATGTGAATAAAGCCTATTAACTAGTATTTAAGTTAGACTTCAGACAGATAGATAGACCGATGAAAGGCCTTTATTATATCAATAATAAGCAAGCAAGGGGGGTAAGGCTTTGATAAATAAATCATGGAAAATCATTGATATTTTGACACAGCTCTACAAGGATTATGGAATCTATGAAACGCATGCAATGTGACTTATATAATAACCTCATATTGCATCATTACCTCATATTATATCATAGCATAAGCATGACATGAAGAATCAATGAAGATATGACTTACATCTGGGATTTCTACGTCTATTATGTGGCCTATCACTTCCATCCACTGGGTGAAAATCTGTTTTGTTATAAGCTCCAATGGCAAGTGGTACTAAAAACATACAATTATTATTCTTGAAACCAGACAGTAACTCATACTTTTCTAAAATAATTCCAACACAGTGAATGACTCATCCACACTGAGTAATCGCTATGTCAAGAACTCTGCCCATATTTACACCTTATTATATCTCTATTATCATCTCTATAAATATAGTCTATAATTGTTAATATTATTACATGAGAATAAATGACATAATGATCGCATTCACAGTGATTTTTTCAAATCTACAGTATAATTTCAACGGGTTGGTAATTCTATTTTGACATCACCCGAAACCCTTAAAACCGCCTAACTGAATAAATGCATGATATATTCAACCCAAGTATGACACACACTTTCGGTTTACCTGTATTAAGGCATAGAATATTTTCAGGATCTGTTTCTGTAGTAGGTGACTTTCATTGGAGGTGTCTGGTCGCAATAAGACACATCTCTCATGTATAATAGGTAGGAACACAGTCATCACAGGGTTCAATGTGTTGCGGTCATCAGCTTTTTTATATCTTAAGAAAATATCACATCAAGATTACCATAAAAATAAAAAGCTTTTGTGAAGACTCCATTTTAAAAGTCTGCTAGAGAAATCAAAATGACTTCTTTGTTTAAATCCCAAAGTTAAAATTATGCTTTTCACTAAGGAAGTTCACTATTTCAGAATTTTTTTTTAAAAATTTGAGGAAATGTTGATTCACATAATTTTAACAAGATTTTGATTCTGAACTATGTTTTTCTACAATAATGAATAAATACCCACATAATATTTTGGAAAATATTACCCATTTCCTTAAATATTGTCATATTTATTCGAAAAACAGTCAATTCTAAAATTTCAGATTTTATAAATCTATGCCTTACTCATAATTCTTCACAAGTTGATATAAGACAATGAGTGCGCCTAGCCATGATGCTATATTGTCAGACTGGAGGTGGGCATTAATCTTCTCAGGAAGGGCAGCCCAACGTCCAGGGAAGTCATGTTTGATAATGTTGCTGATACACACTGTTAACTGAACCCTGGAATAAATAATTGATTGTCATGAGATATTGATAACTTAATGTTGATGTGATAGACAGTTCTCATCAGTAAAGCGATTATATACTTGCCCCATAAATGTGATGAAATTATTGTGTCTTTGGAATATTTGATATGATGCCAAATATTTATAGCCTTTGTATATTTGTGATAATAAAAAGGAGTAATTTTCGATCATTTGATACAGGCACAGTCACATTTAGTTTCTTACACATTTTTGAATTGGAGATAAAACGTTCTTTGATTCATGGAATAAAATGTATCTTAATTAGATTTTAGATCTAATACCTGATTGGATCAGGAGCGAATATGATAGCTTCGACAATATTTTCCCGAATAACTGCTCGGTCCTGTTCATGGATAGAAAATGGAACAGGATCACTGGGGTTCTCAACTTCCCTCTCTTGCCAGAACTGGGCCACCATGTTTTTCAGGTAGATCACCCCAGCTTGTCTTGTGGGCAGTTTAAGCTCATTTGACATTACCACCTGTAGCAGCACTGGGCCAAAGCCAATAATTTTATGAACCTAAAGAAATCGCAAACAAAAGATACATTAAGGTCTCATGGAAGTTAACAGGAAATGACAAAACAGGAAGTGACAATTTTTTTGGCATTTTTAAACATTTTTTGAACAAAGATAACAGAGTTCACTTTTGACCTCCAGTCAATTCAACTAGGTCCAGATACCATTTACAGGTCCAGGATCACAATGTTTATGGTCAGAATGACCCTAAATATCATGAAATAACCTTTTCAGCCCTATGAAAATGTGACTGAAAAATAGCTAAAAGAAGGAGGTAGGAAAGGTCACTGAACAGAATCTTTTGAATTTTTCAGAAAATGTGCCCAATATATTGCTCTAAATGGTACAATCTTTGAAAATTTGATATCATTCATAGAAAGAGAAAAAAAATGAAAAAACTGATTTGAAAAGCGATCTATTTTCCTTTTTATGACCGCCATTTTTGTTTACGACAATTTTCTAAAATTTCAAAGATTGTATCAGTTAGAGCATTATATTGGGCACATTTTCTGAAAAATTCAAAAGATTCTGTTCAGTGACCTTCCCTAGCTCCTACTTTTAGCTTTTTTTCAGTCACACTTTCAAGGGACTAAAAAGGTTATTTCATCATGTTTAGGGTCATTCTGACCATGCACATTGTGATCCTGGTCATGTAGATGATATGTGGAAACAGTTAAATTGACTGGAGGTCAAACCAGAACTCTGTTATCTTTGTTCAAAAAATGTCTAAAAATGCCCAAAAAATTGTCACTTCCTGTTTTGTCATTTCCTGTTAACTTCCATGAGACCTTAATTTATATATTTATTGTTACTGTGGAGGTAGGACGAATATGAATTCATACAAGAATGACTAATGTTATGAATAAGATAGGAAATACAACATTCACCGATAGATCTATCCACATGTTCATGTCAAAAAGTGAAAATTACGTTTTCAATGGAAATTCCTGGTCTTCCTTTTCATGAGCAACTGAGATAGCTCAAATGGTTATCTGGGCACCATCAAATCACAAATGAATAAAGGAATATACGCTTTATACACCGACATTCGTCTGTACACTGTAAACGAGACAATATTGTGAAATATCTCGCAAAATGAAGAGGAAAAAATGTCAGCCATTTTGAAACGTGTCGCAATATTTTCTCACCTCATTGAGCTGTTGCTCGGCCTTTTGCTGCTGGACTGGGTCTAAAGTCGCTTCCAGTACACCCACCAATGCGTTGAGATCCATCTTATATTATTTTGTATAGTTATAGTGGTAATTTTCAGTGATTATTTCGGCTTTTTGTACCCACGTGTTCTGAGCACGAACACTGTCGCGCCAAAAAATGTACCATTGCGCATGCGCAGAATGCTTTTTAGCATGACATAATATCAAAATTGCTTAATTTAAATCACAGTTCTACCTCAATATATATTTGATCTATAAAATTCTATTTTATATTGTTTTATAGAATCAGATGGAAATTGAATTATGAACAGGGGGAAGTCGTCTTCTGTGTTTAACGTCGCAAACGAGAGCGATTTGGACAATGAGCTTTCGTCCACCCGTGTGCCCACCAAGGAGTGACGTGATAACTTCGCGCGTATCGAGATGGCTCCACTGGATTCTCGAAAAAAATTGTAGTAGCCTTGAGAAAATTACTTCTCATTTCATCAATATTGGGAGATATATAGACTTTTATATACGAGCATGGAGCTATTGAAATCGGCTTTCTAAATCATCAACGTCCGTGATTTGATATTCAACTATTGCACAAATATTATTGTTTAAAGACGAGAAATCAAATTCGCCGACATGTTTGTTTACATTGACAACCCTTACTTCAGCGATAAATTAGACCCCTTTAACATAAAAAAATAATTTCAATCTCTTTTGATCTAGAAAGACCACATAAAAAGCTTATTTTCTCGATCAATAATAGTGGTATTTGTCTCACAGTTTTCTTCATCCAGCCAATAACAAAATTATTTTGTGTTTTCCCGGCATTCTGTAGTGGTCTTTGAAGGATGATTAAAAGAACCTTCTTTCGGTTAAATCGGACACAACCTTCTTAAATACATTAAAAACAATCACAATATCGATACTATACATCAATTCCACGATAGTATTGAAGGTACACGACGAAAATTATCAATTGCGTACATTATTCGGGATATTTTTCGTTTGCCGCCAGCTTCTATTTTAACAATAGAGTTGCCCATTAGACGCGTTTTCGTCTGGTGCGATATGACGTTTTTTACCGGGGATAAATAAATTATATTAACTAAATGGATGCATCGGTCTCTTCAGTCTGTGGAATGAAAAGAAAATATCAATGGATGTTACTTATTACAAATCTGTATGAGTTTATGCTGGTTTCCAATTTTTTAACCGATTTGTGCTTTATTCCTACCTTATACACGTACACTCCCCTCCAAAAGTTTGGCTACCTTAGGTCCCCATTAGCCAGTTTATGGTGGATTCCTTGACATAACCTGCCATCAAAACAATTTGAATAAATGTGGAGATATGTAACTTAATCTTCCAAATTCTTAATTACAATAGGTTGAAATTGGCATTCCCATGTAGGTTAAATCAAGGATAAATGGTGGATTATAAATGAAGAAAAATTAGATTTTGGTATATCTAGCCTATTCAGTGAGATTCATTACAAGTGGTGCAAATAAGGATTTAAACATAAAAAGGTTTTTAACATATACCAGTACTATGTATAGTATTCCTACTAGGCTGTTAGCGTTGCCAAACATTTGATGGGGAGTGTAAGTCACAAGAATGTTTTAGCTTTAAATGGTAGAGGTTGATTTGATTTTTATCTTGTCACATATATCTCATTGTACTCTGTTATTTAGTAACTGAAAAACAAGAATGTTTGATGAGCTAACATTTTTCCTTTGAATTTGATAATTTTGAAAATAGGCAACCACCTGAAAATCCATTTGCACCCACTTGAAACAGAAAAATCATGAAAAATTGGCCTATTTTGACCAATTTTGGTTTGAATGTTGAAAATGAGAATCTCTACTTCATCCCAGGTTGGAAGAGATAATTTTATTGAGAAAATATCCAGTCATTAATTCTTATCTTAATCTTTTAAGTCTTAATTATATTTTAACCATAGGCATACTTAAATTATAATAATAAAGAATGAATTGTCACCATTCTACATATAGATGGATAAACAGATCGCAGCACATGTATTGGTAGGGCCAGAATATTATTCATAAAATATAGACAAGTGGCGAAAAGTCATTCAATTTCTTGCTTTATTAAGTAAGTTGCCTTTTTCAATTTAATTCATAGCATGTTCCTGATATAGAATACTGTAACGATCTTGTTGACATGTGTTTTCTGATTTAACATGAACATTTGAGAAACTCAAGAGTAAATAACTTTTGACTGTGTCAATGGGGATGAAGTATGACCTCTTTAAAAAAAAGAAAATCCTGGAAATTTGAATAAAAGTTAATAAGTGTTTTAAAAGAAAATTCACACAGAATTCCGATTTCAAAAATGGTCTTTAAGGGAAGCAGATCATTTTGAAAATATCAAAATAAGACTTCAATGAAATTTTAAAGCTATTTAGCAAACCCTTTATTCCATTATTCATACAACTGATACTAGACTTGTGATCACACCTTCTAGAGTTGGTTCAGTTAAAGGCTCTGCTGAATCATAATGTGAAAGATATTTTGTCGGAGGCAATACTGCATTGTAGACATAGTCAATAAAATCAAGATACAATATCTTTCACAGTGAGATTTCTAAATATAAAATGACTATACCAAAGATCACTTGTTGTAAAGAATGAATCAGATCTAGCAACACACAATCTTTAAGTTAATATTTTTTTTATTCTAGAATATATTTCTGTTGCATAATGCACTGGCGGATCTGGGGGGGCTGAGGGCCCAGAAAAAAATTGGGCCCAAAAAAATTTTTGGCTTAAAAAGGCCTTAAAGCCCCAAAAATTGGGCCTTTTTGGTCATTATTGGGCCTTATTTTTTAATTTCAGGCCAAATTTTGAAGAAAATAGGCCTCAAAATTTGGGCCCACTTTTGGGTTTTAAGGGGCCAAATTTTTTTTCCGCAAAGCGGGGAATTTTTTTTCTAAGACCTGAAATTTGGACCCCCCTTGTTGGTTCCCAGATCCGCCCCTGTAATGCATATTACACATACTTGTTCAACGAAAACAAAGATTATTCCATAGAGTTCTTCTTTCAATAAATGTGGATTTATTTTCTGTCAATTTGCTCAAAACACTCTACACTCTCTCCTTTGCAACAACAATAAGTCAGTCATGGCCCCAGGTCATGGCACAGTTTGATGTTTCTCTTAAATTATGTTCATGGCTAAGTTAGATGTTCTTCTTAAATTATGTTGTTCTGTAGTCCAAATCTTACATATAGATGATATTTTGTTTTTATCCACAAGCATCCAATGTGTATTGAGGACAATACTGCGAATATTATTCTTCTTCATTTCTGGAGATTCCTGACATCTGTTCATTTGCTTGATATCTGATGAGGTATTGTGTTGTGACCTGAAAACAAGTGAGGCGATTTAATGCACATTTAATTCTGGCTTGGTGTTACAAAAAATATAAAACAAATTGTCAAAAATTTGGATAAAAAATTTCACAAAATTTATTTTTAATAAAATATTATACTGTAAAGACCTATTACAATGATTTATTACTTAGAACTTACACACAAATTACAGGAATTAAAGGGGCAAAAAGGACTGCAGAGAGAAAATTCGAAAATTTATATTTTTCTGAGCAATCAGGTCAATATTTGGCTTAACATATTCTTTGACATACCTATTTTCTTAAAATGTATGGATAAATTGTCAATTTCAGCATTAAGAAGTGTAAATTCAGTTCAAAGCTTCTATAAGGGGAGTCCCACTTATAGATTTTTAAGATTCACCACATTTCAATAGGAATTTCAGCTGAAGAAATGTTGATCCAGGGGGTTTCTTTGCAGATAATAACAAGGCATTAACATGACAAAATGTCACCACCTAAAACCTAAAAACTAAATACCTCTTTGACTTTTTTTGACATTGAGAAGGTCATTGAAGGTCAAATGTAAAATCAGATTTGAACTTCTGAGAACATGTAGATGATTTTGAAAAAAAATTAAGTAAATTTGAAGCAAGTTGAAAAAAGACCTTTTTGACTTTGAAAAGGTCATTGAAGGTCAAATGTCAAATCTAAAGTCAGATTTGAACTTCTGAGAACATGTAGATGATTTTGAAAAAAAAATTCGTCAATTTGAAGCAAGTTGAAAAAATACCTCTTTGACTTTTTTTGACATTGAGAAGGTCATTGAAGGTCAAATGTCAAATGTAAAGTCAGATTTGAACTTCTGAGAACATGTAGATGATTTTGAAAAAAAAATTAAGTAAATTTGAAGCAAGTTGAAAAAAGACCTTTTTGACCTTGAGAAGGTCATTGAAGGTCGAAGGTCAAATCTAAAGTCAGATTTGAACTTCTGAGAACTTGTAAAGTCAAATTTGAACTTCTGAAAAGATATAGATGATTTTGAAAAAAAAATTTGGTCAATTTGAAGCAAGTTGAAAACAGACCTTTTTGACTTTTTTGACCTTGAGAAGGTCATTTAAGGTCAAATGTCAAATCTAAAGTCAGATTTGAATTTCTGAGAACATGTAGATGATTTTGAAAAAAAAAATTAGTCAATTTGAAGCAAGTTGAAAAAAGACCTTTTTGACCTTTTTTGACCTTGAGAAGGTCATTGAAGGTCAAATGTCAAATCTTAAGTCAAATCTAAAGTCAGATTTGAATTTCTGAGAACACGTAGATGATTTTGAAAAAAAAAATTAGTCAATTTGAAGTTCTGATTTTGAAATTTTTTTTAGTCAATTTGAAGCAAGTTGAAAACAGACCTTTTTGACCTTTTTTGACCTTGAGAAGGTCATTGAAGGTCAAATGTCAAATCTAAAATCAGATTTGAATTTCTGAGAACATGTAGATGATTTTGAAAAAAAAATTTAGTCAATTTGAAGCAAGTTGAAAACAGACCTTTTTGACCTTGAGAAGGTCATTGAAGGTCAAATGTCAAATCTAAAATCAGATTTGAATTTCTGAGAACATGTAGATGATTTTGAAAAAAAAATTTAGTCAATTTGAAGCAAGTTGAAAAAAGACCTTTTTGACCTTTTTTGACTTTGAGAAGGTCATTGAAGGTCAAATGTCAAATTTTAAGTCAAATCTAAAGTCAGATTTGAATTTCTGAGAACACGTAGATGATTTTGAAAAAAAAAATTAGTCAATTTGAAGCAAGTTGAAAACATACCTTTTTGACCTTTTTTGACCTTGAGAAGGTCATTGAAGGTGAAATGTCAAATCTAAAGTCAGATTTGAATTTCTGAGAACATGTAGATGATTTTGAAAAACAAATTTAGTCAATTTGAAGCAAGTTGAAAAAAGACCTTTTTGACCTTTTTTGACTTTGAGAAGGGTCAAATCTTAAGTCAAATCTAAAGTCAGATTTGAATTTCTGAGAACACGTAGATGATTTTGAAATTTTTTTTAGTCAATTTGAAGCAAGTTGAAAACAGACCTTTTTGACCTTTTTTGACCTTGAGAAGGTCATTGAAGGTCAAATGTCAAATCTAAAGTCAGATTTGAATTTCTGAGAACATGTAGATGATTTTGAAAAACAAATTTAGTCAATTTGAAGCAAGTTGAAAAAAGACCTTTTTGACCTTTTTTGACTTTGAGAAGGTCATTGAAGGTCAAATGTCAAATCTTAAGTCAAATCTAAAGTTAGATTTGAATTTCTGAGAACACGTAGATGATTTTGAAATGTTTTTTAGTCAATTTGAAGCAAGTTGAAAACAGACCTTTTTGACCTTTTTTGACCTTGAGAAGGTCATTGAAGGTCAAATATCAAATCTAAAGTCAGATTTGAATTTCTGAGAACATGTAGATGATTTTGAAAAAAAAATTTAGTCAATTTGAAGCAAGTTGAAAAAAGACCTTTTTGACCTTTTTTGACTTTGAGAAGGTCATTGAAGGTCAAATGTCAAATTTTAAGTCAAATCTAAAGTCAGATTTGAATTTCTGAGAACACGTAGATGATTTTGAAAAAAAAATTTAGTCAATTTGAAGCAAGTTGAAAACATACCTTTTTGACCTTTTTTGACCTTGAGAAGGTCATTGAAGGTGAAATGTCAAATCTAAAGTCAGATTTGAATTTCTAAGAACATTTTGGTGGTGACATAAAAATATATGGTAGTCTTGAAGTATCCAGACTTGAATATATTTTGACACTGCTCAGTGATCAGTTTTTATCTACAGATCGATTTTTATTATGTCTTACAAATGTTCATTTACAAGGGAAAGCAGTTGAATTCTTAGGAGATTCCATCAACTTATCAGAGTATGTATTTGTCATTGCTTTGTTCAGATTCCTCAAATGAACAAGTGATCAAATTTTCAGAGAGGGAAATAGCTAAGAGGAAAATAAACAGAAAAACAATCTTAAAGAAATTCCATATTTTGTAGATTCCCGATCCAATCCACCTTTTAAATGAATCAAATTCACTCGATCCAATCCACCTTTAATCTCTACCGATTTAAATTGAAAGGCTTTCTGGATCACTCTTTACATTCAGTACACACCTCAATCATGTATCATGCATCACAAAAATTAGATGATTTTCAGTACATACCTTAAAGATCACTTCAGCAGGTAAGTTCATATCACAGAAATAGTTTACTACACTACAAGCCTCAGTGTCGGGTTGTTGGACTCCTGCAACCAAAATAAAGCAACGTTGTAAATGATCTTGATCAGAAAATATGAAAAGTATTTTTAGTATTAGTAGTCCTGTTTTTGGTTTTTGAATCAGTTCAAATATGGTGTTATGCAAATACTTTGCATATCTATTTTATGATTGCCTGGGCAATGAGATCAATTACTTATTAAAGGTCTCATGCAAAATTTGAAAATAATAGTCTAATTTTTCCCATGCTACTTTGAATGACATGGAAATTGGATTTCTACAATTTCTGTATGTATAATAAAAAAATCTGTCTTTTAGTAAACAAGTTATTTTCCAAACATATGTTCTGACAGATTGATGGACAGACTGATTGACAAAGGACTTCACTATACTAGTATTCCTTCTGAACATTGTTCATTTGGATAATAAGCGAAAGTGGTTTTACATTTATATAGGGCCTTTAACATACAATCAATTTATGTAAGGCCATAAAAAGTAGATTCTTTGTTTTGCGTCATTTTGCTTGCACGATTTTGAGTAAATCAGAAAAAACAAACACATCCAAATAGCAATGACGAGGGTATTGAAGTACCATTGCATTTTGTTCAATCGGAATCAGAAATGACAGACAATTTGATGTGCGTCAAAATTGACAGTGTTATTGATTACTTTGGCATACATTGTGCACTTTCTTGTTTTGGTTACTTTTGAATAATATCTATATGTTTAAACATATTGTATATGTTGTATAAATATGTTTTTGTAATCACTGTAAATTGGTATGTCATCAGTGTATGTCATCCCTTTTTATGCTCATAAAATGTACATTTCTTAAGCAAATAAGTTTGTGTTTTTTCTTGAGTTTGTGTTTGTTTTCCTATACCCTTGCATGATTTGGATTTTGCCAAAACGCAAAATAAAGAATCTACTTCTTGGCCTAACATGGTAATACATACCTCAGGAATCAAATAATACTGCAATATGGTAGATCTGGATCATTGCATTTAGTAAGCAATACATTCACAGATATCTAATCAACAGGACCCAAGGCATGGTTGCTCCATGTACATTCCCAGCCAGTAGCTGGAAGAAAATGATTGTTCAGTCAGTATTGGTAATATTGAATCTATTGATCATTGAGAATGAAAAGGTACAGAAAGCTTTGATTTGGATTTAAATATGAATGTTGTACACATCAATTAATTACAGATCCATGTTGACAAAAATGAAGAAAATACTACTCTATGTTGAGATCATAATTCATCTGGAGATTATATTAATACAGCGAAACCTTTAGGATGGAACACCTCTTGCAGTGGATCATTTTTAGAGACCAAGGACCAACTGTAACTTCTATAAGTGGAATGCTTACCAAAAATAAAGCAATCAAACAATCCAAACCATCATTCGATCATTCTCATTCTCAAGGGGGGGGGGGCAAAATGGCAATGGATGAGAAAATCTACCAAGAGTTATGCTTAGTTACTACACACAAGTAAGATACTGAAGTAAGATCCGAATGTGACTAGCTTTTCATGTGGTGTCTGAACACCATATAAGGAAATCGAACAATCCGAACCAGACTAGGGACCAACACCATATAAGGAAATCGATCAATCCAAACCAGACTAGGGACCCACATTTGAGGTCTGGTGGGTACAAATGGTGATGGATGAGAAAATCTACCAGGAGTTATGCTTAGTTATTACACACACACGAAGCAGAATATATGTACATTCATATATAAACTTTTTATATGGTGTCTGAACACCATATAAGGAAATCAAACAATCCGAACCAGACTAGGGACCCACATTTGAGGTCTCAGGGGTACAAATGGCGATGGATGAGAAAATCTCCCAGGAGTTATGTTTAGTTATTACACACACACGAAGCAGAATATATGTACATTCATATATAAACTTTTTATATGGTGTCTGAACACCATATAAGGAAATCAAACAATCCAAACCAGACTAGGGACCCACATTTGAGGTCTCGGGGGTACAAATGGCGATGGATGAGAAAATCTCCCAGGAGTTATGCTTAGTTATTACACACACACGAAGCAGAATATATGTACATTCATATATAAACTTTTTATATGGTGTCTGAACACCATATAAGGAAATTGAACAATCGGAACTGGACTAGGGACCCACATTTAACGTCTCGGGGGGTACAAATGGCGATGGATGAGAAAATCTACCAGGAGTTATGCTTAGATATTACACACACATTGACCTGTATTCATGAACCCTCAGAAATAAGCTTTTAACAACTTTTCCTCAAAATCCCTTATCTAGAGACGCTGAAAACCAACAATTTGAACTGCAAATGACACCAAAATCCGCCAACACTTTGGTTGATAATTCCGTCAAAATTTAATGAATAATTTTCAAAGTTGCTCAAAAGTTTACCTGTTATGTGCCCCAAATGTGTACCAAATAAAAATTGTCTAACCTTCCTGCAAAATGCTTAAAATTAAAAAGACGCTGGCTCTGAGGAAAAGCACCTGTTTTTATTCATCAAAGTTTGAGAGTCTTGATCAATAAGAAATTGCAATATTTATGGATCTTTTTTCATACCACGTCAAAGCTCTGAATCTCAGGATTCCAGTGGCACTCATTGTTTTAATCTTACCTCGGTAATGCCGAAGATTTTCCATAAAACGTGCAAAAAGGCTGCATCGCTGTTACTCATTTCTGCCTGCACTGCGTTCCGTTCTATCGTTAGTTCAACGTCAGAACGTTGCTATGGTAAAAGTACTGTACGCGCGAACTTAGCCCGGGTATCTTGGCATGAACGTGAAAAACGAAATTTGCGCAAAAATAAAAAATTGAAAAAATGATCGGGGATCAAACATGGGGGTCGTGGCAAGTGGTCCCACGGGTGTTCGAAGGATTTCCCGGGAGTAATTGTACCCCTGATTATGAATTGAGAAATAAAAAATTGATGTCGTAAATTAACGTGCCTCCAAGTGGTCTTCATTTTCATAAAAGTTTTTGAAAAGTTCACAAAAGTTTTGTATCTTGATACTACAGAGTGTTATTGCAGCCATCAAGTTAATTTCAGATGCTCATAGATAAATAAGCAGTGGAACTGCAAAATGTTAGTTGAATAGACCATAAAACCTAGCAAACATTTTTGTTAGACACCAAAATAATTTCCAAATTCAAAGTTTTCCTTGTTTTTGTTTACATTTACTTGTTTTGAGACTTTTTAGATCTTCATGTAAATTGATGAATCTAGATTTCATTAATTTTTTGTTGCAGGTCAAGTTCTCCCAAGGCAATGGGAGGTACTGGTAGTGGTGGTGAGGTGCAGATGAAAAAGCTGCAGGGGGAAGTAAAAGAAGTGACCCACCTGCTTAAAGATAACATGAATAAAGTCATGGAAAGAGGGGACAAACTGGATGATTTACAAGATAGATCAGGTATTTGATAGAAAATGGGGCGGCCATGACGGAGTTTGATGCGAGACTAAACATATTCTGTTTGGACTGATTTTATATAGTAAAATCTGAGTGTCAGAACCTACACATGAGACGTGAATACTGTAGGACAAATAAATATCTACTTTTGATAAGGTCAAAATGATCCTAGAAGTTGCTGACCTGGCCTTTGATGTAATTTTCAATATGAATTGATTTCCAGATACATATGAAAAGCATAACATTAATAGACTGCTATTTTGATTGGGAAGCTGGAATATGATTTCCAAAAACGGCTAAATCAAAGAATCTAATTCTAAGAGTGTAGAAAGTAGACGAAGCTCTCTTTTGGTTGAAGAAGCAAAATCAAAAAAAGTTTAAAGGATATAAAAAACATTCAACTTCATGCCATTGTATTTGGCTTATATTCCAGAGGGTTTGCAAGCAGAGAGCAAGGCATTTAAGAGGACAGCCAATAGAGCAAAGTGGAAGTTCTGCCGTCAAAATGCAAAGATGACAGCCTGCCTCATTGGGATTGTCATTCTTGTTATTATTGTAATAGTTGTCGTTGTTGTTGGTAAGTTATCATATATATCAGAGATTTATTATGGAATTTCAGATTGAAAATTGTCTGGTAAATTCACTCTTCTTCAAATTTAAAAGTCATTTCATGTTTTTCAACAGGCCCATTATCAAAGGGGTTAGGATTGCCAAGAAAAACAAGTCAGGGCCCTCCTGTCTTTCATAGCATGGCCCCCGGCATACTTTATTTATACAAGTTTTCTTTTTGAGAAATTCAATAAAATTGAGAAATTCAATAAAATTGAGAAATTCAATTAAATTGTATTGATGCATGTATTAACTGATATCTTTCTGATTTACAGTCACAGTTAAACCATGGGAGAAAGGCACAAATCCTCCACCACAAACTACAAATGCAACAATCCTAAATTAAATAGTGGCAAGAAAAGGATGTGAACCAGAGTGGAAAAGCTCTTATTTCACATTGACACATTTTAGTTTTAAATGTAAGAGGAACATGTTACTTTAACAGCTGGTTATTGTAAAATGCAGGTGTAAAATATTGTAAAATTAGGAAAAGGGTCAGGTCAAATATCTATGACTTTTCAGGTTTTGTTAAAGAGAAGATGATTTTTCATTAAATAATTCTTAAGGAACTATAGAAGCCGGAGAGTATATTATTAGTTACACGAAGAAATTGAAAGTTCAACCTCCGCTTCTAAAGGGTTCGTATTTGCAGAAACTGATTGAACATACTGATGAGAATAGATGGCGCTCCTAATTCCTATACATGTACATTGTTTCATGAAATAGGTCAGTTTGCAAGATTTCATATTGGACTCACAAATTGGCCTCATATTGCTTCAGGTCTCTGGAAATCCCCTCAGCTACCACTCTAATGGTGGGGGAAGCAAGGATTTGATTTAGAACTTGTTCATTTACTTCAAATAAGAGACGAGGTATCCGGGGAGGTATCCAATGTACATGTATTCTACAGTCCATTACACTGTAAACTAATTTGAAGAATTTTTAAAGGGGCATTTAATTGTGGTTGATACATTCAGTGTGTGATACAATTTATTAATTAGATCTAATATTTAGTGAGGAATTCATTTTGAGCCAAAATTGGAGTAAATGATTCAATGTGTCATTTTGTAATTCATTAAAAAAGTGACCCTTTTAAAAGAGATGAGATATGCTTTATGAAATACACATTCCATTCTTAATAAGCATGCCATAATAATAATAATTTAAGGCCATTCAAAGTTTATTATTTATATGGTTAACATGCTGTTAGGTGGTCTAATGTTAGGATGGTGGGATTTAAATAAACAAATTAAAATCAAAACTTTACTCTATTTCTGTATAAGTTTTTTATACATGTATTATTCAAGAGTGAAAACCATCAAACTAGATATTTGGCCACTTGAAAATTGTTTGTTTTCTGAAAATTTGCTGTATATAGCTTTTAACGGCCTAAGATAGATAACCATCAGAAATACTGCTGAAAATATTTTTTGTGATTTGTATTTAAATTTATGCATATAACAACTATACTATTGTGATATAATTGTACAATTTATTTGTATTTTATACTTTTTATTGAATATTCTAATTGTTATCATTATCATATTTTTATGAAAATTCATGCTTACAAATATTTGTAATGTTTTTTGATTGTGCCAAAAAGAAATGCTTATCATTTATTTATATAATTATAATGGCAAATGTTCCATACGCTATAGTCTACATATTTACCATTTATAATTTTGATGAGCTGGATTGACATAAAATGAGCCTCGTCATATGAAAACCAGTCTTATCACAAAAGTCCAAATTGTGCTACAGAGCCAAAAATGTCCCAAAGATTAAGAAGGAATGTGCTAAATTCAAATCCGTCTTTTTGGTCTATATCTGCAAGGGAAAATTGTGAAGAAAAAAATCAAAACTTTGAAAAAATCTGTGATAAGACCCCTTTCCTGTGGCCTGGCTCAAATATATGTGTATATTGCGAATTATAATTAGAGGCACTGTAACAATCACATGAACTATGCCTTAGTTCTTCCAATAGAAGCCCTGTAACCTATTTGGGCAAGAACGAACAAGGCAAATTTCACATGATTGTAGTAGTATGGGGCCTCCCCTAGGCAGACCTATACCAATGTCTCCATATTTTGTGTCAAATATAATTTTAAAGCTCATCCAAAGTTACATTGATTTGCCAAGTATCATTGTTCAACTCACAAAGAGAAAAAGTTACAGGCATTTTGTTTTGCCAAAATTAAAGTCAGTTTTACACCAAAATAATAGTCGGTGTGTCTCCCTAGGTCATGTTAACAGCAGCAATGCTTTTCATATATGACCTTAAACGCGCTTCAAATAGGGATGTGGCATTTTGTAATCCCAATAAAACTTTTTTAAGGCATTTAAGAAGAGTTTCCTTGGAGTATCTACCTTCAATGTCCTCTTTTCAGAACTCAATATCCATCCTATCTTCGCGACAATTGCACCCATATTTTCGGTTATATTCAGGTCAGGGCTGTTTCCAGGATACTGAAATGAACTATATTTTTGGCCAAATACTAAGTTTTGAAATGCTTGTTACTTTTTACCATTTGTGAGTTGAACCATGATACTTGGCAAATCAATGTAACTTTGGATAAGCATTAAAATGATATATGACACATACTATGGAGACATTGGTATATGTCTGTTTGGGGGGGCCATACTTTCTGGACACCCTGTATATATGCTTGGCTATGTATGCACAAAAGATTAGACAAGGGGGTTTTGAATTCCCAGGCAGTGCCACTAAACAGACAGATTATATATAATGGCCTCCATTTCATCTTTACATTGCATTCACCTGATGTCAGTGTTAGTACATCAATGAATTTGATTATTCATCTTAGATGATATCTATGGTGCTAGAACACCCATAATATGCTTATATTAATTCATAGTAAACATTTTTTCTGCTCAATATATAAATAGAAATGATAAAGGATGAGCAGTTTAGAATATACAAGGATGCATACTTTGTACATGATTATTCAACATGTTATTCACAGAATAATGTTGCATAAATAAATTGAAGTGCAATATTCAGGGTGTTTTCAGGATTTGGAACGAGGAGTGGTACTGGCACATGGGACAGAAATAGGTCATTGATCTCATTTGCCACTTGCTAAATCCCTCCCTGAGAATGAAATGTTAATTCAACATCATATGTTTAAAAAGGTGTATAGACTTCTGAATTTATTATAACATTATATCATAATTAACTTAAGATGTAATTAAGATAATTGAATGAAATAAAAATATATTTTTGTACATGCAATAATTCTTCAGTTTACGTTGTACATGAAATCGTTTTATCAATGTGGCACTGTGGGTTTGCACTCTCATTAATGTTGCCCTTTGTGTTTGGACAGTAGTTATATTATATTTGCCAAATAATATAAGGTAGGGGTTAAATAAATATAGGATGATAATGCGAAACAATAACTGTTCTTCCGGTCTAATGATAAATGATACACTCCCCTCCATAAGTTTGGCAACCTTTGCTCCCCCATTGAACTACATGTTAAAGCCTCTTTACCTTTGAATTTTTATTTACTTAAATAGCGATGAAAATACTTATAATATTGATGGAAGCGTAACTTGACTTTATTACCAAAACCTTCAAATTTTCTCAATTTTTTCCTCAATGACAATAGGTCGAAAATTGATGATTTTGAGGAATTTTTGAAAATCTACATTCCCATGTTAACCAATAAGAAATGGTAGGTTTGCCGCAAGTCATATGACAGAATATCTATCCATCTGAGTCCTTGCTAACAATACAATTTAAGTGGGCAATTGAATTCGCTAGCTTTAAAAAATTAATACGTTTCTTCAGGTTCAACAAAGTTATAGGTCTTTAAAGTCAAAATTGTTTTTTAAAAAACCTCTCCCATTGAAATAACACAGGAGGCGAAAGACTTTGAAGCTCTGTAACTTTAGTATTCATCAAGTAAACTTAACACTCAGTGTACAAAAAAGTTAAACAATTCAATTTTCTATATTAAAAAATTGTTTGCTGAATCTTTTACTAAATAGATATCCTGATTTCTAATTAACCCCGAACCCACCATTTCCCATTGGTTTACATGGGAATGACGATTTTCCAAAATTTATCAAATTTATAATCAAATTTCGACCTATTGTAATCGAGGAAAAAATTGGGAAAATTTAGGGGTATTGGAAATAAAGTCAAGTTACGTTTCCATCAATATTATAAGTTATTTCATCGCAGGTTAAATAAATAAAAATTCAACCGTAAATAGGCTTTAACACGTACTTCAGTGGGGGAGCTAAGGTTGACAAACTTATGGAGGGGAGTGTAACATCAGTTGACATCAATATACACTGATATATGGACAAGCGAGCAATATTCTCCGTTTTCCACAAATATCGCTTATTTACGTACTTGCAAAATATCATGAATATATTTACATGTTATTTTACAGATTTGATTTCAACTATGAGATAAGACGTCGACATGCCAGCTACATGCAAAATGTGTGTATATTGTAATCAAATTAAAAATATATCTGAGCTGGAAGTTATCATAATCAATCCCCCCATGGATCTTTAAACTTGCCCTCATGCAACTTTCTATGCGGTCAGTTTTTTCAAGCTTCCATATTTAACGAAAAATATGGTTAATGAAAACACAGAATGAAACCCTGAAATAATCATATTTATGTCTCTTGGGGTTGATTGAGGCAAAATCTGGCTTTCCTTAAAAAATGGAAACCTCAAAAGGCACAATTATTTAATCAAAAGGGCAAGATTCGGCACCAGAGTATAATTCTCTAAAATGTACCATTTCTTTTTTAATGACATGATATAGTGACACAATAATATTTACATATGTTTCAGTATAACCTGATAACTCTGAATGTATTAATGAGATCTGGATGTATTGGGTCTTTTTAATTTTTTCATAAAAAATAATGTTTAAATTTTTTTGTCTACTGTGATGGAGCAGTTTCACAGTTCACATTTGCAACTGCTTCGTCACAGCGGACAATTTTTTTTATTTTTTATACAAAAATTAAAAAGACCCAATACATCAAAATCTCATTAATACCTTCAGAGTTATGCTGAAAACATATGTAAATATTATCGTGCCATTAAAAAGTATTAAAAAATGGTACATTTTGGAGTATTATACTCTGGCGCCATTTTCAATAGCTTTTACTCCCATCGTTACTGGACTTCAAACAGAAGTGAAACTTACGCGCAAATGATATATCCATTGCATGGAGTAAGTAATTTTGTATGGTATAACGAAACATATGAGTTCAAAAATAAATCGTGAAGTATTCTTAATGTTTTTATGAAAAATAACATGCTCCGTCACAGCGGACAAATCTTTCGATACCAGCCTGTGATGGATGAGGCAGGAAAATCAGACAGTTAGACATTTGGACAGTGTTAAGTGACTAGAATTATATTAGCCATAATATGCACCTGTTATTCTAATTTTTAAGATAGGAGTGACATCGAATTCAAGTGAGTTTATCAAAACTCTTGAGACATTGAGTGTGTTTTAATGTTCCCCAAGTACAAAGTTCTAAGTTGCATGAAATCAGGTAATAGGTAACATTTTCGAGGTTTTGATTTAGGAGTGACTAAGATACCTTGTATCCGATTAACCTGCCGGGGTGTTGTGGACAATTCAAACAATCATGACAATGGGTTGGTATTCACTATGCATTGTGATTGCACTATGTGCTATTTGTACACTCGGGAAGAAACATGGAGGCCCTGACTCAGCCTGTAGCAGCCTCACGCCTCGCCATGGCAACAACACTGCCCAAGTGTCATCGTCGCCATATACGATCAGAGTCATCAGCGCAACTCAGTATAAACGGGGAACGAAAGTGATGTGTAAGTATCAAAAAATAAAAGGGTAAATTTACCTTTAAACAGGTCATTCATTGAGAACGACTTGGGGGGGGGGGGGGTATTCATCTGTTTATACGCTACTTAAAAACAACATATTTTTAGATCCATGGACTTGAAGATGTATATTTCATCTCTTGTCCATAATATAATTTGCATTATGTTCAGAAAGTGTTTTAGATCTGAGATTGTATTGTGTCGCTAAAGGCCAAACAGCAATATAAACAACAGAGATTTCTTCCAATTACTTATTACAGAGCGACTCCACCATTTTGCTTTCGAAACCCTTTTTGGTGCATGCAAAGTCATTTAATAGTATATAATGTGCGAAGCAAGTTCTATGTACTATCACTTGTTGTTCTTCACTTTCAGTGCAGCTTACAGGACCGGCCTTCCAAGGCGTAATGATTCAAGCCAGGAAGAAAGGCTCAAATGCTATTGTCGCAGGACAATTCGCTGATTTCCCTCCTTATACGAAAGCAAAGAAGTGCACTAATGACGCTGACACGATAACACACAGCGCACCAGATAATAAGACAAACATTGAATTCTCTTGGAATCCACCAAACCAAGCTGATGGTGACATTGAATTCTAGTAAGTAATGAAAGGTCTCTATCAGCCATGAAACATAAAAGTGGTAAGAATTCTTGAACACGTTGAGTCAAAATCCCAAAATGCCAAAAATCCCAAAAATGCTTGAATACTGAAGAGAGCTATCGTCTAGATTGATGGATTGAATTCAAAATCTGCAGCCTAAAATTCCATGAAATGTAAGATAAAACCAGGAATTAACCAGGCCTGTTTTGATCTTGGCTACTAGACCAGTGGGACGTCTTTCCGTAACGACACTTTATTTAAACTAGGTGGGTTTATCTGCACAGCAAATATACAGTAAATATACAATTAATACACCCTCAGTGACTAATGTCTGAAACAAAAAGACTTCATAATTACGCAAATTCACAAAATTAGATCATGTTGCTTCTTTCAGTGGAACAGTTCTCCAGAAATTTGATACCTTTTGGTTGGAACACAAATCTGCTACTTTAAAACCTGCTGATGACTATAAAGGTAAGTCCAACGTCGGACTTTCCAAGTCGCTTTAGCGAACGTGTATTGTTTTAATTTCTTGGAGTCAGCCCGTTTGGTTGAACCGGGAGTTCAGAAATAGATATAAAACTCTTTAGCCACTAGTACTAAATTTTGCTTCTTATTGCAAATTCTTGGAACGACATCCTTAAGTCTATTAAAGTTTATCTGCAACTTGTTCTTGAACAAAAATACTATACATTTCTACAATATGGTGGAGCTGCCAGTATATATCTGAAAATATCTAATTGCAAGGCCATTGAATTTCTACCACCTATTATCGACCAATGAAGAAACACACTGAAACAACGAAAGTGCAATTAATACTTTTTCACATATGGCTCGACATGATATCTCAAATTCCAGCCAATCATAACACGGTGTTTAAAAGAATACAGAATTATCCAAGTCTTGCAAAGGGTATAAATACAAATGCAATTCTACGTACAATGAATATATTTTACTTAGGATTCTTATATGATACGTGTTGTCACAATAGCTAGAACAATTGATTTACTGGTCTATATTGGAGTATGTATGACCACTAAAATTCAAGAATGCAAAAAGTTATCTTTTTTGTCTGTTTATCATATTAGAATCGTAACAAAGACCTCGATTTTATGATTTATGTCAAATATATGACCTTAAATTTTATTCTGGCCATTGCCAAAGACCTCAATCGCTACGCGATTTCGGTCTTCTAACAATGAGCAGAATAAAATTTTCGGTCATATATTACGCCATAAATCATAAAATCTCGGTCTTTATTCCTTAATTTAAAGGGAAATTCCTTGTCAGACTATTTCTCTCCTGATATGGAAGCTATAATCATTTATACACTTTACATATTTAGCAAAACACGTGAAAATGTTTTGATATGGTCAATATTGATCATTTAAAAATGTAGTACTCATTTCCAGTAAGCTACCATCTTTTAAGATTTCATTCAGGAAATGTCATCAACTCTCACCTGTCATAACCTTGCCCATTACAGTATAGGAAAGTAGCACAAAATCACTTCTAGAGAAGAACCCCTTATCTTCTGTGGAAAAATATTTTCAGGGCTTGTCAACTTAGAATTAAAGAAGATATTTTCAGAAGGATTTAAATCATAGACCAAATTGAAAAAATATTCTGCTGGTTTTGTTATTCTTAATAGCTCCTTTTCTAATGCTATATGCAAAGTTGAGAGTCGATGACATCACTTCCTTGGTGAAATCTTAAAAGATGGCAGCCTACTGGAATTGAGCACTACATTTTTAAGTAATCAATATTGACTAGAGTCCATTTCACTGCTTCATTTCGTTAGTAGAACGGCAAAAATAAGAAATTGGGAGACCATTGTGCAATAATATATCGAAAAGTATATTCATAATGTACATGAATGACATTTGTATATCTTGTATATCTGCCATGTTATTTTCAATAAGATTAACATGGCTGAAATTCTTCAAATTACAAGACGGCACAGGCTTATTGCACAAAAAACTAAAAAATCTGAAATATACAAATGTCATTCATGTACATTATAAATATACTTTTCCATATATTATTGCACAATCACGGGCTACTAGAGTTTCCACGTATATGGAGTATGACCGGTTCTTAGGCTACGAATATGACCTGTTTTGGAAAGTCATGAGAGGCACAGCTGCTTAAAAATGGAAAATAAAGGTTAACTTCTATATTATCCTTTTTGAAATTGTGTTTGTTGAATATAGTTTATGCTGTATTTAATAGTAATGTAACAAAAAAATGTTAAACATGGCTATTTTAGCAATGTAGCTGTTCATAATGGAATATCAATCAGAAAGTACAGATTTCTCGCCTTAGAGCCAAATCATTAATATCACAGTAGAAAAAAACAAATCCCAAACCTTTTTATGGCTAACTTGAACTTGAATCTCAGTTTATATGATCCCCCGTAGAGTGAGCAAGAGAAGGATTTATCTTTTCCCAGAGGATACGCTTGTGAAATGTCATGGAAGACATTTCACAACCGTATTCTCCAATAATGGGGCACCAGTGACATTCGTATTCTAAAAAATTCAAAGATGTATCATATTTGGACAGAGCAGGCTAAATTATTTAAAATATTCATGACTAATTCGTAGATCTAGCTATATATTATACATAAGATGTGTCATCCTCTTCGGAGTAGAACGGCACTGATCAAAGATGCTGGAAACTAGGATTTTACGGCTTCAATCTAATATTAATACGTTTTCTCTTGATTAAGGCCCCTTGTGATATGCCTGGCATTATAAGTATAGCAAGTATCATTCATTTTACCAAGTTGGATAAAAAGAAAACGTTCGAAAGTGTTTATAAAAAGCAAGTACTCACCTCGTCTGTTTATAGGAACAGAAATACGGTCACACTCGTAAGCTTAGAACCGGTCATACTCAATATACGCGGTACCCTTTGCATTCGTTTGACTTCACTTCTTAAAAGAGAGCTTCGTCTTCACTCTTTCAAACTAAAATAAACCTGTGAACTCACCGCGCCAATCAGTGTTCGTCGGCCAAATTTGACCGACGTTCTTTATATGGTCATTCCTTCTGACGCCATCGTTGAGCCCGGAATTGACCAATGACATGCGCATATTTAATTAGAACGCATTTGGCGTATGTTTCTTCAAGCTCGCTGATTGGTGGAAGGTCAGCGCGTAGATCAATAGGTCAAAAGTGATTTACCCAAACTGTCGCCAGTACCCGTCGTGGGGCGGGGCTACTAAACTGTAATATGGTCTCTGCTAGGCAGAGTGTAGTTTAACTAGACTCTGCACGCAGGGTATATACGCGGATACTCTAGTAACCCGTGACAATGGTCTCCCAATTTCTTATTTTTGCCCTGGACTCAGAGCATTGTAGACTGAATCATTCCTCTGAAGGTATTATTTTCAAATCTCTGCATGACCGCGCAGTGGGAATGCAAAGTTTTGGAAAGAATGCCTGAGTGAAAAGAACCATTGAGCATAGGATATTTCGATGTTCATGTTATAAACAGGCTCGTGGTTGTGACATCGATGTGATATCATTGCACTCAATCCTGTTGATATTGATTCACTAAAATTACATGTGATCATATTATATTATATTTTGTTAAATATTGTTTTCAGGGTCTGCTGGGATGTTGAGAATAGCAACGGCGTTGCTTGGGCTTCCTGTCATAACTATGATTCTCATATTCTGAACTGAATAAAGCAGTTATGATTTAATCTTCGTGGTGAAGACTGGAGAAGAGTTCGAGAATCTTTAAATCATACATACATTCCAATTTCTAGACCCTTTTAAAATCGATTTATATTACGATACTCATCGCATCTTTTTGTTTTCAACTAGAAAGGAACTAATGTAAATAGAACGCAATGATTTCTCATATGCAGTCGGCTTTTTGTATTTTTTCAAAGCTGAAACAAGTTTGTGGTGCTCAATGTGAAAGCTTCTAGCTTCTTTTTAGTTGCATTCTGGTATATGCCAGAGCCCCTCTTATCTGCCGTTTGTGAAATTATTTTATCATCTCTAGGAGTGCTTTTCCTGGACGTAATGCATTGGTGAAGCATATGCATCTGTTTAAATCCTCAGAAAATAGCCAAAATCGAACATATGACTGTCCGAAATCTGTTGCGATACTTTCCCTCCTCCTTTGCTTATCTTGTCAATGAAATGGTAAATAAAAATAAATATAATTCGATTCGTGTATTTCCTGAAAAAAAATCAAATATTTCTGTGCTTAACCCCACATTACAGAAGAACTAGATGGATAGTTGTCATTTTATAAGAATTGGATGTTCCTCAATGTACTGGGAATCTGATGAGCCTGTTTTTAGGTAAAGACACACTGTAAAACGATCACAGGCGTAAAGACACACTGTAAAACGATCACAGGCTACCGAGTAAAATTACACCTACCTCTCTCTGGATCAAAAGATGGAGGTCTGGGTCCAGTATTTCCAGTTGTACCTGACGAAAATACTGGAGGCGTTTTTATCCCCTGATTCTTTCACTCGAGAACTCATCTCTAGATAACTTATCCCCAAACAAGGCAACCCATCACTCAAGATAACCTATTTCTCAGATAACGTATCCCCAAACAAGGCAACCCATCACTCAAGATAACCTATTTCTCAGATAACTTATCCCCAAACAAGGCAACCCATCACTCAAGATAACCTATTTCTCAGATAACTTATCCCCAAAACAAGGCAACCCATCACTCAAGATAACCTATTTCTCAGATAACTTATCCCCAAACAAGGCAACCCATCACTCAAGATAACCTATTTCTCAGATAACTTATCCCCAAACAAGGCAACCCATCACTCAAGATAACCTATTTCTCAGATAACTTATCCCCAAACAAGGCAACCCATCACTCAAGATAACCTATTTCTCAGATAACTTATCCCCAAACAAGGCAACCCATCACTCAAGATAACCTATTTCTCAGATAACTTATCCCCAAAACAAGGCAACCCATCACTCAAGATAACCTATTTCTCAGATAACTTATGCCCAAACCACGATTGAAAACCATCAACCAAAAGAACTTTTTCGTCAGATATTTATCCCCAGCAAAGCGCCGCAGACCATCACCCAAGAAAAACTCATCCCTAAACAATAAATCGTTTGCAAAAAATAAAATAAAACTCCTTAAGACTACTCCTCCATAAAGGAATCCTATATGTATTATTGGAAAAATTAAGCATCCTTCAACATGCACCACAAGTGCCAACATTTTATTTTTTATGTATTCTTGGTGCCACTTTAAATATTATTTCATCATGTGAGAGAGTAAGAGGAAGAAAAAGAAACACTTGAATTAGCTATTACTTTCATTTCCACTGTGATGAATATTTCTTTATCAACATCAATGTTGTCAACTACAACTTGATGAGATTGTTAGTTATATTTTTAGCTTTATAGCAAAACTTAATTTCAAAATGTCCGATTTTAATTCTCTATTATTTATCATAAGATTATTGGTTATCAGAGGTCAGTTCCCGACAAACTCAGTTCCTAGTTCTTTTAAGGTTTTCTTCCTCTTATTTGATCCCCGTCGTCCAGTACAGCAAAGTATTGAAATTTCCAGTCTCCATCTTCTTTGCAGAAATAGATGAGTGTTCCATAAATTAAACACCACTTGTAAAATAATCATGAAGACAATTATCCCATTCAAAATGCAAATGGTTTTGCATTGTGAATTCACCAATGAAACTTCAATACATCAAAGAAAAATGCATTCTGTACATGAACGATAACACAATGAATTACCTAAATGGACCGAGTGGTTCTATCATTGAAATTGCATTGCACAGGCCAAACCCAACTGCAGTATTCTTTGTTCCGGTAACACGTTCCCAATCAATGATCATGTAGGCGTCAGGGTATGTCGTCTTAAAGTTTTCAATCCATGTTTGTATCCCTGGTAAATGCATTTAGTATAAGAAAATCAACCGTAAGCAACCTAATACAACAACACAAGAAGATTGTTAGCCGGCGACGTGTAGCCGAAAGACCAATCGGATTGAATATTTTGCACAATGGACGATTACTACTGAATGAATACAATCTCAGACCTGCCAACCTACCCACTGGTACTCCACTCGATTACGCTGGTTACCGAAACGGTCCGTTTCGATAACAAGATATATATCGGAACCTCGAAGGTACGATTTTTCTTTTTTCTCATTTCCCGCGTTGTAGGCAGAATTTCTACGACATTTTTATCACAAACTTCAAAAACGGTTAAAAGATCTGCACTTCTAACCCATTCCGTTTACGTAACAATAGTGAGGTATTGAATAGACAATTCTGTTGTCTTCTGAACTATTTGTTCGCAAACATGTACATTTTCTTAGACACATGATATTGACATATGTTTGTGATAAAAATGTCTTGGGAATGCTGCCCACAACGCGTGAAATAAGGAAAAAAGAAAAAAATCGTACCTTCGAGGTTCCGACATTTTGTTACCAAATGGTCCGTTTCGTTCTTGGTCCGGTCCAGTGCTACCGTGTTTTTACAGGAATTCTACCGTAGAATCTTTGCTTGTTAATAAAAACTAACAACTACCGTACCGTATTTTCCCGTATTTTTTTTTATTAAAATCTACTGTATTTTTCTTTTTGAATCTAGTTTTTCCTGTAGAAATGGCAGTGAAATACCGTATTTTTGCTGAAATCTACCGTAATTTTAAAGGGAATTTGACAAGTCTGTAACCTTGATTATCGGAGTCGCGCTTTCTTTTATTCTCAGTTTCGTGGCCAGGAAAATGTTTAAATCTTTTGAATCATCGATACTTGTTCTGGGCCAACTCGTTTGACGCATTCGTTTGACTTTGCTTCTTAAAAGAGAGCTTCATATTCACACTCAGTTTACAATGAATTTCGTTCATAACTATAGACTCTGCGCGTAGGATAGTGATGCATCGATGTGTTAGTGAAGCTAGATAGGCAGGGGTCCACAGTGTTGAAGCAAGACAACCTTAATGCTAAAAGAAGCTGTACGAGCGACCATTTTGAATGGAAAGTAGGTCGGTGTTATTCATTTAATCATGTCAGTATCTTCAATTTTGCAATTAGCGTGCAGAAAGAATAGCAGCATATGATAAAATGGAAATAGCTTTCCCTTAATATAACTGTCTGAACGAACATGTATTCCATCTTGTAGGAGTAATAGTTCCCTCTAACCTGTGTGTCCGTACATGTTCGGTCTCCCTACTTGTGCGAGTATAGCAGTTTTGGACCAAAATTGCACCGCCACAGAACAATTCGGCCAATTTTGCATCGTTTTATTTGCACATTCTTGTACCAACATAGCATCTTTATACTTCTGGATAAACTTGTCCAATTGTTTTTGCACTAGAATAAAGAAACACTAAAAATAAGCATGACCATGCGGGATTTCACTGGTGATCCGGAACGTCGATGGTACGATTTTTCTTTTTCCTTATTTCACGCGTCGTAGGCAGAATCCCCACGACATTTTTTCTCACAAACGTATATCAGTATCATATGTTTTAGAAAATGTATTTTTTCGAAAAAATAGCTCAGAAGACAACAGAATCGTCGATTTAATTCCTCACTTAAGTTACATAAACGGTAGGGGTTAAAAGTGCAGATCTTAACTGTTTTTCGAAATACCGTTTATGTAACTGATACACGTTTGTAATAAAAATGTTGTGGAAATTCTGCCTACAACGTGCGAAATAAGGAAAAAAGAAAAATCGTACCTTCGACGTTCCGACATTTTTTTACCGAAACGGTTCCAGCGTAATCGAGTGGATCACCAGTGGATTTAGTATGTGACCATCGCAACGTTGATGAAGACATACGTACAAGTAACAAAATATCATCAGTAACCAAAACTGTGCCCCGAATAATATACCATTATATTATAATATATTAATAATATATTATAATATTTAAATGTTACATTTTACATGACTACAGCATGTAAAGTTACAATACAAGGTATAAAAGCTTATTGCTCGACATAAAATGTTTATATTATGTAAATAACTACAGTACTTTGTAAAAATATGCACTTTTCTAATGTGTTTATAAGTTGAAAAATGATCCATGAATAATGGGAAAATAAAGATATTATAAATAATAAAATCTCAACTGACAGCCTGGGCTGTTAGATTTATGTGTTAACATAAAAATTCTGACATGGGTGAATAATAAGCAAATAAATTAATGTAGATAAAAGTTATATTAATAAAATGGTGTTCGGCTATTCGTAGATGTGAAAAACTTCTCGGTAGTCAGTGTGTGAGTGTTTTATGCAGACCCAGTATAACCAAAAAGCACAGTCGGTATACATTTATGATTTGGGTCAAGCCGGAATCATAACTGTGATACTGACTTTGCCAAAAAAGGTAATTTAAAATCCCAATTTCACCCTATGCAGACAGAGCCTGTGGGAAATATTGGGTGCGGCGCAAATGAGCGGAGGGTGCGGAGCTAACGGTCATTTTTGAATTTAAAATTGGGATATTTCTGAAACTAAGCCGTTTTGGGACTTCAAATATACCAAGATATGTGTATTTGACACCAAATATCAATAAAATTGTGAAAATAGTAGTGCAATTCATTTTATAGCGACGCAGTATGCCTTAAACATTTCCCAGACCTATATATTTTGAGACTATCCTTTTAATACTGCGTCCCCAGCATTCATAAAAAATGGTGTTCAAGATACACTACCCATGCAAATTATTTTTGCATCTTGGAAGCCAGGCAGTATCTGTGTGATTTTATAAAAATTCGGAAATGTTCTTCAGATATGAGCCCCCTCTAAATATTGGGTGCGGAGGTACGTTTATGGAGCTCCTCCGCAGCATACTGCTCCTTCCCTATTTTAAAGCATCAAACAGATCGCGATTGCCTGCGTTTTTCTCCATTGTCGTTTACAGTATGCGAGCGTTACAAACAAAGAACCAAGAACCAATACGACGGGAACAGTGATTCTGACGTAGCGGGCAGATATACTATATCTGCCCGCTCGGAGCGGGACGTAAAGCTATATCTGCCCGCTGATGAAAATATAAGTTTTTACAAACCGGCTTTATGTACCTGTAACACGTCCAAGTATGGGATAAACGTGTTTATATTATAATGAAGAGCAATACATCCTCAAAAACAATGATTTATTTTTACGTTTTCCCTCATCTAAGTAAATGAACGTATTTTGAAAAAAGTTTAAATGTACAGGGACTTATATAGGGGTTATGCACTGGGAGGTTTTGGATACAGGGAATATCCCGAGGGATATACAACATATCTTCCCGAGGGACCGAAGTGACCGAGGGAAGATGTATTGTATATCCCAAGGGATATTCCATGTATCCAAACCGACCGTGCATAACTGGTGTATCTCATACTTGAGTGGGTTTAGGGTAGATATATTCTTTTCCACCTTTTTCAAATGACAAGATATTTATATTTAACATTTTCGTAATATTCTTTTTGTTCAATACAATGAAATTGTAACATTTAAACTTAAAAAATTAAAATTTTAAAATCAAAATTAAAAAATTAAAACTTTTGATATTTAAACTTTTTTAAACTTTTGAAAAATTCCCGGGAGTGGGATGGATATATTATATCTACCCGCATTTGGCCTGGAGCGGGACATATACAATATATCCTGCCCGCTCCTCAGATATGATATATATTCCCGAGTGATATCTACCCCAAACCCACTTAAGTATGAGATACACATGTATATATTATAATCAAGAGCAATACATCCTCAAACACAATGATCCATTTTTACGTTTTCCCCTCATCCAAATAAATGAACGTTTTTTGAAAAAGGTTTATGTGTAGGGACAGGGTGTTTTTACATTGTACTGTCAACATTTGCAAACTTACATTTTACTCCATTTTTCTCCAAACACTCTACTGTCATCGATCCATGGTAGAGAAGTGCTATGAAGTATAACGCCCTCAGCATTTTAGGTATATTTTCCCCACAGTTTCTCCCGAATACGTTATACTTCTCGTTGCAATTTTATATGTAATTGTGTATTATATACCATGGCATATTGACTTCTGCTTTTTGTGTCAATATTGTTTATGTCAATATTTAGTACAGACTGTGACAGATGATAGCTGCCTATTGACTTAATTTAATGATAATGATGACATGAAACTTAATGATAACATAAAACATAACGAACTATCTATTTGGGAGATCTACTTGGAGGAAAGGAAGCTGTGGTTAATGTGGTACTATTCTAGTATATTCTCGAAGTGTGTTATTTAAAGATCTAATAGCAAAGGTTTTGCAAAAATAAATCAATGCAGTGTAAAACAAATGTATGTATAATGAAGAAATAAATATTTAATAAAAAAAATAGATATGTGTTTGTAATATTGGTATTAACTTAAGATTAAAAAGTGTCACTATCTCTTTCATTTTTCAACAAATATAGGCTCACGTGACATATGACGCGGGGCAGTCAATTTTGATCTATCGTAGACCATATCAGTATCAAACTGCCGATATTTCAACCTCGTCTTGCGGGGCCATTTTTATTTGAAACATCTTGAATTTGGTGTCAAAATAAAGCTGGTCACGCCCACTTTCAGGGTTATCAATGAATCATTTACTACGACTACTATATTCATTTAGGAGGCGTGTAAAGTTAACCAATCAGAAAGACAATTGCTCCATATATGACAGTTCATTAACATATTCAGTGTTTACTATTGTTTTTCGCGTCATGACAACACGAGTAGTAACCAATCAAAATGCCGTATTTTATCACGTGAGTTCAGAGTGACATGCACGACATGTAAGTTTAGTCTGAGCTGATCGCGATGTTGAACAATTTCTTCTCGGAATTTGTCCAGAGAAATCAGCGATTCTAAATTAAGGTAGGATCTCCCATTTCTTCCTGTACAAGTTTTAACTTATCTCTATCGAATCCTAAAGTTTTGGATGAAGATATGAAGTATACGTTTAAAAACGAAGCGATTAATTTGACGATCTGATTTTGCAATTTGCAATGGCCAATTTACTGCAAGTCTGCGTGTATTTGACAAGAGATAGCGCCAAGTCTTGTATCCGAATGCTTGTTAAGCCACTCAAAAACAAGATCCATATTTTCTAAATTTGATAACTTTGCAGAGAGCCCGTTTTCATAACCTGTTTTCCGCGTCTAAATTCAAACTGAGTAGGATTATAGGATCGCTGGGATTCTCAGTCAATGGCAACGGGTCTTCATTCCAGAACGCACATTTTTTAGTTGATTCTCCGTCATAGTACTTGTCTAAAGTCCATATCTGCTCTTTTACTGGCATACTTGGACATATTTCCCCTCCTTAAATTGTCCTCCTTAAATAACACCCTCTCGCCGATTTATATATAGCCATTTCCTAGAACCCGGGAGTCAGAATCGCTGATGTTTGCCATATTGAACATGTTGAAATATGTACTGTAATATCTGTAATACTAGGCATTGCCTGCTCCGCGTAAGGGTCACGTGACTACCGCGATACAGGAAAAATGGGGAATTTCGAAACAACAATATTTGGGCACTTTTATTGCAAATTTCAGGTATTTATAAGTGTTTGTGGTATAAAATATAATTCACAGACATAAATGAACATCCAAACTACATATTTTATTACGTTTTGGAGCCTTTTTTGCTTTTAAAATGACATCTTTAAATATTCTGCCCTTCCCCCTAAAGAAAAAAATAGTACCGTGGATACTTGGCTCACATGGTGTTGCTCAAAAGTGAATGATGGCTAAAATGACAACAAATAAAAAACGGATAATTTTTTGCCAGCTTTTTGTAACAAAATTATTTTATATAGCTACTCTTAACATGGCATGGCTTTTTACAATGCAGGACACGTGGAATTATTTGTAAAGTTAGGGAATGGGCCAAAAGTGAATTCCACGAGACAAAAATGTCGACCAATAGGCGAGCTTTTGAACCAGGAGTCATAGGAGAGTTTTTTGTATTGATGTTGAACAAAACTAACTTAAAACTGGAATCCTATCGATAGAGGTTTTAAGGCAAGGTCCAAGGATTTTACGAGACAGATGGACAAATTAATGTTAATTAAATGGCTGAAATTTTTTTAAAAAGGTTAATTTTTTGCCGATTTTTTGCAAAAAATCCCACGATCAAACAGTGATACAATATTTTAGTGGCTAAATATAATATATTGGCTAATGTATAGACGACCTTGATAGGCTAGGCAAATGGAAGTTTAACATCCCAAAAATTGCAACAGTTTTTAAATTAGGCTTATATTGTATATTGATACCAGTTGAAAAACATATCAAAAATATAGAAAAATATATGCAGTGGACAAATGTGAAATGTCACATTCTAGGTACCCCCCTCCAAATTTGAGTATGGGATTGTAAATATTTTTTTATTTCAAAATAGAATGCTCTTGTCAACTAAACGAGTAATATTATGATAGTTTACTGACATAAGAGCAACTAAAAATTGTTAACCAACTATTTGAGTGCAAAAATTGGCATTTCTAGCCCCAATTATCCGAAAATAGGCCATCAAATAGCCCGTATTTAATTTAACAATGTATCTATTTCTGTATCAATTTATCTGAATTGCATGAAAAAAATCAAGGAGGTTATTGTACACCTGACCATTGTATTTGATAAGTATCAGGGTCATTAAGTGAATATTAAGGGTGAAAATAATATTTGAAATTTCAATATTTTACCACACCCACTTTTGGGGTGACCTTACTTTTGATTAATTACTTCAAAGATATGTCATATTTGAACTCAATAGCACAACTAAATTATTTGTAAAGGCTTATTTTGTCCTGAAATCAGTTTTTTGATGTTTTCAGGAAAGAATTGTGTAAAAAAAAGTAAAAAAAAACAGCAAATGCCAGGTGAAATATAGGGGAAGCCCTACTTTTAGTTGATAACTGCTAAATTATCAAATGTTTTTCCCTTTAAATTCAATTTGATATATAATATACCTTTTCTGGTAGAACAGAGAACGATTTGTTAGAAATTAAGTAGAATCAGTGGTCTAAAAATATCCTTGAAAAGGCAACAAAATGTTAAATATCCCTGTCCCTGTCATCAGTTTATTAATACAGTATGAGCCAAAAAAGGTAACCCAACCAAATGTTTGTTAATAACCCAGTCATTCAGCATGGGTTTGACATCATATTTGGCACAATTACCTTGTTCAATGTTCTTTCATTCTGCTTAGTGTCATTGATCTATCCTTAATAGTCACGATTTTATGGCCATTTACAAACTGTGCTCAAAATATCGAAATGTGCCTAACTGACTGGACATCAATGCCAAGTCAAGTTTTTTTTATCTGTGGACCTTTCTTCTATACTAGCAACACTTGAAACATTAAAACAAGAGATAAGAATGAAGATGAGAGCCATAACACAAGATTTTTATGCTCTTGATTTGAACAACTACGCACGATACGTTCAAGTTGGCCTCCAGGCATGACACCCATATTTCATGGCATGGTATAAAATGGCCATAAAATCGTGACCACTAGAGATAGACCACTGAGATTGGGTAGATTGATAATACATTGACCAAGACTCAACTCATGCAGGATGACTGGACTGAGTTATTAAGATTTGTTTGGGTTACCTTTTTGGCTCGCCCTGTATAAGGAAAAATTGTTACTTTTGACTAAGGTGTTCTTAACCACACAGTGATATTGAGAAATGAAATGAAGAAGTTCAACTGAAGAATTGGATTTCAAGATGAAATTCAATAATTAATGAGGAAAAGGTTTCTACGTTAATAAATCCTACTGAGTTAACTAGTGTAAAACAAAGTAAATCCCTGGTCTTTATCGGGGTCTTTATACAGGGCATGGTTCGATTACGTTATGTTCATTGTCAAAAAGCTGCCTTAATTTTGTAATCTTAACCGTCATATATGGCAACAATCAGTTACAAACTTGTCTATCACCAAACTTCATTAAGGGTACGTGGATCTGGGAACCAACAAGGGGGGGGGGCAAATTTCAGGTCTGAGAAAAAAACATCTGGGCTTGCGCGGGAAAAAAAATTTGGGCCCCTAAAACCCTAAATTTTGAAACATTGAGGCCCATTATCTTCAAATGTGGCCTGTAATTAAAAAATAAGGCCTTAAAAGGCCCACTAATGACCAAAAAGGCCCACTTTTCGGGGCCTTAAGGCCTTTTTCAGGCCCTATTTTTTTCTGGGCCCACCCAAGGGTACCCTGCGTGCAGAGTCTAGTTAAACTACAGACGAAGACGAAGTTCTCTTTTAAGGAGTGAAGTCAAACGAATGCAAAGGGTAACCCAAGGGGGGGGGGGGGCGCGGCCCCCAGATCCGCCAGTGTTCATTATTTAGTCACCATTATTTTCATAATCAGTAATGGAGGTATTTGCACAAATATCAGAAATTGGAGGAAGAACACGGGGCTGCAATAATTCAGATCTTGCTGTTCTCTTTTAATAGAATTTTTGAAGCCTAAGTTCAGTTAGGGTTTCACCGTTTTTCCACCTTAAATTGACAAAAGAGCATGTTCCTCTGCAATGACAGAGTTGCTTGCATTTCACTGGTTTCCACTTAATTACGTTGTAACAAAATGTCGGAACATCGAAGGTATGATTTTTCTTTTTTCCTTATTTCACACGTTGTAGGCAGAATTTCCACAACATTGTTATCACAAAATTGTATCAGTATTATGTGTTTAAAAAATGTACATATTTGCGAACAAATAGTTCAGAAGACAACATAATCGTCGATTTAATTCCTCACTTTATTTACATAAACGGTATTTCGATAAACAGTTAAGATCTGCACTTTTGACCCAAATCGTTTATGTAACTTAGTAAGGAATTAAATCAACAATTCTGTTGTCTTCTGAGCTAATTTTGCGCAAACATGTACATTTTCTAAAACATATGATACTGATACACGATCACGATGGTAAGAAAAAACATCGTGGGGATTCTGCCTATAACGCGTGAAAAAAAGAAAAAAGAAAAATCGTACCTTCGACGTTTAGACATT